TCGCCTCAAAAATCAACGAGGCGAACGATGGGCTAGCCAAGAAGCTGCCACATATGTGGGAGGCTTGGGCAACTGACAACCAGCGCAAGGTCGAGCAAACGCTACGCCCCATCTTGGACAAGATGAAGATTACCGGATCTCTCTCCGACAAGGACATTGACAAGCGCCTTGACCAGATGATTAAAAAGCACGTGGGCAACACCAAAAGTGGCAGCACCGTCGTGAGTCGTGAATACTTTTTACAGTATCTGAGGGACGAGTTTGCCAGCCATCGTACAGAGATGAGAGCCGAAATCAATGAACTGCAGCCCAAGCTGGAACAGCTGATTCGCGACTCTGTCGATCTAGCCAAGAAAGATGACTCCCCAAGCATGACACGGGCGGAAGTTGCCAAGCTCGTTGATGGATTGGTGCGCAAAGCCATTGCCGATATGAACCTAGAGGCCATGGCGAAGGGTCGGATTCGCTCGCACTGGGACAGGGATCTGAAGAACCAGCTCAACTACTTTGGAGTCGGTGCTGGCGCCATTGTCGATCCCAAACAAACGTCTACAACGTTTAGGCCCGATGCCAAATATCTCAATGACAAGGGTCTCAAGGGCGCTCAGCCGTACCCACCCATAGAAGCTCTCCTTCCATGGCATGACGACGGCGACTGTTGGTGTGCTGCTCGTGAGGTGAACAAACGCGGCAACCCCCATGGTGCCAAACTGAGCGTCATCATGGGCCACTCAATCATCCCTCAGCATATCGTGATTGAGCACATCTTGCCCGGTGCCACGTCAAATCCCGGTGCGCGACCCCGTCACATCGAAGTGTACATCAAAATCGAAGACTCGGCTACTAGAGAGCGTCTGCTGGACTTTTCAGCGGCGCACTTCCCCGACGACCTGTCAGACTGGAATTATGCTCCAGCTGATCTACCTCCTCAGTTTGTCAAGGTGACTCAATTTGTCTATGAGGGCGCGGAACTGCATGATGGCGTTCATGTCCACCGTCTCAGCAGCGAACTCATGGCCCTCAACGCCGAGACTGACCAGGTGATTGTTCGGGCTGTGAGCAATTACGGAGCTCCCAATCACACATGTTTCTACCGCATTCGCCTCTTTGGGCGTAAAGTACCAGAGCCAGGCGACGACATGTAAAAACAAAAACACAAAAAAAGGAAATTCTTCTGCATTCGGCGGCGTCACAGGAGCGTTGGTTTTTGATCTCATCTTGAATTTTGTCTCTTCTTTCTTCTTTCTTTCTTCTATCGTCTTATTAAGTGGGAAAGCATCTTTCTATTGAAGCCAGGCGCAAACGTAGATAGGGTCGGAAATTCGGAATGGGCAGTGGAGCTGGAAAAAAGGAAGAATACCCCCTCCTCACGAACACAGCAGGTTTTTGTTTTTCTGCACAGATGGTGGGACATGTTGACTTTTTTTTTACGTATTTGAAATGAAGGCAATGGAGATTCACATTGGATGACTTGACTTGTTCGTTTTGACAGTTTTGTGCATGTGTGTGCGTTTGTGTGTGCTGTTTTGTGTGTTGGGTGTGCTCTGACCTGTCTTTTTAATTTGTAGTGGCTCGTGGGTTTTTAGTGGTTTGAGGGGATCATTGTCTTGTTTTGAGTTTTTCTGCTTTGAAAATGTAGCAAACAGAGACATAGAAGAGGGCATCATGCAGGATGCTGAATATACCAGCGGTTGACTTTTTATACAAATTCTGGTGCTTTTAAACTGTAAGCTAACATTATGCTCTGAATTACACCTCCCCCAATATACAACACCAGCCAGAAATGCTCCCCAAACGGTATCAACAAGTCTCCCTTTAACCATCCAACAGGCCTGCAGCCAAAGCTTCCAGGTCCTCCAATGTCTCAGGTTCCTGGTCCACCTCAATAACCTTGCCTCCCTTCTTCTTCTTGCCCTTGCTCTTCTTCTTGGCATCCTCATCGTCCGAGTCGTCCTGGAACCACTTCTTGGCCTTCTTCCGCGGCGGCTCAGCATCTGAATCCTCATCGCTACGATCCTCCCCAGCAATAGGCAGAGAGCGCAACAAAGCCAACGGATCTTCGCCGTCGCCGTTCTCACCGAGCTGCGGATCAAAGCTCTCGCCACCAGCCATCTCCATTGCTTCCCTCGCCTTTCTCTTCTCCTTCTTCTCTCTCTTCTTCTGCTTCGCGAGCGCCTTGTCGTCCACGTCAGCCTCCTTGACCCTGACTGTCTCGCTATCCAGGAATTTCTGTCGCTGCTCTTCCGCGGGGCCTTGCTGCTTGAAGTCCTCTTCGTCCTGGAGCTCGTAGATTTCGTGCGCGTTGCCTTCTTCGTCAAACACGAGTTTCGACGAGCTGCCCATGAACTTGGCCATCTTCTTCTTTGACTGAAGGGCTTTCTCACGGCGTTTTGAATCGACGACGTATAAATCGTCGCCGCCTAGGGCTATGACCTTGGCATTGTTGATGGTCGCCTTGCCTGTAAGTGCATCAACCTCGTCGTCGTTTAGTCTTCTCTTTACAGACAAAAAGTCATCCTCTTCATCGTCGTCTTCCTTGCCTCCATCCAGCACAAGTTTAGAGTAATGGCTTGACAAAACGTCCTGGTTCGTTCGTTCAAACATCTTGTCGTATTTCGTCCGCACCTCGGGCTTCTTCTTCTCCTTCTTCTTTTCGTACTCTCCGTCCATATCCATGTCTGACTCTGAGTCGCTTGACATGCCTTGGCGGGGCGCGTTCTTTATCCTCTTAATATCCTCACCCTTCTGGAATTTGATCTGTGGGGTTCCAGGCAGACCGAGGCTCGAGGCATATGCGTCCCAATCGTGGTCGTCAAACTTGAATACCTCCTTGTCTTTTTGCAGGTGAATTGACCGTGTGTAACTGATAAATGCCTTTTGGCCCAGATATTTCAAGTCGGGGAACTTGAAGCACATGTCCTGCAGATTGTTCTTGATGCTCTTCTTCTTCTTCTCCTTGACGTGCACTTTCTGTATGGGAATCTTCTTGTGTTCTAGTCGCTTAATCATCCCTTCTTCTTCGCTGGGGTCGAGGAAGAGAACGGCGCGGCCATTGCTCTGGAATCTGGCTGTTCGTCCCACTCGGTGGATATACGTATCAGCGTCTTCGGGGCAATCTGCCTGAATAACCCAATCGACAGCAGGGAAATCGATGCCTCGCGCCACCACGTCCGTCGCAAACAGACATGATGTCTTGGCAGCAGTGAATCTGTTTGTGATTTCCAATCGTGCTATTTGTTTTTGACGGCCGTGCAAGTGAAGTAGCGGAATACCGGGCTGGAGATGTCGAAAGCTTTCGTAGACAAACCGGACTTGCTTGCCGGAACTGAGGAAGACGATAATTTTGCTCTTTACATTAGCTTTGATGAAGCCGTAAAGCGTATCGAGTTTTTCGGGGAGCGGAGTGACGATGTAGTGCTGTTGAAGGGTGGTGGGTGTTGCCGTCGTTGCGTCTTGGTGCACGGAGACGTATTCGGGATCTTTCAGGCTGAGTCGGGCAAGATCTGAAACTTTTTTGCTCTGCGTTGCACTGAACATGAGAGTCTGGCGTGACTTTGGCAGATGCTCAACCAGCGCATCAACTGCAGATTGAAATCCCATGTCCATGATTCGGTCCGCCTCATCCAACACCAAAATCTGCAAGTTGTTCGCGTCGAAGCCGGCCGTCTGGTCCAAGTGCTGCAGCATTCGTCCTGGCGTGCAGACAAGGATATTCATTCGAAGCAACCGCTCAGCCTCCTCCTTCAGATTCTTTCCACCAATAACCAACCCAGCTGAAAAAGCGTGGTGTCGTCCGATCTTCCGTAGCACTTCGAAAATCTGAACCGCAAGCTCTCGAGTTGGGGAGAGGATGAGAGCGCCGAGGCCGTCAAACTCTGTCCATTGTTCGCGATAAAGCTTCTCCAACACAGGTACCAAGAAAGCCAGAGTCTTGCCGCTGCCCGTCTTCGCCGCACCGAGGATATCCTTGCCCTGCAATGCCAACGGGATTGCTTGTTCCTGGATTTCGGTCATGTTTGTGAAGTGTGATGCGTGAAGGCCGGATGCCGTCGCAGGTGAAATGGCCGCAGACAGGTCAGTAAAAGTCTTCACCTTGCCAGACTTGGGGTCCTGCGTAGAATCACGGTAAGTCATAACATCCAGGATAAAAGCACTTGCGCCTCATCCACTCACCAGCTGGGCAATGGCCTCCGCGAGTTTGTGCAGATCTTCATGATCGCGCTTCCTCTTTTGCTTCTTGAGCTCTGTCTTGTTCGGTTTGTGCTGCGGCTTCTGCTTGCCGGCAGTTTTTGCAGGCATTGCGACTTCGGGTGCAGATGCTGGGCTGGATGAGGATTTTGTCGAGATCCAGATCCAGATTCTGGTCAATGGATGCCCGCTGCATGTAGCGATAGGAAACTTTTTTGTCGGGGCGAGCTTATCTTACTTATCCTTGTCGATAAGATAAGCGCGAAAATGAAGTACAGGGTAGCTTCAGAGGCGTGTCTTGTCGGCACGTCGCTCTCCAGTTCGGGAAGCAATGTTTTGGGGACTTTGATAAATATGTAGAGGTAACAAAAAAAACTCAATTCTCGACAGCGAGAAGGCATTCGCAGAATCACTAGTTGTTGCGTGGTGAGTTCAAAGAGACTTGATGGAAGATACCCGGTAGAGAGAATGTGCCAGCTGAAAAGAAACCGTCAACAAATAAGTCAGGTAGTCCAATGGCCTCAATCAACAAAATATCACAGACATAGGCAGCTATATGAGCCTTACGAAGATGATATGAATGAAAATTGGCTTGTAGAATAGCAACAATCACTCGGATATATACACTGAGTTTACGAGTAACAATACCTGAGTACCAATGAAATACGTGTAGAGGGGTTGCTCCACATTGCCTTTAGTACTGCCCCTCCAAGGCCAGATCATCAAAACTACAGGCAAAATGAAATACAAAAATAAGATGTCCAGCCATACAAGAAGGAGAGAATCAAATGTTCAAAAAGCCAAAAAAGAACAGGACCGAACGCGGATCGAACGCGTGACCTAGAGATCTGCAATCTCTCGCTGCCAAGTTTGTTAGTTACTGTGTAACAGAATGGGAATTATGTTTCAGATTCGCTTACCTCTACCACTGAGCTATCGATCCCTGGTGATGGAGCGGGATTTTAGTTAGTCTTATAAAGCTTGGCCAACGGACACGGCAAAAAGGGAGCAAGTTGAAAAAAAGAGTAAAAAGAAAGGACCGAACGCGGATCGAACGCGTGACCTAGAGATCTGCAATCTCTCGCTACCAGATTTGTTAGTGTCTAAGTTGAAACTGGAAATTGTGTCCAGATAAGCTTACCTCTACCACTGAGCTATCGATCCACTCGTTATATAAATGACTTTTCTAAAATGCTTATAAGTCTACCTAGTTGCTATGGGCCTATCAACGTGCCAAACCAAACGCCTGGAATCATCCGCACACGCAAAGCGACGCTGTATTGTTTTTCTTTCTTTCAGTTCCATACCAATTGCGCTCCAGTAGATGTTTCATAGTTCAAACAAGCCGATTTCTCTTCTACTTTCAACCCTATGCAAAGATGGAAAGCAGTAACCCATACTCATTTCACCTTTTCGGTGATCTCTGGCTCGAAGACCCTGTCCTGCATCTCAACGAGAATGATCTGGCTAAGTTGGAACATGTCATGCCCTACCTTCATCAACTGGAGACAGAATTTAAAGGTACGGCAATGGTGGCTGCCTTCCTAATTTTACTTGTATTATCCATGCTGATATGGCACCTAGCGAGACTTGCAAAAGCATCAAGAGACAACGATGGCAATGAAAGTTTTCGAGATCGATTTGATCTCATGGTTAAAGCCGAAACAACAGCATGGAAGCATTACGGCACCGTACGGGAAGCAACGTTCCTCATCCCGCCAAGCGGCTCTCTTTATTCACCTGTTGCATGCCACTTGCATTGCCCTTCATTCACAGTGATTGATCCATACAGCCAAGAAACTGCAGATGAATCAAATGTCTGCATTAAGCAACTGATAGACATCGGTTTCTCTCCTGATCGATGCTTGTTGTACGACCATCTCTCTAGGCGCGAAGCGCTTGATGGGTTTCAGTTCTGATGGGTTTCAGTTCTACCCAGCTGATATTCTCCGTATCCATGAATCTTTCACCTTAGAACTTAGAAGCCGAATGTCCGCCATTGTGGATATATGTTGGGGGGCCTGTGTACGAGATCGCATGCAGAAACTTTATAACTTGACACCATTTAAGCTGTAGGGAGCTTTTAAGGGTGTCGAAATATGGTTGGAATGGGAGCAGACTAATCATTCTGATGATGGTATTTGGAAGGTTATTCGGTTTGTTACCTTTGTCAATCATCCGCAGCGAATGTTGTACGGTTCGCGAGAAAAAAGAGGTCGCATGCAAGATCTGCACTCGACGGCAGCATCCAGACTTGCCGGAATGTCTATTGACGAACAATTCTACACTAAAACCCATAGAATAGGAACCTATGGGAGGCTTACTACATGGCAGTACAAGAGGCAGCAAAGCATGAACGCTTCCGCAATCGCCGAAATCTCTAGTTGCACGCCATTCATATTAAATACAAATATGCCAAACATAGAAACATCTTTACCGGCCAGTTTCACCGAATTTAGACAAACATTGGAGGTGCCAAGAGATCATAAAATGGACGATTTCTTTCAGGTAAGTCTAGTTATTTTACCACCCTATGACCCTTGGTTAATTTGATCTTATAGAATATAAAACGAGAACCGCTTGCGCTATTTCCCGAACTCGGAAAACCGACGGACCACAAAGGCCTGTACCACCTGGCATCCGCACTCGTATTCAATGGCGCCGATTTAGGGCAAGCGCTTTTGATATGTGGACTGAGCTACTCTAATATTGCCCATTGCGAAGAGTTCCTAGATTGGAATGATATCCCTGTTCAGCTTCGAGTTTGGATTGAGAATCAACGTGGATTGAAAATTAATATGAAGGCTGTCGAAAGTATAGACGACCTTCAGAGAGTACACAGATTGCTTTGTCGAACACAGCCGAAAGTGACTCTCCAAAGCCATGGGGCTATTGGCGTTGCTTTAGATATCGCCATACGATATTTCAAACAAATCGAGCACATAGGGCAAGATGAAAGTAAGATTGCAGATCTGGTCTTCGAAAATCCTTCCTTGTGCGAAGCCATGCCTCGAAAATGTGGGCTTTGCAATCAGAGTATTCTTGATGATGCCTTTCCTCGGTTTAAAAGGCTTGATCCTCAAAGATATGTGCTTCGATTCCTCCAAAATGGGTGCGGACTCCCAGGCTGCCCAGGTAACCAGCTGGGTGCCTGGGCCATACCAGCAGACCCCTCGGTGAAGTACACTCGACCAGACCGGAACAAGCTCGTCGCTCTCCCAAGAAAATCAAACTGGGAGGCATATTTTCTACGGAATGGTGTAGAAAATGAATCTCTTCCTGATAATGTGACGCTTGTGTGTTGCCGCTGTCGTACGCAATTGTTTGACGATACCGAGCCGCGCTGGACAAGGGAGTCCACCCCTCGCTATGTTCTACGGCGACCCAATTGCAAGACCTGCAATAAGAAGAACATTAATTGGTCACCACAAAATACTTCGATTCCTTGGGTAGACTCGTCAAAACTTTCGCGGAAGTGGGCAAGCCTCTTGAAACAACCCGCGTTTGATCCAGAAGATGTTGTCAAGAATCCAGACTGGTATTTTCCAACGGCTGAAGCGCAAAAGGCAGATCATCAATGAGTAGACGTCCGGCAAAAAAAGAGAACTCTACTTTCCTCTAACGATTCCTTGCGTATTGGTAGCTCAACAGCATGCAGGGCTCCCGTCACTACATTGGTGATAATCATTAGATCGTAGCGGTTGAAAATCGTCAATGGAGCTTGAAATGTTATAACCAGACTCGTCTCGTTGTCACGACACTCACCTGATGGCCAATTTCAGTTTCACGAGGTAAGGATATCTTGTGGAGTCGAAAGTGTTAACTCCTTTCGCTTTACAATTCTCAGGATATCGCTGTTGAATATATCGATTTTCTTCTCTACACTCATTTCACAAACTTAAGTAGCTGGGTATCAAGGCCTACATTATATAAAAGAAAATTCTTGTCAATTTGGCTCGTAATTTGTATCTCTTGCTACTGGCATTTTGACTCCCACTTATAGCCTTATGTTGATCTGTACATCGCCACAAGACATTGGTGTACGCGCTTTCCCGTATCCTACTTACTATTGTATCACTGATACGTCTCCACAAAGTCGTAAATCTTGCAGCCATATCCGCCATAGCTGCAAATCTGCTGCACCGCCAACCCGACATACATAATAATACTCTCAATCTCATTGTCCCAAGATGCTGCCGCAAATCCCAACTGCTTGCCAAGCTCGAAAAAGGCTTCAATGAAGTGGTTGGCGACAAGTTCTGTCTTCACAATTCCTTCTTGTGCCTCGTGGATATCGTTAGTGAGGGCAACACAAAGTGTAGGGACAGCCACAATGGCGGCGATGGTGCCCTTCCAGCGCTTGATGGTTGGCTGATCGGCCTTCTTCACCTTGGCGATGACGTTCGCCAGCGCTGCGGCGCCAAAATTGGAGACGGTGAGCCCCAGTTTCTGTATTATCGTTAGTAGGAAATACTGGGATTTCTTCATCAATTTCTTGAGGTAGACTTACAGAGTACTTGACAAACTTGGCTGTTGTAGAGGTATCAGTCGGCGGCTTTGTGGGATCCTCACCGACTGGCCAGGTGATGAACGTGGATATCGTCTCGAATGTCAGTGACGTTGCATTCAGCACATTGGTGAGCTGGGCAACGGGTCCGATCGGAACGCTTTCCAATCCGGTGCCTTCAAAGGCGCTGTCAATGAGAAGTGAAATGGTCTTGAACTCGCCGTACACCAACTCCAGACTCGTGGCCGTCGCCAGCGTGAAGTTGGTCACGTCTTTAGCGAGGGCAGGATCAGCTGTGCCCGAAACATACTGGCCGAAAGTATCGGCGGTCAGTCGACCCGTAAGCTTTGGAGGGGCCTTGTCTGCTTTGGCCTTGTAGAGAACTGTTGTAGGAATGGCCATGAGCAATGCGACCAGTCCCAGTAGAGAAAGGGGTCGGTTGCCGGCAATCTTCTTCCAGAGCCATCCAATAACGGGGATGTCCATGTTACTGTTGGCGAGGGTCTTGATCAAGTTGATACCCAAAGCCAAGGCCTTGAATAGGATGTCTCCAAGGGTCTTGAGAGAGTCGATTATGGCATCTATAAGATCTCCAGAGATCTTGACCATGAGAGCCTTGATATCATACTCCCCGCTGTCGAAAAAGTCGAGGAAATCTTTGGCGACGTTAGTGCAGAGTTTGACGATAGTGTCGAGCTCATCTTGGATATCGTCCCAAATAGCAACAAGGTCGTCTTCTGCCGAACCAGGAGTGCTATCATCAGTTAAGACGGCATTTGTAGTACCGCCACCATAGGTGAAATAATATGTCGACCAATTGTAGGCAACGTCCGACTTGACATCTTGGTCAGTCTCATCAGCATTAGACGCAGCAGTCATCTCAAGGGCGGCCTTTGACTTGACGCTCTTGGGAGCAGCAGAAGCGCCGTCGTAATCTTGATTCTGCAGCGTGGGTAATTGAGCTTTGATGGTGGTACGGAGCTCTTCCAGCCATGAGTCGACTGTGATCTCAGTAGTATCCAGAAGATGTTGTCCATAGTCCAGAGCTGCATTAAATCCGGCGGTAATGCTGTCGGCAGTGGCGAGAATGTCATCCCAATTGAACAAGTATCCCAAGAAGTCAATAACATCCTGCAACAGGACGCCCAGCTTCTTGAAGACCCAGACGACAGCCTTGACAATGACCGAAGCTGTATCCAAAATAAAGGAATAGACTTCGTCGCCAATCTTGATAATGAATTGCCAGACTTTGCCAGCAGCGTCCTCTGAAATGACAAATAAGTCAGTAAAGGCTGAAATTTGTACGGGAGTGAGATTTTGAGCCAGAGAGACATATACTTACCAACAAGGTTAACACCCCAATCAAAAGCATCTTCAACCTTGTCCTCAACCTCATGCCAGAAATCTTTGAGCGTGCCTCCAACAGAGAAAGCTCGTATGCCATGAGCAGTTTCTCCTCCGGAAGCAGCCACAAGGCTTACTGCCTTGAAGGATTTCAGCAACTGCTGGCTATCCCCTTGATTCTGGCGTGTCTGATCTACCAGGGCTTGAATCGATGCAGCAGCACTCTTGACATCATCATCCGAGGCATTGGATGGAATAAGAGGAGTACCATCTTGCTTCTTGAGGGCGCGAACATCTTCGGGAGTCTGAACATTGTCAAGCTTCATGATTACCTTCACCGAGGGATCCAAGAGCGGGTTCTGCAGAGGAGTCTCAGGAGACCCAGGTTTGGCAGCGCGGTAAGAGTCTGCTGAGAAAACGAAACAAGAAGCATCGTCGCTTTGAAGTTGAATGTTCAAAACTCCCTTGGCATCTGTCTGATACCATTGACCAGTAGGCCCAAGTGAAGCATACCGGCCATTGACGGTACATCGTACAACACCGGAAGCGCTGACTCTGAGCCAGCATCCAGGAATGAGACTGGCTTCATCGCTAGTGGTGGCTGTAGCATGCATCCGCAGCATGAATCCCTTAGTCTCAATGACATTCAAGTCTGACGCATACCAGAAGGGGTATGTTTGCCACAGCTGTGACACCGAATCTTGTTGCAAGAGGACCAGGTTACCATACTCATCCACGGATAGCAAGCTGCTGACAAGTGTTTGATCTGAACCGTCAGCAGACTTCAGAGAAAGTAGACCAGAGATTTGGCCGCCTTTTCCTTCCGAGAGAAGAGGAATCACAGTTCCATTGGAAAGGGCTGTGCTTTGTGCTGTATAATAGTGAACGGCGTCTGTGTTGGTCGTGTACCAAAATCTCAAAGTCTGTCCGGACAAGGTGACATGGAGGTCCTTGAGACCGCTGACTTGATCTCCCGTGTTGATAACAGTTCCCTTGCCTTTGGCAGAGCAGTACTCGCTTGACTTGAAGGCCGTGATGATTTGACCTCCAATGAGGAGGATGCTCTGATGCGACGTAGGATCCACATATGAATTAATGCAGGTTGCGCCTATGAGACAAATTGGTTAGCATTCATTTCTACATAGTGTGCATGTAATGTGAGAGTTGTGACGTACCGGTAGGGCAGATTGGCTCCACGACCATGGTGCTGCCAGTGAAGAACTTGAACTGAATGTGTGTAGGCCCGCTGAAGGTTTCGTACAAGACAAATACACCGTCTCCGAGAGCGCAGGTTCCCAAAGCAACGCCTATAATTCTTTTGGGGTTCGCAGCCAAGGACCATGGACCCAATAACGTCGCCTGGTTCTGAATGAATTGGACAAAGCGCAGATCTTCTGTGCTGGCGAGTCTGTCTGGGCGTTGGAATGCTACCATAACTAAAGGTAAAGTGCGTTTTGTATCCGTAGATTTATTATTCTATCACAACAGTGTTAACATCGTGCTCTAGGCCTTTGGGTATCCAATAGTGTAAAACTCAACATACCATGTAAATGTGGTCAACTGTAGGAAAGGAAGCTCCACGAATAATCTTGGAGCTTGGAATGGGACCTCGAAGTTCAGCAAATGTGACACCGTAGAGCAACGTAAAGGAAGATGTGGTAGCGGTGGCTCCAGGAGTGGCAATGCAAATATCAAGTGTAGAATCCGGTGCTTGAACAACAGCAAAGGCCTGAACCTTGCCACCGCTGGGAACAATGCCAGATACGCTTCCAAAGTCAATTTTGGTGGCTTTGCCATTGATGACAGTGATCAAGTAAAGATAAGAGTCTTCACTCAGGGAGAAGACACCTGGATCCATGTTGGCATCTCTGAAAACTGCAAAATGCTGGCCGGCTGGGATGGGGTTGGCCGAGACATAGTTTGTCATCAGCTCCGAGTCTTGTTTGATGATCACCATTGTGAAAGAGTGATGGGATGAAAATATGAGTTTGTAGGATGTTTCTTTGTAGAGCTGCTAATGAAGAACTGGTGAGTGAATGATTTGATGAATCTAGACATGAAAGACTTGACATATATATATATATATATCCACATATATGAGAGCGTCGTGAGTTTGGGTTGCCTCCCCCGCCAATATCAAGGCCGATGACTTTATTGCTGCTATTACAACCACCACACCCCAGCCAGCGGTGCCACCGATGAGTTGATATGATGTAAATCATGGCTTTTCGATGGTTTCTCTTCAAAGACCCAATTGCGTCTTCGGCTGTCGATGCCAAGACGACAAACTCGGGTCATCGGCATCCGAATCATCGTTTAGTTGATGCAAATACGGCAATACGAGCCCACTCCGGTACTTCTATGACAAGCGAAAATGTGCTGGGTTCACGATGCAACATGCAAGGCTGATATGAGCGGTATAGCCGCTGCAGCCTTTCTTGTTATTTGGGTGTCTCGTGCTGATGCATTCACACCCAGTCAATATTGAATCCATCCTAGAAAGCAGTTATGATGCATGCCTATAAGCTTACCTTTAATTTTCAGGGTGCATGGCAAGACAGGTTAGCGGACATTCGTATCATCCCTGCATTACCACCCTACCGTTTAACTCTGCCGGCGGTTAAACAAAAAGTGATCACATAGCTGCATATTCCCGTTGGCTGCCGATCTGTGGTTGGCCAGAATTGTCACAAGGCTGTGTCAACAAATCGAAGCTGAATGTAAGAAAATAGCGTTCCAGAATAGTCACCAGGGCTTGCGGGTTCCAGACTATCGTGTTCTGTTTGCTTGATTACCCGATTAGGAAACCTTTTGAAGTTGACGGGAAATGATATCATAGTCTTTGTTTTGGAGGTATCAGAACTTCATATGCGGAATTTGATATTTAAGTTCTCTTTTCGCTGATGATTGAAATATCAACAACAAGCGATCATAGCTAGAAAAACAAGCATCTATAAGCAATTTCTTCTACTGATTCTCTTCACAACCTTATTTCCAAAGCATCATATCTCAATACACCGGCAAAATGACAAGCTACATCAACTCCACTGATTCAAACCCCTGGGATCAGATGATTGTTCTTTCCCAGAAGGTCATCAATGAATCCTTTCAGAACATGTGGGAGGTTGCTCAGCTTGATGGTGATTCACCTCTCACTCACTACGAGCGCACTACTAGAGGTGGAGAATATCTCAAGTTTGATGTCGGTGCCCCCTCTGTGGAATTGCAGGTTGTCCCCAAGGATGAATTGCTTTTCTTCAAGCTACATATGACAAGCGGATCTTGTTTCATCTACCTGAGCGATGACTCGAATGATGATAGTCATATCGACTGGCAGATAAACGACTGGGTTTTTGCTTTTTCGGTTAGCATTGGTAAGCTCATTCCTTTCTTCATATAATTTGGTGCATCGTATACTTACAATATCCTTAGCGCAAAAGACGGTTGAAAAAGAAAGCCAAGAGTACAAGGACTTCAAGAACCGTTCTGGGCTCCTTAACTGGGACTTTTCGTTGGCATGCCTCTTTATTGATACTTCTTGTAAGTTGTGTTTTGATATATTCTTCTCTCATAGCAAGTAACTAATTCTAACTGTTGTTCTCTAGCGTCTACCAAGTTTTCGGAGGAGCTGAGCTCTTTCGGCGACAGACAGTCAGATTACAATACCCTCATGACTGCCAGATCGAAGGGCGTCTTCCAGTCGTTCGTTAGTGAGTGGGTTAATGTAATGGCAGCGTCAGGATGCAACATCTTGGGTTACTCTGCACAGGCCAGTGCCGACACAAGTGGTATGCTCTCCTTCTCCCCCCTTGGCAGGTATATTCAGGAACATTGGCGCTCTAACCTCCTACACGCTGTCTATAGACCAGTATCAACCCACCTTCCCGCCTACTCTTATGGACTATGATACCTACCCTTGGAAGGCTACTCCAACTTCGGCGAACCAAGACAACCTCGACACCAATTCTCTGTGCTATCTCATGATGTCCAACTTCACCGTGCCTGCAACTGACGCGGTAACCTACAGCGGCCAGTGGACAGATGACCAGCACGGCGGTACTTATGTTCTGAATCGTTCCCTCTTCTGGCCCTGGATGTTTACCGTGCTTCGGGACGTGGTCAAATCCATGGTCCCTGTTCCAGATGTCCCAACGCTCTATTGGGACAACACTGACCCAAACCACCCATATGCGTCTCGAATGGAATATCACTTTGGAGATAACACGGCTAGCGATGACAGCTATAAATTTGTCTCAACTGGCCCTGGTCAATGGTCTTGGACCGGTGTTCCCCTCAGCCAGTCCAACAAGGTCGCTAATCCAAATGATAGCAGTGATTACGAAACCATTGTTGAATCTACCAATGTTCCTAAGCCTGGTGCTCGTAAGTGCAGCGTGCCACCCAAAGAATACTTAACACAAGATACATACACTAAGACAAGGTTGATAGCCCCTGTCAGCGGCGGCACTCTCAGTTTTACCGCCGGCCAAGAACAGATCAGCCTGACTGGCAAGTCTACTTTTGTTGTCCGAGTAGACCACAGCAGGAAGAAGAATCCCACATAGTACGTTGAGGCTTCCTGGACTTCTGAGGATGCACTCATTTATCCAGATGTGGATCAATTGGCTAATACTACACTAGCACCCTAATGACTTTTGTCTTGACTTGGAGCGTTTCTATTGCTGTGGCCGCGGTTACTGATGGCGGAGTTCAATTCACCATTATAAATCACACCGTGGACACCGAACCGACGTCGGAGGGCAACCTGTCCTGGGTACCATCAGCGGATGTTGTGGCATCCAATCTCAAGACTCAGATGAGCAACAGTCTCACCAATGCGGCTGCGAATGCTAATACCAACTTGATGAACGTTCTCGCGAACCAGCACCGCCTGTATCTCCCGGCCAAGGGGCATTTCCTTATGCATGACCCTGTTTTCAACAGCAAGGGCGACCTTTTGGTTGGACTGGATTATAATGGGTAAGAAGATAAAAAAAAAAAAAAAAAATACCCTACCCAATCGAACATGATAGAGTGCGAATTCTAACCATTTTCTCAGGGCTGACGCACCACCACCGCCGGCTAAGAAATAGATATGAAGTTAGAAGGGACCCGGAATGGGCTCGTTGAATAGCAGTGGGCGCAACGACACTGCTGTAAATGCCCTTTTCTACTTTGAAGTCTGTTTCTTGCTTCACATATATTGACTTTTCTTTCTCTTTGTTGTTTAGTATGGGGAAGCAATCTTTCATAATAAACCTTGAATATGTTTGTGATTTACTACTATATAGAAAATTGACATTTGTTGTCTGAGAATAAGGTGCCTCTTAATACTATCTAGCGCAATATTCAGATTGAATGGAAGTAAGAGTCAAAACACTAGCAGCCTGAAAGCCTATTGTAACCTTGCATGGAGAGAGCAATCGGGCTGTAAGTTATGAACTGAAGCGAAAGAGGCAGCGATTTCTTGATGCAGAGTATTGAGCTTGCCTGTGCCGCTTGTGAAAGAAAGAATTGATGAACTAAATTTTGACCGTCTGTCTCCAACAAAGACGCTAAGGCGGGTTGGTGGAGTGGTCTAACACGTGCGACTCAAGATAATATCTTGATCCTTCAAAAGGATTTCGCATCTCGCAAGAGGCGTGGGTTCGAATCCCACACCCGTCAGTCTTTCTTTTTTTCCATCTCGCATTAATTTTTTTTTGTCTTAACTAGCCTTCCCTAATTATCCAGCTACATCTCAAGGAGTATGTGGATTGCTTGCTTACACTAATTTGGCTCTTCGCGCATCCTTCTCCGTCAATGCCCGAAGCCCACTGATCACTCAAGTCAAGTCATGAACCAGATGTGGGTTTCCGACTCCTTAGGAATATAGCACTGTCGGCGATGAGAAAGAGAGCGCGTACGCGACAGCATTAACAAGTGTAGTCGCTTTGGTATTATTCAGTTATTTGAAGTAAATGCTGAGAGCCAGCGGACTGCGTCATCTCATTAGCTGTCTACATACAGTTCATTCGTCTTTCTGAGGCTGATGTGAACCAATCGCATTACACCATTTCGAAGGGAAGGTATCTTATTGCGCTTAAGGCCGGAAATGCAACACTCGTATGCTGCCAAGTAGACAAAAATGAAAGAGATAGTAATCCAGTTAAAATTGGTAACAGTTTTCCCATGGGTCTCTCCAAGTTTGAAAGGAAATTCACCCCTGTATCTTGTCAGTTGATCCACAGGTGGTGTTTTGACCCCAATTCACATCATAGAGGAGCTTGGGGTAGATTGAATGTACCCCAACTACATGGATATTGAAGACTTATAAATGCAAGTGAGTGTCGTTGTATAATCGGATCAAATCAAATCATTTCACTCATATTTGGCTTTCGGTCTTTTTATCGCCTTCTTTACTGCACAATGGCTCTACGGGCTGCTTCTTTGTTCGCTCTTTGTGGCGTTTCCTTAGCCTCATCATCAGCGCCATCAGTTAAATCCGTCAGAACTCTATTCGAATTCCCCAAACAATCTTACATCGAGAACCTCGCAGTTCGAAGCAATGGCCAGATTCTCATCTCAGATCTCAGCACATCACAACTTTATCTCTTCGACCCTTCAGTACCCGGGCCAAGTCAGCCTGTTGTTGTTCATGACTTCACCGAATCTCTTGGCCTCGCGGGCATCGCAGAGTACCAGCCAGACGTATTTGCCGTGATTTCGGGTAATTCTTCATTTACCAGCGACATTCCTAGTGCTGGAACATGGAATGTTTGGAGTGTAGACCTACGAGGCGTTGGGATCTCCTCGTCACATGGCAAGCCAGGGCTCACATCTCCCCCTGTGGTGAAGAATATTGCACATGTTAAGCCAGCTCAATTTCTCAATGGCATTTCAGTGCTCTCCCAAAAGGATCAAACTCTTCTCGTTGGCGATGTGAATGGTGGTGTTATCTGGAACTTGGACATCAAGACGGGACATTACGAGGTTGCTATTAACAATACATTCACACAGCTCTATGCATCACCACCTTTTTCAGCATCAGGAGTAGATGGAGTTCATGTTCGTGGCAACTCAGTTTACTTTACAAACTTTGGAAACGGTACTTTCAATAAGATGCCCATCAACTCGGACGGCACCTCTGCAGGGCCTGTTACGACAATTGCACATATCAAGGGGCCATTGGACCAGTACGACGACTTTACGTTTGACTGTGATGGCAATGCTTTTGTGGTGACGGGAGGCGGAAATACTATCGAGCTGATTTCAGCTGATGGCAAGCGCCAAGTTTATTTTGCTGGCAACCTCAACTCTACTGCGATTGCCGAGCCAACGTCTTGCGCATTTGGTCGTGGCCCGCACGACAAGAATGTCCTCTATGTTGTTACGGCTGGTGGAATGGAAACGCCAGTAAATGGAGACATTGTAATTGGTGGACAACTCGTTGCGATCAACACTACCTCGAGGGGATCTGCATGCTAAACTCTGGCAATATTCTTGTTTCGGTAGATAGGAGTAGCTCCAAAGCTAGTATTGAGTAATAAACTTGCCATCGTGTCAGACAAGATGTATCTCCAACTTTATCTCTTTGTCCTACGTTTGCATCAAGATGAAGACGGAGAAAAATCCAACGTCCATTGTACGTGTTTTCTCTCATTTGTTGACCGGCAGCTAGAACTTTCTGATCTGCAGCAAGCACGTATTCAAGCATCATCCAAGTAAATGTGAGATTCACAAGAAAGAAATTGTGCGCAATGATGAAGTATCTTTAGTCTATTCACCAAGAGCTGACGTGACGGAAATCGACAGAGAGCTTCCCAAATCTATGGTCTGTAGCACGAATCACTGCGGCCTTGGCCGTTATCAACGCATCTTTCACCACAGTACTCAACAAAATGGATTTCTCCATTTGGTCCACCTGCGCAATAGAATAGCGACTTTTTCCTCCAGTTGTCATCTGTGGGCTTGCCAGCTGCTCTAAGGGCGCTCACTATCTGGTCATAGTAGTTGCCTTTTCTTTGTTAGAACAAGCAGCTTAATACCCGGAGCTTTTCTACATTCTCACCGATGCCTAGAAGAGTAGATCCACAGTAATCGAGATTCTTGCTGCAGTTTCTCGCTGTGGCGAAAGGGACGAGAGTGGCTAGAGCTGCGACAGATGCAACTGTGAAGCGCATGGTGACGGTGGATTAAGTCTGCAAAGCCTTGATATAAAATCTTGAAATTCGCAGAGAAACAGTGTAAAAGAAGAGAGATCCACGGATTTTCGAATTTTGACCGCGGAAATGGCTGGTTTAAATGTTCAAGTCTCTGAAACTTTTCTCATTCTCGAAAGCTATGGCAGCGGCGACGCGAAACATCATATGAGAAGATCTCACATATGTCTCGTATAAGATAACAGTTATATGAAAGCTGGAAGGATATGGAATGCAGGCCTTCGGGCATCTAAACATGTATCCACACAGCAACGCCACCGAGTACGAATATTGCAAGTATTGCGAGTGATATTTTTAGGGATATTTAATATTACTCCTCTTTCAAGTCCTTCTGCCGTACGTGATGGGTTATTTTTCGCCACCTTTGATCTCTTTCCCTTTTGTCAGAAGAATATGAAAGAATGTGATGCATACTCTCAGCGACATGTCTTATTGAGTCGCAGACAGTCTACGAGCGTTGATTGCTTGGCATGGGACGCCGCGGAAATAAACAGCCACCTTAATTCTGTTAACAATTGATCGCAAACTTCTTAGGAATATATTTTGAGTATAACTATCGAGACGTATCGCCTTGGGGATGTACATAGCTACGCATTCTATCTACTCTACGGCACCTTTGACATGCAGATAATGCTTCAAATTGATAGATAGTCTTTTTTAAAAGTAAATCTCAGACCCTCACTGCCAGCCTGATGAGTTTGACCTTTGATAGTCAAATGAAGTCTGTTATTCTGGGGTAAATCACCGACTAACAGCTCACTACAATGGATAGAGCGACGTGCCGACGACGGGTAGATGTTTGAGTGAGCCGGGTGCAGCCGATGTCTTGGACCTTTGCGTCCGATGTCCACTTTACAGAAAATGAAACTTCCATCTCGGTTGGACAAAATGTGAGTGGCATATCGGTTGGCCATACCTACAGAACGTAGTTCACCTATGCCTCATGTACCACTTACACCACACGGACGGAGGGTTTTGTATGGGCTATCTGCCTTTATGTGCTACATCTCTCGTCGTATAATTTGTGTAGTGAGAATAGTCAATTATATGTCGGTAGGAGAAACCCTCCGAAAAGAAAATTCCTAAGAAATAAAAAATGACGTTGTTTAGTGGCACCACTTGAAGTATCGGAATGATGGTGTGGAGATCTCTGAAGTATGAGGGGGTTGGCATGCGCAATGCAGCCATCGTCGTCCTATGAAAACAAGAAAAAGCAGCGCCCTCTTGCTAAATAGGTTAAGCGATGCGTCTGAACTTGAGCTGAACGATTGAGCCGGTAACAAACAGGGCGAAAAAGTAGCGCTGGTGTTGGTCGATGCACCCCTCAGAGTTAAGGAAGAGAGCGTACTATTCGACGTTTGTGATCCGCTTCAGCTTGAAGGTTTCTTTTTGAAGAGCTGACAAAAAGAAACATTTTCTGTCGTCATAGACGACCCTCAAACAGTTACAACGTATTCTATCCATTGGCAACTGGAATAGTTTGATGTCGCCCTCTTGGAGAATTGCGTTCTTTTAGATATTGCTACAGCTAGTCACACCAGTTGGACATAATTGAGCTTTACCCAGTTCCATCCAATATATATGTGAAATTTCGGGAGAGTGATCATGAATATTCTCGGAAGTCATCTTCTGGAGTGTACCAATAATGATACTATCTTGCCGGAAGCCCCCGAAGATTTTGCTCAGCTCCCCCAAATATTCTTCGCTGTTGCTATACGAGCCGTCTTCTAATTTGAGAATAAGTCACACGCTATTGTCTCTCCGCTGGCCTATAGTCTCTTCCATCAACGTGCCATCAGTTCAGCTTCATCCGCGCTAAATTGCTAATGCCATTCATATTCCTGGTTCTTGAATAGACTTTCTGCCACAAACCATACCTTTCTATTATTTGCTAAAATTAAGGTTAATTTTGACAGCCACCCCGCTGATTGCTTCGACGTTCTAGCTTAGCTTGGCGTCATAACTCGTGGCAGTTTAACCTAGTTCAATCAGCTCCTGGAAAGCTCGGCAACTACTGCATATGTATCTCTTTATCTCTATAAGAATGATCGCTCGCGTTCTACTGATATTCTGTTTTTCTGGATTACCACTAAAAGTTAATTGTTATTCTTGAGTCTTTAATACCTATCTACCCATCAAAGTTTTACAATGTCTGAAGTCACCAATCGTAACGATGTTCGAGCCGCAAATGCCGCCGGAGGTTGGACTATTGTCTATGGAGATCTCATTAACGAAGCGGATGTAGTTGAGCTAATTATATCTGTTCCCACTGGCACTGTAGCTGGTTGGGTCTCCGACCAAGTGGACGCACAGGTGCAAAAGTTTAACCAAAGCCTAGCCACCATCTCTGACGATGTTGTCAAAGAAGCAACAGAATTTCTCAAAAGTCTTCTTCAAGGAAAAAGATCCGGGGAGCGAGACATCAATGGATTGGGAGTCAAAGCAGGAATTGTCACGTACCACCGCAAACTTAAGACGCCTTTTGGTTCTACACCGCTACCAAACAACCATCAACCATACATTGGTATACGAATTACCAAGCCCCTGCCACCAAAAGGAGCGGCTACTGCAATTCCAGTGCCACCAAGTGCGCAGCCGGGTACACAACAGCCTACGCAATCGAGAGTGCCATCGAATGGCTTAGACAGCAGATCTTGGTACAGGATCACGAATTCAGCGAGGCCCGGAATGGCAATTGATGTCGTCAATGATGGTAATAAACAGCAAGATGGTCAAGTGCAAATGGCCGCCGAGGGGAATTTCAGCGGACAACATTGGCAGCTTCGTCCTTCTAGAACCAATCCCGGAGCCTATAATCTGTGTAATATGTGGCTCGGAAGTGACAAGTGCTTGGACGTGTATGGCAATGACAAAACACGACCACATCTAGCCACAGCTGGTAACTACTCGGGACAGCAATGGCGCGTCGAACAACAGGGGAATGGAACTTGGAAGATGTCGAACTCATATTCTGGGCCACTGGCTTTGTCGGCTGATGCTTATGGAGCAGAGCTATCCCTTAAAGATCCCCAGCTTTCTCCTGCAATGTCGTGGACCTTGCAGCCTATTAAGCCAATCACGGAGGTTGGCTTTTAATGCTTGTGGTATCTCGATATTAATTGCCTGCCTATGTAGTTAATGTAAAAGCTGTATCCTTTGATGAACCCTTGTCACATCTATCTATGCCCTACAAAAGGACATAAAACGAATTCTCAATGATCATATCATCCGCAGTCTCTATTGGTTGGCATTTTGCTTGAGCTTCAGATATTGTGCGAGCAGCTCTCTTATGGTTTGTTCGAAGCCAATAAACTTCCACCCGAATGCCTTTTCTGTAGCATCGCCATCCAGTCGCCACTTGATACAAGGTAGCGTGCCCTCAAGCGGCAGCAGTTTACTTTGCACTTCTCCCGGGAAATACTTCTTAGCAACCGCTGCAACATCTCTATCCCATACCACGCCTTCAGGGGTGTCAGAGCTAAGGATGTACTCGGTATTTCCTGGAATTCGAGCGCTGTCCACTGCATCGACGTGGGCGCGTGCAACGTCAGCAACGTGAACAGGCACGCCGACGAACGGAAATGATGAGTTCGTAGAGCCGTCAAGTGCTGGGGCAAGGACTGCAGCTCGGTTATCCTTCAATAGCTCATCTACAGAGCCACTTGGAGGAATTCGCTCATCCGGACCAAACACCACAGAGGGAAGCAGATGAACAAAGTCAAAATGAGGCTTCTTTTTCTCAATAAAGTCCCGCGTAGCAATTCTCGAGTATGCCTTTGAAGCCCAGTAGGCTTCCATGGCACTGCCATATGGCTTTTGAGGATCCGAATTTATATCCGATGCTGCTCATCGATTATTAGAAAAGTTAAACCATAGGGATGCACCATGTCTCTTACCGGAGTACAGTCTCACACTGTCGGGAGCCATGTTCCATTCGAAAGGAATCAAGGTGACGCCTGTGCTGTGTGAGTTGCATGCTGTTTTGCGTGCTCGGAGGACTTACATGAGGAAGTGATGACAATTCTTCGGACGGAGGGGACATTGGCGGCTGCTTCCAAGACCGTGGTTACCATGGATATCGCAGGACTTATTATGTCTCTTTCGTAATCATCACTCTAATTAACAAGATTAGTTTCTAAAGGTCATCATACATGCTAAAGATTGAAGCACCTACTTCATGTGCCAGCGGGGATGCGATGTGGATAATACTCGTGATGCCATCTAAAACAACACGCCAATTGTCACATGCCAAGAAATCAGGAATCACGACAAAGTCTAAGATCCCTTTCTTATGGCCTTCGTAAATCAGGGAGTTTTTGCCCGCAAGTTGTGAGATACTTTGCTCATTTCGAACGACGGCGCGAATGGCATAGCCTCTTTCGAGAGCGATAAGCAGAGACTTGAAACCAATGAAGCCAGTGACTCCGGTTATCTAGGTGTGTTAGCTAAAGAGTTATGAAGTTTTAACTTTTTCAAGTTGAACTTCTCACCAGCAGCTTTTGTGAAGTAATGTCATGTTTTGCAGAGCTCATCTTGAAGATCCGGTAGAGAAAGGAATTGAGATTGACTTGAATGTGCTACAAAACAGCAGAAACTGTCCATCTTTTATAGACAGAGCCATGACTATATAAGTTCATATTAACTTGCACTTACTAAGAGCACCGAAATCAGTTTACTTGGCTGATTACACCGTCTGATTCTATGTGAATTACACTTGGTACGGAACGTTTAGACGTTCACAGCATCTCGTTGCGGAATTCCGTTGCGGAACTCCGCGCTGAGAGAATCTTCCAGCTGTAATTTTTAGTGACTTCAGTGACTTCATCCATCACTAACAGCGATTTCTCTCGGCGGACAAGACCCACATTTATCCACCAAAGCCAATTGCCCATTGCGCACTCTTATTGGCCGGCGATAAGCCGATAACGATATCCCTGCCAAAAAGTTTCGGCGCAAAGAAAAAGTTGCGACACGCATCACCAGCATCGTTGCGGAAGCAGCAACAAAAACTACGTCCTCCAATCAGATAATTCACAGCCTCAAAGATGGACAAGCGAAAAGACAAGAAGAAGAATGGCGGCGCAGCGCCCCAGGCGCGAATCACCGATGCGCGATTCGCCAGCTTCCAAACCGATCCTCGATTCCGGCTACCGTCGAAAAAGAACATGAAGACGACTGTCGACAAGCGATTCGCGGGCATGCTCAAGGACAATGACTTTACGGCCACCGCTCGAGTAGACAAATACGGACGCAAGATCAAGTCGGATTCTAAGAAGAAGGCCCTGGAAAGACTCTACCAGCTGGAAGACGAGGAGGAAGACGAAGAAGACGACTCCGATGAAGAAGAGGCCGACAAGCCAGCAAGGGGCAAGAAGGACGATGACGAAGACGATGAAGACGATGAAGACGAAGATGAGGAAGAAGAAGAAGAAGAAGAAGACGACTTTGAGGTTGACGATGATGAGGTTGAAAGAGAGCTACTGGCTGCTGGGAGACCTCGGAAATTCGACCCCGCGCGAGAGGGAGGCTTCTCCTCCTCCGAGGACTCAGATTCCGATGATGACTCCGAAGAAGACGAAGAGCTGGATCTTGCAACCGGCGGCGATATGCAGCGACTAGAGCGAGAGGAGATCCAGACCGGAGAAGTAACGAATCGGATAGCCATTGTCAACCTCGACTGGGACCACGTCAAATCAACGGATCTGATGGCCTTGTTCACCAGCTTTATTCCTACCAACGACCCTGGCAAAGTACTCAATGTTGCCGTATACCCAAGCGAATTTGGAAAAGAGCGTATGCAACAAGAAGAAATTGAAGGCCCACCTAGACAGCTCTTTAAGAAGGGAAAGAAGGACGTTGAGTCCGATGACGAGAGTGCGTCCGACAGCGAAGCCGAAGAGGCTGCTATCAAGAAGAAGTTGATTCAAGAGGGCGACGATCAAGATTTTGATAGCGATGCTTTGAGAGCATATCAGCTTGACAGGTTACGGTACTACTATGCCATCATGACCTGCTCAAGTAAAACCACTGCTCAGGCTATCTACGAAGCAACCGACGGAACCGAGTATCAGGCATCATCCAATTTCATCGATCTGCGGTTCGTCCCGGATGATGTTACGTTTGATGACGAGCCCAGAGATGAATGCAGCAAAGTTCCCGAATCATATAAACCCATCGAGTTCGTCACCAATGCGCTACAGAGTTCAAAGGTGAAGCTCACCTGGGACATGCACCCTGAAGAGATCAGCCGCAAAGAATCCATCAAGCGAGCCTTCAAGGGAAGCAGAGCAGAGATTGACGAGCAAGATCTAAAAGCTTACCTCGCTGGTGACAGCGACAGCGAAGATGACGACGACGAGGGAGATGCGGGCGAAGCAGCTGCTGACGATGAACCCAAGCTGACCAAGAAAGAATTGGCTCGGCAAAAGATGCGTGAGGCTCTTGGTCTCGCAGCTGAGCCAGAATCCAAAAAATCCAAGGATGCTCCTGTGGGCGAGATGGAAGTCACCTTCACCCCAGCTCTATCAGGCGAGAAAGCTAAGAAGGACGAAAAAGAAGAAACCACAATCGAGAAATACGCCCGTAAGGAACGCGAGAGGAAAGAGAAGAAGCGACAAGCCGCCAAGGCCAAACGTGAAGCTCTCAATGACGATGACAGCGAAGCTGACGATGACGTCCACGTCGTCACTGGTGGTGGTGAAGATGACGACGAAGATCTTGGCTTTAATGACCCCTTCTTCACCACTGAAGACCCAGCCCCTACATCCAAAACATCCATCCGCAAGGAAGAGCGCCGCAAGAAGCGCGAGGCCCGCGAAGCCGCCGAAGCTCGTGACGCCGAAGAAAAAGCCCATCTGTCCAAGGTTATGGCTGAGAACACCAACGACAACCAGGTGGACCACCTTGATCACTTCGACATGAACGAGATTCTGCGTGCGGAGAAGCAAAAGGGCAAGAAGGCCAAGTACCAGAAGAAGAGCAAAGACGCTGCGGGCCTGCAGTCGGACTTCAAGATGGATGTCAAGGATGACCGTTTCAAGGCTGTGTTTGATAGCCATGAGTTTGCCATTGATCCTTCGAATCCCAAGTTCAAGGCCACGGAGGGAATGAAGGAGCTGTTGGAGGAGGGCCGGAAGAAGAGGAAGATAGGTGGTGGTACCGATGAGGAGGAGAGACCGCGTCAAAAGAAGAGCAAGAAGGGAAGACGATGAACACTTACTGTTGGAAACGTGTATGAGGCGGATATCTTCGTCAAATAAAAGGGAGTTGGTTTCTGTCTATTAATTTTTGTATAATTCATCCTTGTTCGATCATGCCTATACAGAGTATATAGCCAATGATGAAAAGAACGCTGATTAAAATTCCATCCTCCATTGAAGCGTATTACTTATTGTAATGAATATATATAACAGCCATATGCTCCTTATGGTAACCTGCTGCCAACGCAGCCACAAAGAAAAGAAGAGTCCAAGCACACACATATTATACACGTTTTGACAATCTCCTCCTCTATAACTCTAATGGTATATTGTGTGTACGCGCAATTAGAATGAAGAACTGATTCACTCCGCATCATAGGGCTTCTGGCCGCTCCAGAAATGCATCTTGCCGTACGCGTGGACTTTGGGGTCACGCATAGCCTGACGACACTGCATGAAGAAGATTTCCATTTCTGCCTTTTCCCATCCGAGCATGGGGAAATGAATAGCTCCCACCGCTGGGAAGAAGTCTTCGCAGGCTGTGCGATAATACATACCAACGAGACGCTTAACCCTAGCAGGACAGAGTTAGTTAATCCGTGTCCAAGGAGAGGGAGATTGCATATGCGGATGTAGAAATAATAGGACACATAGAAAGCAACCAAATGAATGGAGGGCTTTACTTACTTGTCTTTCGGCCATGTGCCATAGGGGAGCTTGATATAATTGTGTTGGATGTTGACAAAGCCTGCCTCAGCCAAGTACTGCCTCCCAAAGACAGCGGCGTGGGCATTTGTACCAAATTTTGCAAACGCCTCAAGCATGTACTCAGTGAATTTCTTGAGAGGCCAGTCGTCTGGGATCGTGTTGTCGTCAGAGTGTACATCTCCATCAACGTCTTGTAGCTCGACCCAACCACCTGGCTTCATATGGCTATTTCTAGTCAGAAAGATTCTCTTGAGAGCAGAAATGGCGCTCCAGTGGGCCGGAGCTTACTCGTATGCTTGCTTGAGCAGACCAACGGGTGATTTCATGACGGGTATCATGTTGCGTAGGTGCACAAAGTCCCAGTTGTCACCGTTGAGCCAGTCTGCTTCGACATCGTCGACGAGAAATGTGACATTGGCAGGCACCCAGGTAGGTTGGATAGGACTCAAGTCGAGTCCTAGAACCTCAGCGCCTGGATATCTGTCGCCCACTACCCACTCATGTTACTGTTTGGTCTTATGCATTCTGCGACAGAAACTTGTATACACGAGGATATAATTCAGACAAACAGCGACGTAATGAAAGACTTACTCTCAATAGCCCATAATCCGGTGCCGGTACCAAGATCAATAATCTTCTGCGGATGGTCCCCGATCGGGGCGTAGAATAGCTTGCCGTCTGTGGCCTCCAGCATCATCGTGTGCAGCATGTCCTCGCGGTTCTGTTCCGCCTCATCATTAGGGATCGGGTATCTGCCGTGTCGGTAACGGTGATACCGTCGGCCATTGACATAACTATGGTCATAAATGCTGGATCCTAAAGACGTAGAGTCGGATTGGTCGTTGATGGACTCGGCATCATATTCACTAGGTGAAAATTCGCCATCCTCATCACTGCCACCAGGCTCGATGACGGCATTGCCGTGTAAGTGCCCCAGATTCTCCGCCTCAGGCTCTTCATCTATAAGCAAGCTGGTTAATTACCTTGCCCCAAAGCGTGGATACAACAGGTCTCATTCAAATAACATGGGTTTCACAGCTTGGCTCGTTGGTATGCAAGTGAGGTACACAACAATTGTTGGGCACGGACTCACCCCGCGATTATTGAGACATGAGTGGCTAAGCTACAAAACTGCTCACCTAAATTTCCAGCAGGGCTTGACTTGCCGACAGGGCTCGATCGAGGAGCAGGCCCAACCAGGGAATCACTCCGGCTGGATCTCTTGCTCCCTGTAGGGCTCCCCATGACATATTCTAGCGGCGTAGGACTGATTATGCGAACCGGATCGTAGCTGCGACGAAAAAGAAGGGTTCTGATTGATGACGATCACGCGATCTGAGAATGTGACAGGTAGTAGCGGGGATGGGTGATGGCAGCGAGGATGTGGGCGAATTGGCCATGAAAGCACCGGCCCAAATCGATGCGGCCAAGATCGCAATGCCAACAGTGCTTAGCAGTGCCGAAGGCAACGCCAAGAGCACAGGCCTCAACAAATGATCATGCAAATCAAAGTAGAGCCTATGGTCTGGGAGAGGGCGCGATGTGGAAGAGGGGAGGGAGACGGCTTATTCCTGGAGAGCTGAAGCCGGGGCTGCAAGTGTTGCTGGGTTTTGCGTCGCCTTACTGGATTGCTGTTGGTCAACCCTGCATGTAATATGCATATCGCATGCATCTGCGGTAGTAGAGAGGGCGCGTGGCCCTCTGGCAAAGGTCAGGATATACAGTTGCACGCGTGCACGTTGTTACACTCGCATGCGGAGTCGATGGCTATCTAGATCGGGGCGCCCAGGGGCTGTCAGGCAGCCTTTGGATCCGTCGCAGCTCATTGGGATAGTAACAAGGCAATAAGGGTACTATGTGCCTCTCAAAATTCATGGTGCGGGAGACCACGAGGCTGTGTTACAAGGGATGGAATGAGACATTTGCTCTCCTGGCGGATTAAACCGCTCAGCCGCATATCTCGCTTACTCAGATGGCTTCAATTCCAGTAACAGGATTGGATATCAGCATAAGCCTCTGCAAATAGTTTTCTCTTGGTTTCGTAACGCACATGGTTCTTGGAGTATTTAGTGGCATAAAGGAACGCTTCATTGTTCAACGCGAGAGTGTCCTTGTCGACTAATACCCGATTGACAAGCAGCAATGAATGTGACATCGCTCGATAGATCTCACTCTCTTTGGTGAATAAGAGGGACAGTTCATTTCGATTTGCGTCCACATGAGTCTTCCAATTCATGGAAACAGTAATTCTGCCAACAAATTATTAGCAGAGGAATTCAAGCCGCTCTGTGCCTACCTATGTACTTACATTCCCATCAATTTCCACCAGGCACTCCCCCAAGTCAATACTACATTACCCTGGACGTTGGATGCTCCTAGTATATCGCCGCTGTTGACTTAGAACAACTGGTAAACTGTTCGTGATATCTTTCTCTCTGGACGTGATTGCCGTATTTTGTCTAGTAGTCTGATGAGAGGATGGTGTCGTCAAATGCCAGCTCGAGTATCGCCATCTGGTCGTATGTATGCGTGTCTCTGATGATAGTTGTTTATCACGAATTTCTCATGAGAAAAAGAAAATAATATAAGTTCGAAAGGATAAAGGATTGCTCAAGAATGAGAAACTTATCGCGATATGATGACTAACGTACTGATCATAAAGGCAGGAAGGAGGGTGGCCGCTCCATCCCATGAGGAAGGAGAGTGACAAACCACCTTATTGCCCCATCCTGAGATACTTCAGATGCTTCATACGTAACCTACAACTCTCAAAGCTGCATCTACACGTGCAATCTTGAGCTAAATATTCAAAGCATCAACCAATTCGTCTGATTAATATTCTTGGTGGCCACCATTCACCAGGATTAAGAATTGGTGCAAGAGAATTGGCTCATGAAATGCTCACGGTGCTCCTCCAGCGATGTCCCAACATTTCTCGCTCATCTCCGAAAAAGCAACATGGAATATACAAGAAATTCAGCTATATAGGTATGTGTGCAATTCAGGAGCTCACGGCGTTCAAAGCAAGTTCTCAAGTGAATACTAACTGACGGTGCGAGAAAGGGGCTGTGGCCATTTGAACTTCCCGAGAACATCCACTTGCGCGGCCATGTTGGTTACCCTATCCGTTCGCCATCAACTTCGACTAACCGTTGATGGGTAGCAATGAATCAGATTGCTCTTCGTTGATGGAGGACTATTTGAACTTCCAAACGGAAGACTGTGCAACTCTTTTCATCCAAGCTTCCCGTGTCTTAGATTGCAATAGTAATAGTCATTCTGGGATGTGCTCATCCCAGTTTGATGGACAACGGCCGTTCCACCCCTGGATTTGCCGCGCATGCAACAACTTTTGTCGACCAACAATGCCACCTTATGAAGTGTCAACTAATAACAGTACTCACTTTATGTTAATACATCAGCGTGAGCATGGGGACGAATCCCGTCTACTTCTGTGAGAGCATTGACATCATGTTTGCATATTCAATACCGGGTGAAGCCAATTGCGGCTTCTTTCTGCTGCCTGATAGAGACACGTTTATAAGAGCATGCCTCCGCGACAGGTACAGTCTTATTCAGATTGAGGATGTGAGAGCATTCGCATCGATACAACACATGCGCAACCGTATATCCATCAGTTCAGGAAGTCCTGCCAAGGCTCCAAGATACTAATGTGTTGGCAGCTCACAGTGGTCCAATAAACGAGCTTTGGTGAGGCTTTGCGCTAGTCCAGCATTATGTCGTCGCCTGTCACACAAGACATGCAGTATCACACGCAAAGCCTCCCTTGCCTCGACTCTGCTGGCGTCAAATGACGACCATATCCAATCAATGGCTTTTCTGGAGCGACTAAGCCTGAGACAGTTGCCATCTAAATTGCATATGAAGTCTGAGGTCGAGATGATAACTGATATATCTGACTGTCCTCGCAATGGTAACTCTTTTCTACTCAGAAGCTTGCAGGCGGGCTGCATGAGCACGGATCACACTTTTCTTTTCGTCTTTAGTGTTGATTAACACTGCCTTTTCCGGTGAGCATTCGTTTGACTGAGTATCCGTGCGCGCCACGTTGGTAGCGAGGCGGATAGTGTTGGTTCGTCATTGTCCTGGGAGCTAATTAACCTTGCGAATTAGAGATCACCGGGACTCTGGAGGTTGTGATATGTGTGCGCTCTGCTAAATTGTTATTAGCAGGGGAGCGGGGAAATGCGGATATCAGTACTCATACGTACGAAGTTAGATGCTTGTGCAGCTGAGATTCTTTCCGTCTCGCCCCCAATGCGATCTGTCACGAAGCGGTTGACCTTTTTTTTTTTTTTCTTCTTCTTCCGTCATGCAAGCTGTCGGAACCATGACAGAAACAGGAACGGCTTTTCTTTTTCCTGCGAAGGCATCCCGCATACCGCTCTATCACAACGCCACAGCTCACATTTCATTTTCTTTCAGTGGCGTCGATCTTTAAACGATGGGGCAGCTTGTGAAAAGTACGCTCACCACTACCCCGGACGAATGGGATATTTGTCCGTCAAATGCCGAGTTTTCTGTGGGTTAGGTGGAAAGGATCATACAAGAGGACCCTCAACTAATGCTATTATGGAGAAATCGCGTTACGATGTTGTTGAGTACGTCTGGAGCGACAATCGACTCGCATGACGGTGTAATGCAGAGTCAGATTCTTCTCTGCCCACAATCTCATGGCCTGCATCCACCATGCCCAGCGCAGCTGTGCCTTGACCAGGGGCTCGCGTGCGGAAGTGATGACCACTAGAGGGCATGGGTCATTGCTTTGGACTGAGTGAGTTGAATGGAGACAAGAACGCCTCCCCAGACCGTCTCCGCTGCACACCAGCTCGGCAACTCTGGTCGGCCGTTCGCATCGGCCGCAACGATGTCCAAGCTACAGGCATATCAAACCTACAGGCAGTGCTTTAGATCAACAAAGATCGGGCTCTCCAGCAACTACCAGCCAATTAAACTGTAATGAGAGAGAGCATCGGGCCCTGCTCGCTCATCTGAGTAGTGGAGTGGACGAGCAACGATTGGCCCTACGATATCTGATTGAGCACCACAAGGAGCTGCAAGCTGCAAGGGCGATGCTGCGTTGCATTAAAGGGAGAAGGATGACACAAGGTAAACAAGAGCATCGCATACACTTGCCCTGGTTGTCGGTGAAAGACAAACTTGAATCAAGATGCTGCAAATCATCACGTACTCTCTACGGGGATACAGCATGATTCTCATGCAAGTAGCCGATTATCTGCCCGAATTGATGACTGATCCGAAGAGAAGGAGAAGGGAAGAGGCTTGCTCTCATTGCGCCTAAACGCATATACAAACGGGCACACAGTGATGCTAGTGTCGACGTACGGGCGCGGTGACGAGCTAATACGAGTGAGGCTGAACGGACCCTGTCAGACAATCTCCACAGTGGCCAGGAGAACGATCGATGTCATTTACTACTGTCCATCACGTCCTGATCAATCAAAGGAGATCAACCTTATCGCAAACAGACAGGCTGCGAGAGAGGCCAGTGTCACGACATACACGGCATGGCTAGCTCACCCTGTTCAACTTGAGCTGGATCATGGTTGGCTTGGCAGACACACGGCCCGCCTTGTCGCACTGCGGCCATGGCTCTTCCTTGGTGGCTCAAAGCTTTTCACACCTGCGCTAAGGCGAACATATCCTTGCTAGTCGCCATTGCAGGGCCTCTTACAAGCCAGGTACGGAGTATTTTGCTCTTGGTTTAACCGGATCTGGTTCTCAGATCCCGACGACTCCTGGCCTCCCATGAGTGTTTGCCCCAGCTTTCATATGTTTCCATGGAGCACGCTAGGATTGGCCGCTCAAAGCCGTCTGGACGATCAGAAAGTTAGACAGCCACCTTGCAGAGTATGCCGCCTTCGCTAGGAAATAAGCTGGCTGGTACCTCGTCTATCATGTGGGAATAAACGTTACCGGACGAGCGTGGGCGCCGTAACGTGGCGGAGAGAGCATGAGAAAGCATCAAACCAGCCTGGGATACCACCCCTGTGTGTCTCAGTGTTTCCACAGCTGGTGGCTGGCTGATCGATATCTTGGACGTTTTGAGTAGCGAAGAGCAAGCACATCGGCCCGGGATGACCTGAGTCAACAAGAAGAGCGTACAATGATTTGACTGAGTGGGAAGCTGCCGCCAATCATGATTGCAACTGGCCATATCGCCTCATCAGAGACACGCATACGCAGTGTAAGGGCCGGCAAAAAGAAGAGTCAAACGCAAGGAGCAACTCTGTAACTGTGCGCTGAGACTCTCCCTCGGAAGTGCGTTGGCTTTATGCGGAACCCTTGCAAAGGGAGCCGCTTTTACTCGGCATGGGAGGTGTTGAAGGCGGTACTACGCCTCTCTAATTTTCTAAGGTTCTTTCACTCGTTTCTTTTTCTTCCTTGTTCCTCTGGTTGGACAAGGCAAACTTCCCTCCTTTTCTCTCTTCTAGACGCTATACCCCGTTCCCATCATGATCGACAAAAACGTGTGAAATGGCGTTGGTTAGCCGCGATTAGTTCGAGAAGGTCTTATCCCACACGTGTCGGAAGCCTTCCTGGAACCCAGAGACACAACCGCCCTGAACTTGTGCCCAGCAACCCTTCTTCTTATTTATGACTTACTCCTCCACCGTCCACGAGGTTTCGATGTCGCCCTTGAGTCGATAGCCCTCGACACCAAGTACTTAATCCGTTGGCTTCCCTTTTGACACAGGCTTTCGTGTTGGACGGCCGTCCATTCTTTTGCCCTTAACATCAATTACACTTTTGACTCTTCAAGCTTCTCTTTTTTCCTAGTATTTATCGATTTTTTGTTTCATATTCTTGCTATTTATGTCTCTACTATAATCACTTCAACATACAAAGCTTATAGCAATGGGCTCCGAGTTTGGCATTGCCGAGGATACCAAGCCTGAGCTTCGGCTCGGAGCGGTGGGTATCTTTTACATTTCCTTCGCGTCAATATGGACCGTTATCCTCCTTTGTGGCATGACTTTCCTCTGGGTTCGTCGCGATATGCCCATCCTACGAATCAGAGGCCTGCCACTATCCTTTGCAGCAATAAGTTTCATGCATCTCTACTGGCTTGCCGTACAGCTCGGCTACTGGTATGGTGCGTTGATGCCCGAACTTGCTGAGTTTTGGATCATGGGCATCTGGTTTCCTTTTGGAATTGCCCTGTTTCACGCCTCCAATAGCAGGTTTCTCTATGTCGCCGATGCCCAGAGGAAGTTCATCAGGTCCGAAACTCCATCTATAGTTATTGACCGGAGGAGTTTGCTGGGTCGATGGCGATCGATAGATTACAACCGCCGGACTCTTATTCTAGTATTTATCGGCATGGGTTTTCAGGTGAGTTGGCATTTATTCTCATCTCTACATTTTGAAGGGTGTTGATCGGCTGACTTTCCCTTTAGCTCCTCCTGACGGTTATCACCTTCCTCATCTCCCGCAAGTTCCACGACTCGTTTGGTATTGCTGGCACTGAAGTCCATGGCAACTTCATGCAGCGAAAAGTTGCTCAAGGTCGTGGTTGGGAATGGTTAGTTTTATACAATTGTCACCGCGTTTATATCCATAAGTTAACCATCTCTTAGGTGGCCCTCAATCTTCTGGCAAATGTTTTGGGCATGGATCTTTGCGCCCTATATTCTCTTCCGTGCGCGTAACCTTCGCGACACTCAAGGATGGAGGTTCCAGACTATCGCCTGCTGTCTCTCCAAGTAAGCCGCCTTGCAGCACATTGTCTACTTGTTGCTAACGTTCCAATAGTCTTCACTCTGCACCAATGTGGCTTATTGCCCTGTATGTTCCCGGGATGCAGCCTGTCAACAACTACTTTATTCCTCCGCAATGGTAAGCTGCAGTTCTTAGCAAACAAGTCTTGATGTATATCTAACTCTGACAATGCAGGATCGCTGTTTCCATCATGCTGCTCGAAATTTTTACCGTCTTTGTACCTATTATCGAAGTCTGGAAGCACAACGCCCTGACTCAAGAAACTCTCAACTCTATTGCACGCTGGGAGTCGCAAAAGAAGGGCTTCTCTGGAGGAGACAAGTCCATCAACTCAGATTCGACTAGGTCCTCGTGGGGAGGACGAATGGGAAGAGCGTCTTCTGTTCACACCAATAGCTCCGGCGGAAGCATCCTGACCATGGAGGCCCTCGAACACACACTTTCTAAAAACCCCGAACCGTTGCAGCAATTCTCTGCTCTCCGAGATTTCTCCGGAGAGAACATTGCTTTCCTTACGAGCGTCAGGGAATGGAAGGCTCTCTATTTCTCCGCCGTTAAAGAATTGGAGAAAGATGACGGCGCTGTGAAGGAGCTGCCTCGGGAGTGCTTTGAGAGCGCCCTCAAGATCTACGTCGACTTTATCAGTGCGACTCATGCCGAGTTCCAGATCAACCTCTCTTCTACAGACTTCAAGAGCCTTCAGGTCGTCTTTGAGCACGCCGCGAACGTCATCTGTGGCAGTGAACGCAGCAATCCCGACCCTTGCACGCCCTTTGACGACATCCCCCACCGGACGGACTCTGAGAGCACTCTTAACATTGTCCGCTACTGGGGTGAAGTTCCCGCTGAGTTCAATGAGCATGTGTTTGATGATGCGGAGATGAGCATCAAGTATCTGGTCTTGACAAATACGTGGCCCAAGTTTATCAAGGAGAGACGCTCTTTTGACATGGCCAGCACTGTTGAGACTGGCACTAACTAAACAAACTAAAAAGAAAAAAAAAAGGTCAATCTTCGTTCTGAGATCATATATCCTATTCTTTTAGGTGAAAATAATTATTATTGTAGGACAGGTATATGGGCTGGGAATGGTTTTTTTTGGGGGTATGCAAGCAAGAACATTTGTTGTATCTCATTACACGATCTCCTCATGACGGGCGCTGTAGCTGTGATTTTCTTTCTCGATGGATTGCGGGTATGACTTGGAGGGGGGCTAATCTGTGAATTGATGATGGAGCTACGAATTCCCCTAAAATTAAGAATAATATTTGTGGATTTACGGATGTTGTAGTTTCCGAATTACCGCTGCCGCTATTCAAGGCCGATTCAGAGCTGAATGTCCGATGATCTTGACTGTTTGGAGACTAGAATTGTCCTTTGGGCAGATAGGCGCAGGGACAAGCATCTCACCATTTCGCTTGTCGCATTGAGTGGAGATGGAGATCTGCCTATACGAACTATGGCCTGCTATATAATCAAATAATGTATGGCCTGCCCTGAGGACTCCGTATATGCGCATGGGTTGATTGGATGCTCGTATATCTGGTTGCCGCGTTAATGCGCCTGACCAGGTAGGTAGCTAGTCATGTATTAATAGGAACATCGATTTCGCCGATCAAGAGGGAAAATCTCGCGATATGTGATGAATCGGCGCATCGTAGAGATCGTAGATGTGCCTGCGATCGAAGATTACGAGATTGGTCGCTTGTGGTGTTTTGTTTGATGGTGGTAGCGAGATGAAGTTTGATCTTTGCCTACGTCGGCCTTGTGTGCAAACAAGATGGTTTATAAAGCTGCTGTGGACTTGCTACACCCCCCCCCCCCCCCCCCCTTTTTTTTTTTTTTTCTGTTCATTTTTAAAAGAGAGGACATAGAAATGATCGCCATTTATTGCGATATGTGTTTCTATCCTGCGTGTGTGTGTGTACTTACTCATTTTGCAGTCCCGCATACATATACTGTCCACCACTTGGCCGGGGTGTCGGACTTAAGCTACCGGCCTTGTTCAGATAGGAGCCACGACTGGTGGTGAGATGATTAGAGAAAACCAGATGGGTCGGTCAGTGTCCTTAAAATAAGTACATCAGGGACAATTGAGCGGCTTGGGAAATTGGCGATCATGCCGCTACAGGAAAAATATAAGGCCAAGGAAGCACGTCTAGCAGACCTCGGTACAAGTCCAATACACTGCGCATGTCCAATTCAAGAATGATGCTGTCGGGATACACGAAGAAGAATCCCGACGAGGAATTGATCTTTTGACCGAAACATCGTCCATTATTGGAACGTTTCGAGACTTGTTTCAAGGTCTTCCGACTCAGCCGGCGGTGACACTCTGTGATGCAACACACCGTTGCTACCGACTATCTAGGAACGGAAATTCTACATCAACTTCTCCGATGCCCTACCATCCATAAAGTTGTCGTTTTGGTCAGTGCAGACAATGTAAGGCTTGGGCTCGATCGCGTTAAAAGGAGAGCTCACCTAGCTGGATGGTGGCATCCTGACGACGAGCAAAAGGTACAAGTATGGCAGGGAAATTTGGCTGCAGAGAGTTTCGGCTTAGATAAAGATCAGCGGCTTCCGCCTTTGCGAAAAATCCAGCAGCGATGCAAAAGTCGACGCCATCAATCCACAATGGAGCTGCTGTGAACTGGGTTGCCAGTTATAGTGATCTGCACAAGACTAACATTGATTCCGCGGTACAACTACCTAAAATTGCCATTGAATCTACGGCGTTTCCCAAGTACCTATGTTGACATCTCTGGGGGGCTGAAGAAGAGAGCATCTGAAACGCAGGAAGAGTTTGCAGCCAAAATTGCTGAGTTGGGCTGGATATTTCCAAAACAAAATGTGTTGCCGAGAGCGTAATCCGCGAAATTGCTCCAAGATTGCCGGCAGTTCAGAACCGCATATCGGTTGTTAAACCAGGCCTGAACATCGGAACAGCAGCTTCAGGAGCCGCCAATACTGATGATGTCCTTTGGAGGGCAGTGGCAACAGAAGCTGGTATAGGGTTAGCCCTTTTGTCGATATAGTAGATGGGACTAACCTCGAGAAATGTTGGGAAATAGTCAATGCCTGCTCTGGAGTCCCATGGATTGAATGGCCCGGAGTTGTAGGGCACACATAACGGAAGTGGGCCATGGTCAGCTCATCTAATGTGGGCCATGAAAGAACTATCTCGACCATAGAAAATGGTGTATTGAGGTTCCATTGAGTGCCAAAGACTCTAACAGCTTAAACATTACAGTAAAAATAGGCCCCTATATGATTATCTATTAATAATCTAGGTTTGAGGGAAAAGTCCTAACGGACTTTATTTTAATAATTAGGTTGCTAACATTCAATGGCACCTTCCCAAAGTTGCCAGCTGCTGACTTGACTATGCTGATTCAAATGCAAGGTAAATCCGACATGCAAAATCAGGCAGACATTTTTAAGTATCAGACCGCTCTTTACAGTTGAACCTGTTAGGCAGCAAAGCGTTATTGGCACTTGCGGCCGTTCCTTGTATATTGTCTAAAAAATTTCACACAGCTTGATATAGTTACTTTGCTAGGACTAAGGGTAGTTATCTAACAAGACTTTGACAAAGAGAAGCATAATGAAATTCACTGTAAAATTCGATATTGAATGTAATAAGCAGCGGATACCCCGGTCGAACGTTGTTTAGTGAGCGGATCTAAACGCATGTTGCTATAGAAGTGCTATAACTTGAATCACAAATGCTATTATGTTCACCCTTTGTAATATGTTTTTTAACTACATGTACGTAATGTGCCCGATGGTGACATTATAGTACATAATCGCCTTAGATGCATGCTGTGCGGACTCCGGGCTAATTAGTCTAGCCGTTATATTAAGGCCTAATAAGCTAGTCAAAATAAGGCAAGAAGAATCGTAATAATCCGCATACCAGCTCTCCTCAGCAAAGGAAGGGACGGGAATTAGACATATCACATTGGAAACTGAAAACAGCGGGCGCCAGGGTTGTACTGCAGAATTACCCGACGTATAATGATCCCGAATTTGAATACTTTGTAAGATTGATTTATTCATATAAATGAAGTTTCCGGGAGCACCCCACAAAAGTCAAGGACATTGAGACTTTGACATTTAGGAACTCCTTAACCAAAAGCCTCAAGCTTAATGCTCAACCTCCGTGGCAAGAGGCAAATAAAACTTGTAGTATTCCATTAATATATTGAGCTATGTTTCAAAAGCCACCTAGCTTTCGGAATGGAAATTTAGAATATGTATATACCAGCTGATCGACAGATCGGCAGATAGAAATAGGCAACTCAAAAACCACTGCATAATGAAATCCCTACATTATTATACTCCTAGGGCCCAATCTGGCAGCTAGCTATTGCTTTCGCTCTGGAAACGCCTGGTAAGCCGCATTAGTGGTCTCATTGACCGCATATTCTAAGACACTCGTATGAGGCGAGTCAGCCCAAAGTCCGAGGCTATAGCTCACTGACTTTGCGAGAAACTCACGATTGCCTCTACCGATGCCGCTGTTGCCACCAACACAGCAAAAACCAAGTACTACCAAGAGTATACTAAACACAGCTCCGCTTTCCACTATTGCTTGTCATGCTTATTCAATTTCAGGTTCCTATGCATCGAGGGTCAGCGGTTAGCGGCAGGGGTTTACTTTACAAGGGCGCAGCCTCAGAAGTAGATGGGGGCTGGAGAGCAAGAGCTTTAGTATAAAGACCGCGTGAAGAGACACTATTTCACAACTATCAAGACACCTCTTCCTATCGTCCAAACATCAAGAGCGCCTTTTGGATACTCCAAAGATGCGTTTGGCCGCCCTCGCCCTCGCCCTGCTTGACTTGGCTCTGCAGGCTCGAGCTCAAGCAGTCTTTGCTCATGTCATTGTACGCATTGAACTCTTCTAACACGTTACTTTGCATTGCTAACTGGTCCAGGTTGGAAATACGTATGCATACACTCAGGCTGATTGGGCGTCGGACATCAGGGCCGCAGCCGCCGCAGGCATCGACGGTTTTGCTTTGGACATCGGATTCCAAGATACTGTATCTGGAACGAAGCCGGTAATCGGGGCGCTGAACAATGCGTACAACGCCGCCGATGCAGCTGGTTTCAAGCTCTTCATCTCCTTTGACTACTTAGCTCAGGGCCCGTGGGACGCAGCCGACGTCGTCAATGTCCTCAACACATATAATTCGCATCCCAGCGCATTTAAGTGGCAAAACACTGGCAAGCCTGTGGCCTCCACCTTCGAGGGTCCGGGCAATGCAGGAGACTGGGTCGGCATTAAACAGCAGACAAATGTTTTCTTCATTCCTGACTACTCAAGTCAAGGACCCCAGGGAGCTGCTGCCCTCCCCGCCGTGGATGGACTCTTCTCGTAAGTAACCCTTGGGAGCAAAGAAGCGAGAAGAATGGATTCTAATGTTTCACAGCTTTGCTGCCTGGCCCAACGGCCCCAATGACATTACAATCGATGCGGATCAACAATACGTCCAGGCCCTTAACGGTAGACCTTACATGTCAGTATTCCCACATCTAGTTGATGTCTTCTATGAGCTCACAAGTATGTAGGATGCCTGTCTCGCCATGGTTTTACACGAATCTTCCAGCCTTCAACAAGAACTGGCTATGGAGGGGCGATGACTTGTGGCACCAGCGATGGCAACAGGTCTTGCAAATCAACCCTCCTCTGGTCGAGATCCTGACTTGGAACGACTACGGCGAGAGTCACTACGTGGGACCATTGCCTCCCGCGGCTATCCAGAACCAGTCGCTGCCCACCGGCTCTTGGTACGTGGAGAACATTCCTCACAACGCATGGTTGAACGACTTGCCCTATTATATTGCCCAATATAAGAAGCAAGCACTGCCCAACGAGAACCACGTTACCATCTGGTACCGCCTCAACCCTGGAACCGCTTGCTCTGCCGATGGAACCCCTTGCAACACCGTCACTCAAGGCCAGACTCAGTTCGCACCGCAACAGTGTGACGTTGACGCCATCTACTTCACTGCCTTTGTGCCGTCGTCTGCTACCGCTACCGTCCACGTCACCATTGGTAACAACGCGCCCGTCACCGTTACCGCCCCTGCTCCTGGCATCTTCCACTCTAGCGTTCCGTTCAACGGCCAGACCGGCACCGTTGTGATCTCGGTAACTGCATCGGGAATTAACCAGATTGGACCGGTTACATGCCCAGCCATCACAACTGCCTGCAACAATGGCAATGTGAACTGGAACGCGTGGGTCGGTGGTTCTTAAATACATGTATATAAGAATTGCAAAAGAGTCCGCCTCCCAACGTCGCTCTTGAATAACAAATTGTTCTTTTGAGGAGCTACTAACGTAAGCCGTCGGAGTACTTTAGCTTTAGATCTTCTATAGGACAATCTAAAATTGTATATAAAAACTTCTAAATGCTATGTCTTCCTAACACTAACGTTGCAGTTACGTGCTCCTTGAATGGATAAGTCGTGGAAGGTAGCCAATTGGCAAGGCTTGCAATAGATACGTCGGTACCCGATAGCCTCAAAACCTGACGGTACCCAATCCATGCCCTTCATTCTTCGAACAGTACTAATGAAGACTTCTTAAATCGACACACGTGAAGATAATTTTAAAAACTCACTAAAGAAGAGTGAACTGAATTACCATGTCTATACGAACAATCCCGACGTATCATTCAGCTCCAAATTTCTCCATACCACCGCCCGATGCTAACGGGCCACTACAGCTCGGAACGCTCCTTGCTGACCCAAGCGACCCTATTCCGCTGAATCCTATCGATCGGATCCCAGTCCAAGACGATGAAATATTTCGATCCCGCCTTGTCGGGTTTCGAACAACAACGAAACGTCAAAGTAACGGAGAGCTAGGCATCTTCGCGAAGCTGCTGGGACTAGATGGGGTCGGCGGCGAGCTCAGCGTCAGCGGAGCCCGATCCAAAGAAGAGCTCCTCTCCGTAGCCCGTCTGGACACCGAATTCTTCATCCCGTCTCTCGAATACACCAAGCTCGCAATCGAGGCTCCTGCCGTACGGGCCTTCCGTAAGGCCTCCCGCGATCGACTGCCGCTGTTTCTGGTCACCGGCATCAAGATAGCCCGTGGCGCATCGGCGTCAGTGCTGCGGGGGCGAGCTTTCGGCGGAGGCGTGGAGGCCGGGATGCCGGACTTGGTCACCGGCGTCGTCGAGCTCGGGGCCTTGGCTCGGGGTGAAAGAAACGTAGAGAGTGAAGTAGGTTTCGAAGATGCGTCGGATTTTGTGTTGGCTTATCGGGTATCGCGGGTGAAGAAGAACAAAGACGAAGTAAAAGCGCAGGTGTATACCCGAGGCGCTACAATGGTTTCCGATGATGTGCAGGAAGTGGTCGATAGGGACGATGGAGAGCTGGAGGTTATCCATGACTTTGCCTCGGAAATCATGGAGACAGACGAAATATTGCTTGACGAGACAGGCATGGCCGACCATGAACCTTGCAGATGGGTATTGCACCAAATGTAGGGGCGGTCCATACCCTTCGAACAACGGTGACGAAGGTGGAACCTCGTCTATAAGAACGCCGGCAGATGGGGATTTGATGTTTAAATTACGGTACTCTTTCTGATTATATAATTTATGATGTTTATTTGTGTATCTAAAACTCCTTAACGCCTCAGGACCTCCAAAATCTGGTGCTGAATTAACTCGCTTGACCGGTCCCTAACCCACAAATTCCAAGGTGCAACGTATTTATATCCATTGTCTGACTGACTGCTAAGGAGCGCAAATATTAATCGCATCCCATCACAGGAATAAAGACGTTTCAGCTGGTCCTCATTTAGCAAACCGTCCCGTGAGATAATCGCGAGTGCATCAGCCGCAATCGCCGCGGCCACTGCCGTTGCGAAAGACGTCCCGGACTTGACCACTTCTTTGCCTTTCCAACTAAGGGGGATAGCGGTCCCCAAAGTCATGAAGTTGTCATCATTGTCCAATGCTCTCGGTGATATCCCTCCATCCTTCCCCTTGCCGTTCGAGGCATGGATGCATAGCACGTTACGATTTCTGCCCGGGTGTGCCCGCGGCTTGTTGTTGCCATCGTTTCCCGCTGCTGCCAGTACAATTTTACCCGCTGCTATAGCTTTATTGATGGCGGCATCAAGCTCCGGATCTCGGAGATCAAGTCCAAGAGATAGCGAAATGATGTCAACGTCTTGCGTTAGTGCCCACTGTATGGCCTGCAGTGCATCAGACAACCTCAATTCAATTTTCAATTATAGTAGGATAACTATCCAAAGCTTACCTTGGAAATCAAATTTGTGTCCTCTTGGGGCATCACTCTTTGGACAGCAACTTTAGCAACACAGAGTATGGCTTCAGGTGCGAGTGTTAGGACAAGCTCCGCTATATGGGTCCCATGGCCGATCTCGTCATTGAGATCCCCAGAATCTCCTTTGAAGCTCTTCATTTCTCCTAAGTTCCCCATTAGTTTAGCTGCTTTCAAGCTTGGATGCGTTATGTCGATCCCAGTATCGATTATAAAACTTTGATCCGTTTATGGCATGTATAGACTTTAGGAACGTATGCTTCAATGAAAGAAGTCATATTCTCCAGAAAGGTTTTGGTCGAAGATATGGCCCTAATTCTTTTCTGTTAGCTTTATATGCGCCCTTGGAACTTAGGAGGCATCCCTACCTAGAGTCTGCTAGGGATGTGTCGGGTTCCAGATCATCAAATATCCGGACGAAGCGGGTGGGCACAGGAGGAAAAGTGGTAGTGGTGTTAAGTAGGCTGGATATATCCACCCTTCTAAATTCCGAAGTAGAATAATCTGTTGAGATGCGGGCACGTTTCGGTATCTGCTTGCTTTCCTGCCCTGCAACAATCGCTGCTTCCTCTGGTTGAATGCGCGACACTTGATTGTTCCAAGGTCCCCTTGAATCCTTGAAATTAGAAGCTGACACATCCTCACAGCTTCCTACGTGAGAAATATCTGTTTTTTCATCGCGAAACTTTGTCATCCGGACGGGCATTAACTCAGCCGTAGACGTGATGCTCGAATCCAGGTCCATAGGGGGGCAAGAAACGCTACGGCGTCGCTTCTTGCTTCGTTTGCGATAGTGCGCAAGGTCCTTCTCTAGGTTTGCAACTATCGAATTGTATATGACCTTCGCTGGTTTCGTTGTACTTTCTTCTGATGTTAACTCGGATTCAGAACGGTGCAACTCGAGGCATCCTTCAATCGCCTTGAGATAGTCGTCACATGCATAAAGCATTTCATCATCAAGGACTTTGGATAAAGTCAGCCAGAGGTTAGGCCGCCCAAGTCTATCACACTCTGTCGCAGTAATCCGCCTACCCAGCTCCATTTCCACGAGAAGTTTGCCTAGGGCAAGGAAGACGGAATCTTTCATTATGTTACTCAGGTCATTCTCATCCTTCTCAGATGAGGTACGTTGTGGATCGCAGCGAATGTAAGGTGGTGTCTCGAACTCGAGGGAGCTTGAGGATCCGGTTGCCGATAATAGGAGTGAGATAGTATCCGCAGACCAACCGCTATGTGTCCAAGGACAGTCGAAAAGGTAAAAGAAGCACCAGCCCAGATTCAAAGAGAGTTCTCTCTTTTCCTGAATAGTGAAGCTTTTGGCAGAGAGCGAGCATGATCGGATTGGAGAAAAGTGCTTTTTTTCAATCAGCTCCTCTAACGTTTTCACTTGTACCATGGCCCGCCTTTGAGCACGCTTCTGTTCCCTTGGCTGCTTGTACAGCGTTCCTTCGAGTAAGAGAAGGTTTAAAACCTCGTTGTAACACTGTGCAACAGTAATATCCTCACAGAGACTTTGCAGAGGTCTGAGTTTTACTTTATTATGCTCGTCTCCAGGCAACCCTCTGATTCCCATCAGATCAGTGGTTTTTAATAAAAATGGTTCAATGAAGGCTTGACATACCCATCAGATAGGCATTCGATCTCTTGCCATCCTGTCAGATCTCCGCAAGAGGAAAGAAGCAAGGAAATTAGCGACTTGTCTTCAGCCTGCCAGCTCTGGCCGGCTCCTTGTAGAAGCATATGATGTTCAGATCGTCTCTTACAACAAGCCATATGCCGCTCTAAACTCATAAGAAATGCATCTATTAACGTCCTCTTGTCTCCGTAAAGAGTTACAGAGCTCAGTTCGAGGTTCTCAGCTGCTGGTGTGACATCATGTAGATGAGCCCTTAATATGGATTCTATGCGCTTGTTGAATGATGTGAGTGCTGGAACAATCGATTTCGCATCACTCAATGACATTGTTCCCGGCAAAGTTGAATCGGCCTCAGTTTTCTCTTTGCCACTAAGCACTTGCAGGCCAAGAAGTTTCTGAATACATTGGAGGGAGGCAGAAGGGGGCTCGTTGGACAAAATTCGCTGTAGAATTGGGTAAATCTTTTCGAAAAGCTCGATTGCTTCCTTTTTAATGTGGCGGATTATTTCAAGGTCGACTTCTAAGTCGGGTTGTATTGAGATAACAAGCTGCAAGAGCTCATATTGAAGAAATTGAAATGGGGTTACCACGTGCGGCGGAGATTCGCTAATGCCTGCCTCTCCATACTGAGCTGCCTTATAAAGATAAGGCTGGATCGCTTGGAGTGCTTTCCATTCTTCCAAATCAATAAGGCGCATTTGCGTGCCGCCGAGAATGATAGGATATGCAAGTGTTGTTGCTTCGGCCTCAGTGAAAAGAATGAAAATAAGAAGAGATAAAAAGATGAGGACAGCCCGACAGCTTCGCAAGGCTGTGCCAGAACGATCCTGTCGACAGGCGGCGTCGCCAGGATTCACCGCGAGAGAAAGAAAGAAATATCAGCTAAAATCAGTTCAAATCCAAGTCTATTAGCCAAGTAATATCTGTAGAACTTGAGCTTGGTAGATGGCGCGTGTAGAGAGCGATCTTGAGGTGGTGCGCTATAAATTACTGGTGAGTTTTCATTTTCTGCTTCATTGGTCGAGTTGCATTGGGCCGGTGATTCCCAACGCACGTGATTGTGTACGTATTTCGGAAAGATCTGATACTGGACCTCAAGCTCCTTCAATCATTAAAGCAGGAGATCTTATTCAACTCAGAGGAGAGTCTCGACTATTCAAGCCGTGGCAAGAAGCAATGGACGACCCAAACGCCTGGCCAGATATTTATTCGGCTGCCTTGGACTGCGATCTGCTATTTGACAAGTGCCTGACACAAATCGCCGAACCAAGGACAATCGGGCTCCTTAACGAATCTGCTGCCGCCGTTGGCCGTCTTGCGAGAGACCACCAGGCCCGGTTTCAGGCTTGGGCATCATATTTAGGCGTCTTTGCCGAAGAAGATGTTTGCCTTGATCGTCGCTTATCCAAAAGCAAGGATGTTCAAATAATGGTAATTAATCTGCTTCGCACTATCTTTCTCAATTTGCGATATTGTGAGTCACTTTTTTTTTTCCATCTGGAAACTATAATAGCTACTGAATTGAAACCTAGTTTTGCGAATAATCCAAATAAGAGACAATGGTACTCGCAGGATAGTCCCGAAAAGGGAAACCGAGTTGGATATTCAACAGTCGGCCCCAAGCATTGACAATCTCGCGGAAGACCTTAGCCAAACACAGGAATCTATTGAAGGAGCTATTGATCGTCTGCACCGTCTCGGAGTAACCATCCGACAGTCTTCGACCGCCGGCTTGATCTCAAGGGTGAGAGCCTTCTCAGCAAAAAGATCAGATTCCTCTCTAGAAGAAATGTCATTCTTGATGATCAAATTCCTCTACCCAATGGCGCCATTGAATCTTCAGCGCCTTCTCAGCCGGTCCATCTTGGAACGCCACTTCAATATAGAGTATCGAGGAGAGCACCAACGGCGCTTAGCAGCTCGTCGTATGCTCGTCTTGGACGATGATGATCATAAAGAAGATCAACCTCACGCCGACAATGGTAGCCAAGAAGTGTTGAGACCGACCACTCGAAAAGATTACGTCAATGAGGCGGCCGATATTGTTCGTGACGACTCTGAGAAGGAAACAGATATAATTCTTTCAAAGTCGGGAACGAAGCCATCGACTCTCCAGACACAAGAATTTGAGCGTAAGGTTAACGAGAAAAAGCCTCTTAAAGCTTTATCTGCCGTTTCCAAGACATCCTCGGTACCTATAGGCGACGTTAATTACCCAAAACCACCAAAGCCTCAGGGAGAATACGACTGGGCTACTTGTTATTGGTGCTTTGAGACTTTCCCACACGATAAGTTCCAGAATGTAAAATGGTGGAGGCACGTTCCAGACACACCTGCGCTTTGTGATATAATCACTAACGCTGTAAAAGGCGCCATGTCGACCATGACCTTCGACCTTATGTTTGTCTCGTCAATACTTGTTCAGAGTCTCTTGACGCGTTCGATAGGTTTACCCCATGGATGGAACATATGGAAAAGCATCATTCACCAAATTGGATTGGAACGATCAGTTGTAGAGCCATGTGGAGGTGCGACATTGAACATGAATCACCAGAATTGTTTGAAGATGAGGCTTCATTAAAAGGCCACATACGGGAGCACCATCACGCAATATTCACAGAGTCTCAAATAGCGGGTATAGCTCGTCGAAGTTCGATTCGTATACCGGGATCCAAAGATATTTGTCCACTTTGCAGCTTTGATTCTAGCAAAATCCCTCTTGACGCAGATGAACCGAATCACTCGCGACATTCCTTGCAAATTAAACGAAAAAGGCCTACACAGACAAAAGTAAACGTTGGCGTTCAGGAAAAGCGTAGAAAAGTTCACTTTCATGACGAAGGAGGGAGGAAAGACTTGGAATTAACCAGTTCAAGCGGATCGGAATTGGATCTGCCAAGTAGCCCGAGTACTGAGTCGGTTTTACCTCAAGTCAAGGAGCGATTACAACGCAAGCAACTATCAAGACACATAGCAACGCACCTGAAGGCTCTTTCGTTCGTGTCCCTCCGCCTCAAAGCTTTCCAGGAGCAACTTGAGATAGGAGATGAAGATTTTGCTACGGAAGACGGGCAAGGGGACACAAGCGAAGATGGCGGACCGAGTGGGCTCGATACCGAGCTCGACGCGATGTCTCTCGATTTCGAGGATGATCCGGCCATTCCAGAATTGAGTAGTGAAACTTTACCTATTTTTGACTTGGTATCGGTATTCACATCGTCACAACAGATCCAAGTCTCCGATCTCGGCCCTCCTGATCTTGGGATTGATGCAGATGAGAATGGCGATTCAGAGAAGAAATTTTGGGGCCCGCGCAATTATGATTGTTTTGTGAGCCGCCGAGATATCGAGGAAAGTCGAAACTCCTTTGCATATGAAAATAGCTCTACTGGCGCAACAATATGTCTCACAGACCGCTAGTGTTAATGTACCAATACGCTTTATAATTTAACTCTTAATAATTCGAGTATAATTATGAGGCCGTTAAGACGGCCCTCTTGTGTGCTTAAACGAAGATCGTAGCCAATCCGTTTACTCTTGGTAACTCCTGTTAAACTGACTTGTAATATTCTGTAAAGTTTACAAGGAAGAAAATATGTGACATGGCTTCTATAGATGAAGTTGATCGTAACCCTATTTGTGAATGCGCCGTGGATATATGCGAATTCATTGGCCACTTCTCCTTCTATACGGTATATCACCATAAATGTCATGTCTCAGTCCCTGGAGCTGCTATAAAATTTGGATTATACATGGTCATGAAATCCGGCCAAAGCGCATCCTCAAACTCATACTCTTGCCAAAACACAGCATCCGGGTCCGTGAGCGGCTCTCCAGGCGGCTGTGTCTCCGCCATCACCGGCTGCTCCTGCGGAACCCGCGAGAGATACCACTGGCGAATCCACCGAAGCTTGAAGCTGAGTCTGCAAAACTGGGTGCCGCCGCCATCTAAAAGGCGGCGTCTGCGGCCAGCTTCCTTGGCCCATGTATCTGCGTCCTCGAAGCGGTCGCTGAGACGCTTCATCACGTCTGCAAATTCGAGTTTTCTGCGCGCCATTGTAGGCTGCCAGTCTATTGAGGGTTCTAATAGGAGCAAACGGGAGCTGGTGACAATGGCAAAAGCGAGAAGTCCCGTAACTGAGGTGGGAAGACCGGGCAGCTCGTTGGGATGAAACGAGCAGAGCGTGTCGAAGAAGTCGACGGCGGCGAGAAGGCATTTCCAGAGGGTATCGAAGCGTTGCAGCGGTTCTGGATTCAATGTACCCATTTCGACGGGCGTAGTGAATTGCGTGGGAATTGCTGCCTCGGCGAGGCGCATGAGAGTGACTTGATAATACGCTTTGAAGATGTCTGCGGCGATTGCCGGTCAGCGACAGGACAGTTACCTTGTGGAACGAATATGAGTGAGATTATACTCACGCCTCTCCTTGACACACTCTGGCTGCATGCTTATCAAGTCATAGAGTTCTCGACGAACATTGTTAATGACCATATCCATAGGCGACAAATAGGCACTCAGCCCAACGTCAACCACATCAAAGCCAGGCAGCAAGCCGTAGGCACGATCAGCGACGCGCTGCATTTTAATGAGCGCAACCAGAAATAAGTCAGATTCCAAAGAAGATTCAGCCAACGATTCGCAGCATTGCGAAAGATAGTTGTTCCAAGGAAATTGGGTGCCTCGCTTAAACAGGGCAGATATGCTGTGATTGATCAGCCTACACTCTCACTGAGCAACGTGTAATAAGGTGAAAATGCGTTCTTACAGTGATGTAATGTGGTAAAGCCCCAAAACTGCCCGCTTCTCATCGGCAGAGTGCGGCCTTGGCTTCGACATGCCCTTGTTGAGTGTTGCCCAAGCTTCTCCCAGCAGAGACTTGGGATGCATCTTGGTAGACTCTGGGGACCTGTCTAGCTTGAGATCTAGGGCCATGGCTACAGCCAGGTGCACAAAATTTGTCGCTTCCGTATTCATGTAGAAGTGAAAATCGCCCCTATTACATCCACTCCGTTAGCGCAGTCAGAAGTTGGAGGGCTTCATGTATGGAGACTCACCAAGCCAAGTGAAGGAGAAGAGCCTGCAAGATTCCCAAATTCCTTTCTTGCTTCACAACCATTCTGTCTGCAATATACTGCCGAAACCAGTTCTCAACACCTTGCTGAGTCGCCGACGACTGCGGCGTGACCGCCGCCATGATGGTCCAAAAGAGACATCGCGACGACGCATACAAGGCGCGAGGATCCAGATTCTCCGGAATGACGACAAAGGGATAATTCGGCATAAACTCGCGCCGGTATATGTCAAAGTAAGAAAGCACCTCTTCAAAAGTAAAGCTAAAGCCCGGGATCAACTGAAAGGTAGTTGCCGGCTCAGACGGAATGGTGAGTGGTATCTGCGGAGCTTCACGCGTAACTGGCTGTGGCAGCGCAGCATCTTGCAACGGTTTTTGCAGGTGTAATTTGGGTGCATCGCTGATTGTAACCGTACCAGTATCGTTACTTTCAGGAGTCAAGGGTGGTGTTCCAGACGCCTGCATGTGCTGACCCGTCGCAAGCATGGACACCAAGCCGTCAATCTTCTTCTCCAACTGAGCCACTCGCCTAATTTCAGTTTAGTAAACCAAATTCACACCACGATGGACCTGAGATTCCGACAAACATACGTTGATTTGCCTCGCTTCTTCCGCTGTACCGGGGCCGGCACATGGCATGAAATCTTCATGCGGTTACATCTAAAGCGATGCAGGTCAGCTCACTTCGCCCAATCCGACCAATACAAAATCGCCGCAATCACACCTTATGCAACCGATATCCCCCTTGCCGGCCCCAGACTCGGGCCATCGACACTTCATCTTCAGCCGGGCACAATTGGCACATGCCCGGGTTTTGGGGGCCTCCGGACCCGTTGGACGACTTCCGGAGCCGCTCTCCAGCGGAGCCCCGATGACTCCGTTGATTGCACCTACATCTACAACGATTGAACGATCAACATCCATGGCTATTCATGCGTCGGAGAATTACTGATGATTTCTGTTTCTGGGCCATAGACAGAAAAATTAACATGGAGCAAATTTACATCGTTCTCTGGAAGCCATAGTGTTGAAGGATTGAGGCTTCCGGGTCTCCGGATATTATCTTAATGTCCGGAGCCGTAAATCACGTGCGGCACCGTACGGAATCCGGTTATTATTTTATCTACCGGTGCCGGATATCACTCTGTTTCGTCTTTATACTCCGTTATCGACAAATTAATCGACGTATTAATAAGACGCCAACGCGCCATCCTATTTTCTATGTAGAGACGCAATCCCAAGTTCGCCCGGCTCGTCAACAGAGCAGTATCCTTATCACTTCACGTGTCCATCTGTCTCAGTGGATCGTGATGCATTGTCTATTCAAGACAAAGTCTCAGTTCACAATGACTCGGAGATATGGGATGACCACGCCTCTACTCGTCGTGTAGCCATCACGTAATTCCTTTGCCAATGCAAGATAAAACATGTGCGGAGATAAACCTCCATGAGTCGAAGATGCCATTAGTCTCTTTGTCTCAGCCATCATCTCTTCGTGTCAGTCGTGTTTGGCGCTTAGCAGACGTAGTTCAATTCTCTCAGCTTGTGCCACGCTGCTATGCCACGGCAGAGCTCCATCAAGTGCTGAATGTGATGAAGCGTGGTGATGACCCTAGTCATAGTATGAATCCATGTCACCTAAACTCCCTCTTAGATAGGTGTGCTCGTATCAATATCTACCCGATCCATAGGCCCTGCTCTACTACCCAGCTGACGGGAGTTAACACACGGGAGTTAACACCTCCACGCAATCGATGCCGCCCACTTCCAATCCTACCGGTACCTGCGTAATTATCCTTTTGTTCCATGGTGGGTGTGTTCTCACTCACACTTCGCGTATGGCCTGTCAAGCGTGGCGATCGCGATCCCAGTAAAACTCTAAGCAGATCTCAAGGGAAAACTGACAGGGTATCTCTTCTCACGATCTCAAGTGTCAAGCCACACCTACAATCGTGGCCGTCAGGTGAGCAACAAAGTTCTTCGCCAGTAGTCTCTCGGCATCCCTGGTCACAAGGGGGCAAAACCAATACACAGGCCCAATCTACACCTGTATCTCATCCATAGACCAACGAAACTAGCGATTTGTCTGAATCGCTCTCTGCATATTTGATTCAGCTCGCCCACTCCAGTCTTCGACAAAAACTAACCCGGCTTGACCCGCCCAGAACAATGGTCATTAAGCGCCCGCGTGAAAAGCTTAGCTTTTGCAAGGTTGCCCGCCTTTGCCGTGGTTCCCGAGTTTTGTTTCCCAAGATCTGCAGCCCTAGACCGGGATGTGTTGAATAGCTCCCTCCACAATCTGTGGGTAAACTGAGATCCTGCTGCGATCGCATGACGAGCAAATCTGCGCTATTTAGCAAGGCTCATACTCGTACTCTGTCAACATAGCCTCTCTGCGGTATTATCGTGGCATCTACGATCTAAGTGGGTAGCTTCAGCTGTGCAGCCGCTGAAGTATTATCTCAAAAAGGTGATTGATTGACAGATTCGACCAGGGATCTGTCTGTTTTCGCCCAACAATCGCTCAAAACGTGACGCTTGAGACGCTATTTCAACTGCCGGTCTCAGTTGAGCTGTCAATCACTTTCTTTGTCACTAGTAGTTCAGTATACTAATTTACACCTAAACACTAAACACCGAATCTTCGTCTTCAGCATCCTTGTCTGCGGCTGAGAGCGCCCACACGGCGTTTAACCCATCGAGATTCGGCCGAAACCAAGATCGCGCAGTAAATCAGCTCCAATTACGAACCTCTCTCAATGGCAAACTCTCCAATACGTTCAAAATCCTCGATCTAGACTACATTGATCTCCAGTCAGGCTCTCTCTAAGACCGCTAAAGTCCGTATCATAACCCCTGCAACGCCATTGTCCAAGCCACGCTCTTCACTCCCTCCTCCCGCCAAACCAAAACCCCCATCCCTAGTCTCAACAGGGTTCCCCCCCTCGATCATCTCTTGCACACGTGTTTTCATGATTCTTCTTTAAGCGACAAAAGTAACGCCAAATTCAGCCTCGCCCGCTCCATCATCCCTTCACAGCCGAAGGCGCAAAATAAGCAAATATTAGCAGAGGCATGCACATCTCCGCCACCTTTCAACCCGAACCCCCTCTCCAGGGTGTAAGCCACACATTCTGCCGCCCATTCAAAACCGCAATAAACTTGTATTCTACCGCTTCTTGGCAACTTACATCATTTCTTGCGCCCACGATCGACAATCAACCGGCTAATTGCTTCAAGTAGCATTAACTCAGGTCCGTCACATTGCGGGGCGCGCGTCAAATTAATATGGGAATTTCTTATTTTTTTCTTCCGAATGACGGCTAGCCGCTTATTCTTATTCCTCGTGGGGTGCAAAGAAAAAGGGACTTTGAATCACAGTGTCGACTGTAAGTGGCATACACTGGGCGACTGGAGCTTCGACTTACACACGATCTTGCAGCTCGATGATGCAGGCAGCTCAATGTCACGATACACCACGTCACCGCCAAAAAAAGTATTGTAGAATAATAGCAAATCAATTTTTTCAGACTAACCCCATAGCTGTATGTTTCGACTACTTTTGTACAGCAACAACTCTCAGATGGCTCACATATACAGCCATAAAACGATGGACTAATACCTCTCTGTCAAAGGAAATGATTGCGCGCCCCCTTGTCCCTGCTGCAAAAATGGACACAACCTCCGATAACCCTTTCAGAAACGCCAGGTAAGTAACATGAGAAACAAACAGTAAAAGTAAAAACAAGAAGGAAAAAAAATAAGTCACAAAATATAATGCAGAGAATGTCAAGAATAAGAAGTACTGAGGGGGGAAATGGGCAACGCGCGGTATGATACCATGCTTCTTCACACAATGAGACATGCCATCCTCTCAACTGTCCCAAATGGCACCATAGGCCGGGATACCCCTGGTCTCTAGTCCATATACCACCTTTTTAGTGATCTTTTCATTGGCAATGATGATGACGGCCTCGGCGCCAAAGTCTTTGGCTAGGTTGTAGCCCATGCGAACGAGATCGGGCCGGCCCTGGGTTCGGGTATCGTGGATGACGGCGCCGGGAATAGTTCCCTTGATAGTATCCATAATCTTCTTACCAAACGTCTTTTCAGGCGAAGCAGCTGACCAGATAAGCTGAGTGGGACAGCTTGGTTGCGCGATGTGGCCCAGCATGGGACCAATGCCAGATCCTGTAGCAATGACGACAACACGATTGAACAATGTGGCAATGCGCATAACACCGCAAGTCGGAAGGCCGCGGACCCAGATGCTTGTGGGAGGGTTTTGAATACACGCCTTGGTCCAATCACCAGCATTAGATACCACGAGAGAGTAGCCTGGAGCAATACCGTCTTCGAGGTTAGCCTGAGGGGCTGGGATCGTCGCAAAGGAGTGCCACTCAATGAGCGGGCGGTGGGATAGGCGTGTAAAGCTACCGTTGACAGGGATGGTGTAGTCAAAGTGCAGACGGACAGCGTGATCCGACAGCGGCTCGGCGTTGACCTTGACTTTGCGGAGGAAGATCCAAGAGGAAGCAACGCTGCATGTGGCAACGCCGAGCATCCAAAATGCCGGCGTCTTGACGAGTGCAATCCCAACATCCTCTCCTACTGGGGTAGAATCGTAAACGGAGACAACAGTCTTGGCCCAGAAAAGCGCAAGTGTGGTCCACCCCATGAAGCGGTGCATCTTCTCAAACATGTTGTGACTGGGCTTGCGAAACATGGGTAAGGCAGAGGCAAGGATAAGACAACATAGCGCACAGAGAAGCCACGAGACCACTAGGTTGGCTAAAGAGTACCCAGATGGTTGCCGATGGAGCTGAAAGCGGGCAACTGTGGCCTGGATCGTAGAGCCAAGGAGCCACGCGGTTGCGCATATACCAGCAGCAGAGTGGATGCCGCCAAGATGGTAGATTTTGGCACATCGGCGACGAATCCAGAATGGAAAGGACTTGGGAACAGAGCAAGAGATGGTGTAAAGAACGTTTATGACGACATCTTGGCGGATGAGAACACCGGTGACCAGGTTAGCCGCAGTGATAGTCGCGAGCCTTTCGACTTTGGGGTTGAGAAGCAGGACAGCGATGAGAACACCAATGTTAATGAGACCAACGAGGCTGAACAAAACGCGATAAACAATGAGAACACGCTTTTTGATACCTCTCCATGGCTTGGGCCACTTCTTTTCGGGAATATCTCTCAACAAGTCGAGCGACTTTTCGGTCTGCTCCTCTTGCGCCTTGGCAGAGGCGGCCGTTAGAGTCGAAGATGAAGAAACGGACCGAAGGCCGACCAAAGAGCCAGACTTGTCACTCTTGGTTCCCGGCAGAGCAGCTGGATGAAAGGTAGAACTGAACACTGTTGAAGATTCAGAGATTGTGGGCGAGGCCGGCCCGATGACTAGCATGCGTAGAGATTTCTTGTCAATCTTGCCATTAGCCGTAGTAGGAAACTCATCTAGGAGATGAAGGCTAGATGGCACGGCATAGTATGGTTGAAGTTTGCGAGTGTGTTCCAGAATGGCTTCAGCATCTTGGGTAGAAGGGACTGCAAACCCATGGATTTCTCCATCAATCAAGAGCGCGCAGGCACGAGTGACACCTGGCGCTGAGGCCATGGATGAAGAAACACCATCCAATTCAACACGGAAACCCTGGTAACGAGCAGCATATTAGATTCCGTTCCTCACAAAAGCGCTACAGCAACACGGCCCACAAGCAAATATGTGCAGAAACGGGGACTCACCTTAACCTTGACCTGATCGTCGACTCGACCGAGAATTTCAATGGAGCCATCAGGTCGCCACTTTCCCAAATCACCGGTACAATACATTTTAGATCTATTATTGTGAGACAGAACAGATGTGTCAGTCAATTTCCCACACTTTCACGGGGATCTGAGCGAGCAGATCCCGGGCTGAGAGAACGCTCTTGACGAGCACTCCCTTGAGAAAACTCACCCATCATTGGTAAAGGGATCTGGAACGTAAGACTCCTTTGTCTTGGCCTCAAGGCCAACGTAACCGCGAGACACTCCGTATCCGCCGGCCCACATAGTACCGGGTTCACCTACCGGTACGGGACTCCCATTGTCATCGAGGATGTAGACGTTGTTATTTGGGGTAGGGCGGCCGATAGATAGGCTGTCCCCAACAATGTGTTTCTGCATAGTGTTGACAATAGTTGTCTCCGTGGGACCGCAGCTGTTCCAGTATGTTGCATGCTTGGCCCACAGATCAGCTAGGCTATGGGGTATGTTAGCAGACACTCGAAAGAAAACGTCCAAGGAAGGGAGGTTTAGCGGGGATCGACTTACTCTTGTGAAGTAGGTTCACCAGCAGTGGCAACGACTTTGATCTTGGGATACTTGGTAGGAGGGTACTTGGATAGAATTGTCGGTGTGCAAATCAAGGTATCCAGCTGAATCAACCATTTTCATCTCATGTTAGCCCAATTCACCGCCAAGTGTAGCAATTTGGTGTAATCCATCATTTAGGATTCTGCCTCCCTCTTTGATACTTACCAGCTCAATAGCGGGTTCCCATTTGGAACCCCGGATGACAAGGGTGCCACCGTTACACAGGCACGCAAAGATTTCCCAAGCAGCTGGCACTCGAATATTAGTAATGTGAAATCCAAACCCACATCGATAAATGGAGCTGGGGTGCGTGAATTCATCTCAGGGAAAGCAACATACCCATGTCAAAGCTGATGTTCAGAACTTGTCCCACCCGGTGACCTGGTCGAATACCCAGGTTTCCGGGAGACATACAGACAAGATTGGCAACATTTCTGTGTGTTACGTCGACGCCCTTGGGCTTGCCCGTTGTACCTAAGTCGCAAGTTTTAGTTTTCAGCTGCTGGCTGGCAGGGAGGGTGGGTATAGCAGCTGCGGCCTCGGCGCTGCTAGTGAGACCTCGAAGAAATGCACGTACCGGATGTGTAAATGATGTAACATCCACCGTCAGAAGCGGCCAAATCCACCCATTTTCCATCATAGGTAAATTCGTCAAGCTGCTGCTGCTGCTGCTGCTGCTGCTGCTCGATTATGACAGGAGTGGCACCGGGGCAGAGGTCACGGATGCGATGAACAGTCGATGATAGGCAGCAAACGATGTTGCCACCAGACTGCTCAAAAACATGCCGTATGGTCGAGTCCGGAACAACGCCCCCATCAAGAGGAACATACTGGGCGCCACAGGAGAGGATGGCCCAAATGCCCACCACCATCTCGGAGCTCCTTTTCACAACGAGAGGGACCCTCTGGTGAGGGCGTACACCCAGGCTGCGGAGTTCAGCGGCCAAGGCCTGTGCCCGAGCACCGAGCTGACGGTATGTAATTTGCCTGGTGGTTGCACCAGACAAGTCATGGAGGGCCACGTTGTCGGGGAAAGACCTGACATGATGGTAGAAGGATGATGTGACGGTTGGGAAAGGGCACGGCAGCCTGGGGCCATACTGCATTGCAGTATAGTCCAAAGGGGGACTTGACATCTCCATGACACCAGATGCTATATAAAGCGTATGTCTCTATGTCTGTATGGATATGCAGGTATCTTGATGTCGTGTGATCAAGTAGATGTGGATGGGTATGAGGTGAATGAGAAGAGCAGAGTGGTGTGAAGAAGAAAGACAATGAGATCGGAACGTGCTGCTGCTCGTCCAACCCGACGAAGAGGCCGAGGGCCACCATTTATATACGTGAGAGGAGAAGAGTCCTTGTTCTTTCATCCCCCCTCTTCCAACGGCGAACGTCCTGAGGAACCCTGTCTAGGAAGGGTCCGGCCCATGGTGAACCATGCATCGTAGCCCTGACTACGATGCGGACAATAGCGGATCAAAGGTATTCGACGTAGGCACGAGCGACTTGTTGGTGTGGTCTTTGCCGCTTCTGAGCGAATATGAAAGTGTGTGAGTGGTCTTGGTGGAAGACCCATCGAGATGCCGGTGTCCAATACAAAGACACCAGGGCTCACACGCGTGGAGGCTGAGACCAGCTAGGGTCAAGGGAAGAAACTGCAACATCGAGAGATACGAAGAAGGAGTGGAGGCGAGGAGGGACAGACAGGGTTCGGGGAGAGCAAGGACAAAAGGTGATATGGTACGGAGCGGTATACCAGGTCGGTTACGTACTGACCGCACCTCTCGTGATGATAGATGCTTGTGTAGGTGTGAGGGACGGGTTGATAGATCAAATTTGATTGGATACATAGTTGCCTTGCCTAGCATCGATGCGATCAAAATGCGAATATCCGCGTGGACAGTATCCGATTGCTCTCTCATTATTAATCGCGGAGTTGCTACTAGAGCTACTCCTCATGCTGCTCACTCTCCCGTTTCTCCTACTGTTGCTCCCCTCAACTTCATACCAAAGTGGAGAAGTTGTGATAAAGTGGTGTTATTAGTTGTTTAATGCAGAAAGGAGGAACGTTAGGGCCGGTTCGTTTACCGTTACATTTCCAGGAGAGGAAGTGCAGGATAAAAAGCCACAATGGTGTATATATCAAATATACCAGCTCGGGGGAGGGAGAGAACGGTGATGATATGAGGGATAGAGGGATGAATAGAGGGAGATGGAGTTGTCAAGCTGACGACCGTTCACAATGTCACTGAATTTTATCCAATTAGCCTTATCCAATTAGCCGTGAAGAGGGATATGGAGGTATAGTCTGTACCCGCACGGACAACCTTAGAATTAAAGCCCGAGAGGCGAACTAGACCAGCAATTGGATCTGAGCAGCTTGGTTGCCGGCAAGAGAGAGACACGGGCTGAGAGAGAGCGAAAGAGAGACAGAGGCCAGAAATGAAGGAATGCTGCGCTTGGTTACAGCGGACCAAAAAGGGAACCGAATAATACAGTGCGCAGCCCAGTCGGGGCATCCCAATGAGGCCAAAACATGGCTTGGGACACAGGCTTGGCTGAGACAATTGCGTCTGTCCATCTATACGTAAAGGTGCGTGCTTCTGACGCCCAGGTGTCGGGCAAGGCAGAGCAGATGTCGTCGATGGGGTGGGCCCCCCTGCTGGCGCTCGTATAGCGGCTGCGCAGCAGCGTATCTGCATCTGCCGGCCGCTGTCGACGCCGGGCGTGTTGGGCACCTCGAGGCAGCCCTTGCTGCGGTAATGATCCTGAGCCAACCGAGACACTGGCCTGGCTGCTCTGCCCGTTCGTCCCATGCCATTGGGAAGGGGTCGACAGGCGGAGGGAGTCGAAAAAAAGGTACCACCCCCACACCCCATACCTAGGTAGGCACACGCCCCCAGAAAAGCGCAGACTGTGAGGGGCCGTACTTGGAAGCGTGCAGAGTTGTGCAGAGCCCGTCAGGATGGGATGGCAGATCCACTACCCCGGTAACCCATGGCGGCGGATGCGGATGAAATTGGTAGGTGGTGCCACAAGGCGGCCAGCATGCGCGATGCAGCTACGGCGGTGATGGCGCTGCATCTTCATATTGGGCGATGATGGCGATGGTGATGGTGATGATGATTTGAGTTGTCGATGCATGTGAGGTTTGTTATGGAGAGAGATGAAAGTAGAAGCTTCGAGAGGAACTAAGATAGAAGTTGCAGGAAATAGTAGCCTGAGGCCACATGCGAGGAACTTTTTTTGCAGCCCGGCAAGTCTTTTCCAGCAATGCAGCGTGAAGATGGAAGGTGCGGCCGAAAAGGGCAATCCTGTGCAAAATGCGTGCAATTCCGTGCAATTACGGCCGATTCTGCTGATTAACCCATGCAATCGGGGCCTGAGCAGCTGCTTCCTTTTTTTGCCCTGTTTTACATCCAAACTTTCTTTTGCATCGTGTGTCTTCCGCTGTCTCTGGCTGATTTTACTCTCCGCAGATAAGATGCCCGCAAGCACTGACTCTGAACCGTCATCTATCACCAAATTGATCCATGTCCTCAGCTGGGTATTGCCTCTCTACCTAACCGCGTACTATATGGATTAGTACCTACTAGGCACTCTTAGTACCTGATCTGTCAACTCCCGACCAACCTGGGCCTTTTGTTCTTCCCCCAGCATCGTCGACGACTAGCCAACACCCACAGAATGCCTGCTAGGCTGAGGTGGCCCTAGACTCGTCCGTTTGGGGTGCATTTCGACGCCCCGTCCGTGCCAGGGGGGAGCTCGAGTATGACGATAACACAGAGGAAATTAACAAGCGCCAGTCTGCCAGGTTCCTGCGTTCTCGGCCGCCCTTTGACGGCATCAGGCCCTCGTTCTGATGTGATATGTTACAGACGCCGTGCACGAGACGGCCATATGACAGCATCGACGGGCCCGCCATCGCGCTTATTGCAATCGATCACGATATCCCTGTTCCAAGTTTGCTCATGCAGTCGGACATCCAGAGCTACGTCCAACCCAACCTCGCACCCACCCTCGACTCGACCTGTCAATCGCGGGTCGACAGGGTCAGGATCCGTCTCCCTATTGGCACGCACGACATTGCACCCTAATTGCCTACCCACGCATATGCTACCTCTTTATCTCTCCGGGGTAGAGCTCCCCGAAGAGGTAGTAGCAACGGGGCCAGAGAAGTAAATATTGAGAGAGCTTACGGCACAGCTAAGCACGAGCTTGGAGAGCTGCCGGCCTATCAGTGGAGTCCGGCGCGTGATATGCTCGGGATGCTGCCGTGCCATTCGTTTCGTACAGCTGTATATAGCACGATCCCCGCCTGCTTCTTTGCAGCCCAATGGCCGTACCCCAACTCCCTATCATATTCCCATCTAATCGCCTTTTCTCCTCGCTCTTGCGCCAACCTCTTGTCTAGCAACACCAGACACATTCTACTATCTACGTGTCATTTTTACAAGGTTCCCGGCTAAAGCGGACTGATCGGCAATCTCGTCAATATGTCCGGATCTGCATCTACGCTCGGAGGACTCATCCAGGTTTCCTCCCCGGCCGATGGTGTCAGAACCATCACCTTCAACCGACCGCAGAAGCGAAATGCTCTGTCCAGTGAGCTTTTGGCCGAATTCCTCACTGAGCTGTCTGCAGCTTCCAAAGATGCTGCTGTCAAAGTCATTGTCCTGACGGGCTCTGGCGGATTCTTTTCGGGTGAGATTGGACTTTTGACTTTACATGGTTGATCTGAGAGGCGTCAACCAAGCGTGAGAGGGGCAAAAGACTGTCTCTCTTCTCACCTGTCTCTTTGTCTTTTGTCTCTTGTCTCTTGTCTCTTGTTTTTTGCCCCTCGTTCCTTTTCAAGTGCTTCTTGGGTCCACCGGAGATGAACCCCAGCTGATGATTACCGGGGCCCTGGCCTCTGCATAATAGCCGGCGCCGATCTCCAGGATATCGCCGCGCTCGACGCGGCTGCTGCCCGATCATGCCGATATCTCGAGGATCTTTGTACTGGCATGGCAGCTGTACGAAAGCCCCTTCTGGCAGCTGTTGAAGGACCTGCAGTACGCATGACCCCCTTGCACTTTTTTTCTCCTAGCAGTATTTGAGATATGCTAACATGGGGCTGTCCAAGCTTGGGGGTGGGTTCGAAGTTGCGCTTATGGTGAGTGGTATTGCGTCTGCATTGCACTGAATTTGCACGTGAAAATCCCGAGTACATCAACTTCCTATCTCAGCGTTCATGCCGACAACATACGCACCTCCTTTCGACATCGCTTGATAAACATACAGATATGCATAGCCTTACGAATACCTGCTCTACCAATAGGAGGCGTCCGATATGCTGACATATGGATGACCGTAGTGTGATATGATATTTGCATCCAGAAGCCGAACCTACTTTGCCTTGCCCGAAGTTAAACGCGGGTTGATTCCGGGCGCGGGGGGCACTCAACGGCTCACGGCAGCGCTCGGCAAGTTCAAGGTATGTGCTTAACTGCATGCTTTTCAAGATTCCCAATTCATCCAATATTTTTTTCTTGCTTTACTGGTACTTTCGGATTTCATTCTGGTGTGGTTCCTGTTTCATCGCAGGACTCGTGGTACTTTTGCTGCTGCACAAGAGAGGTGTGGTGTGCGAGAACCATTGTTGTCAACACGAAATCGCTTCGTATATGTCACTCGCTCACATCAAGTCAGGCAATGCGAACAATTCTTTTGGGCAAGCCCATCACTGCCGAGGAAGGACTTTCACATGGCCTCGTTTGCGAACTCTTTGAAGACGGCAAGGTGCTCGAAGAAACTGTCAAGGTGGCCGCTGATCTAGCCGCGAATGCGACCGAAGCTATGCAGCTTGCCAAAGAGGCCATATGTCGTGGTAAGATGTCATTTGATCCTTTGTTGAACTTTTGTCGTTATCATCATTACGACTACGGCTAACGCAACATTGTGCTTTTTTCTCCATCAATAGCTGATAGCCTTGGGCGTGATGACGAGTTCGAGAGGACTCTCTATTACATCACGATGGGAACGGAGGAAAAAGTGAAGGGGGTGAATGGATTCCTCAAGAAGACTTAGCTTCATTGAGTTTTGCTCAATATCAACTGAGGGCCTTGCATGACGCATCGACCCAATGAGCAGAGGAGAGTCCTAGCACACATAACGTGCTTTCGGACTATAGCACGCGAAGTCAATCATTTGCCTTGTCAATCCTGAGGTATTTTGCGTGGGTACAATCGTACCTGTGCTTTATGGATGTTTATCTTTCAAGAATGAGAATGAGCTTGTAATACTCTGTACCGCCTCTAAGCGTTCAGTCTTGATTATCCACTTGAAATGGCCCGTCACAATCGCCCGTTCTCTCGCACAACGGCACAGCTGCCCATACAGGTAACGGCCGGGTTCTAACGATTTCCCAAAATAACCTCATAAACAGTTTTATATCGCACCGTTTGTTCCATACGGGAGAAACCTCCCGACCGTTGGCACCTTTTGCCGCAGTGAGGCAAAACGTTTTCTTAGCATTTCGCGGAATGGCCATTCTGCCAAGCACCCCACAGAAGGTGAAACTTTCGTATATCAACAAATAATGATGAAGCTTTTTACACATGAGTGCTGACATGTTTCAGTCTTGCCTTCGTAACCATGGCTATATCCGGGCTAATACCCACGGCAGACGAAGGCATCGCAGATTCCCGTCGCGCGAGTCAGAGAGATGCCATATCCCTTGGATCGTGTTCCTGCTTAGGATGAGTCTAGAAGACTGCCTATAGGATATATGGTTGCTGCTGTCGCATTGCAGTATGGGCCCGAGACACACATCTACACTCCAACCAACCAGAAAGGCATGGCCAACAGCGGCATACAAGTACCAGACAGACACTCACACAGATACCACGATGCCACATCCTAGCTGCAGATGACACTTGGCACCGCACAAGTGTAAAACACATAGAGGCAATGGGTGTGATGATGGTGTGGGGGCGACATCCCTTCTTGCGCAGATTGGCTTGACTGAGATTGTGCCACCATCCATCTCAACTCGCGCCAACAGAACACAACACAACACAGACCTGGGCCATGATGGCTCGCCCCAATCGCCATCAGATTCATTCAATCGGTTGAGCAATAATGAAAAGATCGGCGAGGTATGCAGATCACATGACAGTGCGACACCGCATCGTGTCTCAGTCATTTTAAAGCCGCTGCATTAGCCTGCCGCATCTGCATCTCTCCAGGTCGAACATGGCAATTTCCATTCTATATTTACAGGCTCTCTCGTTGCTGAAGCTGAGATCAAGAGACACACAGAAACATGGAGCTCCCCGTCCGGGACCTTTTTTTCTCTTTCCTTTTTTTTTTTTTTTTTTTTTTTTCTGTGCGAGACATCATACCATGAGCCACATTCCTCCGCCATCTAAGACAGCAGACTTAGACACCATCTCCCGTCCATCACCACCACACATGTCACGGCTTCCCCTCTCTTTCACACCCTCTCTCGTGTTTTTCTGTCTCTCTTTGCTCCCCTCCCCTTACCAACCCGATCCACTCTGTCCCGAAGATCCTCGCCACTACATTGGCAGTCCTGCATCGGGCCAAAAGGAGTTTTTGTCCCCGGAACAGATCAGCGCGGCAAATGTGCCTCAGACACATCACATTCTCACACCATCATTCGCTGAGACACTTGAAATTACCCACGGGCATTTTTAGGAGACTCGTACTACCCCCCAGTGAGCGGCACACCCGTCAGGGGTGCTTCCGCCTTTGCATCCCAAGAGCAATGCTACCAGGAACTTGGGAATACTTGAGATATCGCGGCCTCTTTTTGGGCCGCCACGAGGCTGAGACGATCCCGCGCACCTGGTATTAGGGATACCACTTATGACGGCAATCGTGTCGTCGTCAGCTCACAATGCAGAGAGCAGTTGCAATGCAGCTACCACAAACGAAGCATCCAGGAATAGTGGATGGCATGATCGTTGAATGAGTACTATGTAAAGGTGATCAATGCAGAAACAACCCTGAATCGGCGACTCAGGGATTACCCACCGTAAATCGATTTGCTGGCTGGACCACTCTTGAGGCAGTGCAAGCGAGATTCTTCTCTTTTTCCTTCTTTTCAATACTCAGGTGAGAGAACAACTAGTAAGGAAATCAGGTGAGATATTTTCCCTGTGGACGACTGCGGGGATTTTACTGAGACAGCATACAAGGAAACTCGCGATTCGGAGCGCGAGCCGCTTCTTCGGCCGCTTTCTGTTATCATCGCGAGGCTTAGCAGTGCCCTGTGCGGTATGCCTACCAACTCATATTATACATAATCATGAAGTTGTATACTAATATCTTAGTGTATACATATTACCATGTATATGCGGCACGTACTGGCATGGATATACGCCCAGATTCGCCTCCTTTCACAGGCAGTGTTTTCACGGTAACATATCATCTTCTTTCCAACATATACGAGCTTCTGGATTGGCCGATCGCCCATCCCTTGCCTCCCTCTAGTGACACGTCAAACTCACGCCTACACCTTTCAAGATTTAGAGCAAAGAGTTAAAAAATCCGGCTCGACATCCGGCACGGCACAGACTGACGCTAAAGGGGGGCCCCCAAAAGAAAGTCTTGTTTCTAGTTCTTCGCCGGTGCTTCGGGAACCTTTCTTTTGTTACCCGACGAAGCTTGTGGCTCATCCCTCTACCCCCTTGATATTGAGAAAACAACGCTTAGAATGCTCCTTTTCTTTAAGTTTGTTTTATCCCTTGACAGAGTTTTTCTTTTCTTTTTTTCTTGGCGTCGTGTAATCAGACGATTTTGACCATTTTCTTGCTTTCTTTTTTACTAGTATAATGATCGGGCCGACACGTTCCTGTAGATGATTCTTTAACGCCGAGGACAGTGACTTTTCGTTTGTCTCGAAGGTATGGGGAGGAAAAAGCATGGTGTATTTCGCTAAAAGTGTGGTATAGGTGACCTGTCATGTGGCTAATTAGGGTCTCCTTTTGACAGCTCCCCGAGTTTCATTGGGTGTGTTTCGTATGAGTTAGTGATGCACGGATGCGAGAAGAAGGAAAAGAGTTACGTTAACATTGGGGGCGTAAATGTAGGTTTGCATGGTTCCCTTGTGTGGATCGGGGTGCGGAGGGGAGGCGGAGATGATGGGTTCCGGGACCAAGGCATTGGGATTAGATGTAATTTGTTTGCATAACCGTAGATGGGAGGGATTGATGTGGATGGATGGATGGATTGTGTATGTTGTGTTGAGGTAGGTGTGTTGAGGTAGGTGTATGCATTGGTTGTGAAGTATATGGGATGTATGTGTATGTGTGCATCGTGGAGAGGGACGGTGTTGTTGACTTACCCTAGAATGAAGTCGAAAAATTAGATTGGAGTGTGAGATGAAGCACAGAATGATATAGATGGCTTTGAATCGGATGTCAACTTGGAGGAATATGAAGACGAACTGTGTGACGTCCATAGTCTAGGTTATGTGGTGTAAGTGAGCTTGAATCTATTCTCAAGCTGTATTCTTCTAGGCTCTCCTAACAGACACACATGCTACTTTGTTGAGATCAGACCATGCTATAAACGCAGCCCATTCAACGCATTTACTTTCCACCCATGACAGCATCACTATCCAAGTAAATTTTGCTGCGCATATTCTCTTCATATAGATAATATCTAGCTTGAATCTCACGCTCACCTCGTTGTATCGTATCCAGATCTTTTGCTGACAGGGGGGATGCAAAGCTCCAGTTTTCACCCCCACCATTTTCCCTCAACATCAACTCATCACTCATCATCACATGTCAGCAACAACTCACACACACAAACCCATTCCATCCTCATCATCAATACATCTTCGTCTCAAGTAGTAAATAGACACAAAATGGCATCTCAAAGAAAAGCCCTGCGCGACTGGCTCTACCTCTTCATCATCGGCACCCAACTCTTCGGCATGCTAGGTTCGTAAACAAACAACAACATAACAACCCTCCTCTCCCCCAATCCCTGACAACAAACTAACAAAACCATCCCCAAAGCCCTCGATCTCGTCGCATTCTACCCCAAGGCACTCTATCAACCCCCCTCCTCCCCGCTACACTTCCTCCTCTCCCTGCGCGCCTGGTACGTCGCGTCCACCGGCGACCCGTTCTTCGCCCAGGAATCCCACCAACCCTGGTTCGACGTCTTTCTCTACATCGAAGGGCTCGTGCAATTGCCTCTCGCAGCGTATCTCGTCTATCAATTGGCTTCTAGCAAGCCGACTTCGGGGCCTGCTGAGCTTGCTGGGCTGGCGTTTGGGTCGGTTACCTTTATGGGCGCTGCGGCGTGTTGCTTCGAGTTGTTGCATATGGGTGAGGATGTGGTGAGTGAGGATAAGAAGGGGTCGTTGCTGTATGGGACGTATTTGCCGTTTGCTGTCATTCGTAAGTTTCATTTCTCCATTTTGAGTTGTGTGTTTTGAGACTGATGGGTGAAACAGCTGCTGTATTGGCCGTGGATATGTATTTGCGTCTGCTGCCTCGTGTCCGCGAGACTGATGCCAAGGCAAAGACGCAGTGAAAAGGGTCTTTTGATATCAAAGAAAGCATACTCATTTACATGCCAGATATCTTGTCAAGAGAGTAATACAATGTATTAGAAAACCAAATCTTCCGGGAGCTGATTGCACTCCTTTTCAAATACGCGGTAGCCACCCAAACTCCAGTCACCAGATCATCTCATACAAGTACATGATACAAAACAGTTTCCATCACTTAGTCCTTTCTCTTAGAGTATCCCCATCCATTACCCACGCCATAGCCCAGCGGCGTAGCTCCGCCCATGGTCCGTCCCTTGAGTCTCCTGGGCAGAATCACACCCATGGTATACATGCCAGCAACCAGAAGTCCAGCAATGAACGAGACCAGACTGTAAAAGACGGTGCTTGCATAGATGTGTCCTCCCAAACCTTGCCACTCCACCCTGCCCTCCGTCTTGGGCAGCATCGGCGTCGGGAACCATCGCACAGAGAAGGTAAACGGCAGCGGATCTCCAATCACAAGCTTCTTGGTGAAGGACCCAGCCATGTGGCTCAACGGACTGGTGCTGTAAGAAACGGCCGAGTCGAGCACGCCGCTGTCGTGGTGATGCGTGTGGTGCTTGGGCATGCTGTGCAGCAGCACGTTCATGTGCGTGCTGATGTGCATGTGACTGAGCTGCAGCGTGCCGGCCAGGGCGAATATCAGGGGGATGTACTCCTGCTCCGGCAGCTTCTCGCCAATGACCTCGACGTGGGCTGGAGGGCGGGCGGGCAGGCGGCACGAGAGCGGCGCGTCGTTGTGGATGTAGAACTCGAGCAGGTGGAAGAAGGGGTCGGTGATGAGCGGGATGGTGCAGTTGAGCTCGCCCTCGACGCCGTACTGGAACTGCAGAGGCTCGCCGGTTTCGTTGCAGGTCGGGAAGGGGATCCATTGCAGCTGGTGGTTTGGTAGTTCGACATGCTCGCCCGTATCACTAAAGAAGAAGAAATGCTGCTCAGCTTCTCGTCCCATTCATATTCAAGCTTTCCTTCTGTGTGTCTGTCAGGAACTTACGAGCTTCGGTTCATGCACTCGACGTGGATTGGCGCGCCATAGTGATATGAAGGCAGCGTCCCAGGGAGATTAGCAGCCGCAAACGACGCCAGGCCGCCGACCAGAGTTGCGACGACGGCGAACAGCATCGTGGACGGAATCTCAAGGAAATTCGTTCGAGGTGGAAGCTATTCGAGATTCGGCCCCTCAGCGCTGGGCCTAGCTAATCAATCACCCCCCTTTTGTATCGCCCGCTTTGTCCTTTTTGTTTCCTGCCTTCCTTTGCTTTCAGTCTTCTTTGTCTTCTTCGAGGTTACACGCCGAGCCGCCGGTTTAAAGTCGGTTGCGATCCATTTGCCGACTGCGCAGATGCGACGGATCGAAAAAGGCGTCTCTGTCCTTTGCGATGCTGGAATTCGATGCGTGGCAAGACTAGCTTCAGAAATGTAGCGCGATGGGGTCACTAATTTCGGAGAGTAGAGCTGCGCCACCACAGTGTTGGTTGGTATTTGGAGTAATGTGGCTGCGTGGCATGCCATTTGACAGGTGCCAAGTACTCGGTATGTACAAATGGGTACCGCATCATTCCCTTCTTCATTTACTTCACTTGTGAATAATTGCATGTGATATATAAGTATATACTATCATGATCCTAATTACATCTCATCAAAGGATGCTCATTTTTACCTTTACTTGTCCACAGTCCCCCTCATGGTAATAACCAGCCACTCAATGCTCCATCCCTCACCTTTATACTTCTTCGCCAGATGCTGCTTCAACAGCTCCTTTACCTCATCCACCGAATGCGCATTTCTCACCTCTTCGCTCCAGAAAGTATTCATCACCCATGGCAGCATCATGCTAAAACAATCCACAAACTCTGACGCATCCTCAAATCTGTAAGTGCCCCGGTTCTCCTTGACTGACACGTTAGCAAGTCCCAGATCCTCAGCAAGATGCTTTTCGATCCAAGCTGCGTCGTCCCAGTGGCCGGAATGGTGCATTTGCATGGGCATTGGGTCTGGGAACGGCGCGTCGAATGGCAGTGACTCTAGTGCTGAGCGCATGTCGGGGATCCAAAAGATGTTGGCATTGACCTTGGACCAAGTCGAGGCGCCAAAGGTTCCTCCTGGCTTGAGGATTCTCATGCAATCTGCGGCTTGTAAGCACATAAAGTCCCCATACTATGAATCATTGAAAATGATGAATTTTACCTTTTACGACTGCATCTGGATCTGGCGTAATGTGAAGGGCCAGACCGAGAGCTACATGGCTAAAGGTATTGTCCGGAAGCCCTGTATCCTATGTAACAGGCTGTCAACCACAAGTATCAGGCTAGCAAGACATCAATGACATTCACTCACCATGGCATCAAGCACGTTTGCCTCAACATTCACCCACTTCTCACCCACAACCCTCTTCTTTACTAAATCCACCATGGCAGCCGAGCTGTCAGCACAAGTAAACGAGCTCCGCTGCAGAACTTCATCCGACAGCACTGCCTGCACCTCCTGCGTCACCACGCCCGATCCACACGCATTGTCCAGAAGAACCACTGGCTCCGTGATTTTATTATTGAAGCCCATTTGCTTAATGAGAGGCTCGACAATAACCCTCATGATACCGCGCGAGAACTTAGTAAAGTCTTTCTCAAAGGAAGACTGCTCCTTGGCGACGGTGTGGAAGTGATCTTGCATGGTCTTGGCCATGGTCTCAACGTCGTTTATGGCAGACATTTTTGAATGACGAAGGATGAACGATGAAGCAATAGATGCAAGTCTTGAAGACATAAACAAAATAATTCAGTAAAGTACCTTATTGAAACTGCGTCTGGTTACTGCCGTATTAAACCTGCCATCGGGTCTACAAGCACCGTCTTTTATGTACATCTGCGCAAGTATCCGATAAGTCCCCGTGCGTCGCCCCAAGCGCAAAGTCTCCGCGATGTTTGCGGTTGCAACTACCTAGCAATACATGTTCACATGCATCATAAATGGCAGAGCACCAAATTGGAAAGCAACGAGTCTTTTTTTTTATTTGACATGTATCGACTTGTGAAATGGAATTGTAGCATGTGAAGTTCAATTACCCCCCTATGCAAAGTCGCGAGCTGAATGAAGCCCTTCTAACCCCCGCACTCATTCGCCCCATCCAGCTCAGCCAAACCTGCGAATCCAGAGCCAGGGTGGAGGAATAACGGGGTTGATGCAAATTCCATCTGAATTTCTCTTCAAGTCTAAAAGTTCTCATTGCCTCCCTCTTTTTTTTTTTCTGTTTTCCTAGTAAAGTAATTGAACTTTTCTCTGTTGGTTGGTGAGACTATGGGTGTCCAGCCTACGGGAGACCTGGCGGACACAATCCAAAGCCTCAAATAGCCCCCTTTTTGTGAAACAAATGCCCAATGAATAGATACTGTGCTCTCAGCCGTCTTCTATCATCCTGGAGAAGCTCGTGTAATGAGCTTCTAAGACGGCGTCGCTTCAAAGGTGCTGGCTGGGGTTTTAGAATAAACGTGGATGTTTTCGGCCGATTTCTGCGGGCGGTTTCTGTGGGATCGGAGCCGAAAGTGGGGGGCCGGGGAGACGGACATGTCCGGCGAGGAACGTATCATTTGATGGCATCGACCTGAGATCTGATGCTTTTGGTAATCGTATGTATCGTACAGGCATATGATTTATATGCGGGTATATAGTATATCGTCATCGTAAATGGTGTATCAGAGCATTATGCTTTGATTTCAAGGTAAATAGAAGGAGACAGTCTCCTCGTAGAACAAAGGAAAGTCGTTTATCGAAAAAAGAGTGAAATGGCCAGATCCAGCTGGCCCGCCTCAATCCGGCACTCCGGACTGCAACATCACAACTCATCTCATCTCCCCAGAAGAATATGAGAAACCAAATAGTAGGTATACAAGAGCAAGAAACAAAAAATAAACAAAAATCGCCGTCCAAGCTCCCCTCTTATATACCCACAGCCTACGTACGGTACCTGACCTTGCCTTACTCCTCATCCGCTCTCCACAATCAAATCAGGCACGCAAACCAACACCTTCAAGAGGAGAAGTAAAAAAAAAAGGTACCTGCAGCTTCTCTCCCCCCTCCACGGCCGACTCAAACCATGCCACGTATAACCGCCCTCCACGGCCCTCAATCCCAAAACGGGCTTACGCTCTAGCCCATGCCGCAAAGCAAAGTGCCCCATTAGGCTTCTCCCCTTGCTGCACGTCCGAACCGAAATCCCAAAAAAGTGACGAAACCTAAAAAAACAACAATTCGATAAACCAGAACAAGAAAAAAAGAAACTAGACCAGCCAAAGGAAAAAAAAAAAAGTGAGGCGGTCTGCAGCCCTCCCCCTCTTCTGTATGTACGTGTACTACAAGCCCCATCCTATCAACTCGTGCCGATCCCACGAGCCACTCGCCTCACCGGAAAACGACCAACATTGCGGCCCCGGAGATGCAGCAAAAGCTTCCACTTTTTTTGCTTGCATCCTAGTACATCATTTGTTCCTTTCCCGCACTTTCCGAAAGGTCCAATTCGCACGCTTATGCTGCTTCTGCTCTCCTACTGGTCGTATTTCGCCCCCCCTGGCGTTAATGCGGTTGGATAAAAATCGCCCATCCCTTGGGCATGAATCCCATTTGGCCAAACGAAAAACGAGGCGAGTGCCATCATCCGACCATCCAAAATAAATCCAATCAAACGTCATCATCATAAACCATAAAAAAACATAAGGCATTTCTACACTGACCAAATCAGGAACAAATGGGAAAAAATAGAAATTGTTCAAAAACCCGCGCTCTCCAGTGTTCTTTTGGCCCTTCGCATAATACTACATAAACCTACCTAACTAGTTCATTCGCGTTTCTACTTTATCCACGCTTCTGCATATATATGCCCCTTGTGTGTGTGTGTGTGTGTGTGTGTGTGTTGTTCGTGTTGTGTTCTTCTCTTATACAAATAATCGGAATCTTTAGTTTAGACTGAACCCTTGCCCATTTGGCGCCCCATCACAAACCATAATTGCATGTGTCCTTTTTTTTCTGTCGTTACTTTCTTCTCCTCCTTTCATTCTTCGCTTCCCTCCCTTTTTGTGTTTCGCTCTTCCTGCCCCTTTGGACATGACTTTGAATCAAGCAAAACTAAAAAGGCAGAAAACAAAAAGAAGAGTATAAAAAAAGTGACAAAATGATTACCATCTTCCTTCCACACCTCCCTTCCTCCGACGTAGCTACCATGAAAAACAAAATCAAGAGAGAAATAGGAATTAGAAAATAGAGTCCACCCGGATCCGCTCACATCTCACATCTCACATAAACCTCATGCTCGCCGCTGGCACCACCCGCTCCACTAGCCCGGCCACCTCTCTCCGCAGCATCCTCAGCGCTCGTCGTACGTCTGCCAGGTCTGCGCCGCCGTTGTTGTGGCCCTGGCCCGGTCCTGGCAAGGCAGCCTCGCAACGTTGCAAAAGGTCGTTGATAGAAGGGCCAAGCGAGCCTCCCTTACCTGCGCCGCCACGTCGCCGTACTTCAGCCACCCAATCGCCGATCACGAAGACGATGATCTCGATGATGCGGTTGCGCACCATGCCGCTAAAGCCATAGTCCTGCGTATCAAATACGCTCTCTAGCACGCGGACAATCATATCATGGGACACGCCCAGAGACAGGAATAGCTGCACCGGCCACGTAGGATCGGCGCCAATCGTCGTGTCTTGCTGGAAAGCGACCGCATACCGACACAGCTGCGGAAGAAGCGTCTGGATGGGGAACACGAAGCTATCGAGCGACGTGTGGTGAGCAATGTTTTGAATTTTGCTTGTCACGGCTTCGTACGGCAAGGGGGGCATCTGCATGCTCGCCTCTATCGCCTCGTGTCTTGCCATGACTTCGTCGTGAGTCTGCTGGATCAAGTTATCCCACGTCGACGAAATGGTCGTGGGGTTGCGGTAGTTGGCCGTGTGGTAGATCAGCAGGCACAGATCGTAGTATCCTGCCTGATCGGCATAATCGTTGAAGAGCTGCACAAAAGTGCTCGTTAGCATCCGGAAACGGAGAAAATGACAACTGAATAATGAAAAGTGACATGTTGCAAAAGAGGGACAACCAGAAAAAGTTCGGCGCATTTTGGGAAATGTTCATCGGGGTGTCTTACCTCTGACAGGCTAATGATCCTACCATTGAGAGCCTTTTCAATCTCAACCTTTCGATCCGCATCAATTCTGTCGTCTGCCATCAAGCGACCCAGCAGGTCGTCCTGGATGTTGGCCACCTCAAGCAGGTCCGTCACCTCGTGGTTCAGTCTCTGCTGCTGTTGTCGGCTGATGCCGACCGTCGCCACGTTAGCATTGGCCTTTGCCAAGCTGAGAAGCCTCAGCCTATCCTTGATGCCGAGCGCAAAGTCGGAGCCGGCCAGCTCAGCTTGCACTTCGGCCGCGTCAAAGAAGCGGCTTCGATTGGTGTAGAAGCGGCACAGGAGGTCGGCATGCTCCACGTTGGTGCCCGCCAGCCGCTGCAGGAAAGTGATAACGTGCGGCGAGTCGATGCCCAGTATCCGCTCCGTCCATCCCTGCTCAATGTACCACTCGTACAGATCAAAGTGGAACACTTCGTCATCCGACCCGTTGACCACCTCGTAAGCCTCATTTCTCTTTGTTGCGATGAGCGTTGGTCGCCCGTCAACCATAAGCGGCTCGAGGCTTGAGGCTGCGTCCAGATGTCGAAGTATCTCGTGTATCAGGTCGTAGACTTTCCGCCTCTCACCAAAGGCGCTGATGCGAGGATCGCCCGCGGGCTTGCCATCATTGATCCACATCAAGGCAGTATTACCTCTGTCTTGCTCCCGGGCGACGTAGAGACAGAGCTGGATTGCGCCGGCGTAATACTTCATATCAATATACTGCCCAATAGCAGTTTGCAAGTTGTTATACGTCAGGCTGCGCGCTACTTTCTGGAAGAGGGTCAAGCTCTCGTTGAGGAGGATTCTGGACTGGTTGGTGTTGGGGGGCTGCTCAGAAGCTCTCTTGAGCGACTCCTGAGCCTTGAAGATGACTACATCATCTGGGCTGCAGAAGCTGCCGCATCTCCGCCTGAGCGCGTCGGCGACTGTCTCGACATTGGAGCCACTCTCAATGTTGCGGTTAACGATAGCCTTGACAAGTAGCTTGGCGAGATCCTTGCCATCCGCCTGTGAAAAGAGCTTCTCATACGTCAAATCCTTGAGGTGCTGCCGAGCAGCATCATCCAGCCTAGCATAGATGTCTGACACACGCTCGTCAAACAGCATGAGAACAAATGAGATGCCTTCTGAGATGCTCTCCATTAGCCTTTGCAGAGCATGCAGCGCCTGGTGCTCTGCCTGCAATGCCACCTCCTCCTGTCTGCTGGAAACTCTCTGCAAGTCAGAAGGGCCAGACATCCCCTGAATGAGGCCCTTGTTAGACTCGATGAATTTCCTTAGGCGTTCAAGGTTCTCTTGGATGGCGATGAGCTTGGGCGGAGGGATTGTAGAGGACACGGAAATCGTTCCATTGGGAGCAACACTCGACTTGATGACGGTGGCTTTCCACAGCTTCCTAATCAATCTCGACAAGTACAGCGCCAATGCATCGTGCCGGGACGATAGCTTGACTGAATCTGTTGTGAGTGATGACGAATCTGTTTCCACAATGGTGGGCTGACCACCAAAGTCGACGAACAGGGCTCTCGCTCGATCCTCCGTTACCTGGTCAATTGCCTTGACGGAGCCTGGTCTGGAGTCGCCTCCATGGCCACAGGCCACAGCCAACGCTGTCGAAACCGTCTCCACGCGACCATAGAGGAAAATGAGACGGCGACACATGAGATCCAGCGCCTCATCTCCGGGGGCATCTCGAATAGCGGCCGCAAAAGTATCCACTAACCTCCGCCGCCGGATGACGTGAATGCCAGTGTTGGTAAGAACAGCAAACTCGCTAGGTGCCTCGTCGAATTGAACAGCCAGTTCATTACCAAATCCTACCGGCTGATTAGCAGCCGCAAAGGGCTTCGTGATTAGGCCGACAGCCTCGGCTCGGCTGCCAATATCAATCCAGCTCGCTTGCTCAAAGTATCTCAGGGGTGTCGTAGGTGAAGTTCGCTTTATTCTTCCAGTCTCGGGGCCAGCCACAAACAGGGAATCGGAATTCGGGTCGTCCTTGTTGCTTACAAAGTCCAAGAAGAATCCAGGTGGGAAGCGGGCACCTTGTCTGCTGGAAATCAACATTGTTGAATCGAGGTCCACCACGGCCTCTCCTGAAGGTTGACCGTTCAACCCAAATTGGGTTGTTGATCGCCGAGCAAGTGCTGAAGGAGGAAATTTGATAAACTGAACCTGCATGCTCTGAGGAGCCAGGTTTGATTGGGATCCGTACAGATAGGAGGATGCATTAGTTGCGCTGAAGAAGAGACGGCAGCCAGTGTCAGTCAGCGCCATGAGGTGCAGTTTCGACGCTTCTTGCTTAGAGATGGGACTGATGGAAACAAGGTTGGTTCGATCGGTCAAAAGCTTGGACTGTGTAATCATGTGCGCAATATCTCGGAGGCAGTGAAGCTTTGTCTTTTCAATCACCTTATTTAGCCGTTCGGGAGACTCCATGTGATAGGTTCGAATAGTCGATGTGCTTGACAGAGTGTAAACCAGCTTCCTCGTATCGTCAATGACAATGTCGACCAGATGCTCGGGATCCCGTTGAGACCAAAAGCCAGTCTGCATGCTGACAACCGAGGACCAGCCAGGGTTCGAATGGTTGATCTTACCACACCGATTCGAAAACCACTTTTCCTCAGATTGGTAGTAAAGCTCGTTGATGTCGACATCACTGCATCCGCCATAGAAGATACGGCCATCCGCAGAGCCGCTAATTACACGGATGTCGTTGCCGCGAGTGGGAAGGACCATCTTGGTCTGATACAGTGTAACCGTCTTTGTCCCGGCAGAGGTGTCTGTCGCAGATACACCAAGCAGGATGATCTCTGAAGAGGTCGCCACGACCAGGATATGTGTGATTGTGCCGACAAAAATGCCTGGCTTCGGAGGAACGAGGGCCACAGCGTGGATTGTGTGTGGCTGGTCCTCAAAGCCAATAAGCTCGGGGTCGGAGTGGGTGTAGTCCCAGAGGAAGAGCGAGTTGTCAATCACCACCCAGGCGTGGTTGATCTCAGCAAATAGGCCCATAAGGGTTTGGAGCTGGCCAGAGTTGTAATGATCAAAGACCTGGTTCGGGATCGGGTACATGTTGGTCTTCTGGAAGGGAGCCCAGGCGGAATCGGAGCCTGGCAGCTCATAGTCGGATGATGCGCCCTCTGAACGCGTTTGCTAGTCAGCCTCGTCTCTCGTGTGATCTAGTGAGCACGCCAAACTTACGTCTACAGTAGGAATCCAGGTCGGGAAAGCTCTCGTCGAGTTGCAAGAAGGCGTTGATGGCCTTTGCGGCCTTGAGGACGGGCGGGATGTTTTCGACGCGTGGGGGCGGCAATGGAGTCAGCGAAGCCAGCCCTCCCCCCTCTGTGTTTGCCGTCGCCGTCACCGCCGTCGTGCTCGTCGAGACCGTGCCCTGGGCGGCTGTTGTGGTGGCGGTAGACGTCTGAGCATTCTGGCTGTCGGACGGGAACAGCGTGCGGCGGACGGGATCGTGAGTGTTGTTCTGGTAGCGCGCGACAATGGCTGGCGTGTTGACAAAAGCGCCCGGCACGGGGCGCAGCGGCGTCACTGGAGGAAACGACATGTCGGGCAGCTGATGGGATTCGTGATCGTGCCGTGGCAGAAACTGCTTCACCTTCACCTTGCCCTTGACCTTGACCACAGCAACGCGCCGGTCAGACCATCAAGGACGAGCTGCACGTGCCGTTGGGAGAGGCGCAATCCGAAGCTGCGCGTCCAAATCCGAAGCTCGTCGCCGCGATCGCTAATTGGGTGGCGGCGTGAGATGCGGGAGGAAAGGATGGCGATGGCGGCTGGAGCAAAAAGATTGATCAACTTCTTTGATTATTTTGTAGCACTGGGAGGTTGGTACAGCTCTGCATTTTTCGTCCCTGGGCGTGGAAATGCGCTAGGCCGCATCAGGGCTTGTCTTGGCGCTGTGACCGAACGCTTTGGATGCCTTACATAATGCAGCGTCCAGCATTCGCGGGCATGTAAACAATCACGAGAGTGCACTCTGATTCGAGCCTTTTCTATGTTGACGTCTTCTGTGTTTTTTATTATGCATGCAGTCCTTGTAGGAATATTTCATCTCCCCATATATACCCATATCAAACCACCAATGCGAGGCCACCGATTGATAGCCGTGATACGCTTCATATCCCCCCTGCATGCTCATTGAATAAACCCAACACAGGGCGATTCACTTTCCGTTCATTAGCCCAGTCCCTCTTGTTGTTCATCTTGTTATATATGCCAACTATTTCATAGATATTCACTTTGATATTACGTCGAATTCAGCCATCATATAGGCCAAGTAAAGTCAATTGATAAGTATCACTTTCACGCCCGTCTCCTTCGCCTGTACAAGCTTCACGCGCCTCATAAATACAATATTAGGGCTAACCATAGACTGCCATTGCAAATATGATTACTTAGTACTTGTTATCCCTTTTCTTTAGCCTCACAAATTCATATCTTACATAGTGTGGCCGAGAACCCATGGTACAAAATGTATTAACGATATTTCATCCAATCGTTAGTCGCCTTTGCCATTAGTCTCATACCGCGCCATAAGTCTGTTATATCCTTTTCCGCTTCTTTTCGGTACCGTTTCAAAATATAGAGGCTTTGAGCCGGTTACTGCTTCTTTGCCTCGCGGGCCTGCTTACGAAGAGCGCGGCGGCGAATGTCAAGATGCATCTTCTTGTTGTACCAGATCGTGAGGGGGCTGTTGACACCAGCGACATTCTCAATCACCCACAGCATGAATGCATGGCTCCACCATGGAGTGTAGGTGTTGGGCGCGGTCTGGTAGCCGCCAAGTCCAATTTTGCTCAGTGTAGACTTGACGAAGCCACGGGGGTTGGGCACGAGCAAGCTGGTGCGGCGAACCTTGCTCATGGCGGTGGTGACAAGGTGGCTGAGGACCAGGTAGACATCGACGTTGTAATCAGCAAGCTCAGATGACAGAGCATTGCTCCACTGCTGGAGGAAAGCCTTGCTACCAGAGTAGGTAGCCAGGTAAGGCGTGGGAGTCCAACCACCGAAAGAGCCCATGGTCAAGATCAAGCCACGCTTGCGCTTCTGAAGAATGGGGGCAACAACCTGCGTAGTCTTCAAGGTTCCAAGGCAGTTGATGGTGACAATGTTCTGCAATTCCTCCTTGGGCGTCTCCAAAAAGGATACGGGCATGCTGTGGCTCTGACCGACGTTGTTGATCAGGATACCAACGTCCAGATCCTGCACAAGCTCTCGTAGTCTCTCGTAGTCCGCATCGTTGTCCTGGGCAAAGTCCATTGCCAGCGTCTTGACCTGCAGACCCTTGCCGGTGTACTTTTGTTCAAGGTCCTTGGCGAGAGTATCGAGCTTCGACTGGGTTCGGGAAACGAGCACGAGATTGAAGCCTTTGGCAGCGAGCTGCGTGGCATATTCCTTGCCTAGACCATCGGAGGCACCGGTGATGACAGCCCAGGTGCCAGGCTTGCCATATTTACGAAGCTGTTGTGATGTCAGCAACAGAAGAAAAAATGGTTCAAGCTGCAGACGCGAGGAGGGGCTCTCTTACATTGGTGCCAGGGAGCAGAAACGAGCTGAGGACCAGCTGGAGGTAGCTGAAGAATTTGGACCCCAAGTAAAGGGCACCAATTCCAGCCAGAGCCAACTGGACAGGCTGAGGCACGTTCTCTAGGAAGCTCGTAATCGACTCCATGATGGCGGCGTTCTGTGTTGAAAGGTTGAAGATAGGCCGTGGGAGAAGATTTGATTTTGGTGGGAGCTTGACTTAGTGATCTACAGGCTGTTGGGAACAGCCACTTGGCCAATCATGAAAAGTTACGGGAGGTCCAGGTTAGCCATTCGCGGCCTAGCCAAAGGTAAAAGACATGTCCCGAATATTCACCAACGCTGCGATATTAACGATAATTTACTTATGAGATCAGTGATATTTTGACAATTGCAGATGTATAGGGGTCTGGTGAATCACATATAAGTATTTTTACAGATATCTAAAATGTGCGATCTGTGATGAATCTTCTTCCATAGCTTGGGTACCAGCCCTGTACTGAGTCGGCGGCCACGGGAATGTCCCAGTACCTGGCACTAGAAGACGAATTCCCGTCCCTCTAGCTCAACACTGCTCTACCCTTTCAAACCTCCAAGTTTCCAGCCCAGACACTTCCAATTGCACCAAACACCTCAGCCATGGATTTCATCAAGTCAATTCTGCCGCCAAACAAGGGCATTTTGCCCTACTACATGCTCATCGTACGTATCGAACCCTAATAAGCATCTTGAACCCCGCCCACTCGCTAACAAATCCATCTGCCCACCAGCTCTCCGTCGTGTCAATCGGCAACTCTCTCCAGGCCTACACGACCCTGCACTTCTCACGGCGCGTCTACAACGGCCGCTTCATCCGAAACCCCAAGCTGCCGCCCGCATCCGCCAACTTCAACCCCGAGGACTCGGCCAACAAGCTGGTCCACGCCCAAAACGACCCCAAGGCCGAGGACCAGCTGACGCCCCTCGCCGGTCGGCTGTTTGGAACGTGGACGCTCATCACTTGCATTGTGCGGTGCTACGCGGCGTACCACTTGAACATTGGGCCGGTGTACAACATTGCCATCTGGACGTATGTCGTGGCGCTGGGCCATTTTGCCAGCGAGTTGTTTGTGTTCAAGAGCATGACTTTTGGCCTTCCCCAGGTGTTTCCCTTTACGCTGGCTACGGCGGCACTCATCTGGATGCCCATGGTCAGAAGCCATTACGTGGAATTCGAGTAGGATGTGCCATGCCATATGCTACTATGTAAACAGCGGTGAAAATGTAGGAATAGTATCGAGAATATATAAAGAATCCAAAACTTTTATAATTATCTATTTGAAAGCAGAGCCGCTTAGCTCAGTTTGTTTCTGTACAGCACTCCATCGCATGCCCGGAGACGAGTCGTTGCCTGCTCTGGAGTAATATCTCGCTGTGGCTCCGCCATGAGCTCGAATCCAACGAGGAACTTCTTGACCGTCGCAGACCGCAGCAGTGGAGGGTAAAAGTGCATATGGAAGTAGGCATTCTCAATTTCCTCGGGTGTTCCATCCAACGGAGCCTGGTGGATGCCCGAGCTGTATGGGAAGTGGGTTTCAAACAGATTATCATATCTCCGAGTAACCTCCTGGATGGCCTCTGCAAGCTGCAGCCGCTCATCAGCTGTGAAATCGACGAGGGCGCGGATATGGCGCTTGGGCAAGATGAGGACTTCAAATGGCCAGACAGCCCACCACGGGCACACAACGACAAAGGAGGCGTTTTGCCACAACACACGTTCCCCCTTTTCCAGTTCCAGCTTGACATAGTCTGCTAGCAGATGCCTTCCGTGCTTCTGACGGTATTTGGTCATTTGTGTCAGCTCTTTGCCCGGCTCTTCTGGCATAGTAGACGTTGTCCAGGCCTGACAGTGAGGATGCGGGTTGGAGCAGCCCATGACTGCACCCTTGTTCTCAAAGATTTGCATATAGCGGTAGTTGTCCTTGGGAATAGGGGCTTCTTCCCTGGAAATGGAAAGCTGAAGCTTTGCTGCCACTTCGGAAAGCGGATTTGACGGGGATAGATGGTTGGCGTAGAGCCGGGTCCAGTGGTCAATCGTTGGGAGGATGTCTTGGGCCGGCATATCTGCAAGAGTGGTATTGTGCTTTGGTGAGAACGTCAGAACATAGCACACTCCCTTGACTCCCTGAGCGCGCAGCAGAAGCGACTCCAAGTCTGTATTGCTTGATTAGCACGGGCCTATGCTCACTCATCATGAGGGACATACCATCTGACGACTGGGAGACCTCATAGTCGGGCTGCTGCTCTTTGACAGCGCTGTAGTCATTCACAAAAGCAAATGTCTTGTCATAGTTGGGGTTCTTGTCGCCGGCAGCGCGAGGATTGCCAGGACAGAGGTAGCACTATGTGAATTGTTAGATGAGTCTATGTAGACATGTGATGGCTGTAGCATCTTAAAACCGCATGATAGTTGAACACTCACCTTGGGGTCATACTCCGGCAGAGTCGTTACGGACGCACTCTCTTGCTGGCCCCTATAAAATAAAGCAAATCAGCATAAAAGGACATGTAATCAACTTTGAATCTTCACTTACTGCCACGGTCGCTTTGTCCGGTGAGGAGAGACGAGCAGCCAGCTGTCTGTTAGTGGGTTGTACCTCCGGTGGGAGATGTCGTCAAGAATGGTGTCGGGCATGACGGCGACTGTTATTACTGGTGCTCAAACAAGAAACGAGCCGACGGGAAGAATCTGCGAGCAAAGATCCGGGAGAATAAATTATACGGAAGGGAAGGGATAGGCTCTGTCCGTGGACTATATTGAATCTCGGAGAATAAAGCTGAAGCTAGGCCGGAGGATCTTGAGGTGAGGGTCCCATCAAGGACCAAAATTCGGGCTAATACGTCAATTAGCTGTTCGGGAGGCTTTTGGGAGCGCCGGATTCTGGCAAGCGGGTCAAGAGTATAAGCGCGCCAACAGAAGGGCCAAGCATTAATCGTGTAGCATTCCATCCAATTGCTGGGCGATCCACGGTTGAAAAGGAACTATTGCTATGTGTTGCATTATGGCCTTACACAGGGGATTATTATGACGCATTCATGGCAGGATTGATGTGGGCTGTGATGCGTCATTTAGCACTGCATCATCAGATGGATCAAAAAGGCTTTCACATGCTTGGATTTATTGGGTGAGCATTTCCAGATAACTACGAGGTAAATACCTACCTGTATTATAGACCAGTAATACAACACAGCGTACGAAATAGACAGTGCATGCATGGCGTTACAGCGATACGGCAAGCTGCAAACTTTGAGGTGGGGCACCTGAAGCAGCAGCAGCAGGCTCAAGTACCTGAGTACTAATGTGGCTGCAGGGTTGAATTCAGCGGGAAAGAATTATAGCATGGAGGCTTGGAGATTACAAGTACTGCATACGAGGAAATGCAGAATCGATGATAGAAACTTTAGAGATGCTGATACAGAACAACAAGTACTCTCTACATCTCTCCAATCTGCAGATTCAACAACAGAGAACAAGCTGAGGCGATTACACATCAATGGCAATGTCACGTGATGGCATCCCTCGTCCGCATCTGGTCTAGTGCCGCTCTGCTGCCTCAGAGGCTCCAGCGAATTCCATGGCCGAGCGCATTGCTGGCTCCACCGGATCGCGACATCCCAACATCATCTGGCCGCGGTTGCTGGGCGGGATTTGACCTCGTTTCCATCGGCCACCATCGCAGTTCTGTGAAATCCATCAAACAGAGCGCCGCATCTACGTCTCCCCCGCGCGCGCTTTCCACAGACACTCTTTTTATCTCGCTACCGCATCTGCAGCCCCCTTGCCGGCTGCCGCTGTTTTTCCGGCCTGCTCCACCAATCCCAGGGTGCGAAGCTTCGCGCCAAACCGCTGACGTGCTGCGACACTCTGCAAGATGGGCGTTATTCGCAAGAAGACGGCGACGAGGGGAGGCGAGGGTGGTGTGAAATACGTATGCGACGTTTGTTCGTGCGACATTACATCTACGGTGAGTGAAGCCGCACCCAATTGGCATCGTCAATCCCCATCTCATGGCTCCAGCTGCTGACATAACAAAAGGTCCGTATCAGATGCGCCGACCCTGCATGTTCGGATTTCGACCTCTGTGTGCCTTGCTTCGGCAAGGGAGAATCTCGCAACGCCCACGATCCCGCAACACACTCGTTCCGCGTAATCGAGCAGAATTCGTTTCCCATATTTGACCGTGAATGGGGAGCTGACGAGGAACTGTTGCTGCTCGAGGGCGCGGAGATATACGGACTCGGCTCATGGGCGGATATCGCCGACCACATTGGCGGGTTCCGCGAAAAGGATGAAGTACGCGATCACTACCTTAAGACGTTCGTTGATCCATCCACCTTTCCGCTGCCCAAAAGATGCAGCCCCCATGACTGCGAACTTGCCAACGAAATCCCACGAGAAGAATTTCAATCTCGCAAGAAGAGGCGAATCGAAGAGCGAAGAGAGGCGTCTAAGAATGCGCCGGCTCTTCAGCCAAAGACGAAGCCAACGGCCAGTGTGCCCAGCTGTCACGAGATCCAGGGCTATATGCCTGGCCGTCTCGAGTTTGAGACAGAGTATGCCAACGAGGCTGAAGAGGCGGTGCAGCTCATGCAGTTCGACCCCGGTGATGGATTGAATCCGAGAACGGGTGAGCTTGAGCCCGAGATGGAGCTCAAGCTGACTGTAATGGAAATCTACAACTGCCGTCTCACACAGCGAGTGGAACGCAAAAAGGTGATTTTTGAGCACAATCTACTCGACTACCGGGAAAACACCAAAAATGAAAAGAGAAAGACCAAGGAAGAAAAAGACCTGCTGCAGAGGGCGAAGCCCTTTGGTCGCATTATGAACCACAAAGATTTCGAAGATTTTACTCAGGGCTTGCAAGATGAGCTGAATCTCAGGCAGGCCATTGCTCAACTCCAAGAATGGCGCAGTCTGCGGATAGGGGACCTCCGAAGCGGCGAAAAGTATGAAAATGAAAAGGCCAGCCGGATACAGAAATCCATACCTATGGGGTCCATGGATAGGGAGCGGTTGGCATCCAGCCAGCGCTCAAAGGCCCAACCTCCCCCAGAACCTCCAAGCGGTGCAGCACTTCTCATCGCCCCTGAGCTGCCAATACGCTCGGCACTAACCAATGGAGAAACGAATGGGGAGGACGTCAAGCTTTTGACCAATGGCCACACTAATGGGGTTAACGGCGTCAACGGCATCAACGGGGTCAATGGCCATAGCCCAAGCAAGCAGAAATATGTTCCACAGCCCATTTCAGGCGTGCAACCCTTGCAATTAACGCAAGAGAACGCCCCCGACTTGCATCTCCTCACACCAGAGGAGGCGAAGCTGTGCGAGGTGGTTCGGCTACAACCTAAGCCATACCTGATGATCAAGGAGCAAATCCTCAAGGAAGCCATCAAGGGCAATGGGACACTCAAGAAGAAGCAAGCCAAGGAGATTTGCCGACTAGATTCACAAAAAGGAGCTAGACTATTTGACTTTTTCAGCAACGCAGGGTGGGTTGGTAAGGCATGAGTGCATTGGGAATATCCGGGGCGTACGAAGTGTGTTTGTTTCCTTGAGAGTCCGGCGACTGGTGCAATTGCTTGATTTCTTTCCTTTTATTTTACAATGATGTATGATGGAGGACACCAATCACTTTCTGAAGTGGGCTTGGTGTGTTTGTTATGTGCGTATATATTTGTATAAGACAACGGAGTAGAAGGGGTACACGCAACAAAATACCCTTGAATCAATGATATTTTTTTTTTTACATTTCATCTTGGCTTCCCTTCTCTACCCAATATCCTACTGTGTAGTGAGCCAATGGGCCAATAAAGGTGATACGAGTCCATCGAAACGAATCGAAACAGCGCAAACTTGACTCTGAGAATGGCAAAGACCAATCCGTCAACCTGGCGAGCTTTTATTGGACGCACGGCCCCCACTGCCAGCAGATGCAAGCTAGCTTAAAATTGTTCCCTCCATACTCGTAACTGCCTAACGGCTTATACTTGCTCAGGCACACACACTCGGCACTTCATCACCAATAGAACGTCTCCTTCTCTTCACTCTCTTCCTCTCTGCCGCTGTCTTTATCCTCAAATAACCTCTGGGTTTGACACTAGAGAGCGTCGATCTCTTATATAAGCACAAGTATATGCGCGCATTTCGTCTTTTTTCAGCAAACAAGAGGCTTTTTCCCACGAGAAGCATGTCGAACGTTACTGTAGCGTCCATCAAGAGAGTGTCTGCGAAGACGCTCTCTGAGAAGATCCTGGCAGAGCAGGAGCAGGCGGAACCTAGCTTTGCCGTGGTCGATGTTCGAGATGTCGGTATGTCGTGACTTGGACTTCTTTTCTCATTTCATTTTCCCTTTTAATGCCCTGATTGGTGATGGTTACTTCAAACTAGTGGCATCTCAAAATTACAATCTTGATGTTGGCAACTACTAAATGCTGGAACAGACTACATCGGCGGCCACATCAAAGGCTCAACAAACATCCCCTGCAACAAAATCGACGCCCTCATGCCCACCCTCGTCCGCAAACTCAAGGACAAGAAGGCAGTCATCTTCCACTGCGCGCTGAGCCAGCAGCGGGGCCCCTTTGCGGCGCTCAAGTACCTGCGCGAGAGGGACGCGCAGCTGGCGGCGCTGGGCGAGGCGCCGCCACAGGAGCAGGAGGTGTATCTGCTGGAGCGAGGGTTTACGGGGTGGCAGGAGGATTATGGCGAGGACGAGAGGCTGACGGAGGGTTTTCGAAGGGAGATTTGGAGGTGAGAAAAGCGTATGAAGGGGGGTGGAGGCGTGGGAGATGATAGGGTTTATGAGAGCGCCATTTAGGGGGGTTGAATGGGCTGAGGCACGTTTCGTGGCTGTGAAGATGAAAGTATGGTGAGCTTAACGTGGTGGGTAGAGAACAAATGCTGCAAGCTCAAACATAGATAGGCATTGCATGCTGCTTTCTCCTTTTATCTGTTCCTTGGCTGTATCCTAGAAGAGAGTAATGCGTACATGGGCATCGGATATTCTAGAGACTTTCTCTCCAATCTGTCGACAATCTCATCGATTATTCCTTGTATGTTGGCGTTCTGTTTGCTACCTATATCAGGCGCTGAAGGATACTTTGTTCGAGGAAGGTTATCAATAGATGCGTGGGCTATAGTACGATGTGTGCTTTGGTACTACTACGCCATTATGAAGCTTTTGAAGTACCTACTAAAACAGCCTCAAATCTTAAACCGCCCATGCGTTTCAAGAGAGAGACGCCCAGGTGTAAGGTAGATTAAAGAAATATATTATAAGATAGGCCTCCACTCCATCCAGGTCTACATTCCCATCTCCCATCCTCTTGATCCGAAGAAATCGACAAATTTACAAAAATGCTTTGGTTCGAAGATTACGATAACTCGTCTTTCGAGGGTCCCTTGGTAGGGACGGAGATGGTTAACGCTTATCGCAACTTCAACATCGTCGCGAGACCTACCTATCTTATCATTGGCATCCTCCTCTTACTGACTTCATCCGTGGTCGTCGGGAGACGGGTGAATACGATTTACAATTTCATCTTTCCCAACCGAAATGGAGGGCCTGATTCGGATCAACCTCAGCCGCCGTGGTATGAACTGGTAGAAGAATATGCTGTGGAGAGTGAAGAGGAAGAAGAGAACGATAACTGGCTGTTGTCATGATGGAAGGCGTAAGTGATGTGGACTTTGTTCAATGCATCTAATACTTGGCTAACTACGTAGATATTAGCTGTTTCCCTACTTTTTCGTCGAGATGTTCCTCATGGCTGTCTTGGCACTAGATTTGGAGTTTACATGGCTTGGGCGTTTTTACTCTGGCGGCTCTATCGGTTGTTGGTTTTTAATTATTATGTTTTTTATTTACATGGCCAAAATTGGGATATATGGATTATATTTGGGGTTTTTTATCAGGATAGGTACGGTCTAGCTCGTGCCGCTCATGATGATGTCGTCTGGACTCTTCAGACAGGTATTCGACTTTCACATGAAGTGTTGCTACCAAAGTGTAGATGACGGGTGCTAGCATAATACAACGCAGAAATGCACAGCTGCAACCAAATAAATCACGCTGACATATTACCTGTGCTACAAGGCCCGTCAGCTGTCAAGACTCTGCGTTACAATGAGCATCTCAATAATGAACAGGTTTTAGGTTGACAAAACATATTCCTGAACTTGGCCATGTCTCCCCTGTCTGGCCATTACTGTACTTGATAGAGGGCTCCACCTGTGCCGCTGGCCTCACTAACAGGCTACCATACAAAATTATGGGGCGCCGAGTTTACTCACACGGGAAAAGTCTCGCCGGATCCAGTGCAGTAACAACGTGCCGCTGGCTTGTTTATCTTGACCTCTCCATTTTACTTTTTCTTCCTTTTCTTTCTTCTTTCTTCTCCCTTATTAATTTGTTCCGTACTCAGATTGAGAAGAGAACTTCTTTTCTTGTGTGTTCTCATCCTCAGATATTCTCAGCGCTCTAACCCACCCGCTGCCCTGCCCGCCGAGAACCCCGCGACAAAGATTGCCGATAACAAGCGATAAGAACCAACACGGCGACCACAAACACAACGCAGCTGGACACGATGGGATCGCAAACAGAGGGAGCGAATGGCGCAAAGGTGCCCGACGTTGTTGCCAGTAGGCCTACACCATGGCTCCTCATTGTTTGCAAACGCAGCTGACACGACGCAGATCTGGGCTTTGCGCCGGCCGTAAAGCTGTCGGGAGAATGGTCCGTCAACAGAGTGCTCGAGGAGATTCCCAGCGAGGCGCCTACCGAGGGCTCCAGCTCTCCGATTCCCTTCTTCCACATGCTTTCTCGACTCAAGACTACAAAGCGCGAGGGATGGAGGCGGTTTGGAATCGAAAGGTCAGTACTGGGAAGTACCGTGGCGTAGTTACTGAAGCTCAACGGCTAACTGGAGGGTTTACTGCAGAGGCGAGTCGATTTCTGATCACATGTATCGCATGTCTCTCATCACCATGTTTGCGCCTCCTGCGCTTGCCAAGAAGTTGGATCTTCAAAAGTGTATGAAGATGGCGCTGATCCACGACATGGCCGAGCTCTTGGTCGGAGACATTACACCAGTTGACGGCGTTCCCAAGACGGAGAAGAACCGACGCGAGGCCGAGACGATGGACTTTTTAACCAAGAATCTGTTGCGGAGTGTTGCTGGAGGCGATGTTGGGGCTGAGATCCGGGCGGTATGGCAGGAGTACGAAGACTCCAAGACACTGGACAGCCACTTTGTACACGACGTGGACAAGATCGAGCTGATGCTGCAGATGGTCGAGTACGAGAAGCAGGGCAAGGGACATGTGGACCTGGGAGAGTTTGCATATGTCGCTACCAAGGTTACTCTGCCTGAGATGAAGGAGTGGGCGGACGAGCTGCTCAAGGAGAGAGACGAGTTTTGGAAGAACAAGGAGCATGTCCACGGCGAGAAGGGCTTGGAGGGGGGCGTGTCTGCGGAGACGAGCCGTGGGCAGGACGAGTACTATGAGCGAAAATGATATTGCGAGGCTTGGTAGTTGTTGTGTTTTTTTGGTTTATTGTTTAAGAAGGGCGGCGAATTCACATTCGGGCGGGCATATAATAGAGAGCTTATAGAATTGTGTGTATGTGAGTGTGAGTGTGTGCTTGCATGTGGCATCTCTGTAGTTGGCTTTGCTTTTCAATCACGACATACAGGAAGCGTGAGTGAATGAATGATTACCGGTATCAAGCAAGCAAGCAATCAATCAATCAAACACGACGATGAATCCCACGTTGACATCTCAGATACTGATATCGATACTGATACTGATACTGATACTGTCACCATCTCGTGATTGCCCCTGGCAACACCTCTAGCGGCGCTGTTTGTGCCTGGTGACCACCCGCCGGTGCGTGTGGGGAGAATGTTTTTCTCCGCCAAACCACTAAAAGCCTTTGGCCGGGCGAACCGGATTGCTTCCATTGCTTCTGTTCATGCAAACGCACAAGCACAAGCACAAATTGTGTCAATTGCAGTCCCGCTCGAGTCCAAGCTCCCAAGAAGCGAGCAAGCAAGCAACTGAAGTGACCAGGGCTGAGAAACTGCGGAGGCTGGGGGCGAGACGAGCCACACTCACTGCGTGCGCAAAACCCACTTAATCATCGGTTCACTTGTCTCTCACTCACTCTCACCGCTGTCCAGACATTCCAACAAAGAAGCTGGGGAAAGAGAGACAAAAGAGCTCGAAAATTATAGTATATCAGTGGTTGAGCTTCCCACCGCCATAGTCGTCCCCCTTTTTTTGTGTGTGTCCTGCAGGAACTCGCCCACTAGCTTATCGAAGTGAGTGCTGCTTGCACTGCAGCCACGGGAACCTCACATATCAATTCCGGGATTGGCGATTGCGTCGCTGCCATATCCCTGTTTTTACTGAACTTAACTCTTCCTTGTCTTTGCCGCCGTGGGTTGCTGGCTTATCAGAGGCGCCACCTCCGCATTCCAAGGCGCAGCAGGCGAGAGGAGAAAAAGAGGGTGTGACAAAGTCCTTTTTTTCTTCCTTGTTCCCTGGTTTACAACGGTCACGAGGTGGGCGATAAGGAGCCAGGCAAGAAAAAAAAAAGCAACACATTTTCCAGCGGCTAGGCAGCACAGCAGTTGGCACAAAGCAGGAGAGCGAGAGACGGCACACCATCGCCAAAGTTACGGTGCGGACTAGAGCAGCGGCACGTCAGCAGGGCAGCGCCATTCATTCACTGCCTGTCCTGTGCGGTTCAGCTCTGCCCAGCTAAGGTAGAACGGCAATCGAGTTGGGGACGGTGAATCATTGGACAGCACAGCGAGGCATCGATCGATTCATTTCGAGCAGCCCTCCTCCATCTGCGGTACCGGCTCTTGCACCAGCCAACCGACGGGAGCGACTGCGACGCCGAGGCGGAGACAGACAGACAGACAGAGCGAAGACGAAGAAGAAGAAGAGAAGAAGAATCGACAGAATCATGACGTTCGCTTCGCATTACCACATGTCCGGCACGTTTCACGACGGCGTCCACCCGGGCCTGTTCCGGCCGCCCGTGTCGCCCAGCTCCAGCACCGACTATCTCTCGTCGTCGACCTATGCGACCGAGTCCTCCAAGCGGAAATGGAGCCGCAGCAATGGCATGCAGACTGGCAGCTTCTTTGAGGATGTCTACATGGACAGCGCCCCGAGAAACTATGCCCTCGCCGGCCAGCTTCACTCTCCCGTCATCGGCTCCAACCTAGACGACGCCGACGCCGCCATGGGCGAGAGCATGTACTCCGACTCCGACTACAGACGAGCCCTCGGCACGAAGCGATCGCGAGACGAAGGAGACGACGATTCCAGCGGCGGGCCGACGCCGCTCTTCACCCAGCCCGAACCCGAACAGTCTACACAATCTGGAAGCTGGGGATCATTTGCCTTTTCCACCATCGGAGGCGTCGTTGGCCGTGTGTGGGAGTTTTGCAAGGCGGGTGCCTTCAAGGGCTTTTACGCAGGAGGAGGCACGTCATATAAGATGACGAGTGCAGGCGTCAGCGTGGACGAGACGGGATCCAACAGCGATCAGACGTATTACTTCCAGGGCGGCTCTCAACAACAGCTGCAGCAGCAAAACTCACAACCGAGCCGCGACTATCACTTTGGCGGCCGAGAAAGAGGACGGCGTCTACATAGACAACTCCCTAAACGGGACCACTACAGCAACAACAACCAGAATGCTGGCTACGACTCTTCATACGACAGCGGTGCATCAACACCTACTGGTCCGGCGCCCAAGAGACGCAGGCATACAGAGAACGGAGGCGAGCTGGGCAAGAACTGGGTCATGATTCATGAGCCCGAAGCTGAGACAAGGACACCCCGAAGAATGCCCTCCTCAGCTCTCCCATCGCCGCGCCATCGTACCCAGCAGACGCCTGTGACCGACCGCCGCATGAGCTCTGCAAGCAGCTTCTCTACTCCCACAACCTCCAACGCTGCTCCTCTTCGCCCTGCCAGTCGTGCTGCAGGCCGTCCGGGTAGTCGGATGTCTGATGCCAGCTCCCTCAGGCCCCTGCAGTCGGCATCAGCGGCTTCGTTTGCCTCCTTCAAAGCGCCCAGCGCGCCCAAGCCGCCTACCCCTTCCCATACCCCAAGCAGGATCCCTGTCAAGGCCAACACTTCAGCCGTCCTCGCATCGTCGGCCGCGCTCTCGACCTTTGAGCAGGGCCGGAGGCGCCGACACACAGTCGTGCCGTCGTCTTCCGATCCGTCGGCCTCGTCTGGGCATCGCCGCCGCGGCAGCATAGCCTCAGTGGCTACCAGTAGGGTCAATGAGATTGACGCCAGCCCGCGACTCGACGCTGAAGCCAGGAAGCTGGCCGCTCGCCGCCAAATGGAGGAGCGCGACAACGACGAGCGCATGTCGGCCTTTAACAAACAACTACAAGACATGATTCGACAGGGTAGAGAGGCCCTAGGGACGACCATTGAGGTTGATGGCAGTTGGGAAGACATTTCCTAAACGGGATTGCCATTACCATCCTATTCCATTCCTTCACATGACGATATCTTTTTTTCTCTTCCTGTCTATTTATTGATTGATGACTTTCCTACTTCTCTTCTTCGCCCTCTCTTTTGTTTGCCTGAAAAGGCACTTATGACATTATGAGATTACAAGATGCGAAAAACGTATGAATGAGCTACACAGAATCTGCCTGGCTGTTGTTTGATTTGTTGATTTGGAGGCTTTACTGCAATTTGACTTTTTTTGCCTGGTCTTTTCGCTTTTTGTTTTGTTGCGACTCGGATGGTTGAATATATATTCTGCGGGCGATGCGGCAGAAAAAAAGGCATGGAATATTCACCACCATTCATTATTTTTACCATCACTGAGCCCCTTTAACGACCGAGTTGATACGGAGGAAACATTGTATTTTGGGGGTGTTTTCCTGTCCTGTGAAGGGCAACAACATGGGCTCTCCTCCCGCTAATGACTGACATGAGGACGAAAGGATATGAACGTGAAAAACACGGTGGCGGAGGATTTGGATTTTTGATAGCTTTAGCATTTTTAGCACAATGAAATAAAGTTACAAACCATCTTTTTATGGAATGTATTTTCACGACACTAGTTTTCGTGATCGTGATCCTTCACCTTGTGTTCGATGACAGCGGAGGAATCTATCCGGAAGGGAAACGAAAAAGACACCAGACTAGGTACTATAGTTTAAGAAGGGAGGTGACCAGTTGTGGCTGATGGCAAAAAAGCTGAGGTTAGACAAGAGACATGGCAAAAAAGAACCGAATAGGCGAAATGAGTTAGTGTGCTGGATTTTTCGCGTGCCCTTTTTAAAGCCACGCCGCAAAAGGTTCATTTCAAGACGCGGGACAGGCGACAGGACGGGATATTTTTAGTATGGGAGTATTATGTGCTAATGTATGTGCTCAGTGTGGGTGTAATTATAGAACTTTTCGCAAGTAGCTTGGCAGCTGGGTTATGAGACTTTGGGGGGAGTGTTGGGTCGTTTGCCTTTTTTTTCTTGATATCGCATACTTGCTTGCTTGGGGGTTTGTTTTTGGAGAGAGAGAGAGCCTGGTAGACTTTCTGAGTCTTTGCTTTTTATTATCCTGTTTACATATCTCAATTGAAGGATGAATTTGTTTACTAGATGTCAACATTAAAGCCTCTGATCCTTGCATTGAGTGCTTGCAGCAGTTCATGTTTATATTTAGCATCAACCTGTCAAATTCATCCACCGTCCACCTCGTGCCACCAACCTTGGCACTTTCAGGAAAAGACATCTGCCACGCCCAATTTTCCAAGACATTTTCTTGTGATACATACTAAAAACAAGGACCTAGAACCTAGAACCAGGAAGCAAAAAGCGAAGAGCGAAAAAGCACTGCCGCTAATTGCAGCTAGAAGAGTAAAGCTATATTCCTCCCTTGCATATCCAAAAGTTCCCCTCTATTTCCGTCGTCGAGTCTTGATTCTCTCGCCCCTTTCTCGGGTTCTAGCCAACCCTTGGAATGACAATAGTAACCCCCCCCAAGGAAAGCTATACGAGAGCGATAGGATAGTGGAGGCAGACAGCTACCTAGTTAGTATTCGGCACAGGCAGCTCATCCCCGAGCTTGTCAAGACTTTGACAGCTGAGGAATTAGGAAGAGCAGGGGGGCGTGTTGCCGGTGGCGTTGTGAGACATTTCGTCCAAAAAAAGAAATCCGAAAGAAAAAAAAGTAAATACCACGATACCTTTTTTCTTTCCTTTTTCTTCTTCTTCTTTCTAGCTAGACACCCTGAAGGTGTACGCAGTAAGCGAGTACTTAACAAGGGATCGTCCCCAGATTCTCGTGCCCTTTTTTTGATCCTCTTCGGTCGCAGATCAAAAGTTCAGACGACACACTTTTTATTTCTTTTTCTTTCTGAAGTGAAGATCCTTTTGTTTAGAAGGGTCAATTGGTCAGAGCACAGATCGCTGCTTGACGCGGATCTACGACGAGGCGCATATAATACATACAAAAGATACTTTTACAAACAGCCATGAAGGTAAGTTATGAATAACACCTCTTCCATTCCACACAAAACCCTCCCAGAGATATAAACAAAGAAGAAGAAAAACTCCAATTAACAACCAATCGAACAAAATAGTTCGCGACTCTCCTCTTCCTTCTCCCAGCCGTCCTCGCCCTCCCAACCGAGCAGGCGCAAGACTCCAACTCCATCGATCCGAACCGCAAATTCCGCTGTCCCGACAAGGTCCAGGGCTTCTGCTCCGCGTCCAACATCAAATCGGGATGCAGCTCAGACGGAAAGTTTCATTCCGAGGCCATGGACACATGCGGTGACTGTGCATGTGACTGAGTGGTGGTGGTGACGGTGGTTTGGTGGTATAATCATAATACACGGATGGGTTTATTGCGCTTCTTGTTTTGTCAATGCTGCGAGTTTGATACGAGTTCCTTGCCAGCTGCTTTAATTACTGTCAGTGGAAAATGTAAATTGAGCATCAGTTTATTATGCTTGTCTTATAGCATGTGAACAACAAAGTCTACCTCAGGCATCTCATGACTAGCTCAAGAACATATTTAACTTTTCCTTATCCATCGAACAACAAAACACTCGTAATTTAGCAGGAACCTTCCCTCAAATGATCCCATAGCTACACCAAGACAGATCCATCAGCATCTCAGAATCGCGAGAGCCTTGCTCAAGGTGTCGATCTCCTTGGTCAGCCGCTCTCTCTTCTCTTTCACTGCCAGGTCCTCTCCAATAATCCTATCCAGCTGCTCTGCCGTCATCCGCATGACCACATTGTCCGAAAACACCGCAAGAGGACCGTCCTTGTCATGCAGCAGATAGTAGTCAACCGCCTGCTGACAAACCGCGTCCATAAAACGGTGTCGCGCAAGGTCATAGTACGTATGGAGGTTGTTATTGAAAGTCATCATCCTCTCCTCGAATGAAGACGTTGGTTGCCCCCAAGGCAGCGTGCCATCACATTGCTGTGAGCCAGGCTGTTGGTCATTGAGCTTCAGCTGGTTGAATTTTCCTTCAAAGTGGAGGTCATACGGGATGGTTCGAGACTTAAACTCAACATCTAGCAGAAAGTCAAGATGCCGCATTGCTCTCGCATATCGGTTCACCAGGTCGCGCAAAAGGAATGCCCAGAGCTTCTCAAAGATAACAACATCACGGCAACAGTCTTCCAAAGTTTGGCGTATGAAGTCATGGACAAGCAGCACAGCGTTGGAGACGTGCGCATGCGCAATGGGTCGCCACTTTCTACTTTGTTCAATGAAAGCAACCTGCAGTACTACAGAGGTAGGCTGGTGAAGTATGTTAGACATATCGCATGCCGCTCAAGAATTCCAATTGACAACCTACAGATCCCCACCCTAAGCCTCCAGCATTGATATACTGCTCTTGGATGTACTCCAGAATGCCGCCTTCCTTGGGCTTTGGGCACCAGTATAAGTTCGAGACAATACGACCCAGGTCATCATCAGCGAGGTTTGGAATTTGGAAGTGAATTTTCTCATCATATAAGACGGATCGACCCGGTGGATGCAATTCGTCGGGCATCACAGAACCTTCAAAGCTTTCTAGCTGGTTCTCAGCTACAAAATGCTCGGATTCGGTATAAAACTCTCTCGCATGTCCCTTCTCAAACATGGTACGTGAGAATGCCTCGTTGATTGCACGGATTTGAGTAATTAATCTTATCTTGGGGCACTCGTAACTTGTTTTTAGGCCTATAAAGTGCGCAGTCAAGAGGTACTCTCGGATTCTCATGAATGTCGAAGCAATCTTGCCAACATGCGCACGTTGATCCATGTCGGCGAGAAGCCCCCGACTCATTTCGAGATTCTCCATAATCTCACTCTCGATAGCTGGGAACTCTGCGCGAGCTAGGTTCACCGAGAGGCGTTTAATGCGGACACGGAGTGTTGAGATACCCAGTCTGTTGAATGTGATGGTGTTCCATGGAGCTTGTTCAAACAGAGACAGCTCCTGCTGATGGCGGTTATCCATATTGCCAGAGGTGTCACCGGCGCCTAGAGTCTCGACGACGTGGTAGCCGAGGGGTAAATCTCGCCGCTCGCCGTTGACGAGATCGCAGAGAGCCGCCTTGGTTGCATTATCAACGGCAAGATCTGGCTTGGTGAGGATAGCCAGAGTCCGTTTCCCTGGTGGGTCAGCTTCAGCTGCAAGTTGGAGAATCTTTTGGTTGATCATGTCGCCATTGCAAGGAAGCACGGCGAGTATAATGGTACGGCTGTCATGAATGTAACCATTCACCATATCCTTCACCAAGTCAATATCCGACTCAGTCGTCAAGCCCGGAATGGCAGTCTCGAAGATGCCCGGAACATCAATGACCGTGACATTATCAGCATCTGGACCGCTGATTTCGATCTTGAGGACATCCAGGCTAAAAGCGCTGCCTCTGTCTCCTTCATTCTCAGACAGCTTAATACCCATAACTTTGGCGGCCTGCAAAGATTCCCGTTAGTCTTGGCTTCAGGATAATGTGACAATGAGGAAGCGTGATAGAGATGCTTACATCTTTAAAGATTTTTGGAAACTCGTCAGAAAGAATCCTGTACGTCGATCGTCGAAAGTCTTCGACGAGCTCCTCACGCTCTGGAGATGGGTTGTGTGGGATGATGGACACCACTGCGCTCTCTGTAGATTCTCGTCGGCAGACAATTTCTGTGGCATGGCGAGTGCCCCGAGTAGCCGAACGCGGAAGCTGAAATCCCGTCAAGGCCTTGAGAACGCTTGACTTTCCAGCACTCTGGTCCCCGATCACGACTATCTACAAGCGAGTTAGCAAAATTTGTTCAACCCGTCAACCTTGTTGGGATATCATGAGGACTGACCTGAGGCAGAAGCGCGGGGTGAGATACACCCAATGCACGAAGCCTGTCCGCAATTTCCAACATGGTTTCCAACATGGATGGAATCAAAAGACCCTGGCCTGGCATGTCTTTGTTGAAAATGGTGCCCATGTTTGAAGTTGTCTCTTCCAAGAGGAGTTGAGTTCACCAACGGAGGAAGAGTTGAAAAGTTCGAAAAAGGGGAGAATGGGCCAACGCAATTATCCAATGGGGAAGAATGTTATTCCTTCAAAAGTCCCCGAGGGTAATTCGGCGAGTTCCCAGCCATGTTTGTTATTTCAGCTGGCAGACGGCTGCATAGGTTGGGTGGCTGTCGTGCCAGCTGTCAGAGAGTTGTAGATGCTGATAGGGCGAGTCGTGGGTACCACATCCATGGTTTGGTGTATGATAGAGAGAGGATAGACGAAGCGGCATGTAGATGGATACAATTTTAGAGTGTGAGAGAGAAGAGATGGTTAGGATGCAGATGAAAGGAGGAAGATGGAAGTTGGACGATTTGATAGAGCAGGCGATATGCTATCAGGGAGGTACCCAAGAACATGGACCATATACTGCAGTTATCTTGAGCCAATGACAACCCTGATCTATCTTCTTGTCAAAATGCACTCTTACAAAGGGTGATCAAGCCAATTGTCATGATTTCCGATGATAACCATCGAAGTTACAAGCTCAATATCATGATTCTCTGCTTCGACGATCACGCAATCGCCGGTTACTCTCGTCTCAATTGCTTCTTAATAATCTTCGGCGAGGGGACTCATACGCCGTAACCCACTCTTTGATATAAGCTGATAAAACGCCTGCATGTAGATCTATTCACCTGCGCCAATTAACCAAGAATCCAAGTAGTTTTGCACCTGTATAGTCTCTGAAATGCATATCAAATCGTGAATTCCTACCTATTGACGTCGGCTGCAGGGTAAGTCTTTTCTACTGCTCCGACGCCGGATGTGCCCCTCCAAAAACGTGCTCGCCGGTGACTCCCCCCACCACAGCTTCCCGCAAGCAGCGGCACTTCTTTGGCTAACAGGCGCCACCAACCAACCATATAACAAACTCCATCAAACTTTTTTTTCTTGGCTTGTGGGATTGTAGAGCTGTCGCCGTTTTTTTCCTCAAACAAGTCAATCAATCACCAATTGACGTTATTACAATCATCATGGCTCCCCAACGTGCTTTGCTGCTGTAAGTCTCGACTACAATAAGAAAGGAAATAAGAAGAAGACGAAAAAAATTACTCCAAATGCCCCTCCCCCACTAACAACGTCATGATAGCGGCTCCGGCTTCGTCGCCAAGCCCACGCTCGACATTCTCGCCGAAGCTGGTGTTGAGGTTTCCGTTGGTGAGCAGCTCATTGCCCAAAGAGATTCAGTTCGATTCGACTCAGCTCGTCTTGTTTCTCTTCAAGCATCAACTCTCCACTAATGCCTCTCCTCCTCAGCCTGCCGAACTCTCGAAAAGGCACAGAAGCTCTCCCAGGGCGTCAACCTTGCCTCTGCCATCTCCCTCGACGTCAACGATGAAAAGGCTCTCGATGCTGCCGTCGCCCAGCACGACCTGGTCATCAGCTTGATCCCCTACACCTACCACGCCGCCGTCATTAAGTCTGCCATCCGAAACAAGAAGCATGTCGTCACCACCAGCTACGTCTCAGACGCCATGATGGAGCTTGACCAGCAGGCCAAGGATGCCGGCATCACCGTCATGAACGAGATTGGTGTAAGTCGTGCTTGTACTGGGATGATGGAAAGATGCTGAGAGATTGCATAGCTTGACCCCGGTATCGACCACCTCAGCGCCGTCGACACCATCAACAATGTCCACGCCGCCGGCGGCAAGATTCTGAGCTTCAAGAGCTTCTGCGGAGGACTGTAAATATGCCAAGCATGCGACAATTGGGGATTTTTCACTAACACCTTTTCAATAGTCCGGCCCCTGAAAACTCAGACAACCCTCTTGGATACAAGTAAGCACAGCAACAAGTTCTCAATCCACCTCTTTTAATAGAGATCGCTAACGATGCGCGAATTCAAGGTTCTCCTGGTCGTAGGTGACCCCATCAGCCCGGAACTCGATATGACATCCGAAATATCCACCCAGCATTTCATAGAGATGCGCCCTTATTCAATTTGGTCTAACCTTGATATAAATAGATCCCGAGGTGTTTTGCTTGCTCTGCGAAACGCTGCCACCTTCTGGGAGGACGGAAAGATCGTCAATGTTGCCGGTCCCGGTCAGTGATTCCCGCCATGCGCTACTACTACATCCGCCGTCTTAAAATGGCAGTATATGAAAAATACTAACACCATTACACATAGAATTGATGGCAACTGCTAAGCCTTACCACATCTACCCTGGTAAGTCTACTTAACTAACTACTCACCATTTACAGCGCTCTAACAATCCCCAGGCTATGCTTTTGTCGCTTACCCCAACCGCGACTCAAGCATCTACAAGGAGCGCTACAACATCCCCGAGGCACAGACCATTATCCGTGGAGTAGGTACCGAGCCACTCTCACAGGATTATCGTGATACTAAAATTCTGTGTTTCAGACTCTGAGATATGCTGGATTCCCCGAATTCATCAAGGTCCTCGTGGACACTGGCTTCCTCAGTGACGCTGAGCAAGACTACTTCAAGCAGCCCATCCCCTGGAAGGAGGCTACCCAGAAGCTTCTCAACGCCCCCTCATCTAGCGAGGCCGATCTCGTTGCCGCCGTCTCATCCAAGACATCTTTCAAGGACGCCGAGGAGAAGGACCGCTTGATCTCTGGTCTCAAGTGGAGTATGTTTCCATCCCCCTATCGCTCTGACACAAGCTGTACCATATTACCTGGCACACCCACTGGTCACGGTAAGTAGTGGAAGAAATCGCTAACCTCGGATCACAGTCGGCATCTTCTCCGATGCCAATATCACCCCCCGCGGAAACCCCCTCGACACCCTCTGCGCCACTCTCGAGGAGAAGATGCAGTACGAGGAGGGCGAGCGTGACTTTGTCGTAAGTCTTTAACCCACCTTACATCAACGAGACACAGCACACGTTAACATCAACCCCCTATAGATGCTCCAGCACAAGTTCGAGATCGAGAACAAGGACGGCAGCCGCGAGACCCGAACCTCCACCCTCGCCGACTATGGCGCTCCCATCGGCTCAGGAGGATATCTTTCCATGGAAAAGTTGGTCGGGGTGCCAGCGGGTATTGGTACGTTGCAAGATGAATTTACCCTCATGTGCATGCTTGCTTCATGAGAAGGCGAAAGAAGAAAAAGAGAAGCACGGAAGAAGGGGAATAGCTCACTAATTCGTGTTTGCCACCAATAGCCGCCAAGCAGGTCCTCGACGGAACCCTGTCCGAGAAGGGTATCGTTGCTCCCATGACCGCCGAGATCAACAACCCGTTAATTAAGGAGTTGGCCAAGTACGGGTAAGTTTTAGTACATTTCTTTGTTTTACTCCCTATTGCCCCCCCTTCTCTCCCTCTCTCCTCAGCGATTACGGCGACAAGAATACTAATAAGCTTGTGCCAACTAGTATCGGATTCAAGGAAAAGGTCATCAAGCACAGTGCCTAAGTGGTTGAAAAAGTCGCATGTGTGGCGCTATGTGGGATGCCTCGGTAACCAAAAGGCTATGGAGGAAACCAGCTGAGCTCAGCTAGCAGCAACATTCGTGCTTGGGGTGTCTCACGATAGCCTATAGAAATTTGAAATACTACCCATTTGGCTAAACTATTCTCGCTTTACACATTGTTGATTGCAGTGATCCATGTTGAAGAGACTCTCGGTGGCCGGATAGGTAAAGCAAGAACCGTAAACTGCTATCTCCAACAGCAGACTTGTGAATTAACGAAGCCAAGTGCCTTAACTTGCATTATTATACACGCTACCAAGTACCTTGCAGTAGTTCTACACAAATGCTAGTAGTTCTACATAAATCTACCCCCAAACGATTTGTCACAAGGCTCTACACGCAAACGATGTGTCACAAGGCAACCAAAAACTCGAATCATGTCTGTTCCATTGCAAGTGGAGCAACGAAAATTCTCTTCTATTTATTTGCATGCCCAAAAAAACAACTACAACAGCCCACACCAAAGCAAGCCATCGGGCGATTTTCGCCTTGTTTTTTCTGTTGCATGTAGATGCTTCTAGACCACCCAACCCTATCCTTCTTACTCTGCTCTGCAGCCTCATTACCACCCCTTGGGGTAAAGCAGGTAACTTTCTCAAATGGTATATCCATTCCAATGATTCCAAGAATAAAGAAAAAGAAAGAAAAGAAAAGTGTATAAACAGGAAAGGAAAGAGAAAGGAGACAATAAAATAACATGACCAGATTCGTCAATCGTACAACCCCATATATCCTGAAAAAAGTAAGGGTACAATATAAAAAAAAACGCCCATCGCTCTGATGAATGTACATATATACATGGGTAATGGTATATGTTCCGTGAGACAACCAGGAGTAGTAGTCTCTTCTCTCTAATAATGAAACAGCTCTATCAGTCTTTCAAAAGTGATCCGACATCTTGCAGCTGCATCGATGTCGCCAGAGGAGGGGGCCCTCCCCTGTCTATTCTTCCCCAGCCTGCTCCCCAGCTAGGCAATTCTTGTTGCGCGTATTGTGGTCGGAATCGTGACGAGCTCGCCCCGCCCGGCGCCATAAAGCCGTCCGTCAGCGTAATCTCGTCCGAGCCGGCGTTTTCGTGAAAGCTGCTGGGGCGACGGCTAAGGGCAATCTCGTCCGTTCTATCGCTTCGGGCCTGAGATTTCCTGTTTCGTCTCCGCCAGAAGCGTGTCCTCTGTTCGGATGGATCGTGTTGGGCGAATATCTCGGGGGACTCCATGATGCCAACCCGAGGGGAGCGTCGGCCGTTGCCAAAGGTGCTAATACCGTGCGCTCGCGGATAGAAAAACCCGGCCGGCCGGCCACCGCTGAACGGATTCCACGGCCGCAGTCGAGGTGAAGTAATGTTGATACTGCCGTTGCATCCGGCGTTGTAGCTGGTGCGGGCCTCGCCCGAAAGTTCCTCCAACGTCATCCCCTTTGTTTCCGGTACCAAAAGCGAGACTAGGGTGCCCAGAAGCATAAAGAGGGCAAAAAGTTGCAAAAGGCGATTCAGGTGTGGCGAGCATTGGTTGCCCGAGCAGTTGGGAGGGGAGTCCTTCCTCAAAATCGGGATACTGATGACCTGGGCGATAATGGCGCCAATCTTACCCGAAGCTGCGGAAACGCCGTGGCCAGTAGATCTGTATCGCGTGGGATAGCATTCTCCAGGGATAATAAAGGTAGTCGTGTTGGGGCCGGCGTTGAAGAGAAATTGAGCAACAATGTAGAGGGCGAGCATCGCGCCTTCGCTCAAGTGGTGAAAGTAGAAACCGAGGATGCAGAAGATGACAGTGAGCAGGAGAAAGCCGCCGAACTGAAGGGGCTTGCGGCCGACGCTGTCGATTGTGAAGACGGCGGCCCAGTATCCAGGAATGGACCCGGCACACGCGAGTATGATCATTCCAACGGCTTGGTTGTACAGTTTGTGATACAGTGTACGTCCGGTGGCATAGCCAATGGCACTAAGGACCATGGTATTATTCAAGCTTAGACCGTAAAATGCGAGGTCCTAATCATTGTAACCAGGTTAGTAAAAATGAGCGACGGGGAGAGCCGAATAAAAGAGTCGAGACGCACTAGAAAGAACCACGACATGGTTGTGCCAACGAGTACTTTGAAGTTTTTCAACTGGCCAAAATAGGTCATCACGTCTGGCCACGAAGCCGGCGGCACATCGAGTGGTTGCTCGGTAGTCATCGTCCCCGATCGGGATCGCTTCATGGAGCCAAAGTCGCCCTTTGGCCGGCTCGACACGTAGGCTCGGATATCGGCATCAGCTTTTTCAATGTCGTTTTGGATATCAAAGGTGTAGCGAGGTGTCTCAGGGATGGTGATACGATAGTACAGGGCCAGGACGGCAGGGATGGCCCCAACGCCAACAATGATTCGCCACGATCGATCAGCGGCCTCCCTGCATGCCAAATCGCAGGCTCCTTCGGCCGAAATGTCGATATAATGTTTCTTGAACGCCACTGTAGTGATAAGCGCAACAATGGCGGCTAAAAGCTGACCCAGGCCCTGCATGGAGAAGACAGCAGCCATCATGGCCCCACGCCAGCGTGTCGGCGCAAACCTAGACACAGTTAGTGATTATGCTGGGAGATGCGACATTTCGGATAAATTCCGTACTCTGATGTTATGACTGAAGAAAGGGGGTAATCGCCACCAATGCCGATGCCCTGGAGCCGCGTTAGTTTTGTTATGCCGCGGAAGAGCGGGATTGAAGGGGGTGGGTGGAGGTCTTGTATACCATCATGACGCGCCAGAATACCAGCAAGCCGGCAGCACTAATCGTGGGACTTGGAGACGCAAGTGCACAGCCAAATGTGCCAATAATGATGATGATGAGCTCAATGCCGTACATACGGCGTCGGCCAAGCGCACTAAGCCGCAGATTCCCGTCAGCACAACCCATTCCAGAAAACCAGTTCCTCCATCATGTTGGTGCCAAACTTACTCGGCAAGCCAGCCAAAGATTATCATTCCCAGCACAATGCCGCCGCTGGTCGAGGCCTTGAGCGCTTGGTTGACAGGATCGGGTAGAATTCCGTCGTTGCCCCCGTAGCCATTGAGAGAGCTATCGCCGCTGTAAAAGACCAGCCCAAGGAGGGTAGTAATGAGGTTGATGGCGAAGATGTCGTAGGAATCGAGAAAGAATCCAGCTCCGGCGACCAGGACGGCTCGGACATCTAAAGTTGGGTCAGTCAGATACAAAACTACATTTTTTGCAACCCTGTTGACAACCAGTCGCAACTCCAGGGCTGGTGAGTTGGGACGTACGGTAGAATCCAAAAGGGACCTTGTCAATCTCGGACAAGGCCAGGCGTCTCCGCAGATTGGGATCGGTAATGTGTGAATAGTCGTTGTAGAAGTTGTGAAAAGCATTGTTGCCGCCATACGTGTGGTGGTCGCGGCCACGGATTGATGCTGCTGGCGGCGGCAGCATCTCGCCATCGATGTAGGAAGGCATTGCGGATGGACGTTGAGATGATTCAGTTGGATAGCAAGGACGAGCCCTGGTTGCCGCTACGGAGAATACATGGGGGACCGGCGAGGACAGATGGGGGAAATTTGATAAGAAGCGGCCGTTTCGAGGTCAACAGCGGGAGAATCGTGGCCTCGTAGATGCCGTGTTAATGATGAGCCTCCCTCGTAATCATATAAAGAAGAATGTCGAGCCAGGCAACAGGCTGCTGGGATTCGCAATTTGGCGTTGGTGGGCTAGGAAACAACGGAAAGCAGAAGGATTCCGGTATAGACCGCATGTGCGAAAGACTGGTAGGCCGCTTTCAAGGCTGGACAATGCGTGCGCCGCAGCTTGGCGTAAGGCTGAAAGGATGAGCCGGGTGATTGCTTTTATCAAGGCGATGGGCGAGCCGTACTCGTACAGTAGATGATGTGTTGCAAGTTCAGGTTCAGGCTGTCTCTATCCGAGGATGGACCTGTAACTGTAAGCCATCAGGCGCTAGACACCGAAAGAAGGGCTAGCCAGATGGAACGGAGGCGCTGCTCGGGAGTCAGGATTCGGGTGGGTGAGACGAGGCAAAACGCAAAAGAGGGACGGCTTGGTCTTTTGTTTGCTGGATGGATGGAGACTCGTACATGCGGCCGAGTGGATGGGATGGATGGAGCCACCGCGAACCGCCACCAGCCCCGGCGAAAGAAGGGCTGCCAAGGTTCGACAGCTGAGGAGGTTCGCCTGGCAGGTCAGCGAGCGGGCTGGTACGAGTTACGTACAAGCAACGAGTTGACGTCTTTTCTCTTTTCTTTGGGTCGTCTCGTCTTGTCGTGCCCCCGGTCTGGTCTGGTCTGTCTGGGTCTGGTCTCCGTAAGTCAGTCAGCACAGCATAACATTGATCAATACTCCGTACAGTGACAGTAACATTGATGGAGAGAGAACAAGGCGGAGCAGGGCAGAGAGCAGGGGAGAAGACAGACACTGACTGACTGACTGAGCACGGCAGAAGAATGGACATAACGCGACTCACCCCCCCTCTCGCAAGCTTCCAGCCTCCGTCGTCGTCCGGCCCCTCTTTCAAAGAAGCCAAGCCCACTGGACTGGATAGGCACTGCTGCCGAAATCCTCAGCAAAAAGCTTCTCCCCTGCCCGCGGATGGCGATTGATTGATTGCGTGTGGATCGCCTCGACTACTGCACGTGCTGGAGCCCGCCAGCCAATGGGCGCCCGCAGCGACCTTTTGCCGACCCTCCGCCCGCACCAGAAACGCTCTGGCCAGTTGCCCTATGCCCCCTAGCGCAAGCCCCCTGTGGACTCTGCAGCGCTCCGAGTCAGAGGCTCGCAGCGTTCTCGAGGTTCTGAAGCCCTTCCAGAACGCCTGTGCCTGTTCGCTGCCACAGCACTAGCCAGCAACTAACTTCCAGTGGCACGCAGTCATCAAGTTCCTTTTTTTCTCGCCTTTGCAGCAAATCAGGCGAACGGCTCGCCACTAGTTCCGCAGCACCCGCCTTTTCGACGTCGAATCGAAGCTGGAGAAGCCCGATTTTCTTCTTCTTCTTTTTCTCTGCTGCGTCTCTCGCCCGTTATTCCCTTTCCATCACCGGGCCGGTGCACACACGCAACACGTTGACACGCCATTTTATTGACTCGCGCACGCCAAGCGCAGTGGAGTGGCAACGTGCGAGACTAACTTGACAGAATGTCGTTTTTTTCGCATAATATTGAACCCATGAGAGGAGCGGCAACAGAGAGACGACAAGCCCATACACCGCCAGAATGAACTCGTCAACGCCTCAGCAGCGCTGCTCCGCCGATCTGGAGCGACATCCTTGATGGATTAATTGATCCTAAATTCTCGCACGGAGAGCCGGATGCGGCATGAGTTCCAGCGCCCGTTGCACAGAGTCCTGGATATGCCCATGCATGCACAGTACCGCTCGTAACATTGATGTACAATCAATACAATACAATGGATCAATCATCATTACATACAGGCACCATACTGTACTCGTACAGTACCAAAGTAGGTAGGTCGCGCTGCCGGTAACGTTATCGTCGAATCAGCAAACCAGCCTCAATCAGGCTGGCCTCGTTGCTGCAGAACTGCTGCCCTGATAGGTTCATGCACTCTACATCTGACGCCAGCAAGGATCGCCCCTTGCTAGCACGCCCTACGCCCGCTTGGCTGGCCGTCGGTTCTCCCAGCTGCTCACCAGAGGCATTTCGCCGTTGCACCCCACGTGGGAGCGAGCTGTGGCTTGTGAATCTCGTCAGGCTGGATGCATGCCGCAGAACTTCGAAGCGAGATGCTGCGTGGGGAGCGGAATCGCGATTCGACAGAAAAAAACACATGGCTAGCACGCCAGGTTCAGGTCACGCACCAGGGCTTTTGCATCACATCGCATCGCATCGCATCGCATCGCATCGTGCTACGGCCGGTGCATACAACTTGATCTGGGGTTCCGTCTCGTCGTCGCATAGCTAGCTGTCAGCACCTTGATCAGGCCCGGGACACTTGCTGTGCCATCCCCAATGGAGACCTGCATTGCATCAGGGGGCTCCCAGTCCCGATCTTGCTCGTGTTGCTTCAGCTGTCCGGTCCTGCGGGAAGAAGAGCGACAGGGGACGCATGGCACGCCCTGTTCAATAATCATGTGCTAGCGGGGATAAAACCGATGGGGAGGAGGAGCTTTGACTCTTTTGTAACAATCAGACGGAATTCCAATTCCATTTCTACGTGTGTCAAGCATCTCACAAGTTGCTAGAAGGGGGGCGGGAAAAAGGCAAAATTGCCGTCAACTCATCGCCGTTATCGCTGATTGGTAAAATCCACACAGCGCAAAGGCATCTAGATTGTTTCGTGCGGCTCTCGCGCGTTCCAGAGTCAAGCGCCGCAAGCTTTGCCTGAAGCTTCCAGTGTCGAGCCAGAGACGATTGCGGGAGCTCGATGGTATTCCTTCCGTTCAGCTCCGCCCAGCGTACAGTAATGCTCGCAAATACGACTTCAGCCGTCTGGGGACGCAACAGACTGGGTCATCCATCCCCCCGGTCAGTACATACAGGCATGCTCGGATTATGCAGTCATCGCCTTTTGATACTGAATACAGAGCAGAGCACAGACACAGACGCAAGTAGCGACGGCAGCTCGGCCCACTGTCTGTAGCTCACCTAATAGGGCCGTGTCGAAGCCCAGAGGTTGAAGCTAGACTGAGGATCCGGATCCTAGCCCCCCTGGTCCAAACGCCATCAATGCTTTCGTCCTTTTTACTCCTCACTCGGGGCGAAACCCGTCCATGTGGTAAATCAGCGTCGCAGCGTTACGGAGCAGATTAACCGACATTCAATAATTCGTTGCTCCCCTTGTCCGGGTGCCAAAAATCCTCCGAGAGGTCTCTTCCGTCTCGACAGCCAAACACTCGCACATGTGACGGGATCCCTTGCCGTATATTGGCCCTGCATCCCCAACATCTTATCGTGTTTCAGGAACTACACAACAGTATGTACATGTTGTACTCGTAATCGTAGTATTAGCCAATATTTTACCCGTGGCTCTTTGATGAGCCGCTATCTATTACTAGCAACGTGCCAAGATATCTACAGCAAGTATGTACCTTGCAGTTTTGAGATGATGCCAAGTCTGTATCCAGTACCAAATGTCACTACCATATCGAACCCGAATACCAGGTCGTAGACTAACAAGATGCATCGTTACCATGCAGTAATATCATCCACCTCAGCTTCGCCGAACGTGCTCGACTTCGTCAGCTGGCCCACGCCGACTTCCTCTAGGGCGCCACCCTCGACTGACATGATATCAGGTAGAATCTCCTTCAGGAATCCCAGCACGTAACGGTTCACCTGCTCGAACTGCAGCAAGAAGGCGTCATGCCCCTCGGAGCTGTCGATCCGCTCGAGTCGTGCATTCTTTACGTGCTGCGCAATCTCCTCCTGCTCGGCAAACGTAAACAGCCCGTCGCTCTCAATGCCAAGTACAAGCAATGGCTGTTCAATTAGCGCGAGCGCCTCGGCGATCGTTGCCGCCCGGTCCCTAGACACATCATGCGTGTCAAGCTTCCGCGTCATGGCAATGTAGCAGTTGCTATCAAAGCGCTTGACGAACTTTTTCCCCTGGTAGCGCAGATACGACTGCGCCGAAAAGTACGTCGACGTAGGCATCTTGTCTCCTCCAGTCAGGCTCTCCTCCTCTTGGTCATTTCCAGGGCCATGGAACTGCGGGTCAGCATTTTCGGCTGATCGCGAGCCCGGACTGCTGGTTCCGGACCCATTGTGGCTATTCTTGCGTGAGACTGATGTGCGCTTGACGTTGTGCCCGTCGTTGTGAATGTGGAAATGAGCTTCCGATGGGGTGCTGGGACGCGGCCGTTCTCGAATCGTCTGAACCTTTGAAGGGTCGGGAATGTTCCGGCCAAACCGGGACTCGAACGAATTGCGACTGCGATAGGTGAGTAGGGCAGACATCCGAGCCGCACCTAGCCCAGTCACAGGCGGATCGTCAAACGGGTAATAGCCGTCATCATACTTTGGGTCGGCGTAGATGCTCTGGCGTTGAGCTTCTCCCCAACTAATGCCCCATGCACTGTGCCGGCTAGACGTGGCAATGGGCACAACGCAGCGAACGTAGTCTTTTCCGAAATATGCCCACTCCAACACGAACATGCCCCCGAGCGAACCCCCGATGACAGCAGCCACTTGCTTCACGCCCAGGTCATCTAGAATGAGTTTGTGTAGACTGGTGCCAGGTTAGCCCTCTGTGCCGTGTTGACTGGGGTTGGAGGCAATAAAAAAAAACAAAGGGGCGTCTTACTTCACGTCATCTCGAATTGTCGTGAGAGGGAACTCGGGCCCATAGCGATCATTCTTGGGGTCGCCATCCTTGGCCGTGACGGGGCTCGCTGTGCCGTAGGGGCTACCCAAGCTGTTCATGCACACGATGAAGAACCTCGAGGTATCGAAAGCCCTACCTGGACCACCAAGCAGGGGACCCCACCAGTCGCTCACATCAGCACTGCCGGTTAGGGCATGGCAAATCACCATGGCGTTGTCACCAGATGGCGAGAGCCGGCCGCGGGTGGTGTATGCAACGGGAACATTGTATAGCGTGACTCCAGATTCGAGTGTAAATTCCGGAACAATGGCTATTTGCTGGTCGGGGATGAGAGCCGCAAAGGGGTTCTCAGGCTGCGACTGGGTTCTTTCTTGCAGGTATTCAGCCACCACTCTTGTCATAAAATCTTACATCAAATTTCGTAACTCAAAACCAACGACGGGCTTGGCCACTCGGCCAAGGATCGCCAGGAGGGGGGAAGCAGAAAAGAAGTAAATTGAGGGTCAAGGAGGTAGATAGTGTTTGAACGTATATAGAAAGGATATGCTGTACTGACCGTATTTCATTTTGGCATCACCATTGACACCTTTTGTCTCACTCATGTTGACAACCAACTGCAGGTGATAGGTAATTACTAGGTAATGACTCTGCTCCGTTCTCGGAGTGCAGCGCAGACCATGCAAACGCTTAGCAGGATACCCGGGACCTGAACCCAGATCAAAGATTGAGCGACAACAGAACGACAACAGTCAAAACGCCTCGTGATGTATCCAAACGCAGTAGCTGAAGAGTGAATAAGAGCAGATATAATATGTGCCAAGTGAATTTGTGGAGGATGAGAATTTCAAAGAGCCGTGGCGCAATTCCAACCCCCGGCTCTTTGTTGGAGGTCAGATTACTATACCGACTCGTTAGGTAAGCCGTGCTAATGTAGCATCACGTGAGCTACTTGGTGTTCAAGCTGAGGACAGAAAAAGCAAGACAGCACAATGAAGAAGTGCATCCTTGATAACTACAATAGCGGTTACTAGAGAAATGCAGATATAGTAGCAGCTGTTAAAAAAAGTAGATAGTAGTAAATATTAGTGAAATACAGCTATAGTAGCAGATACTTATAAACAGGCGTATAATCTAACGCGTGGGTGTTCAAATCTTCTCTGTCTTGCTTTTTCTGACCTTCGCTTGTCTATGCTTGTACCTGAATTTCTGGTCGCAAGGCTGCCGTGGTCCGTGCACTGCTGCTGGGAGCGCAGCTTCACGACTTCACGCGGAGCCTTTCAAACTTGGATTTTGGAACGACGTGCAGCTTTTCAGCATCGAAACCTGCCTCAGGACGCGGGCTGTGAAAAGCCTTGTTCAGCTCTGCGGAATCTTGGCACGAATCGACTTACCCTGCCCGAATTGTGCTCAAGCCTCTCCGTCTACTCTTGGGAATTTTTTTTGTTTCCCTTTCGTTTGCCTGCTGTAGCCTTCACTCTTTTTTCAGCATTTTATCACAACCAGCTACCGCCCAGGCCCCGAACATTCGCAGCTTCGCCAATCCCGCCGCGTTTTCGCCTCTTCTCCCCTCAAACCAACACTTGGAATTGCCTGCAGATGGTCCCATGAATCCGCCGCTAATGGTATAACACGCGCCGATCCCTCGCAGCATCTTCGAGCGTCATGCCGCAGAAGCGCAAGCGGCTCGATCGATCATCAGGCGAAGGAGGCAGACCATCACCACACAATCCAAGCGACGCCGCTATTGCGCTTCACGAACGAGACGACACCATGAACCACATGAACCAGGGCCAAGGCCGAGGCCGAGGCCGGGGAGCGCATCGGGGTGCCAACCAACGGAACCCGTCGCGTGGCCACAACAATCGTGGTCCTCACAACAACTATCAGCAGAACCAGCACCAGAATCAGAATCAAAATCAGAATCAGGGCCAAGGACAGAACCAGAACCAGAATCAGAGCCAAAACCAAAATCAAAATCAAAACCAGCCTCCCGCATCGCGAAGGCCCAGCTCATCCTCCTCTCAGCAGGCACCGCAGCCATCTCCAGCAGCTCCGAGAGCATCTAACCCCCCTCCAGTGTCCAGACCTCCTCCTCCTCCGCCGCCTGCCTTCTCACGACCTCCGCCTGCCTCACCTCCGCCGACCAACATCCCTCCGCCTGAACCTACATCGGAAAGCGGCCCTCCAGCTGGATCAAATTATCACTATGATAATCTCACAGAGGAAAAGATCCGATCGTGGACAGAGCGTGGGCGGGAGGAGATTGTGCAACATGGCATACAGTCGCGAGAAGATGTAGACATCACGGAGCTATCCAGCTTGTTCCAAGAATTTATTCACGCTGTTGTCGACAATCGGCTGGAGGCCACTGACGCCGGAAGATGCGTCAAGGAGATTCTGGGAGATGAAACGACAGATGGTATTAAGGATTCCTACGTGGCCCCCCACACACTACTCCTCGACTCGCTGGCCATTGTTATGGACAATGAGCCTGACTTGTATCGTCCGGCTCTTCGTGATTTTCTCATCGCCACCGAAGTCTCTCCCGCGCTTATGCGACAGGTGCTTGATGCCCCCTTGCTTCAGCAGCTTGGCCTTATCAGGGATACCTTTGCTAGGTTAGGTGTAAGGCAGGCGACAAACCTGCTCTATCGACAGGCAAATTACAATCTCTTACGAGAGGAGACGGAAGGATACTCGAAGCTCGTCACTGAGCTCTTCACAACTAGCAGCATACCATCGCCCTCACCCGAGCTTGCAGAACAAACGTTTGAGAGGGTCAAGGCTTTGATTGGAACTTTCGACTTGGACGTTGGCCGAGTCCTTGACGTCACTCTCGACGTTGCTGCCGCCGTTCTGATTAAGCAGTTCAAGTTCTTTGTCAAGTTTCTGCGAATTAGTTCTTGGTGGCCACGCTCCCACCTTGTACTCAGTTCTATGGTTTACACCGGCGGCCTACCGACTTGGGCTCAGCCAGATTATCCTCACTGGAATACAACCGAAGAGGATGAGGAAACTAATGCACAGCTGAGACTGGCCCGAGATACTGAATTCTGGGCTCGAGCACGCGAAGTCCATTTGGCAGCGTTTTTCGAACTTGGCGGGCGCGGAACATCCAACTTGGCATCCTACCGACCCAAGCTCACAAACGGCAACGCCAGTGAATCGGCGGCCGATATTGAGCAGCAATGGATGGAACAGACGATGACCCTCCCACCGCCAGGCAATAAGGTTGCCGCACAGCTCCTGGGATTCAAATTGCTCTTCTATAACAGCGAGCTAAGGGATAAGACCGACGTACTCCCTGCCAATTTACTCTATTTGGCGGCCCTCCTCATCAAAGTCGGCTTCATTTCACTCACCGACCTCTATCCTCATCTCTCACCCCCTGACGAAAACATGGAGCGTGTTCGCGAAGAGCAAACAAAATTAATTGAAGAAGAGGAGAAGGCGTCGCGTGGCGGTCCCATGAATGCTCTGCTCATGGCTGGTGTTCTTCCCCAGGGCGACGACGATAACCCTATACAATCTAATGCACCCAGACGAGAGCCCCTGAAAAAGGCTGAGCCTGAGCAGAAGCAATCTGCTGCTGACGCCACTGAGGACAAAAAGAATCTTCCGGAGCCATTGGAGCAAAAAGTGAGGCTACTTATCCAACTTTTAACAATTGGAGCCATTCCAGAATCATTGTTTATTCTCGGAAAGTTCCCATGGATTCCCGAGGTGTTTCCCGAAGTCCTATCCCGAATTCACCGCGTGTTACACGTCTCCATGGAAAAAGTCTTCAACGACAGCCGCCCAAAACCCTTTGGTGGAGCTGACTGTCCAACGAAGGAAATATTTTCGGCGGACCAGACCGGTGTTGCAAAGGGGAGTGTTCGGCTCGTCAGACTGCCCGTCAAGAAAATCTGGCGTTGGCCATTTCCCGATAAATGGGACACAAGCGAGAGTCAAAACTACCGATTCTACTGGGATGAATGGGCCGACAACATCCCAGTCTGTCAAACTGTGGATGATATCTTCACGCTGTGTAATACTTTCCTCAACATATCTGGTGTCAACATTGGCAAAGACGATACTCTACTTTCCAAGTTGGCTAGCATTGGAGCCAAAAGCTTGACCGAGGATACCTCCGAGTCCAACTATGCCCGATGGCATGACCTCCTTCGCAGGCTTCTCGTGCCTGCTCTCAGCCATACCAAGGCCAATGTCTCCGTCGTAAACGCAGTTTGGGAGCTACTCCGCCGGTACCCGCTGACAACACGATACTCTATTTATGCCGAATGGTTCGAAGGACAGATATCCCGTCTGCCCGCTATGCGATTAGCATTTGCTCGTGCCACTGCAGAGACACGAGGAACCATGAAACGACTATCACTCACCAACATCAGCGAGATGGCCAAGCAGCTTGCCAAAACAAGCTATTCTTCTCCTGGAGTCGTCTTTCGAGTTGCGTTTGAGCAGCTCGAGTCGTACCCCAATCTGATCGAAGGCTTTGTCGAATGCGCAAAATACTTCACCGACCTCTCCTACGATGTTCTCGTCTGGTCTTTGATGAACTCGCTTGGCAAATCTCGAAGCCGCACTCAGGCTGACCATGCGCTCACGACTAGCAAATGGCTTCAAGCGCTATCCAGATTCTCTGGCAAAATCTTCAAACGCTATTCTGCTATCAATCCTATTCCGGTTCTCCAATACGTCAATGACCAGCTTCAACGCGGCAATTCCACCGATTTGATCATTCTGAAAGAATTTATCAACTCCATGGGTGGTATTGTCGACTCAGTGGACTTTACTGATGCCCAGATCCTCTCCATGGCTGGCGGTGACCGATTGCGCCGCCATACGCTGATTCGAGGCCAGGATAAACGGTTTGACAGCGTTAGGAGCTCCAAACGACTCATACAGGCTCTTACTGACTCTAAACTTGCCGCCCGAGTGCTTCTCAACCTTGCACAGTATCGCCAGTCAGCGATATACCAGGTTCCCGAAGACGAGGCACATATCAAGTATTTATCAGCTCTGGTAGACGATTCTCATCAGATTCTAGTACAGTACCTCGACTTCATCTGGAGCAACCTTGAGCCGTCAGCTTTTGATGCTCTGGTTCCCTCCATAAATGAGCTCCTTAGTTCCTATGGTTTGGACACAAGCATTGCTTTCTTGATTGGAAGATCTAGCCTTTCTCACAAACTATATCCCTGGGGCCAAAAGGAAGCGGAAAGTTCAAAGGAGAACACACAGCCAGCACAACAGGAAGCTACTGACAAGGAGGGAGATATTTCCATGGGCGAGGAGTCCAAGGACAAATCGGGTCTGGCCGTTTCCACGAACGATGAACAGGTGGGAATTGATGACCCTTCACCCGGCCTACGTTCCACAGCTGATACAACAAACAAGCAGAAATTCGACGATTTGGCGTTGACGCTCTCGCCTCTGCGGCCTATTGTGGAGGCTCTCAAAGAGACTGTACGACCAGAGGTTTGGCAAAAGATTAACCCAGAAGTCTATGCTGTCTTCTGGGCCCTGCAGCTCGGTGATTTGTTCTGTCCCGAGGACATGTACAAGGAAGAAAAGGATCGGCTCGAGAGCGAAGGCCAAGCCATCCTGAGGGACCGATCAGACATGTCCCGTAGAGGCCAAGAGCGAAAGAATGAAAAGAGACAGGAACTCTTGAAACAGCAGCTCAGCCTTTCTATGGAGCTCAAGGAACACCGCCAACGGAAAACCAAGTGGATGGAATGCCTGACCGAGCAGTTCCAGTCGATATCCCCTGACCCCAAGATCAAGACCGATAGCCTTTCTGATATTCTTCTGGAGCAATGTTTCCTTCCTAGGGCCCTGCTCTCCCCCGCGGATGCTGAGTATACCTACAAATTCATCATTGCGTTGCACGAACAGAGGGCGCCTAACTTCAAGCTCATGTCTCTCTACGACCGACTTTTTAACGCAAACAGGCTGCGATCTCTGATCTTCACCAGCTCCGTCAGGGAGGCTGAGTACCTCGGGCGATTCATAACTTTGATACTGCGAGATCTCTCCAGGTGGCATAAGAATGAGTCGACCGAGAAGGGTAGGCCAAGCAAAGATCAGCCTCGCTTGGGTGCATTTGATAAAGAGGCCAAGGGGCCTAGTGACCGGCCATATCTTGGATTCGCTGTCAGTCTCAAGGAGGACGGGGAATCGGACACTTTGATGGAGCATGCTCAGTTCAAAGATCTCCTGTTCCGTTGGCATAAGAACTTGAATACAGCGCTCAAAAGTTGTTTGGCCGGGACAGAGTGGATGCACATCAGAAACGCTCTTACTGTTCTCAAGGCCGTCTTGGATTATTTCCCTGCCATTGATTTCATGGCCACCCAGTTCACACAGCAACTCCAAAAGATTACCAAACAAGAGGCTGCATCCAAGACAGCAGCCGAGAACGAGGAGGGCCACCGAGTGGATCTATCCGTGGCTGCTCAAGGAGCTATGTCGGAGCTGCAGAAAAGGAAATCCAAATGGGTCATGGTTCAGGCCTTTCGACCCAATGCGGTGAGTTTATTTTGTGCCAGCGCTGCATATGCAAATCACAAATACTAATATAAAAAAGGGCGGTGCTTCTCAATCCGAAGCCGACAAGTCAGCTGCATCCAACCTTCGACCTTCAGCCCCGGACTTTCAGCCACAGCCAACGAGGTACGTTGGAACATTATATCCCTGCCCAACAGAAGGGCTTTAATCAATCTCTCTCCGACTAACACCCCAAACCTACAGATCCCCAGCCAACAGACAGGCTACGGCGGAAAGAGAGGACGGAGAGGTTCAAGATGGGAAACCACAATCTACTTCTTCCCTGCCAAAGGACTCTCTGCCTGCTAAGCCATCCGGCCCTAAAAGGGACGTTTCCATGTCTCGGGAAGACGTGTCCGGACCTCCTCGATCAGGCACCCCTATGGGCGGTCAAGGTCCAGGCTCTCTTGGCCCCAGAAATAATGATACTCGCCCTCATGTGCTGCCTGACAGGCCAGCGCACAACCTTCCTACGAGGCCTGATGTTCCTATACCGAGCCACTTCACCCCTGAACGGTATACTCAGAACCCTCGGCACGATCGTCGTGATATGAGAGACAGAGATGGCCACAGGCAGCGCGATGGCCGAGACCCACGAGAGAACTGGGACAATCGTGATCCTAGAGAGGGCAGCAAAGATCACCGTGACGCCAGGGACCCCCGTGATTCCCGAACCATGGAAGCGGATAGGCCAGATCGGTCTCGTGAATATATGGACCGCCGTGGCAACGAGATGGCACCTCGAGATGTTGGCCCGACAGACCTACCACCTCGACCTTCGAGACAACAGGAGCGTGATTGGCCGAGAGATTCCTGGGCAAACAGATCGCAAGATAGATTAAATGACTCATCTGCTCAGATCCCCACGGCTCCTTCTGGCCCGGCTGAGCCATCCGAACCAGCAATGAATCCGCAGAGGGCGGCGCTGTTTGCTCAAGATGACTCAGATCGAACAAGACGAGGACCAGAGCCGGATCGTGGAGCGCGAAACCGACGACCAGCGCCGCAAGATTCGATGGAGTCCATCAATCCCGAACGAGCCGCATTGATTGACGATCGTGATGACAATGTTGCACACGGGCGCGTGAGGGACGATGGACGAGAGAGAGGGCCTAGAACTCAATCTCCTCGACGTGCTGGTGGACGATATGGCCATGAGCACGGGCCCCCATCTGGACCATACGAAGATAGGCACGCGCATCCCTTCCAACAAGATAACCGGTCTACTGGAAGAAATGCCCGCGATCGCTCGCCAGCCGGCGGAGAGAACTATCGCGGCAATAAGGGGATGGAGCGTGATGGAGACAGAGCCCACATGGATAAAATGCGGGATGCATCTTCTTCAAGCTTCCACAGATCAATGGGACAGGACGTTGACCACCGGCCGCCGCCTTATCAAGATCAAAACTATGGACGGCTCAACCCGGTGCCCCCAAGCACTCCGGATATCCCACTGGGCCCGCGGGGACGAGGACGAGGTGCTGCGAGAAACAATCAACAGGGCGGCCCACCTGTAATGTCAAATAGGCCAGACAGCCGATACGGAGCCCCTGACGCAGGTCGGGCACCTTCTCAAGAAAGGCCGCCAGAAAGGCCGCCCCCTTCAGGCCCTGCATCCGGGCGAAACCGTCGTGGTGGCTATGAGCACAGCAACCCCAACAACAATAATGGGCCAACAGCTCCCTCAGCAGCTCCGGTCGGACCGCATCCTGATAGAATGAGGAACTTTGGTGGTGCCGCACAGGAGAATGTACCCCCTGTGCAAGGCGGCAACGCGGCCGCCTCATCTGGAGTTCACCCTGATCGACTTGCTCAAATGGGCGGCCCTGGACCCAACGCTCCGCCTCCACCACCTCCGCCTCCAGGCCCTCCGCCATACGGGCATGGAAGCGGACATGGCCGCCACTCTTCTGGAAATCCAGAGCGGTCAGGACCCAGAGCCTCTACGGGATCTCTTCCAATGGAGCCTGCTGTGCCTACTGGCCCTGCTTCTAGTGGTGACAGGTCTTCAAGATCAGGCGGTGGAAGAAGACAGTTGGCAGGCATCAACAATATGCTTCAGCAGGCCCAGGCCTCCATGCCAAACGAAGGACGACCCAGCGGACCTCGCGTTAACCCTCCTCGGCAAATGCTCGGCCACTCGGACGTTCAAGTTCTGGCTGGAGGAGACGTGATTCCACCTACACCTGATCGTCCAGATGCGCAGCAGTGGCATGACTCACCAGCCCGAAGCGGTGGCCCGACTGGAGAAGAGGGATCAGGTCGTGGAGAGCACGAACGAGGCCGACGAGACCGTGGTGATGGCCGAAACGATCGCTCCAAGCGGTCATCTCGTCGAAGCAGCCGAGAGCGCGAGAGGGAAGGCAAAGAGCACAACGAGCACCGAGAGAGGCGGTCTATGGCGAATGCCGTTGAGGGCGGGGCTCGAGAAGATAGAGACGCTCGCAGGTCGACCCGAGACGGCAGCTCGCGGGATGCAGCAGCAATGCCGAGTAGCGGCCGAGAGTCGCGACATAGGGGCGAAGGAGGGCTCGGGAACAGAGGCGGGGACGAAAGGAGTGGCAATAGAGCAAACCGAGGAAACCCGAGAGACGGAACACAGCGTACGGATGAGCAGCGGAGGGAGCATAGGGATGACCGAGGACGCAAGAGGAGAGGAGAAGATGCCGATGGGGCGTTGTTGAGCGACCGCGAAAAGCGAGCACGACGGTAATCCGGAGTCTCTGGAAGCGATAAAAAACAATATGGATGCATAGTCACGACTGGCTTGCAAAAGACTAGGTAGCACGGCAGCTACAGGGGCCACTTTGTTAGGCGTTGGTACAACGATTCAAATCAATGTCTTTTTATTCTTTTTCTTTTCCAAGGATTGGAGCGTCTTCGCTCACGCCACGCTGCGGCACATTTTCACAAAATTGTCAAATGCGAAACATGGTGTCTTTTTACGCATGTCTTATCTTAACCCATTTATTGTCTTCATTTACGGCGGGATGCTACGGCCGAGAGGGATCGATTCAGCGAAAAAAAAATAATGCAACTCAACTATCTATCTACTTTACCTACCTACCTGCCTACTACTCCCACCCTAACCTCTTTTTTTGCCGATCTATCTATCAAGAGAGGCACATTTCGCAATTCGAATCAATGAGTGTATTAAATCCAATCTATCAAAACCAAAAAAACAAGCAAAGCATACATTTCTGGTGTAGGCACATAGACGGAAAAGGCATATGCCCCGGAAGGGAGGATATATAACGAAACGTTGGATGCGAGCTACTTGCTTGATGCGTATTATGATGACTTCTGGGATTTCGATAATTTACGATACCAGCTATGTACAATATATGTAAAATAGGAGAAATTGGAGGAAGGGAAATGGGGAGGCTGTACGAATATTCTACGAGAGCTGGGTGCTGAGGAGAAGCAAAGCGCCAGATGTAACAAGTACTATCTATCTACACCTTATCTTTGCTATTGATGCATTTTCATGTAATAACTTGGGTGAATGAAGAAAATGGCTCAGACGATTGGGCGCAGTTGAGTAGCAAGCTTGCGTAATCGCGCGGCGGGGGGCTTCGCGATCGCCTTTATTGCTGTTCGTGGTAATTTTTTCATTTTGTAGACGTGGAAGATGGAATACAAGGTTTTGACAGCGGCGAGAATGTCCCGACTGTGGCTGTATCCTGACACCAAATTTGCGAAGGGGGGGTTTGAAAGAGATTCCTATTGGGGTAAGTGACGATGCTTGCTCTTCTTGCGGCTGTGCTGCGCAGCTTGATTGGAGGGGAGGAGAGGAGGCGATAGGACGGCGATACGCCAGATATCGGCGGAGGAAACAAGTTATCTATCGCATCGAATGTTACTCGTAGGTGAAGAGCACTGCCGCTGTCATTTGGGGCGTGGAATGTTTGAGACGAAGAAAATAAGGTCGGCTAGTAAACCGTCATGTGGTTGAAGAATGAGCAGCAAGGCGATGTGAGAACGTTGCGTCAGATTGTGTGGCGTCGTGCCTTGGCGCAGATGCAAGATTGCCGATTTTCCGAACGGGAGGGGGTTTTTTTTTTCATTTATTTTTATTTTGGGCGTCTCTGCGTGCATGTACGTGTATGTAATGTTGGGCTTTTTTTCTGGGGAGAATTTGTATGTGTGGTGAGATGCAGGCTTTTTGATCTGCGGAGGATTCTTGGGGAGGGGGGGTAGCTGTATATCCGCTGGTTTTACGTGTATCTTGGTGCAAGTGAGATGGGTGCAGTGAAGTGAGATGTACTGCTTAGCTGAGCACGATGGGAGGATTAGTATTATTAGTTTGGCGGTTGTAATACATGTCTGGATTTGCTGATGAGACAAATCTGGATTCGCTGATGAGATTATGAGTATGATTATCAAGACGAGACGAGGACGAGAAACGAGGCCGGAGTTCGGGGTCGGGGATTACACGCGAATGGCCCCTGGCCAGAGAAGCACCGTTTTTCTGCGGAGAATAATTTGGCGGTATTGATTATTGAGTGCATTGGCATCAGGCATCAGTAACCCCCCGGGGATAGGCTATGCACTTGTCCGCAAAAAGCCGGAAGAAATCGATATTATACAGTTGATACATTACAATATAGCTTGGATGGACTTGGAAAGGATTAAGAATTTGCGCCGGAGAGTGGGATTGGATTGGATTGTTGCAGAAATGTAGCAACTTACTGCTTTAGGGAGGGGGTGTGCCGTAGCTGTGGCTGCAGCTGTACAGGTACGAGAACAGTACACAGTACGGGGAGCCCACAGTGACGTCTTGCGGGAGGCGGCGCCGCTCGTTATTGAAGCCCCTGAATGGGAGTTTTGGGTGGACGGGGATGGCGCAGAGGCGGCAGTTTCTTTTCTAGGGGCTGGCGCAGTGAATGATGTGCGCTGCTAGGGGATGTACCGGTACATGTATACACTGGTTTGGTGCTCAGATGGATTCAAGGTTGATATTGCAGGTGCCGGCGGATGGGCTTCGTGATGCTGGTGATCTGCAGAGGAGGCCGAAGATCGGTATCTCACAGATGCACTGTAAAGCTGAACAACATTTGTGAATGTCCATCTGGATGCCTCTCTTCTCTTGCATAAGGTTTGCCAATATACGAAGCTGAATAAGCGAACATGGAACTGCAAACAAAATGAGGTGAATCTCTGACGCGCGTTGCAGGAGTGCAGGACTCTTGGCATTCACAGGCACAGGCACGTCTTATTCCGTACTCCGCACGCCGGGCTCCGGCTCCGTGTCCTTTCATTGGCTTTTTCTCGTTTTGCAAGCGGAAAATGTGCGATTACTGTCCCACGAGAAAGAGAGAGAGCGGGAGGGAGCCCGCCTTTGGCTTCTTGGGAGGGGAGGGGGGTGGATCAAAGCGGGCTACTTTTTCTGTCTTTTTTTTGTCGTGCGTCTCGTGAAAGGAACCTGGATGAATCAAACCAGGTACTGGCACATGCTTGGGTTAGGCTAGTGTTTTAGCGGTTAGAGGAAATCCGACACATGCCAGCGCCTCTTTTAGGTTCGAGAGAGTTGCTTGAAACGGGAACCAGCAGAGACTCAGCCTCCCCCTGCCGGGACCAATCGCCAGCGTTGTGGGTTTGTTAGCGGCGTCGTGTGAGAGTGTGAGAAAGAGTGTGAGAGGTGCGAGGTGAGATGGTGGTTGATGATACGAGTACATCTGTCCTTTTAAGAGACGTGAGAGCATCGGCAAGTTTGCTTTGATGAGAGCTTCACATGACTAACACCAGATGTGAAAATTGAAGCCAAAACGGGATGCATTTTTCTCGAGGTAGCAGCCCTGGCCATCGAATCAAATCCCATTTCAGTCCATCAGTCAATGCCTGTGTGCTGCTAAAACAGCCGCTGGAGATGCGCTGCTGCAGCGGCTCTCCAGTGTGCCCGACTCCCCGTCTTAGCGCCCTGCCATTACGTCTCACAGCACCTCGTACGGGTACCGACATCCATGACAAATGGCCGCCGAGCATGTCGTATGTCGTATGTACACGCCCCCTGGTCGGGGTACGGTACATTATTTTCTTTGTCGTCTCTCTTTGTTTGTTCCTGGATCCCTGCCCTGCGCACTTTGTCTGCTTTCTTATTTCTTTAGCCCAGGCGATCGCTCTCGTTCTTCTTCTATCCACCGCGACATTCCTTTTTCATTCCTTTCTGCCTTTGGTCTTGTCTTCCACTCGTTCCATCCTTTCTTCGTCTTCGCTGCCAGGGAGCGCGACAAACAAGGCGCTCGCTTCCATCTCATCTCTTGTCTGGCAGCATTCCAAACCGCAAGAATCTCTCCAGGTCCCTCCCTTTCTTCCTCACCCCCCGTGGACCCGTAGAATTCTCGACCCAGGCTGGATCCGAATCGAATCAAACCCAAAACAGCTCCGGAGTTTCCGCCGACTCGCGACCGAGAAATAGAAGAGGGCGCATCGAGAAGCGCAGGGAGAAAAGGGGATTTTCGCTGGCGGCGACGACGACTCATAACTGAAATCACGACTTGACGACACAAACATAGTTTAGACCTAGACCTAGGAGCATCGAACAATCACGCCTCGATAGACCACGACTGCTGCGGACAGCGAGCGACCAACCAATCCATCTGGTCAGGGCGTCGAGTTGCCCGCGCGCAATTTGCTGGCAAACAAGCTGGTTATTGCCCCCCTGTGGGCTCACAAAACAAACCAAAAACACCGACTGTTTGCGTCTTGACGCTGTAATCCGCCAAAATGGGGTTCAATCTCACGTGTAACTCGACGTTGGAGGATATGAGGAGTATGTTTCTTCCTACCGGCCGCGCAAAGCTCCGTCATGTGTCTCCCGTTGCTCTTGTCCCGCGACGACGGCCCGGACCCTTTACACAAGACTAACGCCCTAGCAGTCTCTCCGGGATCCGAAATCAAGATCGCCGGACCTCTCAACTTCCACGACCTTGCCCGCGTCATCTCAGCAGGATGTACCCTCATCGCCGTTGTGCTGAGCTTGTACCTCATCGCTATGCACGCTACGCACTACACACAACCCAAAGAACAACGACAGTAAGCAGTACCTACCTGGTCCAAGGCCGTGGACCAACTAGTTAACCATCGTCGGCAGCATCATCCGTATCCTCTTCATGATCCCCGTCTACGCCATCTCCTCGTTCATGCAGCTGCAATGGTACTGGCGCGCCACCTACTTCTCCGTCATCTCAGACTGCTACGAGGCCTTTGCCATTGCTTCCTTTTTCGGCCTGATATGCCACTACTCTGCACCCGACCTGCACACGCAAAAGGAATTCTTTCGAAACCTGCGCCCGATCCAGGGCTGGGTCCTGCCCATCAACTGGTTCGCCAAGTGCTGCGGTGGAGACAGAGGCCCCTGGCGCACTCCAAAGAGCGGCCTCACCTGGTTCAACATCATCTGGATCGGCGTCTACCAGTACTGCTTTATCCGTGTTGCCATGACCATTACCGCCGTTCTCACTGAGCACTATGGACGCTACTGCGAGAGCTCCAACTCTCCCGTTTTTGCTCACATCTGGGTAAGCAAGCCACTCGCATTTTGCTCTCACACTACATGACCTATAAGCTTGGTAAGCTGTTTTTGTGACAGAGCTAACGTGATGGCTGTTGTGATTATAGGTTCTCGTTATCAATGCCATTTCCGTCACCATTGCCATGTACTGTCTTATTCAGTTTTACATTCAGCTTGCGAAGCCTCTTGCCGAACACAGCCTCTTTTTGAAGATTCTCGCCATCAAGCTCGTCGTCTTCCTGTCCTTTTGGCAGTCTTCGGCCATTTCCGTCGGTACCTCGACTCTCAACATTGTCAAGCCCGGTGACGTTCTCGCCTATCCGGATCTCAAGGTGGGCATCCCGGCCCTTTTGCTCTGCGTTGAAATGGCCATCTTCTCCGTCTTGCATATCTGGGCCTTCCCGTACCAAGTCTATCGCCGCGGCGCCTCTTCGGGCTTCTACCCAAGCCCTGATGCGTCAAAGGGCACTGTTGGTCTGGAGAAGCCCGCTCTGCCAAACAGGGGTGGCTTCCTCGGTCTTCGTGCGCTGTGGGATGCCATGAACTTGTGGGATCTGGTCAAGGCCTTTGGCAGAGGTATGCGCTGGCTCTTCTGCGGCGTCAAAAACCGGAAGGAGGACGTCAGCTACAAGCTTGGCACTTCCAACGACGAAGCCCTGAGCATGAGCAATCTCCACGAGCCAAAGCCTCAGGGAGCATACAACCCCGCCTTTGAAGACCCGACGACAACCGCATATCACGGCGTGAGTGGCGGCATCATGTCACCAACCGGCGATGAAAGAGTCGGCCTGATTTACAACGCTCAACCCAACCCCGACTCAGGCTTGAGGGGACCATCACCGCCCGCAGTCTACCATCATCCATCAGATTCGCAGCAATACTCGTTTGATCCGCCTCCATATGGCGGCGCGGCGCACGCGCAGTCTCCCTACAACTCACAGTCTCCCTACAATTCACAAGACCAGTCGCCTCCACAGCGCCCACCACGACCATTTTAAGGGCCTGTGAAGAAAGGAATAGTGGATACCCAGGTTGACGAAACAAAGAAAAAATCCAACACAAATATGAAAATCTGAAAGAGATGCCTTTTTGCAATATCAAAACCCAAAATAGACAAAGGAAGGATGAAATCTCATTCACAACTCATGACGGCTGTCTTACATCACGATACCAACGGTAGGGGGGGCGCAACAGGTGGCTGAAAGGTTTATTTTTTTGCTTCTTGCTTTTTTTGTTTTTGTTTTTATCCAATTTTTAACGCATTTCTGGTTTTTGGTATATGCGAGATTTCGTCATGCTTTTTATTTTTGTTTAAGCCCACCAACGCAACTGGGGGAGAGAGGTATCATTTGATGGTTCTTTTTTATCTTTTCTCCCATTTGCATTTGCTTACTTTTTTTCATTTTCACACACATTGTTCATTTAGTTGTTCAGCTCAGAAACATGCAAAAAGCGAGCGGGCAGTGTATATAGATGGGGACAGAGAGAGACTAACAGACAAGACAAGACGAGAGAGAATGGTATCGCGTGGATGTGGGAAGAAAGGGGGGCTTGTTACTAGCGAATATGCCATGATGAAATAGAAACAATTACTTTTTGGATTACTTTTCTCTCTTTTTTTTTTTTTTTGGCGATCGTGATTATAATGATTGGGTATGACTTGTGGTTTCTTGCACATGATTCGACACTTATAAACTGGGCCGGTCTGCTTCAGATAAAGCACCGCTCGCCATCTGGCTCCATCAGTGGCGCCGTCCTGCAATAACGAAACAAGGGGTCCATCGTCTATAAATAGCGTCAACAGCCGGAAAATAGCACTGGGTGTACAGTTACATCATGAGTTAACTAAGCTAGAACTAACAATAGCGTTGATTCTTTCGTTTAGGCTAGCAGTTTATAGTATGTAATTAGTGTGGGTGTCTTCAACAAAATCCGCGCAAAGGCAGAGTGCCAGAGTGGTTAATGGGTATGACTAGAAATCATATGGTTTCGGCCTCGCAGGTTCGAATCCTGTCTCTGTCGAGGACAACGAATTTTTTTTTTTTGGAGTTTCTTCTTTTTGCATTTATCTTTTTGGAGACTGACATTGGTGGGTGTTATGAGGTCTGATTAAGATAAAAAGTTTGTTATTAATTTAATTTCTTTAACAATTGTCGATGCCATGTGTTTTTCGGACGCCTCAAAGTTTATCCAACCACCGACATGTTAATTTAATCGTGCTTGGAGTTGACGAGTTCATATTCCGATTTTGTCTCACAGGACTGCTGGATATATCAACTCCAGCAGCTATTGTTAACCAATAAAGCGAGAGATATATAACCAACACATCGCTCATGAATCAGTCAACCATTAAAAGGAAAGGCTCTTATCAAACAACAACTCGGCAACCCCGTCGCTTATACACAACACACTCCCATTCAGCAATTCAAAACCAATTTATTTTCATCCAGCACTTGTTTTGCTGGGGCGAATCCCGCCACGCTTGGGACCGTCGCTATTCCGTGTACGCTTTATATCTGCTCAATGTCCCTTTGTTCCAATATGTACAGCTATCCAGCCAATTGTTGCCACGAGCTGCCTCCCTGCCCGTACTCCATTATGTCAAAGCCACCAGTTATGCCAACGTCGGCTGCCGTCTCCCCAAATCCAAGCCGCAATTATTACTAGAGCACCAAATATGCTGTGAGTGCATCGTGCAGTATATTACTGTGGTGACGCAAGTTCTGCGGGGGTCCTTCGTCGGTCGTAATCTCGTCTCGTCCTGTCGATTTTCTTCTCATCTCGACTCCCGAGACGACAAACAGCCCATTTGGCGGACCCCCTATTTCTTGCCTCATGCTCCTCCCCCTCTCCCGCCTTTAAAAACAAAAAAAGCTGCCAACGCCATCCTGGTATCTCGAAAGGCAACAAGACCCCGAAATCTTTTGTTTTGTCATGTGTATTCGAATCCGAACGGCGAAACATATATGTGATCATGACACTCGGTTCTTTCTAAAATGAGAGAGAGGAAAAAAAAAAAAAAAAAAAAAAACCGGTCCAACGCGCGAGACAAAAAGACACAAATAACTAGGAAAGAAACCACGTATGCACACAAACGAGTTGAGAGAAAACAAGGCACGCGGTTGCCTTATCAATCTTCGGGGTCTGGATTCATGGCCCGGAGAACCGGTGGGTGAATCCGTCGTGAATAGTCGTGATCGTCTCGGATCGTGTTGAGACTCTCGTGGCTGCCGCGGATGTATAGGCCTTGCTTAAATGGGTCCATTCGAGGATCGATCTGAATGGTGCTGTTTCTGTTGACGGCCGAAACTGGCGAAGCTGGCGAGCCGCTGTTTGCGCTCATCTCTGGGGGAACCGATCCCACCATGCCGGATGAGCTGCCTCTGACGCTCGGGTCATCCCGGTACTCGTCGTTCCGATTTTGTCGTCTCCGTCGGTACAAGAAGAAAGCAGCGCCACAAACGATGAGAGCGCCAAGAACAACGCCAACCGCGATGCCAGCAATGGCACCTGTACTCAGTCCAGAGTGCTTCACCGGTGTGCCGGTTTGGCGGTCTCCGGTTGGGTCTTGCGAGGTAGAGCTGCTGTCCGACGTCTGCCCTGGAGGTGGCGTGGTGGAAGTGGTGGAGGTGGAGAAGGTGGTGGAAGAGGAGGAGGACGACGACGAATCGGTCGTTGACTATGAAACTTGTTAGCCGAATTGCTCTCTCACCGCGCATCAAGTTAGCATTCAGAGATCCGCGGTGCAAACCGCCATCTGAGACAAGTCATACAGAGGATGAGCTACTCGAGGAAGTAGTCGACGTCTCTGATGTGGAAGAGGAGGATGAGGCGGAGGCGGAGGTGGAGGTGGAGGTGGAAGTAGTTGTGGAGCTGGAGGCCGTTGTAGCGGATGTTGAAGCTGTGCTCTGCACCACAGTCTTAGTCACACTATTGGTCACTTCACGATGTTCTACTGAATCCCCCAGAAGGATTTCACTCCACTGGCTTCCCCAGGAGAACAATTCAACAAGGGTTTTTGGACAAAGAAGAGGCAGTACATAGAGTGGTGGCCAGGCAGAGAGAAAGAGTTGTGCCTCCAGTTCGTAATCCGGCTCTCGCGCCATACATTCATGTTGGGTTCAAAGTGCAACAGTTGCAGCATCGCAGGAAAACAGAAGCTTTTGACTCACCTGAGTTGGAGTTGATGTTGGCGGTGCCGTCTTGGTGCCCGAAGGCGCGACTTCGTTTAACAAGATATAACCGTATAATCCAGGGCCGCCGCAGTTCTCTGAAGGCCACGCCGGGCAAGGATCATTGCATTCCTTAACGTCAACTTGTGTGGTCTTGTCAGGGTAGTAGTTGGAGCACCAGCATGAATTTTGTTGCGTGATAGAAAAGGCGTAATCCTTTTTGGTACAGAATATTCCGCAGGCGCCATTTGTTTGCCATATGCTGACATCTGCGATAGAGTTAGATGGGTTGCTACATGGTTAAATCTCTAGGAGTCAAACTCACTCAATGGTGTTTCGCCTGTGTTGAAACTAGAACAAACGTTGATGCTAATGGCAGAAATCCAAGTGGAAAATGTCAACAACAGCAGAAGCATGTAGCCCTTTTGCAGGGTGATTGCCAAAGAGGCCATGGTTGATATTTGGGAGAGTAAGAGTCTTGGAGATGGTTGTTGATTTGAGGTTGCAGACTTGAAAAGTCATGCACGTGTTTAAGGGCAATTCCCTTGAAAATTCGTCAGTGACGTGCCTTTTGTTTGGCTGACTCGTCTTTCGATCCCTTGTTGAGGGGTTCCCTTCGCCTTTTTGTCGATCCAGGAGGCTTTTTAGTAACAAGCCATAACCACCTCTGCTGGTTGTTTGTTAAACCGTAGACAGCACAAAGGCTGAAGAGCTGAGACAGGAGAACGGATTAACGCTTCAAAATCGTTCAGAATCGATATTCTCGAAGATATTGCGAAATCGTACTCGAAGCAGCAGTGAAGCAGCCGAGTTGGGGTGGATGATGTCTTGGTTAAAGTCTGGGGAAATTTCTCGTTGAAATCAGAGACACAACGGCGTGCTTATGAGCCAAGAAATCGACGGCTGGAATGCTTCGATAATAGCTGTGTGACGTATCGTCGAGGCCAAAGTCCGTAACGGAGAAGACTGGAATGCGCGGCCAGACGCAAGCAGGACCAAGGCGAGTGCAGTCCGTACGCAGTCGAAAGATGTAGAGCAGTACCAACGAAAAATAAACAAGACTGCTCGCAGCACCCAACAGAAATCTGTCTGTCTCAGGATCCCAAGATTTCCAGAACGAAGCCGAAAAAAACAAGAGAAAAAAAAGAGACAAAAGAAATAGAAACCAAAAAAAGGGAGGATGGGATGGGCGACCAGCAAGCGGAGACTGATGAGAAAATATCTTGAGCTAAGGCTACCGAGGCTGCCTTTTCAAGGTTGCGGGCTGTTGCGAGCTGCCAAACCGGTCTGGGAGATGATGATCACAGCTGACGGCCCGAGCGTGGCTGGAGACAGACGGGCAAAAAAACAGCGCGACTGTTTAGCTCTGACTAATGGAGGCGTCGGCGATGGTGATGATAGTGATGGTGATGCTGAGATTGTGATTGTGCCGGGTCGAGCTTGTTGTGCTAGGGGAAGAAGGCTGGCTGAGAGGGTAGAGGTTGAAAGTGAGAGGAAGAGGAGGAAGAAAGAGGTCTGGAGATTTCAAGGTGCTGGATGGCAAAGTACGAGTACAAGTGGAGGTACATGTACGAGTCCCGTACAGGCTGCACGCTTTTTTTACAGGCTTCCAGTCGCTACGGTACAGCCAGCATGGAGGGCCCCGGGGAGATCAGGCCCGAGCGCTGCAGTGACAAGTGACGGGGGGGCGACTGGGGATGGATTGATGGATGGCGTGAGTGACAAGCAGCAGATGGCTGTGGAGGAAGAGGGAATAAAAGAGGAGCCGGAGTGCATGATAATGGTGCTAGTATTTCTTTGAGCAGATTTTTAATTTTTTATAGCACACTACTGCATTTCCTTACCAGATAAAGAGTTCTTCTGTTCAAGTGTTGTTCCGCATCTGGCTGTTCACAGTCCCGTCTCCTTGCTTTTCGAGGCACAACACCCAATCCGTACCGGTACTTCGTAAAGGGAACAGCAGCGCCGCGCTAGCCCGTCGCAACCCCTGGCCCCATGGCGTCACTGGGGCGCTACGGCCTACGGGGCAGCAGATGGCGGCATCTGGCCAGCGGGCTAGAGGGCTGCTGGACGCTAAAGGGCCGCTAGAGGCTGCTAGAGGCCGTGGGCTGGACAACTGGAGTCGCAGGCAAGCCACAGTTGGTTGGGGCCTGGTGCGTTGTTTTGGCAGAACTCGTACGAGGAACGTTGCTGGGAACCAGGTGGATGGGAATTGCTGGTTGTGGTGGTCCGTTTGCGATCGAGGCGGCGATCTTGCTCTATTAATTAACCCGGTCGTATATACGGCCGGTTTGAGTGTGTACTGTACATGTACTCGTACTGGTCCATGTCAACAACGTACGCCGGCTGTGGCTGAGAAAGATACTGGTGGCAGACAGTACATCCAACGACAGTAACGTGTAAGGGGAGGCGAATGGAAACAAGTCTTGGATGCTGTGTACTATGGATCGCATAATGCATTAATGCTGCTGCATTGCGGTTTTATGACGCGACTATGAGGGCAGAGACTGCATAAAACGTTGCATCACCGGTATATCATTATATCATTCACAGCGTGGGTGCTGTCCCCATGTACGGCCGGCTATCTTTTGTCATGGATTGATAACCCTCCTCGACTTTAGCATGTACCTCTAAACTGCTTGACACATGTACATGGCTCCAGCTTCGTCTCTTGAAACGGCGCATTTGCCCCAGCTCGTCGAATCGAACTTTCCGCTATCAAGCAGTGAACTGGCACTATCAAGTCCAACAACCGCTTTTACCTAGATTCAGCAAAACGGAGCCCAGATATGGAAAACAATGGGTGATGGCGCTCAACTTTCGGTACGTACCGTCAGCAGCGCCGTGTCCGTCCCGTCTTTCGCCTTTGTACAGCTACAAGTACCAACTCAAGCTCACTAGCACGAGGTGGCGAGAGCGAAGCGGAAGGTGCCATTGAAGCTCCCTTAGGCTCGAATTCAATTCAGGCCACGCCGCTTGTTTTTCTCTTCGCCTCCCATTTACAAACATCACCTACAGAGTGTCTTCAACATAACCCCCAGAAAATCTCCCACCAGCAATGCCGAATGACAAAAAGGTCACGATGGCCGCACAGAAGCCAGGAGCCCAGTACGAACTACGGAGCCATACGCGGCCCAGCAAAAAAAGTGCAAGCAAAAAAGGTCACAGCACGAGACAATACGAAACTGCTCTGCACCTGTGGCCGTCGAATACGAGGCAAAGATGACGGCGTGTGGGCTGCTGCTCGTACGGAGTAACCGCCCTCGGCCTGAGTGTGGCCCAGTCGCCCAATGGCGCTGAGGCCCAGCGCACGTCGCGGTTGGTTTGCCCTGGCCCTTGACGATTTTGACTGCCATTGATCCATGTCCAGCTGTGGCCAAGATGCACCAGCCAAATCTCCACCATGGACATGTGTCCACTCACACACGCACGCATACGCACATTCGCTTCGGACGTATGTACATGCCTGACTACGCTATACCGCTCGGGGCATGTACGGAGTACCTGGATCGAGGATGGGACTGCATACGAAGCACGCTGATTGATATACGATACGAAAGACGGATCACGCGGTTCGAGGTGGAAAGGGCTTTCCATGTTGTCGAGTGATGGATTCCCGTCCGGAGGCATCCATCAAGTACCAGTGTGTGCCCAAGCAGATAACAAACAGCGCTACAACATACTATTGCCTGAATTGGACCCGTCGTCTTTCAAATCGGATCCATCCTGAGACAGACGGCTCTAGGACGATCAGGGGAAGGCTCCAAGGTGTGTCCACGCCTTGCACCAGCAGCAAAAGATTTCTCGGGTCCATGACGAATATAATTCTGGCTGAGCGGGAAAGCAAGGACCGGGATGTGGTTGGCAGTAGGGTTGGTGGCACCGCATCCTGGGCTTGGCCGGATCTGTTTGTCCTCGTTTTCTGCCGCAGAAGAACGATTCTCTTACAGTACAATTTTTTTGGCCCCCTGTAAAAGCCGATCGACGCTTGTTACAAGCAGCTGCCGCAGCAACATCCAAAGCGGCCGCGCCTCTTGAGGAAATGGACGTCGATAAATCTTCAGATGCCTGGCCGGCTGCAAAAGAGATACAGAGTGACGCTCGCAGGCGACGAGACGGTCTTGTTTGTAAAACGACAAGTGGCTACCAACTTCTACTTGCACATGACCGTCTCGATGATACTTGACGACAAGGCCAACATTCGAATTGCCGATATCTGACATGGCACCGCTCACTGATAAGTGCTTGTAGTACAAGTACAGTACCTGAAGAAGCAGCCCTGTCTGGCCATATCGGAAACACAGACAGACCCCACGCCGATGCCTTGATTTCGCTCACGCCGGTGGGCCACACTCGACGCCATCGAATCTTTACCTTCAGAAGCGAATTTGACGAAACGGATCGCTTTTCTAGAATGCCACTCGCCTCAGTTGTGCTATTTTTTACTTCAGCCGCCTCGTACTGATGCATCCGCTGCAAAGGCCCAAACGGCATTGACAGCTCGTGATATGCACTCGTGCACGATGGGCGTGAAGAGGCAGTAGGGGTCTGTGGGTGCAGACAAAATGCAGCACATGGATCAAGCTTAAAGAACCTATCAACACGGCGGCGGCGTCTGTTCCCCGCATGCATTGTTCTGAAAGCTCATTCGATGTCTAGGAGCACCAGGTTCGGCAAAATAAACAAGAGCATCCCCGCAAACCAAACCACGCGTCCTCACCTCCAGCCACAAATTCTCAAACCCTTTTCCGGGAGGGCTGCTGTCTTGCATTGGCCAATCGCAATGATATTCCCCCACGGTTCGTCTCCCCCTCATCCCAACCTCCTAGACCAACCTCCCAAATATGCAGCCTTTCCATGGGAAGACGGATAGGTTTCAAGTCCGGACACCATCCTGCAGGTGTTGCAAGACTTTGCGGTGACGCAGAGACAACCTGATAACCTAGTGTTGTTACTGGTGGTGAGACTGATGCGTTTGCAATTTTTGTGTCGGATGTCACGGCGTTGGTCTTTCAAGTGATCGGCACTGATAAGCGGTCGACCCGGTACCGCGCCGCTAATACTGAACATGCATCGTACGATTCACTTGTCTTGAGCATACTGCGGGATAGGTTCTGCGCATACTCCGTACGGCAGGTGGCTGTATTGAGAACACACTCGTACGTGCCGTGCCTGAGAAGCAGGCGAAATTCTTGCTCAGCATCTAAACACGGTGGATCTGTGCCGTGTCGTATTGAGAAAGTGCCAACTCTAATGCCCATCCCTCCCTTTCTTAGCAGCGTATGCCAAGTCGAAATGAGAAGATAAAAATAGGAGGATAGATGGCAAAGTTCTAGATTGCCGTTGGACCAAAGAAAAGGGAGAATTGAAAACTCTTTGGTCATTTGCGCCACAAGATGACGCCTCGTTTGCCGATTTATAGGTCAAGAGATCGACAAGCTAAGAAGATGGATCGTCGCTAATATTGGGAGCAGCCGCAACGGGTGTTTCAAACACAGGGCTTTTTTCTTCGCCAGACTACGACTGCCAATCGTTTATGACCGAATGACAGAAGGCATTTACACCGACGACTTCTCACCGTGCGTATACCCGCAGGGCCCATGTTACAATACGCCGGCAGTTTGAGGGCATACGGTATACACATGCAAGTGATGGCCTCCATCACAGATACACAGGCTGCTAAGTGCGGTGACCAATTGGCTGTGCTCAAAGCTGCCTCTGCCTCTGCCTCTTGTGTGTGGTGCTGCGACTTATGCCCAGCTCTCGTGGATGTTAGCGTGATTGCTACTGTTCCAAACTAAAGGAAGCGGCTCCGTTGCTGGCGGGCCACTTTTAAGAAGTCTGGAGCAGCCCTAATGAAGCGCGAGCAACAACGAACCGAGTCAGCCAGTCCACAGTCGTGTGAAACTTTGATTCTCCTGGCCTTGGCTTCTCATGGTTACCACGAGAGACGAAACTTTACGCCGTCATGAGCATGTTTGTATGTGTTCAAGCCAAAGGCCTTTTGTCTATGACTTGTGGGTATGGGGACAACCTTGTTGCCCCGATTTCGGTTTGCACGTTTGCTCCATCTTGCTCATGGTACAGCACGTGTATACTCAATCCTATTTCATCACATGTTGAGCCCATACCGAGCGTGTACGTGTACTGTACACGGCCCGGAGTGGAGTTGACGGATCCTTGGAGTTGAGGGCTTGGCTCTTCAGCCGCAACCCCAGCGGAGTTGACGAGAAACCCGGAGGCCAACCTGCGAGCTTTCGGCCCCTATTATCCTGATACTACTAATTCTACACACGCAAAAATGGCCCGTGCTGCCAAAGAGGCTTGATCGCTCCAGGGTCCATCCCTAACGCATGCAAAGTCTAAGGGACGGGCCCAATATGGCAACATTTTCGATGCAAGATTTTTCTCGTCCACAAAACCCGGAGCTGAACTCTCCCCGCGCCGCGCCAGCTAACGCCCGCGAATACGAGAAGCCGCTGGGACTATTGACGGCTCTAAGCTGCGGTAGCGCCGTGGCTGTTGGTAAAGTCTGGATGGCAACTAAGCACTGCGACTCACGAGAAAAGTATACAGTTGTTGCTGTTGCGCTGGGCTCGGTGTGAAATGGTATATATATGGTTCCTGTGAGAAGACGAAAAGATGAACATGGACAGCGACTAGCGGGTTGAGTTGACCGTACCGAAAGCCACGATGCGCCGCAATTGCCCGATGGGGACTTGATTCGTAACCCTAATCAACTATACGACCTTGAGAAAGTAAGGGGTAAGTGAGATCTGATATGCCGTGCATGCTTGTATGTAGATGCTGGAGGTTGATGCGCCTTGAATACGCATTGACTTTTTGAATTGGCAAACAGGTGTGTCAAGACTGTAAGATGAAATTGCCACAATTATCCGGTTACTATATCGGTAAGACTTACAGAGTAGTTCTTGAGTAAATCTACATTGGTGAAGCTTCCAGTTATTATACGGAGTGGCAGGCGGGAGCGAGTTTGGCAGAGTGGCTGATGGGATGACACTTGTTACACGTGGGCTGAGTTGCTCAACCTGATAAGCCAGTATTTGACCTTGGCAACGGGTGTCAAGTGTCATAAAAAAAGCCTTTGTTTGACGTGAGCTATTTTATACTTTTGGCGGTGTAACTGGCACCAGGACATTGACAACAAAGGCACTGATGGCATCCCAAGAGAAAGCCACCAATCTTCAGTGCTGTTGATGACTGCCGGTGCTAACATCACCGACTATTACCTATTGGCAGGCTATTGCGGTAATCTGTGAGATAGCGGAGCATCTTCGGGTCCCGATAAGTCTAACCTCCGGCTACGCGCGGCATCGCAGTCGCAATCGCAATCGCATCGCATTGCACGTCACTTTGCAAACAAACAAACAAACAAACAAACAAACAAACAAACAAACAATCCATTAGCATTGTGTTACCTTGTGTGAAACCTGCATTGCTATTTGTGCAAGGGAACAAAATACATCAGCAAAATCTTCTTTGATGCGGGTCACGCATGTGACCGCCTGCCGCCTGATCTGAATCAACCATCCCCAGTTCGATCTCGACTCTCCATCGGCTGTCTCGCGATCCCAACTCATCCCCAGCCAGCGGTTACACTTGTTACACCATCGTATCCCATCTTCTACATACCCAGCCAACCGTTCATCATGGGCGCCATATCCCTCCCCATCAAACCCCTCAAGCCGGGCCCTCGCCGCCGCCGTCAGCTCCCCGTCCTCATGGCCGTCTGCGTCCTCGGCGCCATGGCCCTCTTCTACATCCTCCTCGCCATTGCGCCCTGCATGGTCGGCGCGACATGCTACAGAGGCTATCAGTCCGTCTATAGCTTCGATGCTGGCGACGACCTGCATCCGGATTGGATGGCGGCGATTCCCGACGACGTCCATCTCACCAGCTTGAGCATCCCGGGTACTCACGATACGATGACGTACGAGATTGGGTCGGAGCAGCTGCAGTGCCAGAACTGGAATCTTAGCATGCAGTTGAACAGCGGGCTACGGTATCTCGATATCAGGGCGAGGCTGAGGGATGACGAGCTGCATATTTATCACGCGAATGGTTATACGGGCTTTGGCTACGAGCAGGTTCTCCTCGACGTCTTTGAGTTTCTCGACGCTCATCCTTCGGAGACAATCATCATGCGCCTCAAGGAAGAAGGAAACCCCATCGGCTCCAATAACTCTATATCTTTCGAAGACGCCTTCAACTATCACCACTTCTCGTCTCCCCTCACCGCGCCCGGCTCCGCGAAGCACCTCCACAAATACGAATTCGCCGCCCCTATACCTACCCTCGGCGCGCTCCGCTCCAAGATATTCATCCTACAAAACTTTGACGCCCGCGATGGCCCGTACGGTCTTCGGTGGGAAGGTCCCGAGATGGTTCTCGAAGACCTATGGGTCATCCCGGACGTCTACCACCTCTCCGAGAAATGGACCGCTATTCGCGACGCCCTGGAAAACGCCGCGCTGGCACCGGATGATAACCGCTTCCTCTACTTGGCGCATACGTCTGCCTCGGTGGGCGTTTTACCTATCGAAGCCGCTGCTGGGCCGATGAACAGGACGATACAGGGCATGAATGACATGACGGGGCAGTATCTCGAGGATGCGTCGGCGAATGTCGACGAGGCAAGGGTGGGCGTCGTCATTATCGATTTTCCGGGTAAGAAGCTGATTAAGACGATTTTGAAATGGAATGCTTGGCTGAGGTGATGGCATTGACGAGTTAGATTTTTTGTTTTTGCATTCTTTGACTTGAGACATGGCGTTGTTTACTTGGATTGACTATTATTACTACTGCATACCGTCCACATACGGAGAACACATAGGCTACGATATATATATTACACGCAAAGCTGGTGCATTGTATACTACTAGGTAGAGCACGGCTTGGAATTTAGATACAAATCTCTTGGATAACCCAAAACCAAATTAAAGCGAAGGGACTCGTATATACCCATACACATATACCATACATACATACACGGCATCGAAGTTGGATCCGTTGCTCATCCTCTCCATCCATCCGCCAGCCAATCCATCCCATCCCTCCATCCACCCTCCCGCGATCCTACCCTAGGCTATATACAAGAAAATAGCATCCAAAAAACGAAAAGAACGCTCAAGTTACAAATTTTCGCGAAAACGAGAGAAGATGTGTTAACAAACTCCAAAAATGTCTCCCAACCGTATGCAGATATCCCGCTATAAAGACCCCCCTTAAATTACCCGAATAAAAAATCCCAACATCCCATATCCTTCCCCCTTATTGCCGTCTGAGATCCTCACTTCGCAAAGATTTCTTACTCTTAACGCTCCGTATGCCCGGTGTGCCTGACCTGCTGATTGACGGACTCGCTTCCTTGGTAGGACTATTGCTCTGGCTCTCGATGCGGTCCACCATTTGCAGCACTCTCGTCTTGGGACGCTCAAACGTCATGGCTTCCGCAGTATAAACGCTCGCCGATCTTGCAAACGAGACATCCGTCGCTACTGAGAGCGGTCTCGACATGTCCGTCACCACTGAAAGCGGTCTTTCAATCATTTCGCCCCTCTCACTTCCTTCGCTCCTATCTTCATAATCATCCTGGTTGATTCTCAAGAAGCCGTCGTCACGATCGCCTTGGTCTACAGGCACACCTCCGCCCTCGTCATCGTGATGAGAGCTGAGCTTGCTGCCGCTGCGAAGCGAAGGGGTAGCCATCGATAACCGTTTATCCATGTCAACAAGCTCCGCCGTCTGTGGCATATGAAGAGGTTGCCTTTCATCGGTACTCGTCCCATCGTCAAGATCGTCAGCATTCACAACACGAAGACGCTCCTTGGGTACAGTGAACATGACTTGTACAAGGCGGTTCTCCACGGCTCTTTCAATATCCCATTCATTTTCTTGAGCACCGCTGCCCTCACCACTTTCCCAGTCTTGGCGCCCCTGCTTTCTTCGAAGAAGCTCACTGCCAAGAGCTGCAAGTGGGGGTTCGTAATCGTGGCTTAGCATGTCTGTCGATATCTCTCGCTGAGGAGACCTATCTCTAACAGACAAGTCTCCCGAAGTAGATTCTGATCCGGAAAAGACACGTCGCAGTGAACCAAGCCAACTTCGTCGAGGAGGCTTCGATTTCGACGGCGAGCTGGGCAACTCGTCATCTTCGTATGGACTTGATCTGCCGAGCAGCAGATTGGGACCCTCTGCCTGCAGCGCGCCGAATCCTGATTTCGCCGTGTTGTAGCTGCTGGAAGAGGAGCTACCAGGCTTGCCCGGCTCTGTGGTCGGTGCCGATGAACCACCAAAGAGGCCCCCAGTAACAATAGCGGACCATCGGCCGGAGCTGGATCGACCTAGACCATCTCCCGCACTGCGATTTGATTCTGATAGGGCCGATTCCGTACGGAGATCATCTTCTCGTGCGCCGGATGAGCGTTGGGAGTTTCGCCGTGTGGGAGAATTACGGCCCTGTGCTCGAGTACTATTGTACCTGGCCAGCATTGCGTCCGCCGCGTCGACATCAGACACCCAATCTTGCACATCCGGATCGTGGTGAAAGGGGCTATCTGTGCTTGGACCAGCCGTGCTTTGGCCAGGGGGCGGAGGTTGGAACACTGGCAGACCCCCTGAGGCAATGGCAACTGTCGGCGTCAGGAATGGATCGGAATATGCGTCTGACGTCGGTGTGGTGGCTTCGACCGGGTTGACTCGCTGATAAGCCAAGTCTTCCTCCTCATCCTCCATGATAGGGTGGATTTGACCCGGAGTAGATACAAAGCTGTTCAGCTGATTCGCCGGTATGTAACCGCCACGAATCTGTCTAGACACTGGCTTCCTCGCAACACCTGGTACGACAGGAGCATAGCCGCCATATGAGCCGCGTAGGCTCTCGTACCCCAATGATCGATCATCTCCACTACTGCTATATGGATCCTGCCCGTTATTGTACCAGCTGCGATAACCCCAGGGGAAAGCATCTGGTCGCTCAGTCATGTCAACAGAGTCGTGGATAAACATGCTGGCATCCTGGGCCATGCCCCTGATTGTCTCCTCACGAGCCGCTCGCCTCCTCTGCCTCTTACGCCAGCAGAAAAACATGACCAGGACCAAAACAAGGAGAACCAGGCCGCCACCAATTCCAAACCCAATGCTTAATCCCAGAATTTTAGCCTTGGATGAATCGTCAGACGAACTAGCAGCCGAGGTAGGGGAGGCATGGGGGCTTTTGCCGTCGGCCTCGGCGGGGGTAGGATTGTTGTAGGTCGTCGCCCAGGTCAAATCAGTCAAATTCAAGAATTGCGGCGCTGTGGTGACGCCGGTTTGTCGTTTCATCTTGCTTGACGAGTCCGAATCGCTAATCTGCCAACCTCCGTACACCATCATCACATTTCCCGGCAGTATAGCCGCGCCGTGTCCATAGATGCCAGAGTCTCCAAAATCCGGCTGTTGCTTGGGAATGGTCCATCTCCATGAATCGTATGCCTGGCCCATTTCCAAAATGGCGAGCTGTGGCTCCGCTGCATTTGTCACATCGCCAACCCAACCTCCCAACACGATGATGGAACGCCCGTCCTGGCTTAGAGTGGCTGTATGGCCGGATCGACTCTCTACGCCATCGGGACTGTTGTCGGTCGATTGCTGGACGTTGACGTATGACCATGACTCCTCGGGGAGATTCCACACAGCAGAGGTACTCATGTTGATGAAGGCTTGCTTGGTATGACCGCCGATGATGACGTACGCGGTCTGCTGTGTGACCGTTCCAGAGTTGTTGCTCATCGAACTTTGCAGCGCGGTGAGACTGAAGCCGGCAATGGGCGTCTTAGGCCCAGAGTTTGAGGCAGTGACTTGAGCATACGACTTGGACGAAGGGCTGTTGTCAGCTGGAGAGAGACTCATCATGCCTGTGGTGTAATTCGCCGCAGATTGCCAATTCTTCGAGCTATCCGACGGCGTATCACACATGCCGCCATAGGAGTATATTGTCGGTTCGTCCAACAGGGGAGCCAGTGTCCCGGAAAAGGCAATTGTTCCCCCGAGAAAGTACGGCCCCCTTGACGATGTGCTCTTTTGCGATTTGCCCAACGTTGTCGCGTGCTTCACCCAGGCCGCGTCGCCGCTACCCCCGGCAGCCGCTCCCTCTCCATACGTCCACACGTTTCCTGGCCCTTGGTCACATTCTCCTGCATATATCAGCACAGCGCCTTCTTCCGTTCTTACTGCGCCAAATGCCGTATTCTTCGGATTGTCTCCGCCCACAAAGGGCAGGCTCGTCGTAACGGGGTTTAGCTTGGTGTTCGTTCCAACCGTGCTCGAAATGTTCAGCGACAGGAACTGCACATTGTCGTCGCTATCCTGAGTGAAGATGTAAGCGATGTCTGGGGCATGGCACGCGCTCTGGTTGAAGCACGCATCAGGCGTGAGAATCTGGGTGGGAACATAGGGGAAGCTATGCGCGGCGGTCACCAATGGAGCCCCCAAGAGCAAAGCTGCAGACCAGACGAAGCGACTTGATCGCGCCAGGCCTGGTGTTGCGCGATGCGGCTGCGCGCGTCCGCGAGCAAACGGCGCTGGTGGTACGGCCATTGATCGAGTTCGCACCGAGTTCTCTCACTCCCGTCTCCCTGATTAATTTTTTTTCTAGTGTTTCCCTGGGATCGTTTGCCTTGTTCGCTTGTCGATCATATCATCGTGGCATGTCGATCCCTCGCAGCCTTGTCTTTGTCGCAATCGTGAGTGTCGTTTGTCGTCCGCTTCTTTTCTGTTCTTCTCGAGGTCGTTCGCGCCAGTCGTCGGTTTAGAATCGCATCCACCGCCTCTGCCGAGTAAATAGTGGTGCTGCAGCAGCTCCCCCACAGACGATCGAGGACGTGCAGTAGGCGAAGCTGGAGTCGAGGGTCCGATCCGAGAGCCAATCTCTCAGGGTCTCACAATGCGAGACGAGATGGGAAGATGGTAGAAAATGAAGCAAAAAAAGAAATAGTACCAGATGAACAAGATATTAGGTCAGCTTCTTCTGCTCCAGCTCGACTCAACACCAACAGCAAGCTGAAGCTTTTTTGTCACGGCCGCGAGAGTTGGCCAAAGGCTTGCAAGATGCAGGTACCCTTTTGGCGCTGGTACGAGCATAGAGCTTGGAAGGCAAAAAGACACGCGCAAAGCGGTGGGCTGCACCCCGGCTTTAGCGGTGGCTGTTTTGGCAACAGCAGTGGCAGCAACAGCAACAGCAGCAGTATGTAACAACACTGGTGGTAGCAGCAGAAGGAAGGCGCAGCACGCGGGTGGTGCTTGACAGACTGGGATTGTCAACAAGGGGGGCAGGAGCCAGTCCGGCCGATACAGGCGAGGGAAAGAGCTAACATGTGCACCTGCAGGCGGCAGACGGCCGTTGTTTCCGTGGGTTGAGCTGCACGAAGCGAAAGCATTAGCCGCTGACCATTAAAGCTGCTAGCAGAGCCGCTGCAACGTCGATTATGGACGCCTCAAGTAATTTTAATTTAACGGATTGCTAGGCTTTCAAGACACTCATTTATCATACTTTGATAGCTGCCGCTGTCATGAAAAAAAGTATAAAACGTCGATATAACTATTCATTATACTTGTACAGATCTCGCCATCTTCATTCATTTTCATAAACATCACGAATCATCTCATCTGACGCCCATTAATTCGTCCGTCAATTCTCATTATCCTCATCCCCCCACACAACTTCATTTGTTGTCCTTGTCCTACCGCCGTTGCCGGGAGCAACCAAAGCTTGGCCTCTTTCTTTTTCCCACCACGGCTTAGCGGGGCACGGCGTTATTATGTTAGCGCCCTAGATTGGGGATCAATCCATAAGACCATCAGCAAGAATTTTTTTTGTCTACTGCTATTCGTGCTATTATCAGAGAATCAATTCTATACTATCTGTCTTACTCAAACACCTAAAAATACACTCATGAATATCCATCAGCAGAGAAGAATATTCCAATGCCTCCTGCCTTGTTTTTAGTACCGCAGCCACTGTCCTCACTATCAGCATGTTATTAGTCCAACTGCTCTTTTGGGCAAATCGGGGCCCAGCCACCTATCAGCACATGTGATGCAACGAGGGGCTGGGGGACACACCTAAACAGCTTGAGCGGCAGCCAATCGAAACGGCTGCTGTCAAACAAAGATGGCTGGGAATGGCGTGCAGATGATGTGCAGTTGCAGCCATTGGACGTTCTCTCTATCTCGATATGATGCCGCCTGCAGCCACTCTCGATGAGATACTGTAACTCTGTTGCTCTCTCTATTTTGCTACGAGTATCATCAGCTGCTCGTGCTGACACGCAGCATCTTCTCCGTCTCTCTCGCCCGCTTCAGCCCCCCACCCGGGAAATGACGAGAAGCCTAGAACCGCCGGGCCACCGTTGGACTAGCAGGGAACACGCGGCAGAGCAAAAGCAAAACCTGAATCTTTCCCAGTTGTCTTGTCTTGTCCTTGTCTGTGCTTTGTATCGGCTCAAAGTCAGACAACGTCAATGCGTCAACTGAGACATGCGTCGTCTTGGTCTTGTTCACAATTACTAGTTCTATTCGACATTACGAATTCAAGCAAAAAAGTGCAAGTAGCCTGCGTGTCCTGGCCAGTTACAATACATCTAACTAACTGCCCTCGTCTAACATGAATCTTGTGCTCTTCCTCGTTCGTGCGCTCTCCAGATGATATCATGCTTAGTCCTATCCATACGACCGTAAATAACATATTATTGTCTCTCTTCGTCTTAATAAAACCGCCAATTCAAGTGTAATAAAAAAAAAAGGCCAGACGCACTGCAGGCAGAATTAAACAAAAAGACGGGAGGGGGTATCGAGTATTAAGCCGCCTAATAGTAAATCTTTTCTTCCCAGATGGGTGGTCGAGCACCTTCAGAATCCCACGTAACATGGTTCTTCTCGTCGAGCGTTGCGCCTTCATCCGTGATGGGAACCACCTTGCTTGAAGCAGCAACCTCCTGCTTGGACAAGCCCGCAGGGTCCGAGGGGATCCAAAGGATTGGAGTCCTGCTTGAAACGGATGGTGGCAAGAACGCTTCGGCCTCAATTTCATCGGCGTACTGCATCGGCTCCGCCAAGTGCTCTTCTTTGAGGAACAGTTCGCGTAGTGTGGCATAATCCGCATATACCCAAGGCTTAAGGAATTTGAGAATAAAGTTGCCCTGCTTGCCAGATGCGTCCAGGGGCAATTTCTTGGGTTCCTGGGTCTTGCCGGTAGTGTCATCGTGAGAGACATTGTTGGAGGCCAGACCTTCCTCAATGCTAGTACCGGTTCCATTGCCGGCGGCGCGCAGCTGAATAAGCTCCTCCTCTGCCTGGAGACTTCGTGGCAAGCCGTAGAGAAGTGGATCGAGGGTTCGCGACAGGGTGAGGTGGTACAGGATGGTGAAGCCGAGGAAAATAGCCATCAGGACTGCAGGTCCGACAGCCTTGGAAACGGCAAAGAGACCAACCATGCAGATTTCGGCCAGGTAGATGCCAGAAAACAGCTGCTTCAGTGCACGAGGGTAGATCAAGCCATGAGTGTCGATTTGAGTCTCCGTGACGAACAGGATATTATATCGGTAGGCGAGATAGAACAAGCCCATACCAATGGATGACCAGAACAGGATCAAAGGAGCAATAACTGAATACGTGATGCCTATGACAAGTTAGCAGATGCATTTGGTAATTATAGAAGAAATCTACAAGAAACATACTAATGACAGCAATGTTGGTATATACTGGGAGAACGCTACCCCAAGAAATGGCGCTGAGGCTGGTCCACTTCTTATACATGGCTCGGGGTGTCTTGGCCAAAAACTTGTACAACAGCGTGAAAATGAAGAAACCGACAACTTGCGTAACGACGCTAGTCGCAATGGTAAGACCCTGGACGATAAAGTAGGAAATGTAGAAATTAGATGCCGTAGGCAGGGACTCAGAGAGAATGTTGAAGACTTGTTGCGGCTGCTGGGCGATCTGAACAAGGGCCGTTGAAGCTGCGTTGGTAAGGGTCTGGATCAAAAACACCTGAATGAGCTGGAAGAAAAAGTACGAGTTCTGGGTGAACAGCTCGACGCGAGACTGAGTAACTTCGCCGGCCTGTTTGGCACAGAGACGCATGATGACAGGGACCAGAGACATGAGGACGGAGAGAGCCACTGCTGGGAGCAAGCCGGAAACGACTCCAAGAATGGGCTTGGGAATATCGCCAATCCAAGTCAAGCCGGGAATGTTCTTCAGCGTGTTCACCTGAGCAACCAAACCAACAATACCGACGGGGATGGCCCAGAAGATGATGAGAGCGGCAATAAAGGCATAGACGACATAGCGGCGGATAATAACCTGCCACCAGGGGAAGGACAAGCTCTTCCAAACAACCTCTGCAGGCTGAACGCCAATGACCTTGGGCTCCATGTGCAGGGCCTGGTGGTGAGTGACGGATTGGAATGCATATTGAGCGTCGCCTTGAGTTTCGAATTCGACAAAAACAGCGTGGACTTTCTCGTTGTTGCCGGCTCTCCAGTCGGCCTGAGCCTTTTCGACCTCGGGAATCAGACGCTGCAGCTCATTGCGGCTCCAAAAGATGGTGTCGACCTTTTCGCCAATGAGACCAAGGAAGCCAAGTCGATGATGCGGGCGGTCCTTGTCCTGAATCCAGCGTGAAGCAATGTCGCCTGTCTCGATATCTCCATCTTCGGTAGTGGCAGGGCCCTCGGGTTGAGTTTCTCCCTTCTTCATGGCCTTGATGCGGGCCTTGTTGACCTTTGTCAGGAGGCCAATTTCTCCCTTTTCAAGCTTCATGGCGGCATCGTCGCGCTCCTCCACCAATTTGTCGAGCTCATCCGTCTTGCCGCAGACCCAGACCCTCCTGACGTTGTTGAACATGTTACGAATACGCTCTTCGGTGTTGTATTCCTCTGGAACGGAAGTGAAGAGCACGGTACGGGCAGAGATTCGTTTGGCGTTGTGGGGGTTGATGTGGTGAGCCTGGCGCAGATTAATGTAGAAAATGCACTCGCGCGTAATCATGTACATAAGGAAGCCATAGACAGCCCAGCCAACAAAGGTGTGGGCGTAGAGGTAGTTCTTGTGCGTCTCAATGTCGACATTGCTGTACGACAGGATCTCGAGCTGGGAGAGACCCTTGCCTCCGGTGGCATTGACGGGGAACAGAATGGGCCAGGTGATGAGAAGGCTGACGAAACAAACGACAAAGCAGATGCGCAGATATCGAAGGAAGAGATAGGCGTCGAGGCTCTGGTGGGTCAGAACGTAGGCATCGGGGATCTTCCAGAAGGCCGAAATCCAGGTCAACAGATTGCTGGGTATGCTTGGTGTTCGCTCGCTATATTGCATCAGTTTATCTCCATGTCTGTCGCCTATTTACTTCTCCCACTTGACATGAAGAAAGGCATCACTCACTCTTCGCGCAAAGACCCTAGATATGTACGCGGCGCATAGTAGCGCCGTTGGGATCTTCTTAGGAACAAGAAGATGACAATGTAGACACACGATACTATCAATACAGGAATGAGAGTATCAAGCATGCCTATTATCAGACACAAGCTCAGTCAGCCCTATATCGACAGTATATTTTCATCCAGTGAAGCTTGAACTCACCCCATGCTGACTCTGGCTGGGATTCCCGCGCTGATCCCTGGTTGGAGTCGGGAGCCAGGTTCTTGTTGAGCCAACTGATAAAGTTGCCCATCTTGACGACGTCGTGCTCGCAGCCGTTGCCGCGCGCGCCAGGGGGTACTCGGTGCTGTTATGAAAATGCTCGAAGTATCTCGTCGTCGTGAATCGGTGTAGAAATTAAAAAGTGCGAATCGAATTGAATGCGGGATGCCGTGTGCAAAGCGCCAGCTCCAAGTAAGGTAGCTTGAAGGGGGTGGGCAAAGCAGGGATTTGTGAGATTTGACAGAGATATGCCAAGTGGAGAGAGAAAAAAAAGGGAAGACAAGCGTCTAATATCGCCAACCGAAGGTACAAAAGTACTCTGTACTCTTGACGCTTGGCAGATTGATCAACAATCGATCTCTCGATGGCGACACAGACGGGACAGGGAAGGCGAGTTCCGAGGTCCTTCAGCGGCAGTAGATGCCGAAGCGATGGATAAACGCGTATTCCGCTTGTGAGAGGCACGAGGTTGTGCTCCCCTTAACTAGTCGTGTATCCTTTCTTTTCCTGTGCCTAGCTTTTTCTTCTTCGTCCCTCTCGTCTGGGCTTCTCTTTTTTTCTTCCCCTCGTGGGCTGGACCTGATGAGTTGGCCGTGCCACTAATAAGTCACTGTCTCAGCCAGACAAGGACCCGGCTGCGGCGCCAACTTGCCGATCTAGCCTATGTGGGCCGATAAAAGGCTGTCTGTCTGCTTGAGAGCTTGGAAGAAAAGGGAGGGATCGGATCCAAAATCTTGCGTGTGTCCAGCTGCTATTGGAGCTTGTGCGTATGTGGCTTGGGCGGGTAAACGAGCGGATGGCCGTACCAGACGACCAATAGATAGCGAGAGTGAGTGATGATGAGGGAGTGGGAAAAAGAGGAACGAAGCAGAGACACGGATTGGAGGACAAGGCCGGCAAGCTGAGACCATTTGCCGCTTCACCATATGCAATTATTCGCATGCGCCTCCCCGTCCAGAACCCCCCAAGGCTACGAGTACTCCTCCCAAGGCCCGGCAATTTTAGAAATTTTTTCCTCCATCATTCTCTCCTGTGCACGCACCGAGCCGAGTTTCATTCAAGACATCTCATTTCCCAGGAGGGGGTCACCGTTCGATAACTCAATGGGGTCGTGGCTTGTGGGTTCAGCCCCCCTGTCCGGCTGCCCTTTAGCTTGCCTTGATATTGAACTTGGCTTGCAGGCGATCCCTGTTCAGCTGTGCTTTTTGTGGGCCGAGGGACGGCAGAAGCGTGGGCGTCACACGCACACGAGCAACTTTCAATCTCGTCATACCCTTGGGCTGCCAGAACCCGGTTTTGGAGGCCCACGCGTTGATCCGGCTGTCCTGACCTGAGGGTGTCGACGCCAGACCTTATGTACGATGATGCTGTCCATATATGAGGTGATGAATAATGACTACATATACATGTTTATCGTCTTGGCCCTCGGAGTTGATTACTCGGCTCGTCTTGGCGAGTGGAATAAGCTTTGAGAGCGCTGTTTAGTCTCGGCTCGTTGCGAATTCGCCGTGGCGTCAGTTCCATTCAAATGCTCCACGAGCTCCACGAACATCGGTAATAAAACACAAAATATTCAAAGATGGCGTCAAGCAAAGCCGTATGCCCCACGAGGACCTGAGTTTTCAAAGCCTGAAAGGCACCGGCAACTCGCCACATCCGACACTACGACTACAAAAAATTCTCACTACAGTACTCGTCGTACAATCCGGAGACTTGCATCTCACCTATTTCACATCAGCTCCGGATCATGTTAGTCTAGAGTACGGCCGAATGCGTTCGCCTAGCCAAAGGTTGCAGCCGCAGGTTTGCGATAACCCACCAACTGTCTCACGCAAAATATGCTGAAAGACGCATTGAGTTTGGATTTAGGGACCGTTGGATGCTAGTAGTTGGTTCCTGTTATCCATATGAGATTTTGATCACGGTCAGCGCCATCCCCTTTTCCTCAATGGTATTTCACATGTTGTTTGTTGATGTTGTTTTTTGTCGGCGATCGTCATCAGTGCTGTACACGTATCGTATCCGATTCATGCCGATCTACAAACCCCAGACCCCCGACTCAAGATCGAGTTTTCTGATGAGCTTGTTTCTTACTCCGTACGGTGTGGGCGGTCGGTGCCACACCAACACACCCAACCTGATATGCGTCATCAGCTTCTCATGGTTCGATGACATGCACAGGATCAAGTGACCTGTAGATTGGCTGTGTCGGATAAATGTCGGCTCTTTGGGCAGCTTCTCTTGGCCTGTACCTGAACCATTTTCAGCTGAAAAATGAGATTCTAGATTCGGATTCCAGGGTAGCATCAGCGATGACACGCATGCACACATGAATGACCCTCAAGATAAGAATTTAACAATGACAAGCTCCTCATAAGATTGAAAATTTGAGCCCATTTTCGACAGAAGATAAGTAGGTAGTTTTGTCGTAAATATCATCTAGATGTAGCATATGATTCGGTCCTTAACAGGCTTTACGCTGTTTATTGAACAGATGTCTGAGGAATACTTGTATTTTTACCTACTCAGCCTGCGATTGTTTTCGGCCTACTTAGAAAGCGAACTTCTCTCATTTGACCGACTACTTAGCCAATGAGATATCGGTGTTATTGTATCTAACTCATGATCCTCAGCGCATTCTATGTAATCATTAGAGCTGCCTGATGAGCATGCGAATTGTGCTCAGCCGCGCCGAGTAGCCCTCAAGAAAGCCTCACCAGCGCTGCATCTACCATTGGCTATATAAATATTTCTCATTCCTAATTGGTTTATTTTTCACCAATCTCCAAAGCCTCATTCCAAATTTTCATTTGCAAATACAAGCAGAAGCACTGGATTGGCTAGAAAAGACCTTGCCTTGTGTTACACTGCATATCGCCCCTGGACACTGTTCGTACCCAACATTCTACAAGGCTTTCTTGTGGGGGCTGAGTACTTATCTCATTTCTTCTAATTGTTCTGTTCATCCAAATGATTTTGTTCTTGATTCCCTATCCATCAATTATGAAACACTTTTATTCTGCACCACAGAGCTCTTTCCTCAGCTGTGAAAAATGCCAAAGCGACCCAGTGAGGCCGATGATGAGCATGCGTCCCCTGAAGCAAAGAAGATCAAACTTGACTGTCCATCAGATCCTGTCAATTTGAGCCATGCCGATTATACAATTGGATGGATTTGCGCATTGCCAAAGGAGCAAACCGCGGCGATTGCCATGCTAGATCGAAAGCACCTAGATCTTCCATCTCTTGCCCATGATGACAACGCCTACACTCTTGGATCAATTGGTAGCCATAACATTGTCATAGCCTGTTTACCGAAAGGGCGGTATGGCACCAATTCTGCGACGACAATCGCGACAAAGATGCTCAGCTCCTTTCCATCCATCAAATTCGGGTTATTGGTTGGGATCGGAGGCGGCATCCCATCCAAGGTTCGACTTGGGGATGTCGTGGTTAGTACGCCAATTGATCAGTATCCAGGAGTTGTTCAATGGGACCTGGGTAAAGCGGAAGACGGCGGAAGTTTTAAACGAACTGGAGCGTTGAATAGTCCGCCAAATGCACTTCTCAAAGTCTTATCAAAGCTGGAGTCTGAGCATGAGATGCAAGAGTCCAAAATCCCCATCTTTTTGGATGAAATGAAACAGAAATACCCAAAATTATACCCGAAATACTTTTGGAATCAGTCGCTTAGAGATCCTCAAGACCAAAGTGTCGAAAGAACGGCAATGAGATGCCCAGACATTCACCATGGCTTAATCGCATCAGGTAACCAAGTCATCAAAGATGCTGAAGTCCGCGACCGTCTCAATGAGGATCTTGGTGGGAATGTACTGTGTATTGAAATGGAGGCTGCGGGATTAATGAATGACTTTCCCTGTCTCGTTGTCCGAGGCATCTGTGATTATGCAGACTCGGGTAAGAACAAAGATTGGCAAGAGTACGCTGCTGCTGTAGCGGCAGCTTATGCGAAAGAAATCCTTTCCGTGTTACAAATTTGGGCCGTGGAACACATGGAGTCAGTTAAAGGTACATAATTCTGTTTTCAACAACTCCAGTCGTCTTTATGTACTGTGTACAGCCAATTATATCACCAATTGCTGACTGTGTGTTGCACAGACATCTTGTCGAATATTAATGCAGAACTTGGAAGCATACAGACAGCTGTCAGTGAAATGGCAACTCGACAGTACGCCCAAGACCACCAAGCCTTTTTAGACTGGTTGACGTCAGTCGATTATACATTGCAGCAAAAAGACTATTTCAGCAAGCGGCAGCCTGGAACTGGCCAATGGCTTCTTAAATCTGACATATTCCAAGATTGGGTGGATCATAGCCAGCAAACGTTGTTCTGCCCAGGAATTCCGGGGGCTGGGAAAACAATTCTTACATCCATGGTGATTAATGAACTTTTTGAACGGTGTAAAAAAGACCCTATAGTGGGCATTGCATACTTATATTGCAATTTCCGACGTCACGATGAGCAGAAACTTGATGATCTAATGATGAGCCTTGTAAAGCAACTGGCTCTTGGTCAGAACGGCTTACCACAAGATGCTAAGAGGATATTCGATAAACATAGGACTAAAAACCAACGCCCATCACCGAATGATACCAAAAAACTTCTTGGATGTATGGCAGATTCATACTTGAGAGTATTTATCGTTATTGATGCTCTCGATGAATGCCAGGGGTCAGATGGATGCCGGGGGGAAAATTTTCTAGTGGACATGTTCTCTCTTCGGGATAAGTCAAAGGTGAATATTTTTGCGACTTCGAGACTAATCCCAGAAATTATGGAAAAATTTGAGACTTGCAAACGTATGGACATTCGCGCGAGTGAGGATGATGTGCGAAGATACGTGCGTGGCCAACTAGAGAGAGGTACAATGGAGCATCTGCCGTCTCTAATCAAACGCAAGCCAGAATTGAAAGATGAGATTATAAAAGGCATATCAGATGCCGTTGATGGAATGTATGTGATTAAAGCCAAGATTCTTCTGACTTCACATAAAATTACTGACGTTTCCAGGTTTCTATTGGCCAAAATCTATCTCGACACCCTCGTTGATAAAGTCACAGTCACCGATGTTAGAGAGGCAGTAATGCAGTTGCCTAAGCAGATCTCAGGATCTGGAGAAGACAAAATATTGGAAATATTTAATCAAGCATACGAATCCGCCTGGGAAAGGATAAATGGACAAAAAGAGGGATTTCGCAACATTGCCACGCGCGTTCTAGCGTGGATCTCCTCTGCAAAACGGCCATTATCCACCAAGGAACTTCAGCATGCTCTCGCAGTTAAAATTGGCATGGATGAGCTCGACGAAGATGCTATCCCACAAGTCCAAGATATGGTATCATTCTGTGCCGGTTTAGTTACGGTTGATGAAGAGAGCGATGTCATCAGACTGGTACACTACACAACGCAAGAATTCTTCGAGAAAAAGAAAACCGACTGGTTTTGTAATGTCGAGGCTATGATTGCGGAGACTTGCATATCTTATCTTTCATTCACAGCCTTTGGGGAACGCTGTCTTGATTGGTCTGGTGTGTTTCACTTGAGCCGCCGCCATTTTTATAGGTATGCTAGTTATTACTGGGGTGACCACGCACGCACCGCCGGTAGAAAACTAGATGGAATTGTCCTAGAATTTCTCATGAATGAGGCTAATGCCTCCAATGCCTTCTATGTGATGCTGGAGCGCTTTCGGACGAGCCCCGGCTGCATATACCTGAACCCTTCACTGATCGTCTCCGTCCGATCAAAGCGCTCTAGCATATCACGAAAGCCCTTTCCACCAGTTTCGGGTCTACATATTGCTGTGTGCTTTATGCTCGATGAAGTGATCAATCTGTTGCTCAAGAGTGGGTGTGATGTCAACGTGCGCGAAGGGGTCGAAGTGACACCGCTATTGATGGCCATCGATATTGGACATATAGGTATTGTCGAGATGCTACTTGACAATGGAGCCCATACGAATTCTGTGGCAGGGGACAGCATAATGTATTTGAATGCTGCTATGCAACCGAGGAACAACAACGAAGGGCTTGTCCAAAGGCTTATTACAAAGGGAATTCACGATGGAGAGGATTTGTCGACTTACCTCGAACCAGCCGCTCGATTCGGTCACGAGGCCCTTGTGAAGTTGTTACTTGACAAGGGTGCCGACATTAACGCAACAGACAAGCATCTTAATACGCCATTACATGAAGCAATCATACGTCGGCAGGAAGCAATGGTGGCGTTGTTACTTAACAAGGGCGCCAATATTAATGCAGTGAATCATCATCATCGGACACCACTGCACATTGCTGCACGTGGTGAAGAGGTGATTGTCAAGTTACTACTTGACAAGAGTGCCGACTTTGAGGCGGCAGATTATGATGGTAAGACGCCGCTGCACTACGCAGCCGCGAAAGACAAGGGAATTGTTGAATTGCTACTGAATAAAGGTGCCAATATTGAGGCGGCAGATCACCATGGCCAGAGGCCACTACACAACGCAGTCAGGAAGGATAAGGCAATTGTTGAATTACTACTTGATAAGGGTGCCGATATTAACGCAGTAGACGAAGATAATGCGACGCCATTGAGAATAGCAGCCAGATGCAATGCGATAGAAATTGGTAAATTCTTAATTGATAAAGGTGCCAATTTTGAGACCGCAGATTTGTTCTTTAATAAAAAGCTGCGGCGCTATGCAGCTAGGTATCGATACTATATAGTTAATTTTTAAGTTACATGGGATTAACGACAAAGAAGTTAGTATTGAAACTCTGGCTCGTTGAGGTCAGACGTCATTATTGATCACAGTCTACCTAGGTAGTGCTATAGGAGAGCCAAACATCGATGCATCTGGCACGCCTTACATTTCGACCGAAATGTTCTTTCAGGACTACTTGAAAAGGGTCAAAATATTACAGCAGCCAATAACAAAGGCTATCGACTAGTATTATATGTAGTGTAGAGATTCGAGAAAGAAAGATCCAAATGGCAGAGAAATACGGACGAAATAAATACAACACAGCTGTTACTTGAGAGCTATTTGAACGAAATATGAGAGGTGATATTGTGAGTCGTTATGTTGTAAAAGTTACACAGCAATAAATACCTAGAAGTTACTGAACTATACCTAGGTAGAAAAAAATGCAAAGTTCGTTCAGTTCTTCAGACGAGCCTAGAGACAACTGGGTATACAAATTCACTTCTTATCACTCATTAAACAACTTAGATAGTCAGTTATTATCACAGCATTCGCAATACAATTGGTTTGGAACACAGAGATCTCTCTATTCTATTGCTACTAGCTGCGAGATACCCTCTAGGTACATGGATCGACATCGATCTGACCGTTTGCCAACATAAACCTATAATCAGAGGTTTCCCCCCTGGGCACAGCTATCATATAGTGCCTATTGGGAATCGATTCGTCACCACTGTTGCTTTTCACGAGCCGGAACAAAAACGAGTTAGCAGGGAGGAAGAGACAAGATTCGGGTTTGGCGAACTTGCTCGCCACAAGCGCCAAAATATCGACCGGAGCGGAAACTGTGTTGTTAGTTGACTATATAAATACATGCTTTGGGGTCATTGGGTCTTACCTCCAGTGAAGATTGCCAAGCCCCACGTTACGACAGGCATCCATATATTTGATCACCTCTCTATCAATCTCTTCTCCCCAAGAGGGCAGCTTATCCAGGGCACTGTACCAGGTTTCGTAGCAATCATCGAGCATTTTGCCTATGTTGTTCATCGCTTCTTGATCTGATAGGTCATGTGCTTTGAGTATTGTAACCAAGTTATTTCCCGCGTCATTTAATTCCTGCGCGAAAGTTAGAATACTTTGAGCGGTTGAAGAATTTTAGCTGTAAAATAACATACAACTTCTTTTTTGTATGACAAAATATCGTTTGAACTAAGAAATGATCAGCTTAATGCGTATACTCGATGTAATGTGACTTGACTTACAGAATCACAAGATCTACGATAGTGCTAGTGCACAGTTGAAGAGACGGGTGATCCACCTGTGTTTGGGAGAGTTTTATGTCTTCGGCGTATCTGAAGTGTAGACATGTTAGAAGGTTGTATAGAGAATAAGACAGAAAACCGTACTCTACCAGTCGTATAGCCAGTACTACTCCAATCGTTCTTCTTCGGTAGCTCATGTACTGATCTACCGTTAAGGCGGGAGAAGAGCTGGACTTTGAGAGTTTGGATTGATAGAGAAGTCCCTCGAGGTATTTCTTGTGAGAATCTTTCCAGCGTTCTCGTACTTCTAAAAGCAAATTAGAAACTTTTCTTTCATCTGAGCTGTAGCTGATTCAATTTTACCTGGCGTGTCACTCTGATGAAGTCCTGTCAGCCGATGTCTTCCTTGAACGAACCAGAGAATGCTTACAGTTTTGATTCTATCCCAGATTGCCTGAAATGCATACTGAAGAGGTTTGTCGGCTTGGGCACGAGGGCCGTTGTCATTTAAAATGGCAAGAATGCAGTCAACTTCTTCTTGGGCCTTGACTGGATCGTTTGCTAGAGGCCCCTCATCAAACTCTGTGGGGTCGAATATGAGTTACTTGCTGTATCGTTGTGATGGTGACAAAACTTACGATCATCAAAATAAAATATCTAAACACCTGTCATTAGATCGCCTAAAACTAGATTTAGCACAAAAGAAGGTGCTTACCCAATTGGCCCAGTCAACCGCTGTGCGAAATCTGTCTTTTTCAGCCGATGGGGCCCAAACGGCGGCCGCGAATCCAAAGTCAGTCTTGTTAAACTTCTTTTCTTCTTTCCCTTTTAATTGTAGCAATCTATCCATTGTTAGTCAAATAACTCACAAGGCATACGAAGTAAAATGGAAGTTCGTACTCTTTGAACCACTCATCTGCTTCAGCTTTGCCACCTTGATAATGAGGGTTAATGGCTGGCTCCGTAGACATGATTGAGGAAAATAAATCTGGAATCAAGACATGTCGTGGAGCGTCTGGTATCCTTGGTAACTGGAAATCGGCTGTAGAGGCCTCTGACAGCAGAGTAGGCTCTAAAACTGTCACAGTTGTAGACATCTTTATAGAGTAGTTGACTAGCTTGGTTTGAAGTGACTTATATAGGAAGCTTGAATTTACAGTCTAAGAAGACTAGTGATGAAGTTTGGCTGCCGTTCATTTTGAGCAGAGATATAAAAGCATTCAGCGTTTATATGTCAAAAATCTCGTTGAGCAAGCCAGGGGAAGGGGGAATGTTGCGCCGTTCTCTTGGTCGAGGCCCTGAAATTTGCCGCTGTCAATCTGTCTGCCGCGTATAAAGCGGATCTATCTGCAGGTACGCTGTCACTTTTCCTGAGCATGTATCGTCGATCTTCTACGAATAATAATAGGACCGACATCCAGCCCCTTAGTAATGATCCGGTTGTCGGACGTCTTGTTCATCAACACACGGGTTAGATTTCTGCACTGTAAAATTTGTCTACTGCGGTTTCGGGAGAGGTCTGATTAGTTTTGGTAGGAGGCAATTGCTTCTTTTGGTAGCTTTCTCGTATGCCTTCGGGGCGGCCGGTGCCTTCTGCCCATTTTCTCACTATGTATCATATCTAATGCTACTCAAAAGGTCACTGCATGGCTAAGTAAGGTACCGTATTTATAACTCCCACCAGCATCTTGGTGCCACGTCACGATGTCGTTAAAATATAGCGTAGTTAAAGAGTATGGGTAAAGTGCACTGCCGTGTAGCGGTGAATTGTCCACCAAGTCGGATCGCAGCCGAGACGCACAGGCTTCGAGATCAACATAGACCAGACAACTTACAACGGTATTGAATAGGTAAGGGTTTAGCGATACAGGAGGTAAAAGACCAGGAAGAGCCCTGCGTTTCCTGTAGACAACTGACATATCATATTGGGAATACGGAGCCGAAACAGGCCCTGATTTCGTCGGCAGAAACTACCCTGGGATGCTTCGACAGTGATTTAGCAAAAATTGCTTCTTTACTATTACAAATGAGATTATATTGATACAATCCAAAGGGTCCGGTACCCTATAATACATGATCCCTTTTCTCCAGTCCATGTCGCATTGTCAAAACTTCTCAATCAAGGATACCCAACAGGCATATTGAGCAAAGCCATCGCATACTTCTCCGACAGTTGATACCGTAGTCAGAATGTTATATAATATACATACGAAGTATAGGATGTACTCGTATCAGTTAACTTCGTCGGCATATTTTCCACAGACACCAGACGATTTTACAAGGATTCTCGGCATTTATTGCACGTTAGGCGCTTTAGTGGATTATGTAGGTTGATACTCATACCGGTTTGCAGGGACGTGTTACCTCTTATCTCTCCGCTAATGTGACAAGCCGAAATGTCAAAACCAGTCCCCTGTCTACTGTACTCGGTGAGCAGAGTGGATTTGTCCTCGATTACCTGGCCTGGCTGCTTTTGTTCTGTTGAGGTGGACCAAGGCGCCGATCGACTTCCTTTTGCAATCCCCCTGTCAGAATATGCCGTGCCGACATGGATCGAGGGTCACAACTGGTTCCGACTTACCCGGTGATGAAATTGAAGGCACATGATGGCAGCGTATTGATATAAAAACAAGCATGATCTCTTCACTCTCTCCATTCACATTTGAGAGCAGCCGAAGTAAGACAGCAATGGTCGTTGGTATATATTTAGGTAAAACTATACTGCTATATACATGGTTTATGTTCGAGAATGGTCCAAGAACTTTTAAGAGTACCAAATCCTTTCGTCACTCATTTTATATGTACAGTGAAGAGGTTTTAGCCTGATTTATGAAGGAGGAGCGCCGACGTAGACGGTCAGAACATTGGGAGCCCCTGAAGCCAAAGTGCCCGAGGCATTCTCATTACCATCTGGGTTGACATCATCATAAGGGAAAGCGTAGCCTCGACCATCAATTTCAAATTGGTGAACGAGACGGCTGTAGTGGTTGGTAGGGCTGACTGTGTAGTATGAAGACTGGCCCAGGCCTGGCTGAACGTTGCCACCAGCAAGCAGCAAGGTAGATCGCACAAAGGCAGCACACAGACGGGGAACAACAGCCGCATGGACGGCATTGTCACCGCCCTGAATGGCGAATGGTCCACTGTTGCAGCCCCAGATATCTCCTGCAGTTGGCTTAGCATAGCCGCGGTTGTCGCCATTGCAGTTGAGCGTGCTGCCGGAGACCTGGCAGTTGACGCTGCCAGCAGAGGTCTGCGTGTTGATGGTGAGAGGAGTGCTGGTATAATGGCTCCAGACTTGGTCGACATAGGCACTCCAGTAGTTCTGGAAGGCCGCTGCATTGATGACACTATAGTCACCAGGAGACAGCGCACGAACGAGAGTTCCAGCAGAATTGGCGATACACATGGAAGACCAGGGGAAGCCGTCAACGCTAGCCTGTTGGACCAAGCCCTGGCAAATTTGGGTGAGTGCGGAAGATCCAAGACCTTTCGTGGTCTGTGTGCCGCTTCCATCTGTGGTACTCAAGCTCATACTGAGGATTATGCCGACAAAATCGACGTAGCTGATGTTTGCGAAGACAGCCAAGTCCGTAGTATAAGTGAGCTCAACAAAGCCCCAGAGGAGGCCTGAACTCGGGTCCTGCAGGTTGAACTGAGACGGTTGCACCAAGCCATCGCCGTTGGGAATCTTGACCATGAAGAACTGGAGATCGCCCACTGAAAAGTAGATACGCGCAGAGCTGATGACAATAGGCACATTGACCGTGATAGATTGGCCTTGAGCAGGCAGTGCAATGTTGATGGGGGTGCTGATCGGAACGGGAACACTGGAGCCTCCAGAGCTGGGATACACAAGACTGCCATCACCCCTGACGAAAACGACCCTGTTGTCAGTGTCTAGGCCGGAAATGTACGCATTGACCTGGCCACCGGAGAAGTTGTTGACGAGCTGGATTGGTAGGTGTCCAGCCTGAGCCCGAGCCTGAATGGCATGCTTGGAGACTGTTGTTGAACTATGATAAGTTCCGTTGAGAGTGTTGTTTGCCGTGATAACGATGTCGTCAACACCTCCAGGCTTGGCAATGGAAAAGGGCGATACTCTTGGAATGAGAGAAGGGGCCGCTGCTACTGCACCAATGAGGGCAGTAAGGATAGTGAGTGTCCGCATGATGTAAGGACTTATATGAATTTCAGAGTGAAGAGGAGTGATAATGATGGTGCAAAGGGATAAACACTTTCCCTCTGAGTTTTGGAACCAATCCAATGAGTTGAGCTCTGATGAACATGTCTATCTGTGAATAACCCTCTATATATACTTGTATCTCGAGAGGCATTATCAAGAGGCATTATCAAGAAGCTGTACTCGATCCTCATCATCTCAAGACAGATTTCGGGCCGAAGTGTTTTGCGCAACGGAGATAGAGACAACCCATTGCCGACTGATTTGTACCGGCATGAAGTTATCTCTTTACTGTTGTAGCATAGCATCGGGCTTCCTTCGGTGGCTTGGACTGGAAAGGTTCGGGGTTGAGAGTTGCTTCTTCTAGCTTCTAGGCTATTACGTCCTGGTTTGTTGTGTAGGATGCTTTCAGGAGCCGGGGTTATGCAGTAATTGCGGGTAATGGTTCAGGAATAGTACTAAAATTCAAGTTTTTGGGCTGTACTTGTGATTCATCTAGCTGCAATATCGGCATAACGTAATGGCTGAGTGGGTTATGGCCGCAGCCGCAACTCTTCAAACACATGTTATCAGACTGACTGAATGCCAACTGGTTGCAACAAAAGAGTCAGATGAAGCTGTCGGTCACTTCTTAAGCCAAAGAGAAGGCTCATCTGATACGAAATTTCGCTTTGTAATAGTCATTTGGAGGACTTGGGATGACTGATAGTTAACATAGTTTCGAGCACATGGTTAGTTTCCGCAACGCCCGCTGCTGATAGGCCTAACCAGGATTGAAAACTTGTCTTGTGCCAATAAATCCCCCTGGATTTAGGATGAGGCTGTGAGTACATATATTACCCTTCTAGGAAACAAATAAGGTCACGTCCTCACACCATCGCGGAGTCTAGCGCTCCGAGATTCGGGCTAATAAAGCACAAGTTACTGCACCCCACACTTTACTAAGATGCAATGCAGGTCATGACACACTGATCGTTGCAACGTGACAAGAGTAAGGAGGGCAGTTATCTTTCCTTCCAAAACGCCCGCACGGATAATGAAGCGCTAGTAATCTTGCATATTGCAGCTGATACCGAAAGAGATTTCTTCATGAACATGATCTGCAGACATGTGACTGGTGATAGAGCTGTGGATATGGGATTGCCTCGGCAGTTTGAGGAATTACCAAATGTAGCCTTCCGTAGCGGCTCGTCTATAAGATATCGATCAATACTGAAGCAACTAGGGGTATATCCACTCTATCCTAACCGAACTTAGACACGGAATACTTATGTGTTTCTACCTAGCATGTATCATGTTCGCAAGTCTGTACTGACGGTTCCTGTTTTGGCAACCTTGTTTATAATATGACTTCTTGTGGCTTACACTGCAGTATTACATATCTACTGTGGAACTCGCACGTTACATCCAGGCGTCATTGTATTTCCAAGCTTCCTTAACTTACATCTATTAATTTGTATATGTCGTCTGCTCACTAAATGGCGCATATTGTGGCTGAAGTCGAAGAGGTGTTCAACCCCAGATCGAGCATGGGTTACAGCACATGTGCTTCAGTAGTGTATGTTACCCCTGGAATAGAGATGCCTAAACTAGTAGAAATCCTTCCGGCGGGCCCATAGGCCGCGGTCTTATTCGCGCGCTTCTCTGATCCTATTGGTGTTTCACTTTCTGTTTCTGGAAGTGGGTGCAATACGCTCTGTTTAATTATATCAGGTAGAATAGTATAGCAATAGGTGCGTATGAAGCGTATTAATGCTGAGATGGAGATTTGCTCCATAGGCTTTGCTGATCGCATGATCGGGTGCCTATTCCTTAAGTGGAGAGTTGATGGAGACGACGATTAACAAGCGTTTCGTCCACCTAATTTGGCTAATCACGGAGTTCGACCGAAGATGGATGCTCGGTGCTTTTTCCATTGGCTAAAACATTCCTTTGGTGGAGTATTTTAACTTGATATCGCGTAGATGGAATCGGTAGTGTACTTACACTGCATACAGACTTGCCAATGAATGCAACTGAGGCACATTTCTCTACCCATTCTCGGATGTGTCTATTCCGTGCTCGTCAAATGATTCCAAAAGCTGCCAAGATGTCTGTCTAGTCCAAATATTAAATATGATAGCCTCCCACCTTCCCCTTAATTAACTTGCATTGACTTCCGCATGAAAGATTCGGACCTTCGATGGTAGTTTCATTAGGAAGGTTGGCAACAAAGGCGACGTAAGGGTAGATGCCTACCAATATTCACACTCATATTGTTGCAAAAGGCACGCAACAGGCTCAATGGCGACAGACTTTACAGTTAAAAGACGAAAGCAAAACTTAGACATCTCTGGATTACATGATTGAGACCATTGTTTAGACGAGAGGTTGTTATGGGGTTAATAGTGTATATATAGATTGAACTTGTAGTTGCCTTGTAGTAAGGGGTAGATACAGAATCCTAACCAAGGAACGAAGGAGAAAGACGCCCTTTGAAGCACAAGAGAAAGCCCTGTAGGCCCACACTCTTTACATTATTCTAATGCCGTGCCCAGGTCCTAGTCCGATAATGGTGTAGGATCAATCTCGGCAAGAGTCAGGTTTGCAATAACATCCCAGTGTTCCACAATGCAACTGCCGTTCATTCGATACGCATCCATGATCTTGATAGGAGGAGTGGCAAATTCATAGTGGTGTACAAAGCCAGTGTTATTGGTGAATGTTTGGTGCACAATGGTGTTGTTAACCTTTGGGTTCTTGGAGAGGGCGGTCACGGCGGCGTCTCGACCCTGTCCAATGGAAGGATTGTGTTGGATGTAATCGATCCAGACGTAGTTGTCAAATGCTTCGGGGATGTTCTTTTGAACATAAAACTCGTTGGCAAAGGCGTAGAAAATTCTTTCCTGCTCTTCTGGAGTGGCTGGCCGAGGAGGACAAGCTGGGACGGCTTTTGGTGAGATGTCTTCTGAGCCGAGAACAGAAGGGAGAGTGGCGGTGAGTGCACCGAGATAGAGTAGAAATTTCATTTTATGGTTGTTGGCCGAGAGCTCAGAAGAATAATTGAGGCTATGTGGATCAAGAGAAGATCTTATTGCTCGTAAAAAGGTAGAGAGAAGGCTGTTGCTGAACTTACAGAGGGAGGCCATGACCGCTATTTATCATACAAGAGCACAGGAAAATTTGAGGCTCAAGCTGTCAAAAAAATACTCCGAATGGCCATGGATCGGATTTTAGGAAAAATTTATAGCACATAATCGATCAACGATTGCTGAATCTGGCAGGAAACAACTAATCATTTGGTAAGCTTGGCCGATTCTCTGGTGAAGATCTCACGAGAATCACCAACTATTTAATAAGGTTAAGTTGGCAAAGGTGGATCTTGCTTCTGATTGGTCCTTCGGCCTGTCTTTCGCCGTGTTACGCGGCCATTTTGAAGCCCTGTCAGATCTTAGGTCATCCAGATTTGTCGCAACCTTGCTGGCACCGATGCCGATTGCTGACATGAGGAGACTTCGGAACTCTTTGGATGGCCGAGACCCGCAGAAAGCGATAGTATCTTATTGAGTTCGTCCGAACATATCGTCAACTTTAACAAAAATAGTCTCAATATGTCTTAAAGGAAATTGGTTCAATATTGGTTCGGTAAATTGCGGTAAAGTCCGGAACTTGTAAAACTATATAAGAACTTAAAGAGATGCTGAATACTGAACAAATTTCTCCTCGAGCAATGCAGTGTGACTTTCGAATAGTCTTGACAGCTTATATCCCTTGCAAGCTACGACCTAAACAACAGCGTTGATATCTTCACAATGTCTTGTCCAGACTGTTTCAGAGGAACCATCCACGAAGGAACGCCAAAAGGCAAAGAGGAGACAATTCACAATGTCCTCACATATGTCGCTACTCCTGAGACAGTGTCCACATCAAATTCGAAAATTATCTTCGTCACAGATGTATTTGGCTTCAACCTTGTGAACAACAAGTTGCTAGCAGACAAATATGCTGCTGCTACCGGATGCGAGGTCCTCGTGCCCAGCGTCATTCCTGGAGGTGGAGCTCCTCTCTCTGCAATAGAACTGTTTGACTCCCTGTCGACACCAGTTGGCCTGTTAGACTTGGGAGGGCAGACAAAGAGAGCTGGGGCTGCCTTTAAAGCGGCGACTATTTTCGCACCATTCGCAGTCCGTACGCGAAATGCGTATCCCAAACTGCTCAACTTCTCTCGCGATGTTAAAGCTTCCTTGCCGCCCGGTGCCAAGTTAGCTGTTGCCGGATTCTGCTGGGGTGGGATGCACTCGACCAAACTCACTGCAGAGGCAGCTGAACAAGGCGGAAACGTTTCTCTATTCGATGCCCACTTTGTGGCTCACCCTGCTGGCCTCAAAACACCCGATGACTTTTCAGCTGCCGCCAACAAGTTCAAAGTCCCCATCAGTCTCGCTATTGGAGATCTTGATATGTTACTATCCAAGGATAAGATTGACGCCATTGAATCGAGTTTAAGGGAGTCTTATGGAGAAAAGTCGGGTGACTTTGAGGTGAAGACTTATGGTAGCTGCAAGCATGGGTTCGCTGTTCGGGCTGATCCGAAGAGGGCGGTTGAAGACGAGGCTGCTATGCAGGCAGCGGCACAGGCTACCAATTGGTTCAAGAAGTACCTGTTGTGATTTGATGTCGAAAATTAGACCAAGGAAACATTTTCCTTCTTATGAAGAAGAGAATCAGTCTTTTTATTTTTTTATATCCATGCTCTGCACATTGTTGTTTATAACTTCTATAGCTCAAGATCCCTGTTCCTCATTGCTTCCCTGACGCGATCTACATATGCGTTATACGTGTCGCTTTCCGGTGTATAATTTAACTCATTTCCAAAAATTTCTTTCGACTTTGCATTGGAGATTTTGTAAAACACCATTCCAGCTGGGATCAACTGTTCGGGAGTTCCTTCTGCCACCTTGTCCCGCAACTCTGGATACTTGGATCGGATCAAATTTGCCAACATCTGGTGGGAATAGCACGAGTCCGAGTTGACGACATTGATACGTTGACCACTCGCCTTCTCGTTACGCAGAGCCAAGACGTGCGCTAAAGCTACGTCCCGCACATCTGTAATCTGGAACATGGGTACTGGCGGTATCTCTTTCTAGGTTCCGCTGAGCAGGTTATAGGCCCAATCGAGAGAATGTGACCCTGCTGTAAGATTTGGTACGGAGTGTGCAAGCGGCCCGGCCGTTCCAGCAGGCAAAAGTTCGACGGCATCCCAGGATACGGAGGATTTGGAAGCTGTTTCAAAGAGCAACGAGGAAGATTCGGCCTTGGCGGCAACGTAGCATGCGACGGAATCTCCGCTTTCTCGGACTGCCTCAAGAGGGATGGAAACAATATCGGCTTCGGTAAGCTCCTCCTTAAAGGTGGACGGCTTCATTTGGCCCGTGATTTCAACTATTACGGAGCCGGTGAGGACAAACCGCTTGAGAGACTTCCCAAACTTCTCTGCGGATTTCGCCCTATCATGTTCCATTAGTTAGATATCTGGGGCTAGGCGTAATTGATGCATTCTTACGTGTCGTAATTATCGTAAATGAGCTTTTGAGGATCGATATTCTCAAATCTGAACCGACCTGCGGCGTGAATAACATAGTTTATCTCTGTTTCCCTAAATATCTCATCACATGCCCCGTTTGCACCAAGGTCGGGCACGACAGGAAAGCGAACGTTCTTATCGCTGTACTCTGGATGCAATGCAAGGGTGCTTTGGGTGTCTTTTTCCGATCTTACGGGAGCAATAACATGAAACTCGCCGGACTATTGCAATGTCTATTGTTAGTTCATCTTAGGAGATTATGGACGTGCCAGATGTATAATTGCCTTTAGTAGCTGTTCAAGGATCTGCGCTCCAATGAAGCCACCAGCGCCTGTCAAGAGTACCGTTTCGAGTGACATTTTGTAAAGACTAGTAGAGAACAGAAATAAATGTTATCAAACATCAACTTGAGGAAGATGCGATCGAAAGCTGGGGCTTTATAAAGTACCTATCCGTTGGCTTGTGGGTCCTCCCTGGAATGCCACCATTAACGAGGTCGGCGATGTGTGAAAGGAGTACTAAATGGGGATCAAGAGAGCGGGCGTAGTGAAGGGTGGTGAGATGGAAGCTGTTATGAATCAATAACTGGCCAAGGGTATACTACGAAACTCTGACGCCTTCGACAACGATATATGCCATTCATCTTCAATGTTATAGACTAGACTTCGCATTCGTCGAGCATACATAAGCCGAGGGCTGTTCAATTCTGTTTGAACGTCTTGATTTGAAGTTGCATTCATTGTAAAAGTAGTATTCGGAGACGATATCTATAGCGTTGCTATTAGTGCTGACGGGCTTCATCGAAGAACGTGAAGCTGTTGGCTACCATTATTAGCTTCACGTGTAGGTCAGATACGAATATACGGTAGTTGCAGTTACAACTCGCTTGCTATAGGTGTCTATTTAACCGAATCGGTCGTGAGAGCAACTCGTATGCACTACGGCATAGATCTATTCTGGTTCATGTTTCCGGGGGCGGAGACCTGAAATTGCACTCTCCGATTTTAGATCTAAGGACTGGATCTGTAAGAAAGGCGCCGACTAAAAATCGCTGTGATTCTGTAACCCCACAAATGTAATCTGGATAGTCTCATGAACTCGATGCGAACTACGATGTGATCTAATAACCATGTTTCGCTATGTCAATTTACTTGAACTCGCTCACATAAAGTCTTTACAATACCTAATACATGGTGATGCATTTTTTGTACTTGGGAAAAAAAAGGTTAACGTATCATTCACAAAACGCATTGGTGAAGAGGCTGGGTACATATAAGCCGCTATTTGGGCAATTGACTCCAAGTCCCGCAGATCATATGCGATTCATTCAGAACCACAGTTTGGCCCAATATGCCCATAAAAGGCTTACGGTGAAAAAGATGGCCGACATGTGCCACCACCAAATACTTTGCCAAGGCAGCCCAGGGCTTGTCTGTTGCTAATTGGTGACAACTTGTTTCGCTAGGTTTATTCCCATGGGTTACCTCCGGCTCATGGCAACGGACGGGACAAGCCGCAATACCTAACCGCTAGGTAAGTTGTCACAATCTATATTGTTACAAACTGTAAGTTGTCAAGGTTCTAATCTGCATCCAGAGAGTATATAGTGGGATAATACTCCGCAAAAGAAAATACTCTAAACGGAAACAAGGGATTCGTATAACAGGTCATTGCAGTATCGCGAATTGTCATTCATTCACATCCTATGCAATGACCTACCTAGGTAATAGCACATCTGCATTCCATACACGTACAAGTTCTCTGCGTTGCGTGATGATGTCCATGTGTAACATAGGGTGTTTCATGTTTGCCACACAATATCACTTCGATAACATGAGCCTAGCTTTAATGCAATACTAGTAGCGGCGCGTGCCCTTGGATAAAAGCAATAGCAGATTAGATAGTCTGAAAAAGCAGCTCTGGTGATTGGACAAAACTCCTTCAGCCGCACCCTCTCTTTATCATTGAGCCCTGTCAGCCTGGCCACTGCGGCTGTGGTTGAATGCCCAGCCACGATGCGGCGAGCGTGTTGATCCTTCTGGGGCGAGCTGCCTCATCGCACACGCGTATATATGCGTTGAGATCGGCGCGCAGCTTTTCGACTTGATGGTTTTGACCCTTTAGACCGTTTTACTCGTTTTCGACCACACGGGGAAAACGATCCTCTCATGCCAAAATGTCAACGGACCATCGCCATGGGGCGGCCGCCCATTCGTCTCAAGAGAGCGTATTGATGTTGCGCCGCCTCGTGGAAGCGCTCCCAGACGAGTACCAAGAGTCATTCAGCAAATGCACGACTGGCGATGAGGTGCTCAAGGATCTTCAAGATTACGGAACAGCGTGGAACACTCGCAACCGTAAACTCGGCACCTTCATTCGAGTGATGAAGCCCTTCTTTACCGCCATGGACGTATTTGTCTCATGCGACCCGATGCATGCTGCGACATTATGGGGCGCGCTTCGAGTGGTCATTGCTGTGTGTAACGCTCTGCAAGTTGATTGACTGCGACGTAGTTATCTAACCGTTCTAGCTTGGTATCTCTTTTCATGAGTTCTTGGACAAGGTTACTTCTGGCCTCGAAAAGATGGCAACCGAAATTGAGTACCTCGATGAACTCAATTCTATCTTTGGAAAGTTGGAGCGCAAAAGATACCAAGAGATGGAAGACACAATTAATGAAGAACTTAATAAGAAAATGATGGAGGGATGGCTTGAACAAGAGCTGAAAGAGAAGAGGGATCAGATGAGGGAGGAGCTGAGCGTGGTAGCACAGACAGCCATTCAGAAGGATTACGAACAGCTTGCAAAGTCTTCGCCACGCACTCAAGTATTGCTGCAGGATATGTTTGAAGAGATTCTTCAGTTCTTGATGGGCGTGTTCAGGATATTCTACCATCCGGATGGAAGTGAGTACGCTCCCACTGCAGATGTTGAGCATCTCATTAAGTTTACTAGGGTCGAAAAGCGCAATGCGGGTTGTCGCTAAGACGGTCTGGCACCCATTTCGGTTTGATGAGACCATATCACGAATGAAGGAGCTCAAAGAGAGAATGAACATGGAAATTGTGCTACTGAATCTAAAGTTATCCAAAGATGCGAAAGACATTGCGGAAGCTAGCAAGTTGGAAGCAGTTGCTGAGAGTACCCGGGCAAAAGAGCGAGGCGACAAACTGGACAAGTCTATGAGTAAACTGGAACAAATGGCCGAAAGGGAAGCAAGATGTAACAGAACCCTCCTAGTATGAGATATTCATGGGTTTCGCTAACATAAAGACAGATACGTTCCTTCACCGTGTTCGCGAGTGGCTGGATCCGCCGTCCTTTGCTGATAGGTATGAAGATGTGGCATCACAGTGTATGGAAGGGACCACAAGCTGGCTGCTTGAACATACTATTTTCCGCTCGTGGCTGCAAGATGGCAAAAAGGGTCGCGGAGGAAGCTTATGGGTGCGTGGTAAGTAATGTTTCGGTACCGCGTATGAGCTTTTTAAACCACTAACAAGCCAAGGCAACCCTGGTTCAGGAAAATCGGTTCTAGCAGCATCCACCATCCAAGAGCTGAAAGGACTCGGATCATCAAATCCAGTCTGCTACTTCTTTTTTAACTCAACCCAAGATATCATTCCTAATACCTCCACAACGGCATATCGAGCGTTACTCTCTCAGATTCTGCAGTACAGGATAAATGATGACCAAATGAGAGAAACTCTCGAGTTTGCCATGTACTTTCAATCTCCTGGACAAAAGACTGCTTCTAAGAAAGAAATTGATGATCTCATGGAGCTATGTTTGCATTCAGATGACAACATCTATCTTGTGTTGGACGGACTTGACGAGTGTGAGGATTCGCGAGAGCTAGCAGAGAAGCTACGAAGACTCACAGACCAACCGACAACCCGCCTAGCTTTATTTTGCAGGCCGACGTTAACGTGGCTTTCCAAGCGAATTTCGAGTCTACAAATAATAAGTATCGACTTATCGAACAATGACGATATTCAGCACTACCTTAGACAATCGTTGAAAGACATGAAGAGCGAGGGTCTCCTGTCCAAGTCGCTAGACTACAAAGACGTCTCCAAAACATTGACGCGACGAGCTGATGGGATGTTTCTATGGGCTAGATTGATGGTTACATATCTCAATTCTCCCGCACTCTATCCCGCACAACGTACACAGGCAATTAGCGAAATGGACAATCCGGAAGGACTGGAAGTGATGTATGAGCGAATCTTGCGTCTCATTGAGGGTAGCAACAAGGCCATGCACAGACTTGCCGGCCAAAGCTTTCTCTGGCTTTCATATGGGAAGCGTCCACTGATACCTGCAGAACTCGAGAGCGGCCTTGTCCCCTTTGACGCGAATCCCAACGAAGAGGAGGCTTGGAAGTTACCGGAATTCGAAGATGTTATTGTCAGAGCTTGTGGAGGACTCGTCGAACTCAGCCCAAAGTCTATCGAGTTTCTGGGGAACACCTTTCGTCCTCTCCGATTCATCCACGCATCCGTAAAGGAATACTTTGCCAATTCTGAGTCAACATCAAAGAGTGGGATAATTCCACCGCCTCCGCTTATCGCTCATGCGCGGTTGGCGACGATGTGTCTTAATTACTTGACATATCGCGTTCCATCACAACCTCTGTCTGGAAAGCTCGGAAACAATGTTGTCCCAAAAGATCTCTGGTCGGCGTTTCCATTTAGCAATTATGCCATGGTCAGATGGACATCTCACTTGGTGCTCACTATACAGGACAGCCACTACAAAGAGGCAAAGTCAGAACTGCAAGTTCTATTCTCAACATTGAAGAAGTTCTTTACGCAGCCAAAGGTGCTTATGGCCTATATCGAAGGCTGCTACACGTATGGCGAAGCCCCAAATGCAGGGTCTCTTCGCCTCTGGGCAGAAAGTAGCTCATCTGGCATCTCATCAAAGCCAGAAGCCGAGATTCGCGCAACAATTGTCGAGTTTAGCCATTTTCTTGACAAGCTGGAGAGTGATTGGGGAAGAACACTACGGAACAACCCAGCCAGTATCTGGGAAGAAGTCACAGCCTTCACACCAAGTCCACTTCTCCCAAAGCATGGCGGTATTTCTGTTCGTTCATTGGTACCAGCTCCATACAAAAAAGCTGGTCTATCTAAAGAGCCAATAAACCGTCTCACGCAAGTTACTTCTGACGGCCTATACCATGTTACCTTGGGCGTGTATACTTCAAAGTATGTGTTCTGTATAGTTGCCACTCTGTCCATTCTATTAATCGTTTAGCAGGAAGTTCGAGCGTCATGACAAGAAAACCCTAGCCGATAAGCTATGCGAAGACAAGTCTTTCTCTCGGGGATGGATTGTTCGCTACGAGATCAGCCAACTAAGTGATCAGCAAGTTGTTGCATCTTTGGATATCCCTCTCCCGGAATTCGATGTATGGGCGCGACTTTGCGAAACGTTGCTACGCGGCTTTATCCAAATTCCCATATCAGTCAGCCGAGATTCCCGATTTTTCACCGTGATGAAAACCCTCTACCATGTCAAACTGGAAGGGAATAAATTACGCTACGCTACGCACAGCCTGCCAATTGAACTTGACATCTTCGGCAACACAGAGCGCAAGTCTCAAGGCTACCGGAAATCTTTGGAGGAATTGACCTACAAAGATTTCTCGCGGTATTATAAAGACAATCTGAGACGAGTATCGCTCTATTGGATATACCTTGACGACTATGGGGAGCATTTATGCTATGCGTCTCAGGAGAGGGCCGCTCCAGCTCGTCTGATGGTATTCAAGATTAGTGTGTCTTCTTTTAGTGAAGTCAAATTAGAAACAACAAAAGTCGCGGAGCGCCAGTTTTGGGCAAAGGGTATCTGCCCGGTTTACGAGGATCGCGACGACAAAGAATTTGAGATGTGCTTCCACCCGTTCCTGCCCGTACTAGTTTACGCTGGTGCCAAAGGAACATATGTCTGGAACTTCAATACCAGTGAGATATATCTTAACCTCAACTACGTTCAGAAATACTAATTGTAATAGACATGGCACAAAAAGTTGGCCATGGAGCAGCTGATGTGGCTTTCCTCTCCTGCTCAGAAACTGGTGAATCGTGTATCCTGACACCGAGAGGCCAGCGTCCTGAGATCATTCCAATCCAATCTGCCTTGGCCGCCACAGGAATACCGGAAGAAGATTTGCGTCCTAAGCTCAAAGATGCTAAGGATACTGAACAATTGGTTCTCTCAGAGGGTGCTATGACGGCTCCGCCTGATGATGACAGACTCATAACGAAGGATTGGACGCTGACGCAAGCCATGTCTGGCCATGGAAAGCTGTTGACGAGCAGCAACATGATCGTAGGACCAAGTGGCATTATAAAACACGTCTCAGTCGTAAATTCGGGACTTACAACTAGTCTCCATCTATGGAACAAGGATGGGCGAGATGAATCCATGGTTCTCACACGGCTTCCAAACTCCGAAGGTGCCTCCTCAGCGAAAGTCAGCGTCATTAGATCGCTCAGCGAGGGGGAGCCGGTTCAGATTATCGTAGATAAATCGGCGGATACTTGGAGCAACATCACTCGAGCTGAACCTGCAGTATTCCCAGTGATGGTTGAGAGAGATATTCGAAGCTTTTCTACTCAGAGCACCATCAATGGAAGTTCTCGGAATGGTCATGCGGCACTTCCTGGCATAGATGAAGGAGACATCCAAAGCTCTTCTGTTCAGACGAGCGTTGATGCCAATTTAGTAGCTGCAGGTAGGTCTGGTGAGATGCCTCAAACTCAACCTGCTGCGTCTTCTATGCAAGACGAAAGAGATCTGCAGAATTACATGAACTGGAAGGATGATAATGTGGGGAAATCTAAGAATAATGGGCACAGAAGTCGACTGAAGAGGTTTTTGGGAAAGATGAAATGCTTATAATATACACTAGTTAAGCAGTATGTCCAATTGCTCATAGAAAGAATAAAAATAGAACATATTACAGTACATAGCGAAGTGATTAAATATATTTCTTTCCCACAACCAACTCCATACTGTCCCTGCTCCTTCGAATCTGGTAGCTTGCATACCATATGACCATGGAAATATGTATTAATAAAACAACAATGGATAATATTGTGAGTGTAGATTAGTTGTATGCCCAGCCATAGCGTTGGATTCGTAGCCGGAGGAATGTATTCTGTTCTAAATCAAAGGAACTCCGATTTGCGTACTCAATTTTGTCGGAAAGAGCATTTAGATAGGAGTAAGTGATGTTATCTCCATTTGTATCCAGGACGACCAGGCTCTCGCTCCAATCGGTAATACGCGAAAGCCCGTCAGCAATTACAAGACTGAGAATAGTAGCCATTTTGTCGGCTGCCCCTTCCATAAGGTCGGCCGAGTCTGTCACGAAATCTCCATCGCTGGATGTCATTGTAAAGGCAAGATGCCCCGGAGCGTTCAGCAGCTCCGCCCAATTAGAGCTTATATGAATAGGATCTCCAATGCCCCATTGTTGACGTGGTTTTGCTTTGGCAGGGACAGAACCGTCCAAGTTGAGCGCAACTGTGGACTGAGTGAGAACGCTGGGATTAGACAGGTTGCTAACGACCGTTCCACTCATGGTGGGCTCGTACCAAGCCGAAGACGCGCGATGGCGGTTCCATTTCCGATTGACTCTGCCGCGAGGATCCTCCGTGCTCTAGTGATACTTTCTACCATGGTTAGATTTGGCACCGCATGATTCTGGAAATTTGACAGCGTCCAAGCTTTCAGACTCTCAGAACCAGATCCAGGACAGGCGAGAGCTGAGGTCTGAGGAGTGGCCGTCAAACACGAGTTCATGTCCCATTTCAACCCAGCCGTAGACGTCGGTAAGGTTGTAGAGTTTAGTGTCAAAGGGAATGTCTCGTTCTTTTTAGATTGGGTATAAACTGGCAATGCCTGGCCACCGTACGGGTCTGGCATATGCCACCAGCCAAGATTGGGCTGAATCACGCCGATGGACGCGAGGCCGGCGAGCTGGCAGAGGATGGCTGAACAGAGAATGAAGATACTCAGACTGATGTTTGCGGAGTCTTTTCTTATGAAGTTGACGGTATACCAGAAGTTGTCTATAAGATGTTAGCTGCGCCATCTACTTTATAGATATATGCTCATTAACGGACCAAATGCGACGCCCTTATGGCCAACTAGCCGGGGCCGGGAGAAGTTCACCGTTATGCTTGCAATAGAAGCTATCATGAGCAACATATGGACTTTGGTAATGAACTGAAGAGCTTTGAGGATGCCATCCAGGCCAAAGAACGCCCAGGCCCAAGAGGTTGTCCATGTCGACTCATCTATCCAATATACGTCGAGAAAGCGAAGCCAGAAAATACCAATGATACTTATGCTGACTGCGAGGAGATGAACAGCCCATTCCAAGACACGGCTTGAGAAAAAGGGTTGGATGAGCACGGCCTTATCCTCGCCATGCTTGCTTGTACTTTTAAGAAAACTTTTTGACCCGGCGGCGGCCTGCGAATCGCGTTCATTGTCCTGCTGCTTTTCTCCAATCTCCGGCTTCACTTTCCGCTCAAGGCTCTCGGATGGCACAGTTTGTTTATGCGAGGTGTTCATCGCTCTGTTGACTGTCACGCTATTTATGCATCGCGAAGCAATGGTTTTCGGGAGATGGAAAGAGATTGAGTCTATATGTAGATAGAGAGTTTGGCTACTTTGTATTGCTGCGTTACATCTTCGCTTGTCAAAGGAAATTTGGAGGCCGCCCCAGTTGAAAAGTAATAACCCAGGATGGTGGAGCCACTACGGCTCGTGGATCCTATTCCAGATCATGCTGCAAATCAGTCTGCACCGACTGGGTGCTCAATCCCGGCCATCTTCAGCAATGGTTCCACTTGGCCAGCGCCGCACGGCCGGCAACCGGGTGTTTCTATCCAGCAATTCGGCGCCCATCTGGGGAAACTGAAGTCGTTGAAAAGGAACGGTGTACAGATTGTGGAGAGTGGTAGGGAGGTCATGGTAGGGTTGATGTAGTGTGGGATAAGCCAGTCTCAATTCCTTGAGAATCCCATGCAAAATGATGTCTCAAGGGCTTGAGGCAAAAATACTAGAATTAAGGGTGTGTAAGAAAATACCACACATTGGGAGGCCTTACTATGCGTGAGATCACCCTGCTGGTAGCATCGATAGCTCCATTTGAGAAGGCCGCGTTTGCTTTAACAGGTACGGAGCTGCGGCTTTACCCTTGTACAACAGACTCAAGTAAAAATCGTGTCCCGATCTGCGCAGCAGCATCTTTTCATACAATGCCTTTATGCGCGTAGAGTGGTTAGGAAAGGGTAAGTGTCAAGCTTATGCGTACACTTTATTATTTTGTACATGTAGGGCTCGGGTCTTTTTGGTGTCTAGCCTCTTCAGAGGGGATTGGCTCGCTATTAGCTATTGGCTATGAGACAGCTTATGGGACTAGACAACCAAGGTGAGGCCTTATGCTGATGGTGATTGCTTTAGCCATTTCAGAACTGGGCTTGTAATAAAAGCAACAGCTTGCATACCCCGCAAAAGGACACATTTCAAGATGCAGCAGCGGAGATTTCTTACTAATATTATTGAAGTCATTCTGGTAGCCGCTGTAGTCATCAGAGATGATGTGACTCATGAGCTCTCTAGCCGCAGCTGGTTCAAGGTAAAAGATGGTTATGGTGGACAAAAGTATATAAGGATTAGACTTGTACCAATCAAACACGGTACTCACTGGTCTCATCAGCTGCAACAATACATTGTATTTAATATTCTAGTTAACAATTTAAGAGCAGATCAAATGGCTCTAGAAACCCTTTCATTGGAGTTAACCAACCATCTCAAACAGCTTTATCACGCCTATCGGCACACCAAAGATATCAACCAAAAAGGCAACTTCTTTTCTTCTGTCTGCCACCAGGTGTGCCGGCCACAGCCATCATTTGCAGCGCGCAATAGAGAGACTATTGTGCGGTATCTCCATGAATCTGCAGACAAGGGCACTACCGACGAAACAAGCAACCAGTCGAAGAAGGGCTATTACACAATCCGACCCCTGCGAGAAGATGAGTTTGAGTTTGGGACTGATGAACAAGTTGCACCAGCTGGCTTTGCGACAGTAAGCGAGCTTAAGCAAAAAGCGGAAACCGAGGGTTGGGTGGGTATGAGAGTTGATCTGTGGGACGTTGAGGTAGGAAAAGAAGACAGTGAACAGCGACTAATTAAGGTACATTATTGGTGGAGAAAAGAGGAAGATGGCTGGATACAAATTCTGCATGATATTCTATCCATAGGACCCAGGGATGGGACCGAGGGCAGCGAGGGAGACGTGCTTGAGTGATGATCTTGTAACACCCCGAGTTTACTTCAGAAGTTATTAAAGTTCCATCACGTCTTAAATAAGACCATTACTGATATACATTATGACTGTCGCGGATCTTCGCTTCTGTTCATGAATTACCTACAATGTTCATAGCAACCAGCCATCTCTTACAGAATTCTTCCAAGATCATTAAGAGAATCTTACGTACTTATAGTCTATCGCCATATACCGACAACAACAATGCTCTCTTTATTCTGATACATATAACCTGGCTAAACTCTCAAGATGGCCCGTACCGATAGGCTCCTAATCATTCCGCTCCGTCCATGGACTCAGCGCGTCTAGAAACCTGGTATGCGCCGCAGCGTCGCCAGTCCTCTTTAATACTTCCTCATACTCCTCAATCCCGAGACACTTAAAGAAGAGCAAAATAGCAGCCCACATGAAATCAGTGTAGCTGACAGCATCGCCCAAAAAGTAAGGCCCGGAAGTCTCATTGAGCAGCGCCGTTATCTCCCGCGCAAACGGCTCACATCTTTCAAAGGCGCCAGGGGAATGCTTTTCCCCATACTCGGACAGCGGCATGCCTACGTCCTCCTGGCGTGTATTGAGAAAGAACTCGAGGCTTTGCTCTCCAAGAATCTTCTGCGCTACTCCAGGGACGTAAATTGGTCCTAACTCGTTCATGAAACCAATCATACTTTTCCTGAACCGGAGCTGCGCTGGCGTGTTCAAAGCCACCTTTGGCTCTGGATACTTCTCTTCCATGATATCGGCAATTTTGTACGAGTCCATGATGTAGGAGCCGTCGGGCATTTGTGTGGCCGGGAGTGTAAATTTGGGTCCCCTTTCATTCGGGGGGACACTGAAAATTGCCAAATCGTCAATAACAATGTTCATTGTCCGTGCAATCAAATATTCACACTTACTGCTGGTTGAGTCGCGGCCCGATGTCGGGATATTCAACCTGCCAACGTTAGGCTTAATGATGACAGCTTACATATCTTTGACTTACCCATTCCGTCTTGTAGTCGAGGCCCTTGTAGTTAAAAAGTAATCTCGCTGTCTATTACTTTAGAATTCATGGCCTATTGCTGAAACTTGATGTGTCAGACATACTCCTCCAGATGTTCATCGACCAGCATACGCGTGGTGCTTTGGTGGGGATGTCGAGCAGTGTGTAAGTGCCGGATGACATATTGCTGGTTATTCCGCACCCTTGATGTATACAGGAAATGGAACAAATGTTTCGCGACAGCGTAGTAGAGTGAGGCTTGAGTAGACGAGAACAAGAGATCAAATGGATAGATAACAGCCATTAGGACCCTTGAGTGCATAGCCACGAATCCTTCAGTCGATTAGGCCTAGCAGACCCATCATTTTATCATGAACCCCCATTCTCCTAACTAAATACGTCCAAGCAAGCACATGGATCCAGGGAGGAGTTGCTACTAGAACTGACCATTGCCATTTCAGTTATGTTACCGGACATGGTTGAAAACCGAAGTATGGACGTTCTACTGCATTTTAGATAAACTGATTTATTTTTTCCTTGATCTATATATAGCGCAGATTGATACTGCAACACGGAAAAGTGTAAGTCTAAGTTCGCTACCATTACAAGCTTATTAGCGACCGCTCTAGGGCATATTTAATAACGAGTTGCCTATTAAGCTTAATCGTCAACCCGCAATGGCTAAAATGTTGATGTCCATTCTTACATCACATGATGCTTAGGGAATAACCTATCGGTTACAACTTCCAGAATCCAATACGCCTTCGCGCATGCAAGAAAATACCTCAAATTAGAGGACAATTACAAGACACCATGAATCAAGATCAACCACCCAATCCAAAGAGTCTAAAGGTAGGTGTATTGCCCCAAAATTGTCTAATATTAGTGGGAATAACAGTCGTTTGAGATACAACCACTTCCTGAATCTATAGACTTCACTAACGGCAAAAAAGCTCTAACTTATGTGGAAGGAAAAGGTCAGAAAGTGTATTGGCGGAATTCCTGGGTCAACGTGTATGACAAGGGTGAATGTACACCGAGGGATTGGTATGGAAAGTGTGATGGATTTGTAATACTACCCGCGGATACAGTTATATGGATCGGTGCAGAGGGTGGAATTATTCTAGAGAAGTGGGTAAGAGCAAGAGACACCGTTTGTACAGTATCAGCTACTTCACATCTAGCTTTCTCAACACTTGAGCACAACCTTTCTTACTTATATGTGCCTGCGAACTTTGATCGATTTACCTCCCAGAACTCCATGCGACAAAGCGATCTATTATAGTACGTGTAGAATTGAGGTCCACTTGTATTTATTTAGTGGTTAAGCTTTGACTTTTCTATCTCGTACTCTTAAAATCCGTCCTCCTCCAACATTTCGAGATCTCTCTTGAGATTGGTAGTCTTATAAGACTCCCATTCTTTGTTTGCGGTGTATTTGAAAGAGTCCCACAGGTTGGATGCGAGTAAGTCGGTCTTGTCCTCTATATCTGGCTTATTCAAGTCCTCTGTCGCAGCGTTCGGCAGCCGAACTCCTTGGTCATATTTAAAGAACCCGGTCTTGTCCCACGTTTTCTTGACACGGCGAAGCTTGTCGGTGTTGCCACCGAAATAAGCCCTCTCGTACATCTGTCTCGGAAAGTCGCCGTCAGGGAAATTTATAAAGGCAGCCTCGCCGTTAAGAGAGAGCGGCCTCAGAGCCTTCTTGACTTCTGCGTGAAAGGACCTCATGTCCCTTTCCATCCACTTATCCGTCCATTCTACCGTGACGTAAGCATGGTAAACAGCTTCACGCCAGAAAAACGCTGAGTCAGTTGGCTTCCTTTCTGTTGCCTTGCCACCAGAGTGAATCCAAGTAACAAGGAAGTTGACCTGTTCCCCGCGAAACTGACTTCGGAACTTTTTCATCAGACTTCGAATTGTGGCAGTGATATCTTCAATCTTTGATGTTTCATTAAAACAAAAAGAGCTAAAGAGCTCGTATGTCTTGTTGGTTGGATAAGCTTTTTCGGTCTCCTCTAGCCATTGGTTCACCAAGGTCTCGTAGAGGAAGCGTGTGGACGGCTCGGGTAGTACTCTTCGCTTGAGTTGAGTCTTTAATTCTTCATTTTTAATGTGCTTGTCGATGATTTTCTCGTAGCTGTTTTGACTGCCGTCATAAGCAACGATAAAACGAATGCCGTCGGATTTTTGACTAAGGTCACAGATCCAGGTGCTGTCGATGGTAATGTTCTTAGGCCAATTGGTAGTATAGAAATCGTTCATCGTAGAGATAGCCTCATTAGAAAGTGCGCCGTCGGAAACTTGATCATCGCAAGGTAGGCCGTCAGTTTTTTCCTTGTTGGATTTAGGAAACCACTGGTACCTGCCCGCGACCACAGTTCCATAAGCATTCTCCAGTTCCTGGACTTTGAGCTTCATCTGGACCAAGACCCCAAAATTGCCGCCTCCTCCTCCTTGGAGGGCCCAGAAGAGCTCGCCTTCCTTAGATTTCGGGTCATCAGTGTTCTTCACAGTAACCACATCTCCTGTTGCTGTTACAACAGTTGCTTCCGTCAACGTATCGCATCCCATTCCAAAGCTTCGCGTAAAAGGCCCAAGACCACCTCCAAGAATGAATCCGCTTACACCAACAGTAGGGCAGCGTCCACCGTTGATGATATAACCTTCATGCCCGCCATTGACGAGCGTCTGGTAAACATGGCCCCACTGGCAACCAGCATCCATGGTAACAGTCTTCGACTTTATATCAAGATTGACCTTGTTCATCCTTCTAAGATCCAGTGAGACACCTTTGAAGGCAGTAGAATGGCCTGCATAAGAATGACCATTGCATTTGATAGTGAGGTTGACTTTCTTGGAAGCTGCTTCTTTTACAATAGCCTGAACATGTGCAATCGTCTCAGGTTGGACGACACAATCCGGTCTCGAGAAGCGAAACAGGCGATTCGAAGTGGCAATAGCGCGGTCATATTCTGGTTGCCCCGGCTCAAGAACTGGAATATTTGAAGATTTGAAGAGCTGCCGGGTTGCCGACCGGAGCATATACAGGGAAGCCCGCATCTTCAAACCAATATGAAGTCGCACCCCACTACTGGGAAAGCGTGGCGTGGTATCATCATCAAAGACTGTTCGCCTTGGAAAGCTGCTTCGTTTTTATACTCCCACGATGGCCATTTTAAGAGCCTCATCTCGCGACTTCAGTCCCCGCAAACAGCATACAATTCAAGCTGCGGCAGTCAAGTGGGGATACAGCATCAAAATGGAAAATAGTGCAGTATGATGGATCAGATTTACCCTCTTTTCAATCTCTAATACGGTAATTGGACTATTTGCAATAGCGAGTACTAGCGCCAGCATCATATTGGTGGCGGATTCTGGGTCACTCAGGCAATAATACCACGCCAGGGCGACCCTGCAGATTTTCATACGCGTCAGCCAGCCACAATATATCTTTCAGCCGTCTTTGAGCGTCTTTGGTAAAGAGTATACAGCTTTGTTTGGTCAGACATCTTCCCCACCAAGTTACCGAGTCGAATTGGAAGCCTAGTTGGGCACGCGGACGGCATATTAGTGAGCTGCAATGCTACCCGATACGGCCTCTTTGGTGTAGTAGCTCACGCCGACGGTCCGGACGCGACATAGTGTAGGCTGAGGCCTTTCTCAAGCTGAATTTATACTAACCAAGTATTTCGATTATAAGTATGCTAGCAGGAAGGCACATTAGCAATTTATGTAAATAGCTAGCTACACAATACGATCTTCCAAGGTCGTTTTGCTAAGCAATTATGTCGATCTATGAAGATGCCCAAAAGGGCCTCCTTGTTGGGGCAACTCTTGACGCTTACATCGCAAAGAACCCAAACATTCTGGATGAACAAAGTGCTGATTCAGGTCTGACAGTATTGTCAATAGCAGCGATTGAAGGATTCCCAGAAGAAGTTGAACAGCTACTTAAAAAGGGTGCTAGAGCAGACGCCCTCACTAAAGATGATGAAACTCCTCTCCTTCTGGCTGCCTGGAAGGGTAAGAAGGAGCGTGCGCGCATCATCCAGCTGCTTCTTAAGAAGACACCCTTGAGTTCTATCAACAGAGCTTGCGAAAGAGCAAATTTTAACACGCCGTTAATGTTTGCAATTGAGAAAAAAGACTACGAATCAATTAGGCTGCTAGTACAGGCTGGAGCTGCTGAGGATAAAAACATCAAGAACTCTGATGGCTTCACGGTGAAACAGATAGCCGACGCTGCAAAAGATCGACTTGTTACTCGTTCCCTTTTGCCAGATGAAAAGCTAAAGGCCGCAGTGCTCGCTGCTGATGTCACCAGCTTCCTTCTGTATATTGTTGCTTGGGCGAATAAGGCCGTCAACGGGTTGGTTACCGAAGTATTTCGGTTGAACCCCGAACTCAATGAGTCAATTGACGAGGTAAGTGCAGCCAAAGGCGGTCGAAAGAAACAGCATAAAAGCAGTTTAATAACCCAAATAAAAGCAAATGACCCAAAACCAAGACTTAACCAAGGAGGAATTTGTTGAAAGAGTCAACGAATGGATGGAAACCCATGGTCCGCTGAAGCGATTCTTCCAAGGAAATGATGAATTTGTGCAAGACATGGCCGAGAAACTTGTGAACTTGGAGCAAGACCCTGCCAACAAGCTCCGCAGCCAAAATCTGGCAGAAACGATAAAATTATCCTTGTACAAGCTGGTCATCTATTGTGGTAAGTCATTCGGAACACAACAACATCATTCTCAAGTGAATTATTTTTTGTCTAATTCGCGATCAATCCCAATAGATGACAGCACCTCAATGAAACGTGACGGCCGCTGGGAGAGCCAAAAGGAATTGGTCCAGCGTATCGCCAAAATAGCCACTATGGTCCTCCCACCAGATGAAGGGGTTGCTCTAAGATTTATCAACCGAAACGTTGAAAACTCTGACAATCTCACACTTGAAAGGCTGGGAAATGTCCTGAAAGATATGGACTGGCGACCTGGTGGCGATACTCCGATCGGTACAAATTTGCGGTCCAAGATTCTCCAGCCGCTAGTATACAGCAAACTGGATGCAGGGAATCTTGACAGGCCACTTATTGTCATTATCATGACTGACGGTATGCCAGAACGCGAAGATAAAACTGAGCTTGAAAAGGTCATTCTTGAGTGCGAAAAGAAGATACGGGATAGCGGCTACCCTCCCCAGAGTGCGTTTAATTGTTTCCATGGCTTTCTTTTCCTTTCTCTCTCTCTTGGAGTCATTGATGTTAACAAAATTGGCAGCCGTTAAATTCATGATTGGTCAGATAGGGACTGCAAAGTCTGCTGCAAGATTTCTGGCGTCCCTAAGGCAGAATTCAGATATTGCTCGAACAACATTAGTCACTTCAGGTATGCTTCCTACAATTTAAGTTAGTGTGTTTACTCACATTCCCTAGATAAACTTGATGATGCGTTTAAGGACTATAAGGAAAACGACTCGAAGTTAGATAAATGGGTGAGACCTCCATCTTCTTTTTGTCCCGCTATTTCTCGAATTCTCGCTTAAACAGATGATGCTAATATTTCGCCACTAGCTGGTCGAAACTTTGTTCTCTCCTTTCCGGAATCTAACAGGAAACAACTAATAGCAGAAATACGCGATCTGCTTCTTACGTGCTAGAATATGGTAAGAAGTGTATGCATCTCTAGGTAAATAGTCAAATATTGCCAGGTAGGAGTACAACAAATTGCCAATTTCTTATTTGACTATATGTGTGGTTTCATTGTGCCAAAATTTAATCCTTTGCGCTTCTTGTTTCAAGGTGAACTGGCTGAACAGTCTCACAATCTTGTGATTTAGCATCTTCAGCATATTGAATATTCTCGATGTCGTAGTTTGTGTCCCGAATACTCCAAATAACATATGCAGCAAGAGGCAGTGACAAGATAATAAGTAAAGACGAGATGAGAATCTCTCCAATGAATGGGGTCTAAATAATGATATCAGCATCGTTTTATACCATATCTCCAAAGTTCACACCCTATGGAGAGCTATCATGCAACCAAATACGTACCTTGACGGCATCCATTCTAAATGATACGGCGGCACCTGCCGATTGTATACCTTTGTAATATCCTGCCATCCGAGCCAACTTAAATGGTTCATTACTCATGGAAGACATGGTATAGTACGCAAGGCCCTGAAATGAGGCATCAACGATATAATCTAGAGGAAATAATTAGCTTCTTCTGCTGCATCTTTTGGTAAGAATGGTGACTGACAGGCGAAGAGAAGAAGGATCGGTCCAACAGATACACCAGTAGTCCAATCCCAAGGGATTGAATGATGAAGAACCTTGGTGTCAGATCGCGTAAACTGAACTTGGAAACCTATGCCAGATCCCCAAATAATGCAAGTCGAAATGAAGATAATGAAACACCCTGTAAGAGCACGATTGCGACGTGTGAAAGGCAGGACATCAGTTAGATAACCTATCATCAGTGACCCAATCATCGAACCAAGACCAGTTAGGAGAGACACCAGTGCACGGGTACGTCCATTAAAGAGAAACGCAGTCAAGGCTCCTTGGTAGGAATAAAAGTAATTGGATGCAAAAAACATCGGAAATAGAGCCACCATCCGCCAATCTTTGAAGAGTTGCAAAAATTCGTGCATCTCTTGCTTGGGACTGAGTGACTTTTGAGGTTGAACTACTGTGCCGTCTCCGCGGACGACTAAATGGGGCGGCAGAACCAACCAGCTAGTCAACAACGCAGTGAGCATAATGATCATGAATGTGGTATAAACGCCCGTTGAGATGGAAGGCAGAGTACTGTGAAACTCAATCCGAAGGGCTATTACAGAACCAATCAAGGCTCCTAGCTGGAAGATGACCCAGAAGGCTGTGAAAGATCGGCCCTTGTCTTTTTCCAAGGGGTAGGACATCATGATAGATCCCTGAGCAGACCAGAATAAGGATGCTGTGACGCCGAGGAAAGCACCGGCAAAGATGACAAACCAGCGAGTGCCATGGATGTGGTAGTTCCATAGAGCACCAAGATAAAGGGCGTATCCAGAGGTGCCAAGGGCCATTGTGAAACGAGGACCAAGGATATTCTATGATAGTGTCAGAATATACATAGAGGGTGATAAAGGATATTAGGAGGGTGGTTGTAGCATACATTGACGCTGCCGCTGAAGAAACCAGAAACAAAGAAACAGGCATATAGAACGCTGTTGGCAATATCGCTGAGCCGCACGTCGCCTAAGCCACCACCACCTAGGCCGTTGACCGCACTATGCATGCCCACAGAAGAAAAGGCTACAAAGCCGACAAGGCAGACTTGTGTCCATGGTGAATTGTCTAGATCAAGACGTCATTATTGACCTGATAACATGTGTTGAAAGGCATACGAACACCGGAGTCGTCCAATCTTGAGTTCTGCCAAGTTTATCATGGCGAATTACGATTGTACTTTTGAAGTTGTTGTTATGAGTCTGGCTCGTTCTCAGGCGATATTGGGAGTAGATAGACGATACGGAGATACGTAGAAAGGTTGTTCAGGTATGAGAAGAGTTGCAGAGAAAAACTGAGTCGGGCTCCGAGAGCAGTTATACTTTTCTGAGTTTCCTAATTTAGCACTGGCATTCCATCTCAAGCTAAATATCCTAGAAAATTGATCTCAGTTTGGGCAACGGCGGAGAGACAGAGTCCTTGCCATGCCCAAACAATCTCGGTATGGTGGAGAAATCGTAGAGAAGCAGAACAAAGTCTTCTATCTGGAGAGATTTCTGAGGCGTCTTTTTAGGGGAATGTTACATCCTCTTCCCCGAGTCAAGGTTTAAGCTATTGTTGGGGCTAGGGAATCTTACACTTCCACAAAATGCCAGATGAGGGTGGGCCATTTATTAGCTTCGGCATCAACCCCAGATTTCTATTCAACTAACCCACATTCACGGGTGAGTAGTCCGAGCTCTTGGTGCCCTGTCAATCAATTCTTTTGTCATTTTCGATTAATTTCCATCATAAGGGCCAAGGCAGGAGAGAAGTTGCTGACAACAATTACAGCCACTAAGAAGGGTCCGTGTGTCTACATGTACGATTGGTACAAATACATTAACGAATAGATTCATTCCTCCGCAAGAGACTTGCTAAATAATATGTGTTGAGTATGAGAACAGTATACATAAATGATTACCAGCGTGTTGAGATATGTTCAATGGCGTGTGGGCTTTATTGAGAGTAACAATCTCGGTATACCGACGACAAATCAACCGCATGCGTGTAGCGCCTTGGAATCTACAACAATTTGTGCTTCTCAAATAGTGCTACGTTGCATAGCGATGTCTCTTAAGCCATCAATCTCTTCCTCAAGCCTGATGTTCCGCCTGATGCCAATCATTATGATGTTGCTTGTCCATGATCCAGTGAATCGCTCGGCCCGGCATTCAGTTACAACGACGTCCGGCCCGACGTTCAGTCACAGAATCCGGCCCGAAGTTTCTCGGTCCGAGACACTACCAACGGTGTCTCCACCCTCACCCTCCACCCGTCTGTCACTCTTCAGACAAAGTACACCGGTCAAAGATGGATATAATAACAGCATCACGCCACTTTTACATGGTAATATTCCCCCTCATTTGATAAGGAGTGAATGCCTTGATCATTAGGCAAGGATCGGCTCCAAGAAAATGGCTGTCTCTCCCGTAACTTTGTTAGTACTTGGTGCCGGCAACCGTGGTCGAGTAAGTGCAAGCATTCATGTGCCCCTAAGAAGCTTCATCTACTCGCTTCATACTCCCTCACGGCCTGGTATAATGTTAACTGTCTCTTAGGCGTACGCCAAGTATGCGCGAGACAATCCCAGTCTCGCCCAGGTGGTTGCTGTTGCTGAGCCGCGCCCGGAACGGAGGCGGGTTTTCTCTAAGCCCCATCAGTATGTTGACTACCATATCTTGTCTTTCACTGTCTGATTCGCTAACCATTTGGCCCAAGTATACCGGAGGAACTACAATTCGACGATTGGAGAGCGCCACTCGCAAGAGGTAAAATCGCCGACGCTGTCATCATTGCTATATTAGTAAGTAATGATCTACAAGATTTACTTTGCATTTGATGGAATGGAAGGGAGACGAGGGATAAAATTTAATACGAGGATATCTCTAGGATAACCTTCATCTCGAAGCTGTCGCGGAGTATTCCAAGCAGGGATACCACATCCTCTGCGAGAAACCCATGGCAACAAATGTCACCGACTGTATCAAGATGTTCCAAGAAATAACCAGCTTACCTACTCCGAAGGTATTTGGTGTTGGCCATGGTATGCGCTCTTGAACACATTCGTTGGTAACCGATAACGTATCGACCCTGACCAATATCTAAAGTGCTTCGATATTCGCCTTATAACCAAGCTGTCAAAGAAGTTATTGACTCTGGAGCACTTGGCGAGATTATCAACATTCAGCACATCGAGCCAGTAGGAAGTCGGCATTTTGCTCATTCATATGTTCGAGGCAATTGGCATAAAGAAGCAGATTCAACTTTTGCTCTCATGGCGAAATGCTGCCAGTAAGTTCTCCCTACCAAATCGCTCTTCACCTTCTGCATATTTATTGGACTAGCGATATCGATATTCTCTCCTTCTATCTCTCTGGCCTAAAGCCTTTAAAAGTCCACTCGTTTGGATCTCTATCGCATTTCAAAAAGTCAAAGAAACCGATTGAGGCAGGCGATGCAATAAGCTGCCTAGACTGCCCTTACGAGTCTCAGTGTGCCTGGAGCGCCAAGAAGATATACTTGGAGACTCTAGGACGAGAAGTAAAACAGGTGAGTTGGTTGTTATGAGCACTCCGGTGGCATTCCTCTGGCTCCCAGTGCATTAAGACACTAACTGTTTGTAGTATTCGCAGAAGATAGTCGACGCAGAAATACCCGATATCGAAAATGTCACCGCAGTTCTAACATCGACTGCATATGGAAGATGTGTTTATGAATGCGACAATGATGTAGTTGATCATCAAGTCGTCAATATCGAATACGAAGGCGGCGTTACTGCCAGCATGACAATGTCAGCTTGTAAGCATATCAGTTGCTTCCCATCCATCGTTATTGAAGGTACTAAATTATGCATCAAGTTACGGAAAGCGAATGCTTTCGTGGTACTCGTATCCAGGGAACCAAAGGAGAGCTAATCGGCGATATGATAACATTTGTATGTATCCTCTTTCGTATTATCATATCCCAGGCCAATTACTGACGTGTCGACTCTATTGTATAGGACGTTTTTGACTTCGCCGACCGCACAAAGAAACATTATTCTCCAAGGCAAGACGGTGGAAACCATGGTGGCGGGGATAGAGGAATCGCGGAGGCTTTCGTCGCTTCAGTTGCGAACAACAGACAAGAGGAGCTCAGAGTTACTCCTCGGGAAATACTGGACTCCCACCTGTTGGTATTCGCAGCTGAAAAGGCTCGACGAGAAGAACGAGTTATCAACTTTGCCCAATTTGAAGAGGACTGCATGCTGGGTAAGGATGTTGGATTTTAGACTTGGTAGAGCATTAGCTGCACAGAGACCAGCTATTTTCTTGTCGAACCTGAGAATTCTCAAGCTCTACATTCATAATGTTGTATATCGTAAGATCATTGTGCAGTGTGTTGCTATTGCATTAACACTAATGAGATAGATGAGTCTACCGCGTTGTGTGTTTGTTACCAAGGTCATCATTATGATTCTAAATTGAAGTGTATTAGAATAAATGCTCGTTTCTAATGACGATACCCGGTTTAGCATGATAGTCGGTTTTGGAACGTAGAAGGCGTGGTAGAAGGATTTGGCCCGAACCGAGCAGGAGAATATTCTCCCCTCTCGTACATCAGCTATAAGTTTGAGCTTGATATCGCTACAGTAGCCCTGATCACCAGTTTAGGTGATTTACAGGCCCATATAGACAGAAATTGGATATTTGTGGGCTCGATATGGAGAGATCTCGTAGAAAACTATCATTAAATATGCTGCAGAAACCTCTCAGCCTACCCACGTGCCCAGCTAAACGTGTCCAGCAATTCAAAATTGAAGTCTAGAGGCAAAGAATCCAATGATGGCGGCGGCCAAGTACTCTCAATCGTCGTGTTTAATGTATGATCGAGGACATGCTGTATCACCGCCTTGCAGTTGGCGCAAAGATCGGCATTAGGAGCGGGAGGATGCACCCAGTCGAGAAAAGCGACCAACATGCTCAGCTGTTGTATAATGCTTGCTCGAGTAATCTTGTCATTCTTGGGGTGGGTTCCTGTAAATGTAGGCTCAAGAAGCTCCATGCACATGATTCCACCTCCGGGAGCAGCGTAAGCGATTAACTATTTGATCCCATGAGTTAGGAATACATGTCAATAGAACACACATAGGTAGACTTACCAGCCACTCAAAGTCGTTGCGCGCTTCGAGCAGGCGGTCTTTATGGGACCAAAAGGTGAGTGTAAGAGATACCATCTCGAAGCTAGTAACAAGCAAGTCACCCTCATCTAACATGTTCTGACGAAGTAGAAGCCTCTCGAGAATAAAGATATTCTGAAGGTGATCCAATTGGACAAGGAGCTGAGCCAAGATATGGTAGGAGGGGATTTTGGGGTCCAGGATCTCGCGAGGCTTATATATTAGTGATGAGGGGATTTGTCTCATTGCGATGATTTGACGAGACTTGATATCTCTAAGAGTAGGTGAGCATTGAACAACAGGGTCGGTGAGTATGCGTCTTACAGTAGTGTACTCGTTGAAGTATTGGCGGCTTTGTTGAGTGCAACTTCCACTAGTTCTGCCCGAATAAAGGCGCAGATCGTACGGGCACGAATAAAACTTACGGAGTAGATGCCGCCATGTGTATTCCAACCATTTGCATCCAAGCCATTGAACGAGTGAGTGACCACAGCCTCATCAGCGAAGAAATCACCGTCATCAATGTCTAAAGGTAACGGCATAAACATGAACCTATAGTTTATGAGAGGAGGTCGCCCCGTGAACATGACAAAGGTTTGATCCATCATGAAGATAAATGCTGCGAGTTGCTTTCGGTTCTCTTGGCAAAAGTTGGGTTGAGATGAATCTTGTTGTGGATCTGTATGTATTCCTAGGAAAGTTAGGAGAGCCACTGTGTCCGCGTGCAGTCTCCATGCTGATAGACCTGCAATTTGTTAGTTGAAATGAGCAGGTTATACTGAGTAGACAATACTGGGACGAACGAACTTGCGTATCCCATGATCGTTGACTCCATAATGGTCTTTCGCGAGAGTAGAAAAAGAAGCAAACTGCTTCCACTGGAGAAGATGCGTGATAGCTCAATGCATAACTCTAAACATGTACGTGAGATATCAAGCGAGATTTCTTCATAAGTACCATCTGAACTAAGCTCCAAAACACCGTTCTTCCTAAAGATAAACAACAGCCCTATTGATTCCCATCGCAGATTATGGTTGGTAAATCCAGCAATCCAGCTATTGGCATCAGGATTATCCTCGGAAAGGGGTTTTAGGGTATTCTCAGTCAATACTTGGGCAATTTCCTCTAGTTGTGCATCCGTACGGTCCGTACCCAGAGATTGACCGAATATGGTGTCCAAAGACTTGATAATCCGGTGAGCGGCAACTCGGACCCAGCCACCGCTATTATTCGGCGTAGTAAGAAGCCTAATAGTACAGCTAGGTGGACGGGGCACGCTGCGGAGGACAGTGATCCACTTGTCTCGTATTGAAGGAGTAAGGAGGACGGATGAGTTTATGTAGTTGGCTTTCTTTGCTTCATCATTAAGTAGAGGGGCGGATATTTGGAAGCTGTGAAGCGTAGAGAGTCGATTTTTAGCTTCTTCATAGACGGTGGAGTGGCTGAGTGACCCGAGATATCCCGACCCGGGATCTGTGACGGGAGGAATGTGCTGTTGACAGGCAGAGAGGGAGTTGGGAACACGGGTCTGGCTGGGAGGAGGCGTGTAAGGTGACAAAGCAGATGGTACAGCTTCAGTGCTTCGCACCGCTTCCGGAGAGGTTCGTGAGATGCGCCTAGTGAGCCTCCTCGGTCTCACCTCGCTGGCGGTGTACTTGCACTCCCTCTGCCGGCTCTTTCTCAGACACCGCCCGCACACAGGCAGCGCGTGGTCGCAGGAGACCTTGCGGATCCGGCAAGGATCGCATGCCTGAAGTCGACCATTCTGGCGTTGCAGCGGAGGCGGATTGTGTGTTGACGACCTCTGCATTGTCGCCTTGACCATTGGGCTGCAGCTCCCAAGTTTGTCTCTACACTAACATGCTGTCCAATTACCTTGGAGTTATAGCCGGCACGTGATTGTCAGCTCGACATCAGCTAGGACAGAGGAATAATTCCCTAATTTGGTTATCTTGGTTATCGCTAGGCAGTTTTTGTAGGCTTACAGTATCGATCATAAATATTGAGACTGGGCGTTTAAGTAGAAACTTGGGGAAAGGGGCCGAGAGAGTTCAATACTATACCTACCTGGGTCCTTCGAGGTTTACCACTATGGACAAAAACATTTGATTCAAAACGATATCCATCGACGGATTAGAGAAAATAAGTTCAGAAATTCATGTGATTGTTGATAGATAGCGAACGGTGGGTTGTACGAAAGGAATGATTGCAGCCATTGGTTGTGGCTTTAAGGAATACTAGAGCACTTTACGGGTTGGAGTTACTTAGTAAACTACCTATGTTGATTAGGTACTATTGCCGAGAATAGGTGTAATCCGTGTCTTTAAACCATCTACAACAAGTCTTGGAACCTGTATTCAATAATGGTATACTCGGTGTTTTATCTCAGACGTTTGCTGGCTTTTGAACTCTTATGAAGCGTTGTAGGGTGAGTAAGTCTACATACCCTGTGGTTCCACACGTAAGCTCACTTCGAGTAACGCGATATGCAAACCCCGGTCGCCGGCACCGCAAACTCAATTGGATAGTTGAGCACCTCTAAGTCGGCGGATTATCACAAAATATTACTGTGCAATGGATTCAAGGTGTGTTTTGCAAGTGATATTTCCATGGTAACATTGCCCCTAAGGAAGAAACGTGTGTGTGAACCCTCATAACGTAAATTAGATCGATGACTTTCAACAGCCGCCTAGGGCTCAATCGGTGTTCTGTGATTGGTTAATTACCAAGTCATATGACTTGCCCGGTTAGCTCAATCGGTAGAGCGTGAGACTCTTAAGAGTTACACATTCTGAATGCAATCTCAAGGTTGCGGGTTCGACCCCCGCATTGGGCTTTTCCTATATAACAACCCGATCGAGATTCGAGGCGGTTCTTTTTTTGCATTTTTTCTCATTTTTTTTGGAGTTTGTCAACCTTTTCAGATATTGAAGTTGCATGTGTTTTAGTGAAATTTTGATGATGCTGTAGCATCTGCGTGGTATGGTACAATAAAACATGTGCGTTCTGGACAATTGGGTTCTAATTTACATGGTTGACCATCCATATCAAGTCATGGACTTCGATGTCACTATTCATGTATACACAGAATCATATGTGCTTCAGTATTCTTCTCAATGCTCTCCTCCCTGCACGAACCTCAAGTATTTCTCGTCCATATTACTGGCAAGAAGACCACCACTCACTCTCCTCGACGCACTTGTAAGGGGCCACGCATTGTGTAGGGCCAGTGTATCCAATGCCACCGCACTATTATACAACCGTTAGCTTTCACATTCAAGTGATCATTGACAACCTCAAAGTGTTTTTTATGGTAAATGAAACTTACCTGGTCAAACTGGCCAACGGTGCCACCTCCAGGGTTTGAAGGAGTAGAGCTGGCAGGGGGAGGAACTTGGGAGGTGCTGCTAGGAGGAGGAGCGGAGCCAGATCCTCCACATGGAGAGCCTGTAGTAAGAATGCTCTTGGCCTGTTGAGCGAAGGTGCATCCGTTGATGACGTTGGAATCGGAGTATCCGGCGTCCCATAGCATGATGCCTCCGAAAGCAGGGTTGGACTTGGTGCTGGCGACGATGCTAGCCAGCTGGTCGGGTGTCGCGTAGTACTTGGCGCCGCCAGCGTTACCATTGGCACCCAGAGTAGAAGCAGGAGCACCGATGAAGAGCTTTGCGTTCTTGGAGGGGGTGGTGGAAATGAATGACACCCAGTCATCAAAGTTGAAGGGGGCATCGCCAGGGAGACCAAGAGAGCAGGTTGGGTTGTTGTTATAGAACTGGACCCAAAGATAGTCAAATTGAGAGCTGCTGATAATTTCGCCCATGTTGGGCTCAGGGATGGGGCACTGAGGAGCTCCGGTGATGTAGTAGGTGTTCTTGGAGTCGCTGGCAAAGTTGGAGCGCAGCGTTGAGATCATGTACTGGTAGTACTGGCTTCCAGCGTTCAACTCAATGTCAAAGTCGAAGCCGTTGACAAACACGCTTCCAAAGGGGCGCTGGACAGTAGTGTTGCCAGAGTTGCCATATGCGTTCCATAGGTATTGACCGATGGCCACAGCCTGTGACTGAGATGACAGAGAGTACGAGCTGGCGGCACCACCGAGAGACAAGATGACCTTCTTTCCAGCAGACTGGCAAGTCGTAATTGCAGAAGCGAGTTGGTCGCACTGCTGAGGGACTCCGGTTGTGCCAACGAAGCATGAGTTGCCCATGTTGCCGGAAGGGATGTTGCCAGTCGCGCCATAGATATCCAGGAAGGACAGGATGACAATGTCGATTCCTGCGCTGGACGTGCAGTAATGAGAGAGGTCGTCGACTTCGTTGTTGGTAGCTCCCCAGTAAACAACATTCTGGGCACCGGAAGCTTGACGAGCCTTGACGGTACGTGAGGGAGCGGCAGCTGCCAAGGTCGCGAGACCAAGGCTAACAAGGAGAGAGCTAGAAAGCATTTTGGCGGTTTAAATGATGACGAGTGTAATATATACAATGAATAATAGCTACCAGCAAATAAAGGAATGAATAGGGCACTAGGCCTGTGGACTGACTTGCACTGAACAAGAGAGCGCTTCAACTCAAGGAAGTCGGCATAGATATACTACTTCCAGCAAGCCTACAGTGGATCACACAACGGACTTTGATGTTACAGCATGTTGCTCCGTCTAGACGGTGGACACTCGGAGTCCAGATGCCAAATACAGATACTCATTCCTACCGTGTAAGGAATGTAGATACAGGTGATATCTACGATATGTTTCACGTTGGCCGTCAAGAGGAGACGTTACATGGGGGAGCAAACAAACAAATCGGTGGTGTACAGTAGCCGCGGGCGCCTGAGATGGGATCAAACAGGCCCACTCTGTTTCCAGTTCTCCTTTATAGAAACATGTACGTATAGTAACTAAACTCGTGACAAAGTATAGAAGTAGGAAGGTAAGAGATCTGACAGGTAACCGCTGTAACGAGTTCCGGAGTTTATGGAGTGGGAGTGTGTATCAGATATGTGGAGGTGGATTGCGCCGAGCTTCTGGTACCTGAACTAAAAGCGCACCTGCAGGCTATAAGAGCGCATGTTTAAGTTGATCGAATAAGAGTTTCCTGGTTTGGCAGCTTCAAATAGTAATACTACAATACCATGAGCGTGGTGGTAATTTATTAGTGTCTTCACAACGTCTTATTTAGGCAGGTCTGTACGTGTCACGGCATCTTCACTCCGAGTAGCCGCCTCAAGGGCGGCACTGATCTTATAAAAGTCATCTGCTGCACCTGAAGAGGATAAGCTTGTAACACTGGCCTCAATAATCATGAGCTGCACAGGAATTCGTCTCCGCAACTGCGGCTCGAGGCGTCCCTTATCACAGGATACAACGTTCCTGCACTAGCACGGCGCTTGACTCCACACAACCAGTGAGGTTCATGTTGAAGAGTTCATGCATCCTGCTGCAGAGTCATCAGATGAACTGCTATGAGTACTTAATGTGTGCTTGATGTCCTGCAGATCAAGTGGGAGGATGAGATGCAAGTCATGCAAGTAGGTATGATGGGGCACATGTACGTGGTGTCTCAGTCAATATGCCGCGCGTTTATCAGAGCAGACTCATATTTTCCTGTTCCTCGGCGCCAGCGATGATGGAATACTCCTCTTCAGCGCAATAAATTTGTCAAACGATGCTGGCATGTCAGACCTGGTGACAGGGTCTATCAGCATAAGCCCGCCGGAGCGCTCAGTTCACATACCATCTCAAATTATAGCAACATATCGTAAGATACCTAGATTCTGATACAAGCTGCAAGGCTATGGCCAGATGCACTGCTGACATGTAGCAGACCAGTGAACAAAAACGAGGAAGGCCGGTATTTTAACCCTGGTCATCAGGCTGATTGTAATGCTTGATCCACAGAATTGTTTCTTATTTAGATATTAGATGGGATTCTCTAAAAATCCCGTCGAGGAGTTATTCTGCTTCGAGAGACATCTGAGCATTATAATATGGTCTCCGGTATTGAAGCCCTCATTTATACTGCAATGGTAGTATCTGACGAAGATGAAACTGTGGCCTAAGTCAAGGACGCTCCTTCTAAAACTGATTGAGAATGAATGCCAGAGACTCCAAATAGATTCAACACGCCGAGCCAACTTACATGTATGTCCCCAAATACCCCCCCCCCCGCGTCACCAAACCATCAAATGACCCCCAACGCTGCCCTTGCTATGATACCCTGTTGCCCACCATGCATGCCATGAATAGCTTTGGGGGATTTCTGATAGCAGAAGAGTGGCTAATTCAGAGATTCATGCCGATACCTGCTCGCTGTCAAGAAGTGAATACTACATGTACTGAACACTGCGGGAATAAGTAGCCCGTTGACGGTGGTACTGGCTGCACCAACATCGTGGTCAGTACCCTCGGCGACCGGTTATTAGTACATCTGGCAACGAAAATGCCCTCGCAGGTCATATCAACGCTTACACTATGTTCACCTGGAATATACTGTCGTAGAAAGGGGCATAGGACGCACAATTTTCAGCCCTATTTCATGTCTGGCAGTGCGAAGGCAATGTCCGCTAATTACCTGAGGTCGTAAGCTCTTTCAGTGATGTTGGTGTCCATCTTACAGTCACAGTCTAACAGCGAATAAAATCAGCAGACGAATTTGATGCGACTTGTAAGGAGAGGAAGACTGACATTTTTGATGTGACCAGTTCCGACGTCGGAATCTAATATCGGGGTATGTCGAGCAGGCGCATCTCTTTTATATGCCAGAGCTCGTGAGACTTACTCAGATGCTGGCTTATGTATTACGGCAGGATCTCAGTGGACACGGGCCACAAGTAAGATCGAAACAAGAGAATAAGATGCACAAGCTCCATGTCTTTCCAGATCGGATTAGCCGCAGAAATGAGAGACATCTGAGGGATTCTACACAATTCCTTGTGCTGCCTAATACATGTGCGCTGGCGTCTTTAGTAGAAGGATGCGAATGGACAAGAAGGATCCTTTACCTCGATTTAATGAGTCAAAATAAAGTAGGCTAGTCACACGCATCGAGTGACTCAATCTAGATTCGCCAAGATTTCCACGCGCTTCTTAAAGAGTTTCGCGCTCTTGAAATGCGACCAGGCATTAACCAAAAGGTCCGGGGAGCCATCAACTCCGATGACCCGATTGGCCAATCGGTATTACTATATGCATGCGAGTCGCAGGTCTACTCGTCAGACTTCCGCGCCTTGCATTTCAGGATCGAAGAAGCTGAGTCTTGGACTGCAGGGTGTTGTAAGAAGGGCGGCAGATATTTCTGTAGGGATGGATGGGAGAAATGATGCCTCTCTCGACCATCCGGCCTTTCCTTCTTCTTCTTCTATTGCTCAGGGTCGTGTAGCCTATCATCTTTCATAGCTCTGCTCCATGTTAGCTCAAGCATTCATTTGTAGTTGGGGAAAATCTTTACTTATCTAATGGCTTCACGTCTTCTTTTGAAGGCCGTTGCTTCTTCTGCCTCGCCCTTGATCCGGCCAGCTAGAATACCATCAAGAGTACAGCCGCTGCTCTTCCGCCCTACCATTTTCTCAAAGCACACAGTACCACCACATCTCATATCCCCCTTTCGTCATGTCCGACTACAGAGCACCATCACAGAACTACCGAAAAAGAAGCTTCGGTGGTATTGGAAGCTGTTGATCGCCATGGGAGCCACAGCTGGTCTTACGACAGGCGGGGTCGTAGTCGCAGACAGATATTATATGGGGGGAATCCTGACACGCAGCTTGCGAGCATATACGACAATTGCGCAAGTCGGAGTCGATTACAAGATGCACTCAGGCAAGAATCCCAAGGGAGGTCGTGTCCCCATTGACGAGCTCCACGATCGAAACGCCGCGCGAGTTTGTAACATGATCAAGACGAACGGCGGCATCTTTCTCAAGATTGGCCAAGCGATTGCAGTGCAAGGAGCAGCCCTGCCAGAAGCGTATCAGCGCGAATTCCAAAACATGTTTGACGATGCTTCGCAAGAATCTTGGAGCGATGTCCAGGCAGTCATCAAAGAAGAGTTTGGTGCCAGTGTAAGCGAAGTGTTTGGTGATAGTGTAGAGAAGGAGCCCAGAGCTTCGGCTTCAATAGCACAAGTTCATTATGCGAAGTTGAGAGATGGGCGAGAAGTTGCGATTAAGGTGCAAAGGAGAAACTTGGCGCAGCAGGCATCGTGGGATCTCTGGACATTCAAGTATGATACACTCCTTTTTTATATAGCTTATTTGATGGCTGCTAACGATGGCAATAGGGTTCTTTGTGACTTAGTAGGGAGAACGACGGATATCCATATCCAAGGCATCGGCGACTACATCATGAATAACATTATGAAAGAGACGGACTTTGAGAACGAGGCAGCTAATTCGACAAGGATAGCTGAGCTTGTAAAGTCAGATCCTGACCTGAATAAGAGAGTATACATCCCCCAGGTCTATACAGAACTTACATCGAAACGCGTCTTGACTTCCGAATGGATTCATGGCGCCAAACTTTGGGATAGGGATATTATCACTGGTGCTCACAATCCTTCTGGCGAGACTTCTGCAGGCATGGGCCTTAAGGAGGCCGATATTATGACCACCGTCATTGATCTTTTTTCATCACAAATGTTCAAATGGGGGTTTGTCCATTGTGATCCTCATCCAGGCAACATGTTTGTTCGACGTCTTCCGTCCGGCAAACCGCAGATCGTGCTCATAGACCACGGCCTTTATGTATCGTTGTCTGACAACTTGCGGCGCCAGTACGCTCGCTTCTGGAAGTCTCTTCTGACCGGCGATCAGAAAGGACTAGAGGAAGTTTCGACCGCCTGGGGCATGAAGACAGCCGATGCCTGGGCTGATACCTTCATGTCTCGAGAGAAGAAGCCAGGGCCGATCGATGAGACACCTGAAGAGAAATCACAAAGAGCTATCAGCGAAGCATCAGCATTCTTTGGCGAAGAAGGCTTATACCCTCGTGAGCTCATATTTCTAGAACGAAATCTGGCTCTCGTCCAAGGTAGCAATCGCTTCTACGATTCTCCCGTCAACAGGCTCGGCATGATCGGTCGCTCAGCAATGCTGAATTTGCGAGACGATAGCGAAGTGACGTTTGCACAAGCAATGAGCTCGCGACGGGCCATGTTTGTTCTCGATGCCGTGTTTTACTTCAGCAGGTGGAAGCAGTACATGGGCTGGGGCAAAGGTTTCGAGGACGAACTGAAGGAGGCAGAGGAGAGGATGGCCCAGGAGATGAAAGACTCCATGTCCAGTCTCTGGGAAGTGGACAAAGAAGCGGAATGAAGGCGTCAGGGAGTATCATCGACTCCTACACCATACTGGACATTTCTTTCATGGGATGGCTGTCCATAATTTTGC